ACACCAAACTGTACAAGCAACCACCATCAAAGCGGAGCGGACGGCATCCCGCCCTGACAGGCTCCGAAGACCTTGTCCTGTGTGGACGTCCGTTCTTGAAGCTCCCCTTGACGCCCCAAGAAGCTCGCTGAGATCAAGGTACCGACCAGGGTAAATGGAGCTCGCTCTGCTTTCCAAGTTTGCGTCCCAATTTCAACCCCGATGAAAAACTTGTATTTCGGCGTCAGGAAAACCTCCCCGAAAACCCGTCTCATAAAGTAAGATCCTCACAATCCGTCCAATCACATCACATCACAATTCCCCCCTCCGCGAAAAAGCTCATCATCGAAAATCAAAATCAAACGCTCAGAAACCTTCATATGCACCCCTGTCACATGTAATGCCTGCTTTCCAGACAAACCCAAGCCGCGCTTGCCGGGGAGGGAGTTTAAGAGTGGAGGGGGGCTGTGGATGGCATGGCATGTGCCATCCATGACTGCTTACCCTTGTTCCCGAGCCAAAGTGTCCTGGGTGGGGTGTTTATCCTTGACAACTGGCTGTTGGGCTTGTCAAGGAAAGGGGAGACGGCTGAGCGAATCGAACAGCCTCCCCTGTTTGACAGCTGCTGGTGTTCTTCGCCCTGGCTGGTTTTTGGCGCGATAATGCCTGCCTGTCTCAGGAGATATCAACGAACTTGTCAAAGTCACGAAACGAATATCAAAATCAAACCGGTTGCCCTGGAAGACTTCACATTGATCAACTCAATTTGTCTCCTACTGTATGTCCCGTCTCCCCAGATCACCCATCTCGCCCATCGATCTTACTGTACAGGCTAAACGGCGAATGCCGAGCAGTAATTCTACATTTGATACCTCGGTCCTGCTTTCTTTTCTCTCTGCCGAGTACGAGCCGTTCCTCGGGTAGGAGGTTTGGACCCGTCACAAATCAGACTGTCGGGCACCACGCTATCATCCCGCCATCAAAACCGAACCCAGCGCCAGGAAAATATATTTCGCAACCCTCTAAACTCTAAATCATCGAGCTGTCACGGAGTCACCCATTCTTGGAAGCCCAGGCTAGACGATCGTTGCTCAAAGCGTCTACTACGAAAGCTCTCCCACCCACCAGTTTAACTTTTACTCGCGTGGAGAGCAAGGTGCTTAGCTCTTCTTAAGTCTAGTTTAGTCTTCTATCTGTATTGGTAATACTGCTCAAAGACACGGCACGGGAAAAATCCATATCCGGATACCGTTGCATGTCTGGAAGACTAGTTTGGAACGACTGGAGCTTGGGATGTTGTGAAGAGCCCCAAGATCAAAAGTTTCTAAGCGATGGTTTGACGATGAATTTGTAGTGCGGCTTTTAGATCTCTTGCTCTACAATTTGTGGTCTGATTCTGACTTCACTTGCTCCTTTCGAGAACGATCGTCGGATGCTAGTGATTTTCAGGCTTGCACTTACTGTGCCTGACTTCAAAGTTCATAATAGCATGCAAGACATCCTCTTGTCAACCACTTGGCAGGGAAACAATGCCTCAAAACAAGCTAGTATTGCCTACTGCCTCCAGCCTGGATTGTCCGCAGTCTCAAAAACACGACAGACACGAAAATCAAACAATTGAAATTCACGTTTCAAAGACCCATGCACGCCCAAAGCACAAGCTACACCCATATCACATCGATCCCATCACATCTCCCCCATTCCCAACTCAGACCCCTATCCGCATCAATCTATTCTCCTTCCGCTGTCTCACTCTTCCCCAAGACCCAACACAGACCACGGCCGACCCAGCATCTCAGCACACCAAAAAAGGGAAAAAGCACCGAAAAAGCCACACGACAGAGAGAAACATTTCCCCAAGCCATGACCCTGAAAACATGTAAAATTCCCGAGATCACAGACATGGAGAAACGAAATCATCCGTTCTCATACCTCATCTCATCTCAAGATCCATAACGGTAGGTAATCTGCGCAAGCATCAAGGGCATGAGATTTGAGGCTGCAGCTTCCAAGGCCAGCACGCCTCACAATTCCAGAAATGTAACCCTGGTCCGCCCTTCTCGGAAATCTAGATCCTCACCGCCCTGTAGCTATCGGTCAATGGACAATGGAATGGCGAAGAAGCAAAACAAAAACACGTCATTGTTGCGCGATGTAATATACCCTCTCAAATCGCATAGATGTCTAATGGTCACGCCAGCTCAAGATAGATCTCTGATAATCCGTTTGTGAGGTTGATCTATCCCTGTACAAAGATAACAAACAGAGGAGAGACAAGCTGCCACGTCAAACATTAAGAAACGACCACCGACCGAGACATCCGTTAACCTTCTCCCTCCCCCGCATCTCGAACAATCCGTTTGCTTTCTCCAAGACCTCACAACCAACCAAGTCTCGATCAAGTAACCTCACCTCCACACAGCAAAACTCAACTAATCCGCTGAGGTATTATTTCGACGCAGTCCAGACAGACACATGACACTCAGATTCACACTCAAATCGGAAAACCACCAGCCCCCTGCATATCGCGCACATATGCCCAGCTACCAATCAGGACCGCTCTCAGCCCTATATCGCACATCACATATACCCCCCCTCGGCGAATTCTCGTATTCACATCTTGATATTGTGCCGGGAATAGAGCTCTGTCCTGTATCTCCATCTATCGGTACGCACTGCCGGTACAAAAGAGGAGGAGCAAGGTACGTACTTTGCTGTGCCGTGAAGCAACATTTGGTGAAGTGGACGGAGAATCGAGAGTAAGGGGGGGATGAGAAGTAAGCCACAATATACTTAACATAATAACGTTACATTTCATCTGCATCGCATACTCTGCCTCGCATACCACATTTCCCCTTCCCTCCCCGATCCTGCTTCAAAGTCTGTCTACTGGGAGAGCAAAAGCACCTCAAGAAGTTAGTTCCTTTCTCGAGTTTCGTCCCCTCTCTATCCTTTATTCAGTATCAGATTGCTAGTATTGTTATCATACCGGGGTGTAGACTGCAGTGACTGGGCAAAGAAGCCGAATAATCCCCAACTAGACAGGGAAGAACTGCCGACGCGAGGTCTCGAAATATACATGCCTCATGTATACAACAGCAGATTAACACCGTCACTACTATCACTCTATCCACCTCGCAACAAGTGCCCGTTTAAGTCTAAACGCGCAATTTTCTTCTTCGGCCACGTCTACCGGAAGTAGCTTTTCTCTCCCAAGGTCTTCCCAGTCGCGGGCGCTATGTGTTCGCTGTCACTACAGTAGACTACTACGGGGTAGATTACGAATCCAGCAGTAGTTGGTTTCTTGTTTTGTTTTGGTTTTCCAAGAACTACCTACTGAGGGGTAAAGTACGGAGAAAGTTCGTTGGGCGTCAAGCTCCATCGTTCGTGGCCGAGAACCGGACAAGAACTAGTGAGCTTATGAGAAAGGTCAAGGATGCGATTGGAGAGGGTAGCTCTCGCAGCCACCCCCCCCGCCCCCCTTTACTTCGCAGGTGTACATTGCTACTTACCACTTTGTGCTGAAGAACGGTACCTTACATACCAGCTGTCCTCTTCCTCATATTTCTCAGTACTGGTATCACTATGTTCAAACACATACCTCATCATGCAAGATCTGAAATTAAATCACGCTTGGTCAGTTCTGACTGAAGGTCTGACCACCATTCCGCCTGGCACTCAGGTAATGTACCAGTACATGGAAATAGATGAACCTCTTGTCCTGTCTTGTCATCCCAATGTACCTTAACCCCACCAGGACCCCCTTCAGGAATGAACGAACGCATAGTTGCCGTTTGAGAATCCGGTAACCTAACAACAGATAAGTGAAGGGGGTTTGAAGTATCAAGGGAGCGGCCAAAGAAACCAACAAGACATGGAATGAACGGGAGACCAGGCAGGGAGGTTGCACCCCAGCGGAGTCCCTTACTCGTGAACTGTTGCGTTGCGTTGCGTTGCTTTCTTATGTTGTTTTCAGGGGATGGGTTGGTGGGCTTGGGCTTGCTGACCTTTCCTCAGGCTGGGGAGTATCCTGGAGCTCAAGGAAGGGGAGATGTTGCCACCTATGATTCAGCATGTCATGTCATTATGTATGTTCATGGAATTCGAGGAGTTTTCAGGGTGGATCAATGCTTCTTGAGACCTTCAGTCTTCAGCAAGGCTGCGAGGCTGGAGGAGGGCTGCCATGCAAGTGGATATGGGTGGCGGCCAGAATTTTGGAGAATGAGTTTCCTTTGGCCATGCTATGTTGTTCTCGACGTTCCAAAACTCTAGTCTACGGGTGTTTATTTGGATTCTGCGTACATATAGCTACAAGTTCTTCCTCTAATTCGATTTTCGCCGTCCTCTACATATATTTTCACCATAGAAGAGAATCACGTGTTTTACGCTCACATGACTCAGCTGGCTGCGTCTCCCTTCTCTTCTATATTTTAGCCAACTTCGAGTCTTCTGCATCAAAACCTCCTCATCTATCACATAAACCAATCCACTTTACCTATCCACACTCTTTTAATCTTATCTCCTCAAAAGCTCAACAGTCCCCCAATTCCATGTGTATCATCACCTCACCCCGCGTCCGAAGCACGACATCGCTGAAACAGGCAACATTCATACCCGATCCCCCTCTCAGTGCCCCTTCTTCGCGTCTTCCATTCAAGCATCGCCAACGCAAAGCTTGGGTTCCCAAGACGTGGTTTGCGGGCGAAAGCAAAAAGATGGAGTTCTTTGACGGGCACAATATATGACGTGGGTCGATATTGATATCAATCACATCCGAGCTGCGTCTTGAAGTGAGGGGCAGCGAACGGGAAGAGGTCGGAATTTTGATCCTGACATTGTTACAGCTGCAGCTAAGGTGGGTGGGTATGATGTAGGTGAAAGTTTTGTTCCTGGCCTAAATATTTCCCTTTCTCTCTCACTGTCATGGTTTTGTTGATCTTTCATCAAGAGCTGCGTGTGTTAGAGAAGCTTCGATTTCTTGCTTTCGCCCTCAAGTCTTCATAGTCGAGTATATCCTCAAGATGTCGACTTCAGATCCCGAAAAGCACGCTTCCACCTCACCAGACACCATCTCTCCTCCCGTCTCTTCTACCCAACTAGACGAGAACTATGAAGTCTACAAAGCCAGCAAAGAGCTACAAGCCGATCCTGCCGAGATCAAGCGCGTGCTTCGAAAGATTGATTTTCGTATCATTCCAATCCTCTTCGTGACATACATGTTGCAATATCTGGACAAGAACTCGATCAATTTTGCTAGCGTGTACGGTTTGAAGGCTGGGACAAATTTAAAGGGACAGGACTATTCGTGGCTCGGTAAATCAATTCAATTTTTCTACCTATCTGTCTCAATAACTCCAGTCTCCCGTGTTGAAAATGGGTGATTGAACACAGTTCTGACCGATACATTCAGGATCCATTTTCTACTTTGGATATCTATTCGCGCAGTTTCCAGCAGGATACTTCCTTCAGCGTCTCCAAATCGGCAAAGTCCTCTCACTCACCACCATCGCCTGGGGAATCATTCTCATCACGACTCCAGCATGCATCTCTTTCGCCGGAATGGCAACGAATCGCTTCCTCCTGGGAGCCCTCGAAGCTGCAATCAATCCTGGTTTCGTGCTCCTCATGTCAATGTGGTACACATCTGCCGAACAACCTCTCCGCCTCGAAATTTACTACTGCACAAACGGAATAGCGACCATGTTTGGCGGCCTGATCGGCTACGTAGTCGGACATATCACGACCGGCCTCCCAAGATGGATGTACGTCTTCTTGATCTTCGGATCGATCTCCATAGCATGGGGTATTGTCTCCCTCATCTTCCTCCCCGACAACATCTCAACCGCCAAATTCCTCACCGAGCATGAACGCAGCATTGCCGTCAACCGCGTAGCAGCAAACAGACAAAGTGTGAAGAACAAGCACTTCTCGACCTACCAAGCCATTCAGACAGTCAAAGACCCCAAGACATGGATTCTGTTCGTCATGGCTGTTGGTGCCCAGGTACCTAACTCTGCTTTGACGAGTTTTGCCAGTAGCATCGTGGGCAGTTTTGGATTCGACACATTGGGCACGCAGTACCTGCAAATCCCAGGTGGCGCCGTGCAGTTCCTTGCATTGATCACAGGAGGATGGGTATGCACGAAGTGGCCGGCCAATATTAGATGTCCGACTATGATCTTCGCGAACTCGGTCTGTATTCTTGGGGCAGGGTTGTTGGTTGGTCTTCCCAACGACAATAAATGGGGACGACTGGTTGCGCTGTGGTTGTGCTATTTCCAGGGGTTGGGATTCAGTCTGAGTTTGATAATGGTGAGCAGTAACGTGGCAGGGTACACAAAGAAGCAGTTGACCGGCGCCGTCCTATTCACCGGATACTGCATTGGGAACATCATTGGGCCACAGACCTTTCTTGATAGTGAGAAGCGTAAGCCTTATCCATAACCCCTTCCTCTTTCAGAAAGTGGCATTTACTGACAGAATCACAGCCGGTTACCACAGTGCCTACATCGCCATGCTGGTGGGCTATTCAGTCAAACTAGCCGCAGTCATCGTCCTCTACATCCATATGTGGAGATCTAATAAGTCGCGAGACGCAGCACAGGCCGCGAGAGGGAAGCTATCTGAAGAGGAGGAACGGGCGGCTATCGAGAAAGGCATGCTGGATATCACGGAGATTGATAACCCAGGCTTCAGGTACGCATTGTGATGAAAGGTTCTTTTCGGTTGCAGATTCTCGTTGGGAGTGTTTTAGGCTAGACGGATCGAAGCCAGTGGTTATCTGAAACTCAGTGAAAATCACAGAGCCATATTGGACGTTCTGCCTGCGAACCCATCCACCATCAAGTCTCAAAACTCTGATCCTGGCATGCCAAATTCGTACCTTGATGCAGAGTTTCCGTGTGCGATCGACCAGCGACAAAAAGATCGATGAATTGCGGGATTGTATTTGTACCATCAATCACGGCTCAACCCATTTCCCCAGAGCAGAGTTCCTTTTCTCCCTGCACCAACCTTCTGCGCCCCCTTACACAATTCATAAACCCTAGACCACATTCATATACAGGTAGTATCGGGGTAGCAGAAATCAATATTCGGTCGAGACACTTCGTTCTCAATTACCAGAACACTCTGGAGTGGCTTCTAAGGCATTCGCGCTAATGAGATGTTTCCAGCCAAGGACTTGAAGTGAAAAGCCATCAATATCGCCAGCACGATGGTCCGTTAGTCACATTTACTGGGTCGGAGACTTACGGTGCCACGCTGTGCAGCAACCGTGTGAAATAATCTCATAGCATCCTTCAACATACTCTAGCTTGCCATGAAATCGAGACCTGGATACACGCGCACCATATCTGATAACTGGTGCTGTGCAAAGAACGTTTACTTGCTCGCTTAATCCAGAGGTGGGGCAGAAGATTGTCAACAATCACCGGGGAGCACAATTCTTTGGATCTGTGGATCGAGCGGAGCAGAGCTTGGATTGGTATGAATTATAGTGTCATTCATACTGCTTTGCTTACTGCGGTTTCTTTGGGATGAGCGGAGTTGTACGTATGTACAGAAGAATGCGAAAATGCCCGAGTACGATTCAGAGCGACACAGCTAAGGCGGCATGTCCAGAGAAGAAAAGCGAAGAGCCTCCAATACCTCCAAGAGAAAAAGTCCCTAAAATTTTCTACAAATATGTCGGAAGGAAGTCCAGGAAACGCTACGGGTACCAAGGCCGACTTCAATGTCAACAACTATCGATGTGACTGGTGTTGTGATGATGCAGGATCCGACCCGAGTAGCGAGCCCTACTCAATACCATGTCTAAAAAGATACACAGCACTTCGAGAGTCGTGAGAAATGTACTACTTACAAACTCATGTCAGCTAATCTGTCATATCTGTCGAGGCAGAGCACGAAGTGCATGCGTGGTGACGGGACTAATGTGACATGTACATATCAGTTTCTATCAAAAACCGCCTTCTTCCAAGCCTCCAGCGGACCATCCTCATTCAAGCTCTTAAGCCATGCTTCTTCATCCCACAGCTTATTTTCTGGCGATCTCTCAGCTCTGTACCGGCCATGTCGGTTTACCAAGATGACTGCTGGAATATGGATTGCGCTTTGTTAAGCACTTGGGACAGTTGCGGACACGGAATAATCAGCCTCTGATGCCTCGGAAGAGTCGACATCATCATCGCAAGATTCGGTGCTAGAGTTGGGTTCCAGTGTTTCATCATTGCTGAGATGTTCCGTAGATGGTGAATCATGTGTTGATAGAGTGTCTTTATCGAGTTCTGAGTTGGACTTGTTTCTAGGCGAGGGCGTAGGCAGTGTCTGTTGAGCTGTTTGAGAGAAGGAATTGAAGACGAATCAGTGCTCGTGAGGAGTGGGCTTCTTGAGTTTGCCTAGATCTCGAGGGACCGGCATCGATTTGTCCAACAAGTCATGGTTAGATGCCGTGTAAAATATAGATTTGGGAGGGAGAGGGAACAGCCTGAGAGGTGCTGGGCAGTGGAGACTATCGAAATGTTGATCCTGAGCGTATGGGTGTCTTTGCGGCTTTCGGGAGTTGGAAGCGTAATAGTCAAGGTCAAGTTGAGCAGCAGGTGTTCCACTGGAAGAATCGCCCTGAAGCTGGGATGAGTCAACTTCTTGGTAGCTGGACCTGAAAGTTTTGGAGTCGTATGAGGATTGGTTTGGTTGCGTGAACGGGGCCCCGCGGCACTGATTGAATTGTGACTGTTGGGCCGATTCTCTATGCTGAGGTGTTCGGGATTCCGCAGTAGCACTATTGTCCGGGCACCGAAAAGGCTGCAGTTTCGTATTCAGCTGTGAACTGATCTTGAACCATGTTCTGTTGCTGAGATTGTTGACAGCTCAGTGGAGCAGCAGGCGAAGGAGTATTTGGACCAAATATTTCACCGGACCCTTGAGCAGGAAGATAGGGGCCTTTGTATGTAAGATCGGACTGGCAAGTTTGACTTACATGCGGACCGCGTACATGAGAATCAAATCCATGATAAGTCTGAGCTCTAGACTGTGGTTGCAAGAACGAAGAAGCGGCATAACGACTACCAACTGGATAAGGAGCCCTCATACCAGCTTGTTGAAAGTGTTCCGCATCTGAGGGGTGTTCGTTGACCCAGCCCATTTGCTCCTGGTTCCGAGGCACGATCGAATGGTGAAGGACAAACGGGGTATTGTCGTTTCCATCACTAGAAGCAACCTGCTGATTGTAGTTAGCATCGCTCACCTGACTAGGCGGTTCACAAGGATACATGTCTCGATACTCCTCGGGATCAAGTAGATCAGAAAAGTCTTGACCCTCATCGTATAAGTGGTGCCGGCCTCAAACATGAGTTCCTACAACATCATTTACTAGTAAAATAAGATTAGAGGCCAAATGTTGTGCTCCACCAAACCTATGTGCAGATGATGTCCTGGAGGAAGGTACTTTTGGTGGAGCAATATATCCTGGCGCACCTGGGACCGTACCAGCATTCCATGCAGCACGACAATATCTATTCTTTGCCCTCAGGCTCTGGAGGTGATGAAGTCGGTGTCGTGGACCAGAAAATGCCTTGTGACAAATCTCACACACATGGTCTTTGATCTTATCGTGGACTCCACGTACGTGTCTTGTCACACTACTCTTTTCTGCGAAGGTTTTCCCGCACGGTGGTCGCGTACACAACCATTTCCCTTCGAGGGCTTGGAGTAGACTATTGGTGTCTCATCTGGCTCTGGAGTAGTCTTATAGACTGAGGAAAATGATGCAGGAATTGACTTGTAGTGACGCTGCAGAGGAGGGAGAACATCGCCTGCTGGTTCGATGTCTTGGCTATCGCGCGACTTCGGACTTGGTCTTACTCTCTTCGGTGTACATGTACTTTCCTGCTGTGGAGAAACATGTTTGCCGTCTAGAGTCAAGTCTTCCTCACTCATATTGTGGTACGGTGTAAGCGGCTCATCATCCTCGTGGTCGCAGTCAATATCCCAAAAGTTGGTGTCTTGCTTGGCTGGAAGGGCGTAGTAGGACATTGCGGGCCAATCTAGCTTCTTGAGACCTTGAAGCTATCGTAGGATAACTTTTACTCATAGGTATCTTATCAAAGAGAGTTTGCGAAGTGTGTAAGTGCTGTGTGGAGGTGCGAAGTCGAAACTCAGGGTCTATTGGTTCTAAAGGCGCCGCAGGCTGCTTGAGAGAAGTTCGTCTTTTCGATACTGCTTGTATTCCTGCTTGTCTTGTATATGTGGAATAAAAGATGGGTGGGAGGAGCTTATACTCCTTGGATTTTTTTCAGACAGCCCAAATGAGTCGCGCGAAAACACATTTGATTTGGGTGTATATCGAGGCAAGGCACCCTCGCTTAACGTCATTTGAAAAAGTTGGAAACTTTTAGCGTCAGACTGTGGCGCCCAGTGAATCCGTCAACCAAATAAGGAAATTTTATTGTCGAAGGAATCTGCAAGTACGAGTCTAGAGTCACGCGAGCTTGAAATATCATCTAGTTCTATTGCTTGCATTATGTCAATCTATAGCGTGCCAAGAAGGTAAACAATAATATGTCGCTGAGGCAAAAACTGAAACGGCACATTGTGACTTTACGCCCTCTTCACAGATTATGACATCAAAATTCTTTTTACATTCTTGAAATCATTTTAGTTGTTTGTTATAGAAGAAAGTATTGTATAAAATCATCCTTTGTGCTACATTAACTCATGACGTTGTCCTCAGACGTCCTCATCTTGCTTTGACACATCTTGTTTCGATGTACCCTTGTTTCTGTCTATTGTAAGTCCTAACATTAAAGAGCCTCATCTCTCCTAACTTAACCACATAGAAATGGCCCCTCACCGAAACTTATCGTAGACCAAGTAAACTGCCATACACTATCATGAGCTCTTTGTGACAACTTGATTCTTCCTACAGAAAACAAAGTAGCATTCAAATTGACCCTAGGGCTAATATCAAAGAAGTAGAGCTTTCAAATTACGGGTCCATACTTCTCACATATGTGTTAGTTTTTGATGGACCAAATGCAAGAATAATAGAATAACGAACCTCATTGTAATTTTCTGCATCAAAAAATGACCAAGTGAACCCCTCTGACAAACCAGTTGCTTGTGCAGAATTCCGAGAGAACAAAGAGTATCCGTCTGAGGCTGAACCAGTCCGATCATGTATAGTGTAGCTGAAACCCCCTCGGGGACCCAAATTCAACTTGTTTGGTGGTGGCGAAGACTCCAGGAAGTCGCCTCCAGTGCCTGTGAGAACTGGAAGAGATGGTTCGAATTCGGAATGTCGAGATCCTGAACCAAACTCATAGCCAGAGGTAGAATTCAGCTTGTTGTTTCGAAGGGAAGCAAAGCTAGGCTGGAGTTGGTTGAGTCCAGATTCAAACCCGGATAGACGACTACTGATGGCCGGTGAACGACTATCATAGACAAGGGGCAATGAAACATTTGCAGATGATACAATACTATCATACACTGGTCCAGTGATTCTTTGGTCCTGGGTTCTGGCGCGATATCCTCTTAGTGGTGGACAAATCTGAGGTTGACTGATGCTGCCATGTTGAGCATGATAACCAGAGGTGGGTGGCTGATGTAAATCAGAAACTGCACGAAACTTCCCAGGATAGTTTGTTCCTGTATCAGAATTCTGAACTTCCTGTTGTATATTAAGGCTTGGATAGGTGCCAGAGGAATAGGAAGAGCGTTGACGACCAGGGTAGCGACGATGAGAACGAGCTGTTGCGCTACTCTCGGAAGGGACATGCACTTGATTTGTTCTGTACAATGGGCTAGTGTGTGATTTTTGGGGATGATTGCGTTGGATGCCGAGATGAGGACGACGAGTGACAAAACTTTGGCTGGCATGTCCAAGTGTTGGGTGTGTTCTGGAGGCGTAACCTGGTCTAGCGTTGACCAGTCCTTCCTCCTGTGGCAGACAGTTTCGTCCATAGAAAGAACTTGTTGGTGGCAGCTGAAGGCGTGGTTGAGCTGAAGGAGCTGTAAAGGGAACGCCGTAGGTCTGCTGTTCGACAGATGAGGAAAGGGAGGCAGCTTCACCATTTCGGTTACCAACAAAAGAGCTGCCATAGGAACGGTTTATAGGTCTTCCAGAATAAGGGTCCACTGACGGCGGAACGTAGCCGTCAGATCCAGGAAGAAGACCAGCTTTCCATGCGTTATTACACTCCGTAAACCTTGGGTTTCGCTGATGTCTTCGTACCCAACGTTCCTCCGAAAGCGATTTGCCGCAGACTTGGCATTGCCATTCCTGAATACTGTCATGCGTTTTCATATGTCGGTCTCGGTTTGATTTGCTACATAATGACTTATTGCAGCCAGTGACTTGACATACAAAATCTTCGCTGTTGTTGACCTTGCTAGAGGTTACTGGATTAGTCGGGTCATTTGACAGAACGGTAGCTGAATTGTTGGAGGATGACGAGTTTAGGTTCGGAGAATCGGCAGGTGGTTTGGCTGCCAACTGTGGAAGAAGAAAAGAATCATCCTGCGTATATGCAGGCTCCAATCTAATTCTCTTTGCTGGATGTGCGGGGCTGAGCGTTGCTTTTTGTTCCTCCTCACTCAAGCCTCGATACTCCTTGTGACCGAGATTTTGGCCAGAGCGTTCCTGTTCTATGACATCGCCAGTCTGACCGTAGAGACTCCTGGTCGTGTTATCCACCTGTTCTTGACTATCCGGATCTTCAGGGGAAATAGGAGGTTGTATTTGACTTCGGAGTTCTGGAAAGGTCTCGCGCTCCGGAAAATAAGTGTTGATGTCGGCCCACAGGTCGCAGTCCACCAAGTTCATCATGTCAGACATATTGTAAAGAACTGTTATACGAATCTGATATCAGCTTGAGTTTCTGTCCTCGAGCTCGGGGACTTTGATTAGGTATGTTGTTCTGTGATCGACCGAGGAGCCATGTCTTGCACAAGCAGGGGAATACGCGCTGCGCATACACTTGATAACGAAACGTGCCCAGAGAGCCGCCACCCATAGCTGAGAATGGCACTTACTCATCAATCTGATACTGTGGAGTTGTAATGTTTCACCGTCGGTAGTGTTGTAAGTTCGTGTTGTTGTGTCGATTTTGATGTCGAACTTGACGTCGGCCGAGCTTTTGCGACTTAACGAGAAACCGCGCCCAAGAAGCTCTTTATCCTCGCGCCCTCGACACTTTACTGATGTCATAGCTACTTCTATATATATACAGTCATTCACATAGCTCCACGATCGTTTGTTTCCCGGAGTCCTGGCTTCCAAGAAGGGCAATGTAATTGTCGTTGCTTTAGAATGAAATTCGGTGAATAGGATTGCGTCTCTCCGCAACCACTTCCGTGTATGGTGTTTATGTGACCACTCTTGCCAGGATGAAGCATGTGTTATAGAGTTATAATTCATTTGTTGATTACTTTCGTGTCAGAACTGTCCGCATATGGAGAATGGTAGCAGCCTGGCAAGTCAGACATCAAGCTGCCAAATATAGTATCACCAAAAAAACCCCAGAGCGCACAGAAGGCGCGCTCGTTCTTGAAATTTAAGCCTCAATACCCATACAATACTTCGAATTTGATGAAAAAAGAAGCACTCCTTAGTCTCCACTGAAGCAAGTACACACAAGATGTCTGCCATTGGAATTGATGTAAAGTGTCTCAATCGTCGGTCGACGACTTTCGAGGTTCCGGAATATCCGCACTGTATCCATCTCAGCTGTAAAGCTTTGGAAAATATGAGCATTGAAATAACTTTCGGGTTTCTCATATAAAGTGGATTTGGTTCTTGTTAAAAGTAGCTAGTATTCCTACCAGTTCGTATTATCATCAATGACTGGCGATTGAGTATCTAGTCCAAACTCAGTCTGAAGCTGGAGATCGCCGCCATTGAAGCATAAAGTAGGCTCAAACGGAATTCCGGCCGGCGTCATGGGGGAGAGGTGACTTCTACCGATATTGACAATTGAAGATGTGCCAGATTCATGGGCAGGAGAATCGCTAGTGAAGGGAAAATTTGAACGGAACTCCAAGTCATAGAATGTGGCTTCAGGCACAGTCGCTGCCATATGAGTTTGGGCCTGAGGACTCCAATCAAAAGGAGTTTCGTCATTTTCAGAATTAACTTGTCTCCCTTGATCGCCGGGTGGGGAGAGATCGCTGTTGTCGTCCTGCAGATCTGGCACTGCAGTTTAAGATTGGCGATAAAGACGATTTGGAGGGTTTGGATCGGCAGGGTAACTAACAGATGGAGGACCACTCAGTCTGTGACCCACGCGAGAAGGAAATCCGAGAGAACCTTGGGGAGACGTATCAGAATTCATAGGAACATGTTGATGGAACCCTTGAGTCGATCTAGAGTCGGCTGAATGCTGTACTTGCTGAACGTCGGATGTGTTTACCTGCGGTGGTGCCACAAAGTCGTTCCAGCCTCGCTTGAGATCTCCATAACCTTGACTGAGTCCTTGGCTGCTAAGACGGTTATGATGAGAAAGAGGTTTTAAAGAATCTCCACTGCTGTGAGTCTGGTAGGTAACTGGACGAGAGCTGTCCAGAAAACTTTGGCTGAAGACGGAAGGCTGTTGGTAGAAAGTGAAAGGGAAAGGCTCCCTTCCAGCACGAGATCCAGCTGCACGTTGGTTATGTTCCGACTTGTCCTTCTTTGATCCATAATTTCCGTGATTTTGATAAATAGGTGAACCGTCAAAGCTGGTATGAGAAGGGGTAGGATGTCTAGAAGCATATATCGGCTGGAAATCGAAGGTCGAACTGTCCGGCTGGTCTGGGCAAGCAAGACTACCAATCTTACCCATATACCTGTAGTCAACTTGTGGATTCGTAGCTTCAAGGCTAGTATGATCGTAGTTACTCGGAGACCAAGTTCTCTTGGACGCAGGGTCAGGCTCGTTGTTGAACTGACGAGTGGTTGGAGCCGAGAGAGAATCGGAGGCGCCAACTGGGCCGGGACCAACGATAATCTCAGCTAGATGTCGACTGGATTCGAACTGTGTATTCTTTTGTGTGTGTCGATAGCGGCCTCTGAGCCAATCTGCATAACAGTCCTCATTCTTGGGATTCTTGTGATGCCCATCACGTCGACGTCTGTCCGCGAAAGTGCGTCCGCAAGTATCGCACCTCGGTTTGATCTGGTTATGGACTACCTTCACGTGTCTGCTGACACTAGAGGAAGTCTGATAAACTTTGGAACAATGGGGACATGGGTAGTGTCCTGCGGCGTCACGAGTATATGGCTGTCGGTTGGCTCTTGTGTAGATGCTAGTTGAAGAAGCATTAGTCGTTGAAGGCGAGAACAAGGCTACCGGAGAAGACGCTGCAATAGAATTGTTGGAATGATGACTCCATGGAAATCCCTGAATATTGGTGCCGATGATTTCACTGTTATTGCCGCGGTTTCTCTTCGCTGGTCTACCTCGGATCGATGATTTCAAGACAAGACCGTCATCAAGCTGGACGTATTCATCTTCTTCATCTTCCTCTTCATCCCAGTTATCCTCGAATATTTTTCGTTGATTTTTAGTGATATCTTGGGACATCTGTAAGCTCATAGTATCAGAATCAGAGTACAACTCGTGTGATGGCTTGAATATCTCGTCAAGATGACTTTGAATTTGGTTGTTACCAGATATAGGAAAGAATATGCGGTTATGCGGTTTATCTTGTTGAGATAAGAGGGACTGTATGCTTAGGGAGCTATATCGATTGCTAGTGCTAGTAACCAGAGCAGGATTCTCTGTGTGTAATTGGAAGGCATTTTCAACCGTCGGATCTTTGCGACCGGAAGGAAAGGTAGAGCCACAAGAGGAGAAGTCGAGAGACTGGTCGGTTAGAGGTCTGACCAATAACGATTCATTTTCTTCATGTCGACTGAAATTTATATCCTCAGAGCTGAATGCGGAATTCCGAAAGCTTCGTGCCCGAGGTCCTTGAGCTCTTGCCTGCCAACATTGTTCTTCTTTCCCTTCGATCTGTTCTTCTTGTTCTTGGATCCCCGGGTTTTGAATTGGTCTCATATGGGCTTTGTCTGAGGTTCCACGACGTGGATCAGCTCGGAAGTTCGCGTTGCTTGTTGCAGTATTGTGCTGGGAATTCTCCGTAGCAGGGTTTGACTGTCTGAAAGACTTCGACATTTTGGCTGTTTGCTGAAGTTTGTCAGAAGAGTACCGTGAAGTCTAGCAGATGATGGCTTGTGCTGGTACTTTCGTAGGAGAGTTGATTGCGATCGTGATGATAAAGTGAACCCGGATTTCTCTGAATGCTAGAGAACACGAGATGGGAAATGGGCAGGTTTTTAGCAGAATTTGAGAATGGATACTTACACAAAAGCTTAAATTTCTTTTCAGATAATACTTGAATCGTACAGGAGAGGTATATTGTGGTCGTGGAAGTTGTGATTGTCGAGTTCGGAGATGTTTGTTTCGAGTTCCAGGGGGGTCGCGTCAATGTGCCCATTTTTAAGTCGCAACCGCGATACTTCATAGACGTCACAGACCCGCTAGAGTCACAGATTCACGCTCGTGACTTGTTGTTACAGTAACTATCTACCTATATATTGAATGTATCATAAGAAGAACCAATAGAGAACAACGTGATATAAGGCTGGCTGTGAAGCGTATGAATAAATGATGATGAGACGACTGCCTCCATGACAGGACATTCTGTCAGTATTCATGCACTGCGTATCCATTCACAGTTTCAATGTCACATAACATAAACCCCTTGAAATTTGTTTTATGTTATGGGCTTTACTTCAAATATATGATGTGGTGGATGGGGCCAATGAAAGATTAGTTGTTTGGGGGTTTGTGTCCAGAGGAGAAAGCGCTCCGTGTAATCCAATTGCAAGAATATGGCAATCACTAAACGAATTCACTTGGGCGTTTGACCATAGCCATGATTTCTCTCAACAAATTGACGCTTGTACTTAACGCACGAGGGCATAGTCTGTTGTTTACTTTCACAAAACATGGCTGGAGCAAGCGAAGCTGGGAAGGAACAGGGGTAAAGATTACAGGTGGGGCAGAAGTCGCTTGGTCACCCAATCCTCTTTGATTCACGGAACCTGGAGTCCACGACGTCCTTCACCACAAACGACAATTTGTCCTCTTCCTCACCGCAATCCACTCTCGCCGATGCCACCCATACGGAGACGAGTTGTCACATCCCTGCGTCCATTATTATTGGGACCCAGAGCCAGTCTAGCCAAAATGCACATCACGGCTAGCTGCGCCTGCTGGGAAAAAGCAACCTGCAGCTACAGGGGTCGGACCGTGCGATTGACCGCAAAGACAGGGGGCGGCGAGCGGTGCGGATTGTGCGGGTTTGCTACGACGTGCAACAAACAGTCTGTACTTGCAGCGAAAGGAATTAAAGTTGCACGAAGATGACGATATCTGTTGACCGATCCTCATCTCTGGGTTTTGGGTCGATTTGGCGGGGTACCCGGGGTTTCACAACGTGCTGGGACTTTGACCACCTGGTGCCGAGACACTTGCAACTCGTAGTGTCCGTGATTCCGCCATCAGACACCTTATCAAGACGTTACATTTTGGAGGGTCTCTGTTGATTTCAAATTCTCGATATCGGAAGCTGGAAGTTTTTCTCCGAAAGTAATTCTTTACCGAGGAATGCTGCTAGGGGCATCTGATAGATTATCGTGCCACTGCTCTGAGACAAATGATAGCGCACCATGCGCTTGCAAAGTTGCGGTGAAGGATGGTAGCAAGTATTTGTCTTGGACGAAAAACAGGGTCATAGGAGACGCCCTACCACCTGCGTCAAGGCGTTGGATGCTCGGGGAATTCTGAGACGTTTGGTATCCAATGTTGACGTTCCAAGGCATCGGATAGAGTGGGCTCGAAGAATGACAACCAGGAAAAAAGTGTCTCTGCTGCGCAACACTAATTTTGGATATCGTAGTGGCGTATCTAAAAAGTGCATCTTGGGTAGGTTTGACACAGAATGCTATTTCGAGCAGCGCTGGCAGCTATGGAAAGACTATCTCAATCAATGTGTAATGCATTCCACAAAGCAGGCCAGCCGTTACCATCAATGTCATGCCCTGCATGGACACTTGGCAAGCGTCAGTACATGTTCGAATTAATTGGCCAATCCTGGGAGATCGTGGGCTTCGGGGTTTGTCTTCGGACCATTTATGTCCAAATATTCTGGTATCCACCTCAAGCTATCCACTCAGCAGTTGACAAACATATGCAAGCTAGTGGAAGTGGTGCGGCCTGCTGGGTCCACCCCCACCATTTCAATTTCGCGTTCATCTTATCTCATACGAGCAGATATTTGAAGGGTGTGTAAGATTTCTGCTGTGGAAGGCAACTGCCGATACACTGTCTAGGAGTGCTCCCAAAGGTCGCAATATTACTCGCTACCAGTGTACTGAGAACTATGCACGCATGAGAGAGAGGGGTTGATTCAGGGAACATATTTCGGTATATGTTGCGGTCTGTAACTTGACAGGATCTTCATTGGTTTCCAAGGATGAAGTCAAGCAGATGGGAACGATTTTTCGGACGAGCCGACGTAAAGGGTTCGAATCAAGCTTCATGCCCGTGTTACCTCCCATCTTACTTCTGAGGGTACCTTCCGACGCGTCACTTGCAAGAATCGGTGAAGAATGTCTCCTACTCGATTGGTCCCAGTCCGTCTCTAAACTTAGGTCACCTTATGGTATAGCCCTATTTGAGTCACTGTTGGGCAATAAACTTCTCAACCATGGTCGGAACAAGGCCGAGGCACTCTGGGCACTCAAAAGCAAAAGCACTATGCTAAGATTGGAATGTCTTTCGCCCTTTGGGCCGGCTTTCCAAACGTGTTTAGTGGGCGACGAGCCAATATGAACCTACCGTAATCTCCCTCCAAAGTGGGGTCTCGATTTGCACCGAGGGCCGGTCCATACCCTCGGGCGCTCTGGAGTGATTAGAGTGCTCTTGAGTGAACGGGTTGTACTTGGGTGAATGGGTGGCAATGCTGTGGAGCTGCATGGTGGTAGCAGTGGTAATTGGAACGGCCCGCCTTACCTTAGAAACTCAAATATAAGAGGCCACCCATGGGCAGAGGATTTCGCCCACGGGCAGTTTTCCTGCCACATACAATCCAAAATGCTCGAGCAATCTCTTCCAGAAGCATTTGTTCCCTCTGTGGAAAGAATGTTGACTGAATCCCGTTCTCATCTCAAAACACTTTGCAATAACCCAGTGCCCTATGCTCTGATACTGGTATGTTTTCCACTTTTAGAAAGACGCGTTTATGCTAAAAGCTGTCTAGGCATTGTGCATCTTGCTGGGTAGGATTGCGTACTTGAAATACTTCCACCCACTTGCAAGGTTCCCTGGTCCAAGCCTTGCACCGCTTTCAAATGTAAGCCATGTCAACATAGTATTATCGATAGGCGACGATACTTACACCATCACAGGGCTTCTGGTATTACACGATTCTGAGTGGAAGAGGACCATGGAAGAATCATAGCTGGCATCAGAGATGGGGTATGTTCATGTCCCAAGTTCCACTACCAAGCAACTCCTGTCGTTACACAAATAATCCCTGGAGACGGGCCGTTCCGTTATGTTGGACGGAACGGATCACCGCTGCACAGACATTAACGTGGCTCAGGACCGATCGTACGGATCGCACCCAACCACCTCAGCTTTGGCTCCCACGCGGCACAAAAGGCTATTTACGGTTTCGGCACTCGCACAGTGCCGTCTATGGTAAAGGATCCGATATTCTTCACTCCTGAAGTCGATCACTCGATGAATATCATAAACGAAACAGACCGAGAGGAACATTCGCGCATGCGACGCATGTTGAGCTTTGCTTTCAGCAACTCCAATCTTCTAGAGAATGAAGATGTTCTGGTGAGAAGGACCGATGAGTTTGTGAAGACCATTGGGACAATGCAAAGTCAACACGGCAAGCGAGGGTTCAACATCGTGCAGCAATTCAATTATGTAACGTTCAACATTATGGGTAGGTTGATCTCTAGCCCCTCCGAAAATTGCCATTAACGAAGGAATCAGGCGAGATGTCATTTGGGGATTCTTTTGATGCAAGACTCGCGGCACAGCCAGGCAAGTCCACCCGTCCAGCATCCTTGCGCCTTCATTTTTGCTGACGATCTTCCAGAACATCGATACCACTGGGCAGATGTCATTGTAAATACGACATACATGAACGATGTGATGCGAGCAGTTTGCGTTATTCCTGGATTGTTCTCATTCCTAGAGTGGTGGAAGACAGATCATATGAAGAAGACATTGTACAGGCATGCGGAATATGCGACCGAGCATACTGAAGCGTAAATATCGCTAACCCTCAAATCCAAAAGCAAATGCTAAATGATACTAGACGCCTGAAAATAAACACTCCTCGAAAAGATTTCACCTACCATATCCTCTCTTGCAAAGGACCTCGCCCTTCGACCCTCGAAATGGGCTCTCACTTCAACGTAATAATGATGGCGGGCGCAGTCACAACAGCAACATTCTTGGCAGGAGTTACATACTACCTCGGTCATAACAAAGTGGCTCTATCACGTCTGCAACACGAAATGAGAACGCGATTCAAGAGCTTGGATGAAATTACTTCTCGAGCGCTGATGGAATGCGAATATCTCAATGCTGTTGTTGAGGAAGGGCTGCGAATCTACCCTCCGGCTGGAGCAGGCCATCTTTCTCGGATCGTGCCAGCTGGCGGATGCGAGATTGAAGGGGAGTGGATTCCTGAGGGAGTAAGTATATGTCGGCTCAATATATTGAATTCTTCTGGATCGGGAATGAGAGCTAACAAAGTCAGACTCGAGTTTCGGTGCATTCCTGGTCCGTCCTCCGTGACCCTCTCAACTTCTGGAACCCAAGTGCTTTCATTCCAGAACGTTGGATGAAGAACGAGCCACAAGGCCAGGGAGGAGATAGACTTGAAACCAGTTTACCTTTCTCTTATGGACCCCGCGGATGTCTTGGAAAGAAGTAAGTTCACCCCACCCATAATTACTTTGTAGCTGTGCTAACAAGGGACAGTCTCGCGTATTTGGAAATGCGCATGGTTCTCGCGAAACTATTCTGGCAATACGACTTAGCTTGGTTTAACAGCGACGAAATTGTTTGGGAGAGGGATACCAAGGGATACACACTTTGGGAGAAGCCAGATTTGAGGGTCTTATTGAGAGATCACCACACCGGTGGGGTCTCCTCTATGCATCTGTAGCCAGGCTGGCCCGGTGCACTTCTCATCTCTATTGGGCCCGCATTCTAGGCGTTCATCATCTGTTTAGTCTGTTTTTGGATCATGGATCGAGTTCTCGATTTCAATTGGTGTGCTGGCGTTGGCACTGGTTGGAGGCTTTCGATTCTTACAGTTACATGCTGCCGGCGCAGGAAAAAGTTTGGTGAGCGAGAGGGTAATTGTAAATGTAAGTAAATATAAGAATACATTGATATATTAATAGGGATTTATTATTTTTGAATTTGAAATGTTCAGCAGAAAATCCAGATCCACTGCCGCCGATAAACCACATGTTCTTCGCACGTGACAGCCTGCCCATGTCGCGTTCAACGTTTGGAGACCTGCGACGTTCCACACATCAGCCTCAGCTCTCCACCCCCCAACCCAAAACTGACGCCCGAAGCTCTGAACCACGACCGCCGCAGATTCAATCGGCACATTTTGCTATATTTAAGTCGCTTCAGCTTCAGATATTATTGCCGCACAGCCTGCTCCACGACCTGAGAACGACCGCGTTCGACCAAGCAACAAATCATTAAGATCCACTGCCTCTCCAGCCCCCACCTCGCGCATCATCCTTCCCTACGGGGCACATCGTCCAAAGCCTGAATACTAGCATATCTGCGAGAGCCATACGAACACAGCATCACGAAACGGAAGTATGACGAGATTGGCGCTGCGGAAGCGGTTCACTTGCTTCCAGAAACTGCCGCTGGAAGTCAGGCTCCTGATATGGGAGGCAGCATTGCCGGGACCAAGACTTGTGAGCATATGCCAAAGACGACTACGGAAGACATTCCTAGATTACAAGGAGGAGAAGGGGTACGATTGGCCACCGATGCATGATACTGAATGGAATGAGGATGACGAGTTGAGCGAGGAGCAAGAGGAGGAGCGCAGAAATGCACGCAGAGATGTCTGTCTTGCGCTTGTCGACTGGTTCGATGTATACGACGACATGAATCTCTTCTGGCAAATGAACTTGCTGTGTATTGCCTCCAATTGCTCTCCTCCGAACATAACTTACGTCTGTCATGAGGCCTATCGGGTTGTTGCGAGATATTACACTAAAGCCTTTGCATACCCAGACACGCTCCCAGGAGCTTACATAAATCTCGATAACGATATACTCTACCTGCGCGAAGAAGACTTCTCCCTGATGTCGACATTTGAGGGGAGTTCATTGATATTACAAGGGCTGAAGGGCCATTTTGCCATCACAGATATAGAAAGTCTTGAGAGAGTTCGGAGCTTGGCAGTAAAAGTCAGTGAACGAAATCAGCCGCTGCCACAGGAGGATTTTTTGTGCAAACTGTTGGAAATCTTTAAAGGCGTCGAGGAAATCTCAATAGTGGCCAGAGACTATAATACCATGGTCATTCGGGACTACCCTCCAGATCCGGCAGGGCAGGAATGCCTCATCGATCCAGTAGATGCTTCTGGGGCGATCAGGGCATACTCTACTAGTAGACAACGTCTTCTAGCAGGATCCCTAGTAGAAGTCAATCTTCCGTTACACTGGAGTGCTGAGTGGCTGAAGCAATCAGCAGAGTTGGCCAAGCAGACATGGGAAGCTAGTCGAGAGCCTGCGTCATCCCGAAGATTTCCAAACATCCGAGTTGTAAATATCGTCCCTCAGCGTCTGAAACGGGATCTGGATCAAGCTAAAGCACTTTACGAGCAGGCTCTCGAGACCTACCGAATCAACGAAGCTATCCGCAAGAGCGAAGAGCTACATGCAGCTGGATTCTGTACTGATGATGCTCTTTCGGATGATGACTTCTAAGAGAACAAAGTTTCAAGCCCCCACACGCAATAGCTCATAACTCAGCCTTTAAAGGAGAATATTTGCCCTCGTTTTTCTCACCTGTTGAAGGATCTGACGAGATATCAACTTCTCTGATTCAACCGGGTAAACGGTTGAAGACTCTGTCTGGGCTACCTGTTCACCTGTTATACCGGAATTCCATGTCTTCGCAGGATAGTTATTCGATGTCCAAGAATTTCCAGTGCAGCTACCCGGATATGCCCATCCCGATGCTTCTCAGCAGAGTCTAGTAACAGAGCAAGAATCGCGATGATCACATCAGGCTGAAGCGAAGGTGGCCATTTGATTGCAGGGAACTTATCAGTTTGCTGCCCGTTAGAACAGCAACATGTTGCAAGTGCTCGAGCTGATACTGCAATTGAGAAAAGAGTGGATACTTGGAGAATGATCTTCGACATTTTGAAAAGGATGGGCGCTAAGATGGTGACGACACGGAGGGCAAGACAAGGTCAGATGGATATCAAGATCACAATTAAGGATCGAAGCAAGCGCGTTCTAGGGATGAGGAGGGTACATGTGCAATCGAGTGGTTCAAGTCCACAATATCGAGGTTCATCAGTAACTGATCGCTTTTGGTAAAATAATAGAAAGACTCGATATTGTAGCTTTGGACAATGTGGTGTTTGCACACTGCAACACTGACTCTGCCTCATCTGCATCGATAATTCCACCGAGTCCCTTTGCAGTAGCGTTTGTGATGCTTGCTTGATGGCTTACATTGCGAGCTGTACATTGGTGTTTTTCCAATTACACGTTTCTGGACTATTGCAGTCCTTGCGCTCAATCCGATTTCTCAAAGTCGAAGCAAGCACTCCAGCTGTTTGGTTGTCTCGATTTGTTAGACTTGCTGCATTCTACCCTATGCCAAGGGCGGTTTTCCTCCACAAATCCCACCAGCACCTCCTTGGTTTTGATTCTTAGCACTCTCCTTCGATTTATCAGCTCCAAAGGTTCAACATGTGTTGATGCCTGATTCTTTTGGGTTTGTTGATATCGAAAGCATTAGCGTAGCAGTCCCGGTTCTGTTGCGGGATGTGGGTTCGCTCAAGCGAGTCTGTTTGGGTTTCCACTTTGGGCCATCAACACAACCAGGCAAGCCTTCCGCCTTCTTCCCCCTTCCGCACCACAACGCAACCTCACCTCACCTTCAACACCGCAACCATCAATCCAAGGTCGATCTCCACGGCGACCTCGTCCTTTGCTGGACAGCATCATTCTCTTCACTGGTAACATCCATATGGTAACGGTCCAGCTTCTGTAGGCACGTACATCCGTGGCAATTGTGCGATTCCAAAGCATATCTCCACGATCCTCCTGCAACAGCTCCTCCACCTACAACACAGGAGATCTCTTCTTACAATTCTCAAATGTGAACTTAGCTGACTAGCCCAGGTAGAGGCCCGAACTCCAATTGTAATATCGCTGCCCCCTTACTCCCACTTCCGCTGTCAAGTCAAGCTGAACTCCTACCAGCAATCGCGCAGGAAGTTGGCTTAGCGCACGACAAAAAGGAATCAAGTTACAGTGGTGAGTGCCACCTTTGCCTCGGTGTTGCCCCCTCCAGTCCAATAGCTGTGGCTCGGCTGATTGCAAACATCATGCCTAGACCCGCATTGGTAAAAACTTGTTGGGTTTCATCAATCCTCGGCGTTGTCATGATACTGCCTCTTTCGGCAGCAAATCAGTATGGAAGACTTGCTGATTAGGCTTTAGATAGATCGGGTTTTCCAAGGAAAGCATTGCTTCAATCGTTCTGCGCGAATACCTCCGCATTTCACTGTTCATGTTCTGGCTAGTACCTTCCGATCGCTGTCGGTTGAGGGTTTAGAGCTCGTAATCTTGCAATGGCTCCCTCGAAACGTTCCAGGGATGCCCGAAACGTCCTCATCGATCACATCAAGAAAACCTACGAACATAACGCGTTTCCTGAGGAATGGAGAAACCTTCCTGAAGTTCCGTCTTCTGCAGAAATCAAGCCTGCCTACAAGGATCCTGTAATTGTGGAGGAGGAGCCAGAAGAATGGGACGCATACCAACAAGAAATTGTGTACAATGAAAAGCTCCCTCGTAATATTGTGGATGGTCCTTGGCCGTCCAAAGAAGCCTACATTGGCGCACACTACCAGCTTACCCGGGAAGATTCAAATGCTCCGCTACGAAATGCTGTTACCGAAGTTCAAGCCAATCCTTCAATGGACGATACTGGTGATACTTGTATCTACACAGGTGTAGGTTCTGTCCTGATATAGGTTTCATCAGCTCCACCCACTAACTTGGAATTGGTGCAGCTGACTTTCATCGGCATAACACTAAGCTGCAGAGGTGTCGCTTCTCGAGTCGAGTTCTCCTGCGAGCGTGCTGGAAAGCAGATCAGATGGGAACAGTCAAAACGCTTGCTTCAAGGAACTATTGTGGCTCTTACACCGGAGAGAGATATGTTCAAAACCATCTGCAAGGTAGCCATTGTCGCAGCACGAGCCATCAGGGGCGGTCTCGACCAAGATCCTCCTAGCATTGATATTTTCTGGGGAGATATCAAAGATATGGTCATTGATCCAGTAGAGAGTAAGTGAAATTGCACAATAATGTAGCCAGTGCTTGCTAACATGCTCTCAGAATATGTCATGGTGGAATCTCGACAGGGCTTTTTTGAGTCGTCTCGCCACACGATGGTTGCAATGCAGAAGCTCATGACTGAACCGTAAGTGACAGTTCCTTCTCGTGGCACCTCTCATGATGCCCTTCCGGTACCCAAAGAACCACAGCTTCCCGAGTGTTCGCCAGTCTCTGGCTGCTGAAGCATCCATGCTGATTTTTACAGGTTCTCTTTTGCTAGGGAACTGGTAGAGCTTGACTCCTCTCCAGAAGCCCCATCATACGTACAGCAGAATCCTTTCATGGACTTGAGATCTTTGGAGCGCAATATAGAGGAGGCACCAGAGCCCTTAACCTTGTCTAACGTGGATGTAACCCAAGACTTCCCGAAGAACATCAAGTGTGGAATGGACTTGTCGCAAATGAATGCCTGCAAAAACATGATAACCAAGCGATTGTCAATTGTTCAGGGTCCTCCAGGAACTGGCAAGACCTTTGTATCCATTTCGGCTCTGAAGGTCATGATTCAGAATTTGGGACCTGATGATCCTCCTATCATTGTCGCAGCTCAAACAAACCATGCCCTGGATCAATTGTTAAACCACATCCTGGACTTCGAAGCTGAGATCGTCAGACTAGGGGGTCGATCCGACAGAGCAAATACTGCCATCAGAGCACGCACATTATACGAATTACGTCAAACCAACGACTGTTCCAAAGTTAACCAGGGTTTATCAGCTGCTTATAAAGAGCTTGGAGGATTGTACTCAGAAGTAGTGGGCATACTGTCACCGCTATTAAATAACTCTGTCATCACAGCTGATACTCTTCTTGAGCTCAATATCATCACCAAATCGCAACGTCAGTCTTTGGAGGCGGGAGACTGGGCCGTCGAGCAGAGCGAGAACGATGTTGTTACTGAAGACCTTCAGGCCTGTAAGTCGAGTTTGCCAAGATGGCAGTCTGCCACTTTGGATTAGTACTAACTCATCGACCTAGGGCTCACCACTGCCCAGCTTATGGCTATTCCGCCAACACCATCCATCAATCTTGGATTTCCGCTGGAAGAAGGTGACATCGAATATGAGCAGCTTCAAGACCTCGCGGCTGAAATGGCGGACGCTGATGGCCCTGAGGAGCTGGATCGTGACTTCGGTCTTGACGGGCAATGGCTTGCCTTTCGCCGAAAAATGACTGGAAGACACAATACTCCCATAATCGATAGTACTATGCGAAGAAAGCTGAGCCGCTGCAAGGATCTGTTTGAGATTCCTGTAGCCGAACGTGGTCAGATGTACCGATATTTTGAGAAACAGGTGAACGGCATCATGATGCAGAAGCTGCAAGACTTTCTCCCGAAATATCAGCGATGCATTGAGAACTGGAATATCACTAAAGTAAGTTTTGAAACTCTGCTTTGAAGTTAAGCTAATCCTTGAAGTCCCTGTCAAATATCAAGCTTATGCAACAACTTGGCATCAAGGTGATTGGCTGCACAACAACCGGTCTTTCCAAGTATCGAGGATTTCTCTCGGCAATCGAGCCTCGAACTTTGCTCATTGAGGAGGCGGCTGAGACACTCGAGTCCAAAATTATCGCTGGCATGATGGAATCTCTGCAGCAGTTGATCCTTGTCGGCGATCACAAGCAATTACAAGCATCCTGCACAGTTCGGGCTTTGCAAGATGAGCCATATAACCTGAGCGTTTCAATGTTTGAACGATTGGTAAAGAACTCCATGCCATTCGTGATGCTCAATCACCAACGTCGTATGATCCCGGACGTCCGCAAACTTCTTTGTATTCCACCAAACCCCTTTTATAGAGATCTACACGATCATGAGAGCGTGTTAGACAGAGTAAACAACCGACCGCCTGTTCCAGGAATGGGAGGACTGGATACCTACTTCTTTTCGCACAACTGGATTGAATCTAGAACATTTGACGGTAGTTGCTTCAACATAGCTGAGGCCGACATGATTGCGGAGTTCTTCAGCTATCTTGTAGTCAACGGTGTTGAGTCGCCCAAGATCACTGTCCTTACATTCTACAACGGGCAGAGAAAGACCATCATCAAGCAGTTGAAGCGACATCCAAGTCTGGGAGACACAACGTACTTCAATGTGTTCACAGTCGACAGTTACCAAGGCGAGGAGAATGATATTATTCTACTGTCCATGGTTCGAAGCAACCAAAATATGGGTGTTGGATTCTTGGACAACAAGAACCGATTGGTGGTGGCACTGTCACGAGCTCGTCGTGGCCTGTACCTTTTTGGCAATTCAGTGACATTGACCGCAGGAGAAACAACAGAGCTGGCGTTCGGACGGGACGCGCTCTTCGACCCTTTTATCATCTTCATGAGAAATCAAGGTCGTTATGATATCGATGGAGGGTTGCCTGTCACTTGCGCAAGACACAACTCGGTGACCAGAATATATGATGCCGATGGTTGGGCAATGCTCGCTGGAGGATGCCAAAGGTCGTGCGAGGGCGGTATTCTGCCGTGCGGCCACACCTGCACCCTTCTATGCCACCCTTTCGGTCATTCCAGAGTCATCTGTAGGGAAGCTTGCACTAAGACTCTTCCCTGTGGTCATGGCTGCTCCCGCAATTGTGGGCAAGGTTGTGTCTGTGACCAGTGCCATGTTGCTGAGACTGGATTGATCTTTGTTCCTGACAACTTCGAGTATTGGGAGCCAGATCCATGTGATTCTCCTACTTCGAGCGGCAGTCCTACTAAAAGTGCCATAAAGAGCGGAGATCCACAAGGGCTTGATCATCGACAAGTCAGATTCGACGACGACGCCAATCCATTCACGGTCTCGGATGTACGTCACGATCTGCATTTGTCGAATAGTCGAGTGCAAACAAACGGTCGACCAATTCCGCCTCGCTCGAAGGCAATTACAAAGGGCCGCAGAGTTGTATCAGATCTTGCTACTGGATATTCTTCGACACACGGAAGTAGTTCTGGTAGATCGACGCCAAACAAATCTCATTCACAACGCTCAAAACGAAGCCACAGCCAACAGCCGCCTCTTCTTGTTGGATATAGGCGTGAGCCTGTTGTTGACAGAAACCACCCTGGTTTTAGGGACTGGCAGAATTACAACGCAAAGCAAGCCGACCAAGAGATCGATGAAAAGCAACGCATGGAAGCAGCCAAAGCTCCAAAGGTAGATCCATCTTCCATTATCATCAAGGAGACATTCCGGCCAGTAATTATCAAAAACGGCGTGAGAACCAAGGATCCATCGGGTCCTGTCCGCACTCTCATTCAACCTCGACGCTCAGAGAAATCTCAGGCTCCACGAGAATCTAGTCCTACTTCGACATCAACAAAGAATACCGACCTCACTATCCCCGATGCTTCCATTCAACAGCAGCGTTTGGAAATTGAAAAGTGTCTGGTTACACAGGTATTATCTTCCACGACAGCAGCAGGAAAGTCTGGGGACCTTAGTCGCCCTATGGATTCCGACGACCACAAACGTTTGGAGCTTGCAAAGTCTATGGCTCTCCAAGAAACCACATCCGTACCAAAGACTGATTTGGATCCAATTCCCCCGGAGAGCCCATCGGTTAGGCACAAAGCTGACGTCAACAAACGCAAAACGAAGAATACCGGGACACTGCAACAGAAGCAGGGAAACTCAAAGAGATGCCCACAGTCTCCACTCGTTAGCCCCAACCAGTCGAGTCCCGAATTTCCTCCAGCGGTAGTCGGCTCTGAAAAGAGTGGTACTCATGTTCTTGTTGATGATTTCGTACAGATTACAAACAAAGACGAAGAGAAGAGCCCCAATCTGACTACTATTGGACCCAAAATTCGAGACCTCCTCGACGACTCTGATTCTCCTCCACTTCACGTCGATTTCAATCCAGCTACTTTTCATCATCCTACTCAGGAGACTGCAGATCTTCTTGGTGATTTCTTTGGTCCTCTGAAAGCTCCGAAGCTTGAGAAACTCGACAAACTACATCCTGTTGCTATCACTGAACAACGCGGCCCATGGACCAGTGTTCTCTCTGATGAGAGTGAATCAGCGGCTGGCGGTGAAGCTGAGTGCATTAAGATCATTCCTGCATCAGTTGAGCGACTTGGTCAGCAATCTGACATTCTGTCAGTCTCCGATGATCTCGGCCGTCCACTTTCCAAGAACTCTGCGGCAGGCCGATCCATTGCGCAACCGGATAGTACAGAATCATCTCCAGCAGATTTCACTGAATTTTCTACAGTGGCAGCTGACTTGTCTTCTCGGACCCTCAAATCTGATCCTGAAGTCAATGTCAAGCATGGCGCGCTGCATAGCGGGGTCCTCCACGCTAATCATGTACAGAAACAATTCGACGATATCCTGATATGCCCGATCTCGAAGAAATGTGGAAAGCCACGCCAACATGTAGTTGTTACCTCGTTGGATGATGACAGCTCTAAACAGCAGGACGGTGGCCATGGTGTTGACCTTTTGCTGGATTTCGGAAGCGATCTCCAGGCTCGGCAATTGGCACCCCCAAAGAGCCTCATTGACGAGTCTGAAGATGTTCCTTCCATTTCATTTCCTGCCCACGCTGGCGGTTTGGACGGTGATGAAGATCTCATTGCTTTTTAGAGAGAGGTAGGAAGACGGACTTCTTGATAGTCCTGACTGCATCTCGCTTCTTCTCATTTTTCCAAGATGTGGTTGGCACTCTTTCCCAGGATCAAGCAGGATTTGTTATTGAGAATGGTTTGCTGCTTCGCGTCAGATGAGAATAAGATCAGATGTGTATGTTTCGACTCTTGTAATTTTAGTCCAGTTTGTGTCTGTACAGATCACTTATCTAAATTGGGATCCCACTGAGGATTACTAGATAAGGTCGGATCCCACTTCGAGATGAATTTCTGGGATGAACCCGACTTCTCATAATAGCTTGGTCACCACTACACAGGTTCAGACCAGAAGAACCGAGTGGGCTATGCAATCAATAGAATCATCTCGAGTTGATCAATACTTGCCTCTGCCTGTGCCTGTGGACATATCTTCCGAATCATGACAGGGCTTAAAAGATGGTACTACTGTGGACTGGTTGAGGTCGGCACTGGAAGAGAAGAAATGCAATGTATTAGCGCATTGCTCGCTTAGTGACGAATCAAGAATCCAGCTCAGCAGCCAGAACAAACACCGACGAGCTATTCCAAGATCCAAATCTCCAAACCTGTCTTCAGTATCCCTTCAAATGAGGCCAAATCTTATACCAAACACCTACTCCCTCTTGAAAAAGACATGAACTTCACCCACGCAGAAGACGATTCAAGCCCCCTTCACCACTCCAAGATCCTCACCCTCCCACACAGCCTCAACAACACTCATTCTGCACCCCTCCACTCTACTCGCTCCCAGGAACTTAAAGCCACCATCAACCTTGGCAAACAACTCTCTAAACTCCCCCTCTGTCCTCTCCTGCGCATTCAACAGCGTCAACATCACCAAATCCATGGTCCTAATGATCTTCTCATCCCACATCGACTCCGTCCCTGGCTCGGGTAAACAATGATCATTGATCAACACCTTCGCACCCTTCTTCAACGCGGGGATTAATTGCCTGAGCATATTGACAGCATACTTGTCAGAATGGTTATGTAGGATCCAGCGGTACAGATAGATATCTGCACCCTTGACGGGTTGCTCGGTGTGGAAATCGTGCGCTTGGAATGTGATTCTCGAGGCGAGATCATCGGATAGCTTTGGTGCTGAAGCGACCGTCTTGGGGAGATCTTGCACCACGAATTTCAAGTTAGGGTATCGCTCTGCGAGAGCGATGCATACGAATCCGTGGGATCCGCCAATGTCGACGATAGTAGCGCCCTTTGCATCCAGAGAAGCCCAATCGTAGTTATCAAGCAGATAGGACAGCTCATACCCCTCACCACCCGTCAACGACACCATCGCACCACCCATCCGCTTAGCCCTCAAAGGCGACTTCCCAAACGTGGCAAACATCGGCTCCACATCCGTAGTATTGTTCGCGAGACAGAAGCCCGTCTGGGTAGCTTCGCTGGCAGAGGGGTTGCGCTCGATGGCAGAGATGGTCTGCGATGCAGCGGACCACATGTCCTCTGTGCAGAAGCCGACCCAGTCGTTCATGGCGGGGTCGGTGGCGAGGACGCGCGAGGCGGCCGTGTGGGCTACGACGCCGGGGGAGACCTCGCGGAAGATGCGGTTGGTCATGGCGTGGCGGAGGAAGCGGCGGAGGTTGAGCTCGTCGAGGCCGGTGGTGGTGGCGAGTTGGGAGAAGGTTGCTGTGGAGTCGAGGGGGAAGGATTGTGCTATTTTTGGAGCTTGTCAGTACAATGTGATATGAGATATGAGAGATTCGAAATTGGATTGGCGTACCGATCTTGTAGTGGTAGATAGCCTGTAAGGAGAGAGAGTTGTTGTGCTTCGATTTGTTAGTGTCCGGATATCACTTGGGAGTGATGGATGAAAGTACTCACATCCCAAGCCATCCACCTCACACTTTCCGTAGGACCCGTAACCAAATCTCCCAACTCTTTCGTAGCTCTCACGATCTCCTCTCTCGCTCTCTTTGCTTCCGCGTCTAACTTAGGGAAGTTTAGAGGCGCATCTGGCTCGAATGATGGTGCCGGGAGTCCTTTTTCTTTCATGTACTTGTCCAACTTCTCTGTTTCTCGGGTAATGGTTGCGGCAAGCTCGATGAGCTTTGATGTTGAGGCCATGGTGGAGGTGGATGATGTTTCGTTGGAGAACAGTCTGGTTGCGGCGCTGAAGGTCCGGTTCTGTGTGGTGGAATTGTGGTTATTTCGAGATGTGCTCCTCAATCCAATACTTAATCGGTTCCCCGTAAGTAGTATTTGACTCAAGCTCTTCATTCCGACTCAGATCTCCAATATTTGAATGTGAAGGTAGTCCTTCTACAATTTCCCCTCAACCTTGTCAAACACAATTTTCAACGTTGTCGTACAATCCAATGTCTTGTGCCAAACACCAAACAATCCTCAGGTGACACGAAACCCCCAAATATGAACCCTGCGAAATAACGTTTTCCAAAATCCCAAGCCCGGGTTCCTGGGATCGAGCAAAGTCGCCGATCAGCGAGTGGAATGAACGGACCCTGCTCGTATGATCCCAATCCAGTGTGTTGGGTTCCTGTCAGCTCAGACAGCTTCCTGATCCTCTCCAGTTAACCAAGTGTTCCAGACGCTTTCAATTCGTTCGTTCCGTTCCGTTCCAATAAATGCACGTTTCCGTCTCCAGGGTACTCAGTCCAGTAACGTATAAACAAACAGCAATCGGACGCTGGATTTGAGAGGATCAAAAGTCCACGCAAACGAACAGCTAGCTGGATGGATAGTTAGGTATAAATGCTGGTTGATAATGAACGGAATGATGCAGAAAGATGCAGGATGATAAGAGAACAGACTTCAGATTAGGATATGGAGCTTGTGCGGGGCCTGGGGGCCCAGCAATTGATCTAGAAGGGGTTTACTTGTCCAATTGTAGGGCTCTCCCGGGCTTGGAATGGCAAGGTTTTTGGATTATCCCTGCCCTGTCATCTTTGTCTTTCTTGGGACACCTCACCTCACTTGGATCGCTTGATCGCTCGGGTAATGACTGTGCTGTACTCAACTTTACCCAGAGTTTCTGAGGTAGGTTTTGGAAAGATGAGCCGAAGGAATAGTAGAAATTGGTTTTGGAGGAGGTTTGGAGGAGGTCCGCATTGCGCTTGGTAGTTGGGATACCACAGATGATCCCCGAATATCTAAACTTTCTTCTCTGCTATGATTCTTCAGCGCGCGTCGCGTCCCGTCCCGTTTACTATTCCAAAATATGCTTTTTATGCAGCTAGCTGTCATACATCTGATGTGGAAGCCGAGGCTGCAATGAGAACCGGGTCAGCTTGCTGATCAAGGGACGACAAATAGAGATATTGTGGAGCGGTGGTAATTACTGTAAGATGGGTTGGAAAAACGTGTCAAGGAGTTGACAGGATATGTGGCCGTCCATCCCTTCTGCCCTTGTACAGTATCCCACAATTCCCAAGTAGACTCCAGACTAGCGTACAATACTTATTCTCGGCAGATGTCCGCGAAAAAGTAAACAACACAATTTAACGTAACCTACCGAGCCTACTACTACCTCACTGAATGAGCGTAACTGTAATTTGGAAATTTCAAGGCTCAAAACCTTTTGAAAATCCTCACAGCATGTACGCTCATTATTCAGTGACTCCCCCTATCCCTCATCCCACGTTCTCCCTCCCCTCCAGTACAGTACCTCATGTCGTGACCCCTTGGCACCTGCAGCACTCCCCGACTCCCCGACCCCCCTAAGCGTCCCGAACTGCGCCGCCGCCAGTAGTAGTAGACGGCTGTATGCTGCATCCTGACAAGCAGTGACAGCGGGTTGAAAAGCCTATGGGCGCGCGGGCTGGCTGTGCACTGTGCGCTGTGCAGTAGTAGGGGGGCGGTGGGGGTGGGTAGGATTTTTGCCTGTTCAGGGATGAGGTCCGTTCTTGGGCTGCATGGCTGTGCTTTAGCGTGTGCACAGTGCACAAAAATGCACTTGCAGGATGATACCTTTCTGTTTGAAAAGGGATGGGAGGCATCAATTGGTATTCTAGTTGGTATGAGATACTGATTTTCGAAAGTTTTGGAAACCGCGTGGAGATAGTTTTTTGATTTTTCCTTGTTTCTTGAGTTGGTGAGACAGGGCCGAGGCTTGGTGCGAGAATATATTACATCTCACATTTTCTGTTGTACTTGTCTCTGAATCGTCAACGTCATGATTGGGCGCCAGTGCAGGGGCGATTTGTGATTCTGGACCGGTTGAAGGACGATGTGACTCTCTTGCGAGGTGTGGACTGTGGATATAATGTGGTGTTGGAATTGTGACTTGGATGTGAAGGAGTTGGGGATTGAGAATTGGGAATGTGAGCTGGGTTGAGACTTCGAGTGGAAGAGGAGAGGAGAGGAGAGCCCCGTCCACCCTTCTTGCTCCCCAAGAGTAAGTATGGCTGAGTAGGAGGAACAGGAAGAATGTTAGACGAGAGTAAGAATTAGAAATTGACCCTGTTAGGGAAGGAACGTTTGGGCCCGACATAAGGGAAAGCATGGGAATTGGATAGGGTTCAGATATAAGCAAGCAAGGGATAGATAGCCGACACGTGGAACACTATTGGATTCTTTCGAAGTGCATTTGTTGCTTCTCCAATCCCGATTATTTTCAAGAGGGATCCCCTTATCCAAAGACCGTGATCTAGATGACCAGATCGGACTGTGTAACCTTCCTGATTGATCATCCATCCAACTCAATCCAACTCAATTCCAACGACAGCCTATTCATCTTGAGTCGTGTGTTGGTATCTGTTGGAAATATGCTCCTTCTCGCACTCGTTGCCTGGCTATGTATCAAATCATATGCGTCTCCAACCTTGGATCGTCCATTACTTGTATGGCCCCTCGCTGAAAATGCCAGACCTAATCCGTCCCAAATCTTGTATATGCCAGACTCCTTCCTATGCAACCCATGAACAGCAAGGAGGGGAACCAACAAGCCTCTCCACAATCCTTAGATTCGTCCGAACTTTCGATCCGATCAAGGGCGCTAATCACGTAGCGTGTGGCGCCCTATCTCCGTTATCTGGCTTCTGCCCGCAGATGATGTGTAACGGCATGTGCGAATGCACCCAAGCATCCATATACGCCTTCCTAACCTCAACCAACCAGAGCTCAACCTGCTCTTTCGACCACTTTAGGCCTCTCGTCATGGGACCCAGCGCAATCGGCTGTAATCCATCCATTAAGACAGTCCTCCAGTATAAGCCCACCATTTTGAGGACTTTGTTCTTGGGCCACGTTCCGATCGGGACGTGGAAGATCCGGGTAGAGACGTTCACGAAACCGGCTTCTCGCATCATGTCTTCCAGGAGGAGGGTTGCGTTGAAGTTTACTCCAAGGTTGGCGAGTGCGTCGTGAATGAGAACCCAGTATTGGGAGACGGGGTGGTTGGGTGGCATGGAGCCGTCGTGGCAGTATGGGTGGTGGTGTATTTCTTGCATTTCCATCCAGCCGCCTGGTTTTAGATGTCTGGGAATTGTTAGCATTTCCCACTACTTCCTAACAGATATACATACTCCAGCGCTCTCTTCATCAACAATGGCCAGTCTCGGATTGCCATGACAGTATGCCGTGAATGTATATAGTCGTAGTAATTTGGAGGCTTCAACCATGGCGATTCCACGTCATCTACCATGAATCTGACGTTTGGAGGAACCCAGTCGGGTTGTATTGGACTTAAATCGACACCGAGGATATTTGCGCTGGGATACATGTCACCCACTGGAGAAACCAATGTTAGCACTCTCCTGTCCTTCAATTCCTTGTGGTATTTTGGGAAACCAACTTTCTATCGCCCATATTCCTGTTCCTGTCCCCATATCGAGCACATTCCCTGGATACTCCCCAAGCGGTGCAAAGTGTAACCGGCCTCCTAATAAATTGACCATCATCGCATGCTTCATGTCCTCTCTATCCTGTTCGCTAGGATCATTGGGAAAGTTATATGACCCCTCCCTGAACTTGTGGTATCTCCTTCCATTCTCAAATGCAAAATCCCTTACGCTGCTGGATATTGATGTAGATGCGGAATACATTGAGTCTGTTTCGTACCCCGCGTCCGACGCTGAATCTGATGTTGTGTCCGACCCATTGTCTATCTCGATTTCGGCCTGTGCTTGTTCTACCGCTGCTTGTGCGGCTGCATCGTGTGCTTCCGCAAGCGCTCGTTCTTGAGCTGAGAGCTCTATTTCCTGCGGTGTCGTTTGTAGTGTGGAATTTTCAAGAGAGGTCGAGCTTGCTGGTTGTGAAAGCAGGCTTTCGATGGGAATCCTCGAGGGAACCGCTGTTGGAAGGGGAGGGGAAGCCATGGCTCCTTTCGGTTCTGTTTAATTGTTCTGTAGTTCAAGGCGCAACGAGTATGCGCATCAGCGAGTGTCGGGACTTGCGCTTTGAGCAACGAGGGACGAATCCCTGAGTGGGTATGGGCTGTGGAGGACGAGATTCGGCAACATCCGTAGGTTTCGCTTTATGCTTGCTTTTCGTTCGGAATGGTGCTCTTCTGGAAAGTATTCCTATCGATTCGCCCCAATAGCCACTTCAAGTTAAACTGCAAGTCGTCGTCAATTCCCATCACCAGCAGGCCGGCTTCGACAGATCAGTAGGTTGTCGCAGGTCAAGTTCGGTGTTCGAGCGATAGGTAGGAAGGGAATTGTAGTCGGGGAGGAGATGTGGGAGATATTAATGGAATTGAGCATGGGTGTGTCCAGGCCTCTCACATACGAGCTATCACAATCAAATCTGATGCCCTCGATGTGGGCTAAACTGAGGGCGGCGACGGGTTCGCACTCATCCGAATGGCTGCGCAGGTCTGGTCCTCTGGCGTTGGGGGCTTGTAAGGCGCATCGTCACTCGTCAATGTGTTGGGAGTCCAGGGCTGGCCTGAGTGGGCACGGCAGCACTCACTGCATTCCCACGCGTGCCCTAGGACACAAGTACCGTGGTTTCCGCTGATGGTCGCCGTTTTACAGGCATTAGAGCCCTCGGAGTGTGCTGTAGCTCGCTCCACCAGGGTTGTTAGCTGCGAATCAACCGCCGTGGCTCATGGGCTTCCTTGAAAGCTTGATGGGGCTCCTAGGTGCCTCGTGAACTCTGTCGTTCGGTGGTCGCTCACGTCACGGCAAAGAGTTGTCCAGCTTGAGCAGAAGAACACTCCTCCAAGAGCACAGTCTGTAGTCGTATAGGGTATCGTGGCAGTGAGCCAGCCGCAAGTAAACAGGCTGCTGAACATTGGGTGCTGGGTCTTTGTAGGCAAAAGAAATGGGTGTCGGCATCCCTTGACAAATAACCTCGGATGCCCCGCTGGATGCTACCTCCCCACGGCGGAAGAGAATCTCTACGGAGGTACAGCGGTTAAGTGTTGTCCCCGGTCGTTTTAGTGTCACAACTTCTCCCTTACAAAATAACCACAACAATAGGAAAAAGCTACAAAAAACTATTCCGCTATATTTCCCTTGTCTTCAAGAGTATTCTGAACTTTTTTTTATGAATTTAGTTTCAGAATTGCTTCAATTCTAGGATATCAAAATCCGCGTCCAGGGGATCCCCCTATCGACAGGGGACAACACTTAACCGCTGTACCTCCGTAGATCCCGGGTGGGAGGCGAAGAGAATCTGAAATTTGTGAACAGGATGATATTGTACTACTGCCATGCGGTGTGGTGGTACTGCATCGGACTGAAGACCTGAGATGGGAAGCATGAGTGTGATGCAACAATAATGCAGGGCGAGATCTCGAGTTCCGAATGAAGAATGTCATAATGCCAAGTAACCACGTGATCAGGAACTATTTTGGCACTCACTGCATGCTGTTGCTTCTTTATTCACGACTGAGACCAATTGAGAAGCTTTAGCAAGCTGGGATGTTTGTCGGAAGGTCAAAGCAGGATGGATCTGATGATGGCTACGCAGCGTTGAGCGCTCTTGTCAAGGTCAGCTGATCAGCCCTAATTTTTGGCGGGCCTTCCATTCCATTGTGTTTGTTTTCTTCGTCTTCGGCTCCGGCTCCGGCTCCGGCTGGAAACCTCGATAGAAGCAGGAGCTTTCAAAACTTTATTTTGAAGTCAATGGATGAGTGTATTGGGATTGCTTTTGGATTTCGTTTGACCACTTTCTTCGTGGTAACCGTCCGAATTCGCCTCCAACAAACAAAGTCTTCTTTCCGCTCAACACCCTCTACGCGCAAGGCTCTCTATAGCCTCATATCCCAACGCACACCACCACTGGCCAACGATGTAGAGAGGACATTTCCTGGATTTTGGTCGTCGCAAGTCTCTCCACGGCTCACGGACTCTGGAGACATGGGCTTTCGTCCTTGTCCTCGCGTCCAGAAATGACTCGAGTCGCCTCCTCCGATTCTGCCAACTTATGTCTTTGTCTCTGACTCTCCCCGAAGTGGATAGCTCTGCCTGCAAGCCACTGAGTTAACGGAGTCGTTCAAGTCTGGCAGAAACGAGATTTGGATTTTACCGATGGAATAAATCAGCGTCCGAAACGGTGGCGAAGAGGGCGAGAAAAGCTCTATCCGTATGTCAACCAGGTTTGGAAGTTCTGACGAGCATAGAAGGGATGTAATTCGTCTTCGAAGTCTTCCTGTGGTCCTCGAAATCTCGTCAAGTATCGTGAAGAAGCTTCATCGAACAAACATCGCGCGTGACCCGAATGGCCTCAAAGAATGGCGATTCGGTAGACGATTGGAAGACGGAAACAATGAATGGCGCCTCAGCCTTCATTGACTGGGGTGACATTCTACCACGTCATTTTGATTTCAGCTCGTGAACGGTTGAAGTAAGGCCGAACCTGACAGCACCGGAGGTCTCTCGACCACCTACCACGATAGTGGGGATCCAGATTCTGGGGATGGTTGGGAGAGTAGTACTGGTTGTAATCATGTCTAGATAACAGCTCTGGAACCCGGGAGCGTCTTTCGAGGGTCTCGACTCGGCGGAGGGATTCTCTGCTATTATGCCCGTGATGATAGGTTTGCAACATGAGAGGAAACACCCGATGACGTTTGACTAAATTCCTGGAAATCTCGTCAGTTATTGTAACTTTCAATCAACCAGCGTAGGGCTTTCAAACTGAAACTATTGGATCACACTTATTGGGATTGACCTTCGAAGTTTGACTCCTCCGAATTGTTTTCTTGCTGACCGGTACGTGCCCAAGGCGACCTTCAGCAATTTGCTGCTCCTTTCGGATCGCCGTGGTAATAATCATATTGGATATTCTTGCTGACTATATTTAATGAATCAACCCGTTGAATCCGGGGGATCATTCATCGGTAGATCTAGAATTTCAGGATATTCCCTGCGTGTTCGCGTTTTTTAGGAGTAGGAGGCAGACTTGGGTGAGTACCGTTTAAGCGAGAAGGTTAATTTGCCTACATTTCGGACATATGTCCCAAGTAGGTAAGCAAATCGTCGGGCCCTATCGCGTTCTCGGCTTCCCAAGCATCCTGTTGGTCTGCTCGTGGAACTTGAATCTTTAGCTGTGTAGCATGATAAAATCTGTAATTGAAGTGAGCATTTGACAGCAGTTTAAAGTTCTGATTCTAGTGCGGCGCAGATAAGGCGAAAGCTGATGCCTATTTCGAGTTGTTGAGAGGGGGGAATGGAGAATATTTATCGGGTCGACAGCCCTGCGAGTGGAAAGAGACATATGTGGACGAACATCTGACATTCAGCATAAAAGATCAGAAGTCAGCAAACTTGTGGGCCTTTGGAATAACAAACTTAAAACCGTTCTCTTCCTCCATATCTTAAAGAGACTCAACCTTGTGTTGCGACGCCACACCGTCCTTGCTGTCTCACTGCTTCTGTCACAATGGTTTACTGCGGGAAGCCATCAAAAGGGTGCGCAGCTTGTAGAAAGAGACGAATCCGAGTAAGTAAAATCCAACAGATATTTATTTATAATTTGTCTGGTACTTTTGTATGGTTCGAACAGCCAGACAGACGGCGTAGAGCTTCGGCACTCGTATATCCCGGACGACCATTGGTCGTTCCTCCGCGGCTGTTCCCTAAAGAGAAACATTGCTGATTTGGGACACCAGTGCGACCAAGCGATACCTTCTTGCGGACAATGCAAGAAAGCGAATAAAGAATGCCATGGCTATCGGAATCTCGTCGATCTGTCATTCCGGAATGAGAACAGCAGTGTAATCGAGAAGGTACATGCAAAACGTCGGCAGAGCTCGATACCGTTGTGTGAGAGGAAGGCAAACAGGACATCCACTTCGTCGCCGAAAACATACCAATGGAATGTCACAACGGTGGCATCACCACCACCACCCAAATCAGAATGCTCCACTTTTATCGATCATTTCAGCTGTCAGAGTTCCCAAGATACACAGTGCACTGCGCCTCTGTCAACCTTCTCAATGGATCCCAGCCTGGAGGATTGGGGTTCGAGCTACTTTGCTTCAATGTTCATTAAAACTCCAGGCGGACCAATTCAAGGATCTTTTGTAAGTCAGATACTGCAAAAAAATACTGTCGAAATTTTGGCTTTACCTCTTCGAGGCTCTTCGAGGAGATCTTGTCAGGCCATTGCTGATTTGTTCTTTCTTTCCAGTCTACATTATACGAGACAAAACAAGTCCATGGTGAGTGCAAATTGTCTTGGCACAGAATATTCCTTTCATGAGCAAGCAACCAAAGACCTCAGAGATACCCATCACAACTTCCGATCTCTCACTGACCCTGACTCTCTATCAAATAGGCTCTCTGGACGACATACTGATTACCGGCATGACCGCTACTGGTCTCGCTGCATTTGCAAATAAGATCAAGTCTCCGGAACTGATGAGGCATGCGAGGAGCAAGTACGCTCTTGCCTTGCGGACGATTAATGCAGCTCTCGGGTCACATATTGATGCCATGAAAGACAGCACTCTCCAAGCAGTCCTATTGATTGCGATGTGGAAAACCACTGCAGGATCCCAGCAGCGTACATTCACAAAATATCCCTGTATTACAAATCTCCTAGCTGACAGCCATGTAGAACTACTGGAGGAATGGAGACATCATATGCACGGTACTGCTGCACTCCTGAAGTTACGGGGTCGAGCTCAGCTGCAATCTCCTACCAGCTTCAAGTTATTCATGCACGCAAGCACCCAGGTTATCCTCGGTTGCTATCATAGAGACGTCCCAATATCACCAGAGATACTCGAATTGCGTCAAGAAGCATTTTCCATGACGGGGGATGATCCATTCTGGAAACATCTCAAAGCTGTTGATGATTTCACGTGAGTGGAGCTACCCAAAAAGCATTCCCAAGATCGAAATCGCTGATACAAGCTATCATGCTTCAGGAATTTCCGCAGTCTGATTCGTTCCGGCTATCTGCACGACCCAGAAACTATCATAACTTCTGCTCTACTCATCGACCGCGAACTCTCCTCAATCTTCTCTCAAGTCCCAGCAGATTGGATCTATGAGACCACTCTCACAGACACTGACCAAGACATTGTGTTTGAGAGAAGCTACGACATCTATCATGATTACTGCGTCGCCCAAGTCTGGAATATTATGCGAACAGCACGAATCATCCTCAACGAAACGATCTGTCTACAGCTCACGCACCTCGACGCCTCTTGGCCTGGTTTCGAGTCGCAATTCCAGATTTCGGCAGATATCTGTGGTCAAATGTGTGGTGCGATATTAAGAAGTGTGCCACAGCATTTAGGTTTTGTGACACGCATGCCATTCCAAGACACTTCGCTGTCTTCGTCGAGCAAGTTCTCAGAAAGTCCCCTCGATATGAACAACGCACACCCGGTCATCATAAGTACCTGGTTCCTCCTCTGGCCGCTCTATACAGCTGCTGCAGCCAGCTCGGCGTCTGTCGAGATGCAATATTATGCCATTTCAATATTTGATCGCATCGGGGGGCTTACGGGGGTCCAGCAGGCGGCTGTGCTTGCGTCTTTGATCAGGCAACGGGTTGAGGATTCTTGTGGGAGGATAACAGATCCTTGGATGAGCTGGATGAGCGTAGGGAGCAGGGATCATGAGGAGTCAGTAGCCTTGCAGGATGGAGTGCAGACCGACACTGAATTCTCCTTGAAGTGTATGCTTGAAGCAGGCATGGAATTGCATATATCGTTGGTTCCATAGAGCAATCAATGATTTAGAGCATTTTCAGGCAACTTTGTGCGTGTTAATGATTGTGGTTTAGTGGTTCAATCCTGTGACGCTCTCTTTTCACCGCCCTTTTTCCAAAGCTTACTCCTTTCTGACCTATCCCACACTAACCAAGTTCCACCAAAACGAACAACCCAGTCAACCATCTGCTATCGTTACCACACCGTTTGAATTTATGCCTTGTTGGCATTGATCCAAGAAACATAGTTTCCTATTCTGGTGTATACACCAGCATAAGCAGCCTGGGCACATCCGTTACCCCAGCTAACAGTACCAGCCAGAACACCAGTGCTGGTGATGGTGATTGGTCCACCAGAGTCGCCAGAGCAGGAGTCCTTGCCTGAAGCGGCAGCACAGAACATGTTGTCGGTGATGGCTGAGGTGCCGTATTGGGAGCGGCAAGTGGCGCGGGAGACGACTGGGACAGAGACGTAGCGGAGGGAAGAGGGGAGGGTGGTTCCGGACTCAGATGTCAAGCCCCTGTGAGAGTTGCAGCTTAGCGAAATGTTTTCCGGAGAAAGTAAACAGCGAGGGGAGAACAAAAATACAAATTAGAATGAGGCCTTACCATCCGGAAACTGTAGTGCTCACACCAGCTGCTGGGTCTGATCCTTGAGCAGGGAGAGTTGCGTAGCCGATGTTGCCGCCGGCTGTGAGGGGACTGGCTAGTTGCCAGATTGCTACGTCGTTGTTGACGGTTCTGGAGTTGTAGCTTGGGTGAACGATGATCTTGGAGACCTTGACGAGGGTTCCGCCTGAGGCATAGGTCTTTACGTCATGTTAGTATAAAAGCATTCCATTGACTGGTAAGCCATTAACATGGTGAGCTACTTACAAGAGATCCGGCTCGAACAGTAACAGCGGATGCTGGATAGTCGACTGAGCAGTGGGCAGCAGTTAGGACAGTGTTGGCATTGATCAGGACGCCACCGCAGAACAAAGAGCTGCCACGGAGGAGAGCGACCTGGTAGGGGAATTGGCCAGCGACGGCTGCGGATCCTCCAACGACTATGGAGTTGTTAGTATGAGAGTTGCTGATATGGTATCAACATATTTGCATATTGATCATGGCATATATACTCGCTTGAGAGAGAGAAAGGTGGGGAGGGGGGAGGGGGGGTTTCGGAGTCAACATTAAGCGAGGGTGTGAAGTAATAATTCTTTACATACTATCAGCACCGTTGTCGGTGTCAGTGTGAATCTGAGGCTCCGGAATCGCTGCTGCCGTTGTCAAAGCTGGGAGAATCGCAAGCGCGAGGGCGGCAAGGAATTGAGTGGAAACCATGGTGACGAGTGGAGGATAGCAGATTGGCTGGCCCGGAGTTCTTTGGAAAAGAGAGGAATGAGTTGAGTTGATGGATTGTAGACTGATTCTGATCGATGGGCGGGCGTAGAGGGCTTTATGTACAAATTCTGTCAAGTCACAGTGGACTTCTTCTTGTTCATTCGATCTGCTCGTTGCAATCTCTCAGCTTTGCGAACTTCCAATCTAAGACTCCTATCCGAGGCACAACATTGGAACAGTCAACACTTGACTCGAATGTACCGGACAATGAACTTGAAAAGGAAGTTGTGAAAACGATAGGTTGACTGAGTTGCATATGTTCTTATCATCTAGTCTCTTGGCGAGCGTTACGAGCTTGGTGTTGAAGTTAACTACCCGTTAGGAAGATCTCTGCCTTTTGAGGATGGCTCTTGTTGACGGTCCTGAAGTGTGAGGAGTATTAGAGCACCAACCATCCATTATCCAGAGCCCTTTTCCTCTTTCGTCAGGGCAAACCTATCCTATCAGAAGGCTATTTGTACTTTAAGTGTTCGATACAGTTATGGAGATTCAGGCACAGACTTTTTTTACAGACTAGCGGGCCCTTACTCGTGAGGCGTGGTGTCGAATCGTTTGCAACCTAGGGGTTTCGTCTCCGCACCTGTTAGATGTGTTGACATCGGTGGACAAGGCTGGTTGCAGGCCATAATGCCGAGTCGGGTGGCATCCACCATGATTATGAGAGTGCGCGTGCGAATAATGTGCGCAATTGGTGGTTTTTGGAGCAACCCGATTCTCTCACGTACTTGCAGTTCGATGTGTCTCAAGGAAACTGAGGGCACAAGATTAACACGGAGCTCGCCGATCAGGCAACTGGAAACAAGATCCTGGCCAATCTTCGACTTTAGCGAGAGGTACATCAACACATCGAGACAAGCATTTGCTGCACGCGCCGGCATCAGTCTTCGCGTGTGACTGCCGAGCTCCACCACAGGTATTTCGTGCAGCTTGGAGGACGCACAAGATCCGAATTGAGATCGGCTTGTTATGAAATAGGAAGGAGGGGTTAGCCGTGAATCTTCAATCCTTATCAGATCCCATGATTGGGGGGATTTCAAGGAGAATATGCACGGGTGGCTAGGATTAAAGTTTGCAGATCCCCCGATCTCACCTCGCTATTTAATAGGTTCTGGCAGATTGTTGTCACCTTCCTGATTTATGGTCGTCCACTATGGTGTGCTCATGGGATATCATTGTGAATGACCATACCTACTCTTCGGACTTTTGAATCGCAGCCTGTGAACGTGACGGTAATTCAGCTGTCTATCTAGCCGCTGATTTTAAGCACTGATACTTCAGTGGGCTTCTGTCTTGCTCAACGGTATAACATTTCAATCTGGGTTGAGGATCAGAAAATAGGAGACTAATAAATAAGGGCATGCTTTCATGGCTCTTCCGATGACAAGCGTTCCCACTGAAACCGTCACTTCTGCACCACTTTCTTAAATTTGTTATCACATGAGAGTACGACAACGTCTTTACTTGCCAGCTTTACCCCGCTTCTTTTCTTGGCTTCCATCCTTCTAGGCTTTTTATAGTTCTTCATTCTCTTGGTTTCTGCTCTTTGCATGAAAGCCGAATTTCCCTTATCTTCTCAAAGGCTTTTAAGCACAACAATTCGTAACCACGACTTCTGCTTGGTATAGCTCGGGAACTGGAGTTCATTACGGATTCTTATTGCTTTGTCACATGCGTTTCTTCGGGATATCGACTTTCACGTAATTGGAAGGGTGGTATCGAGCTGAGTGATTTGCGAGAGCCATGTGCGTGTTTTGAGATATCTTTTTATGTTATCCTCTACTCACAGAAGAAGAGACTAGTAAACAAGAACCCCCAGCTCTGCCATCCACGACACCCTCTGCCATGCGACATATCCGGATTCAAATGCCCCACGCTTTTCACTTCTTGTCACTCTCCAGCTTCTCTGCTCTAAATTTCTCCTCTATAGAGCTTATATTCTTTTTCTCTCGTCTTTTCTCGCCTCCCTCATGCGCCTCTCCAATCCGTTAACGCTCGTAGATGTCTTTCTTCCGTTCTGCAGCGTTTGCAGCTTCGTCTCCGCGTTTTACAGACCCGTATTGTAGTACTATTCCGTCCTGAGCTTCTATTGCCGTGATTAGAATAGTCTGTGAATGTCTGAGATGAAGGCACCTACTGAGCTGATTCACCGGTATGCAACGTGGAGTCCCAATTTCTAGGTTTAGGATCAGCGCTACTCCAATGGGTTCATCTATCTCATATGGTGCATTCAAAAGTTACTCCTGGCTACAAACGATGGTTTGGAATCCACCGGTGCGGTTAATTCTGGACGCTCGGAGCATAGATTGAATCAACTACGCATAAAATGCATAGCTATTTTGTAAGACGTCTTTTCAACCATCTGAGTACATAAAGTTACAACATTTGGACGTGAAACTGTCCTTCCTGCCGTATCTCACATAACGCTACAGCAACCAACAGACTTTATTGGTGCATTTCCTTCCGAAAGTTCATTTCCCTGCCTCCTTCCATTGGTTTTATTCGTTTCCTTCTTCCAAGTATTCCAATGAGATTCCGCCACACCTTCTGGTACCGAGCGCCATTTGTGGGTTTGCAGTAAAATATTACTGTGGAGTGTACATGTGAGTTGAGAGGGATTTCAAGTACGAAAATTGGTTTGGGCTTGATTGTTCAAGGCTTACTCTTTGTATTCCTCCTTCCCCTTTGATTGACTGCTCATGATGATAGATTGAGTTGTGTTTTGATCTTGTTTGGAGTAGCATTGACACGAAATTCGCGTTCTGGGAGGTGTTTTATAGGAATAATGTTTCTTTGTGATGCAGCTAAGCGAGCCACTGTGTCTTTTCTTTCATGCTGGTGGGGTTGCATGGCCTTTGCACCATGAATAGATCTGATTGAAAAAATCAAAGAGCGTAGGGCAATAATATTATTTATAGTTTTGAGACCATGTGCTCGATCTTTTCCGTGAATGGGTAGTCGCCCAAAGACCCCAGCGAAAGCTTTGGGTGGGGTTGAATCACAGCCGAAGGACACTGAAAGAAAGCCCATCTTCTACGCAAAATGAGACGTCTTTCTCAGGAAAAGACTGTGTTTTGTCTACCTTAATCTAAAATTAGTTCAAGGAGTGTGGAGCTGCTTGTAAACTCTGAAATCGGGCATCGGCACGGGTAGGAACGCGAACAAGCGAGACCTGGCTCTTGCAAGTCAACAAATTGGGATCAAGATGAGCAGGACGCAGACTCTGGAGTTATATTTCACTCGTAGACTATCAAGTAACATACATATGAAACCTGACATTTGGAAATCAAGAGGGTGTGTTGCTCCCCAAACTGCCCACCTTGCACCTTCCCGTTTCCATGAATTCTGGTCAAGCGTCCAGATTTTCTCACCGTGCCTTCCGCAACATCGTTCCGCGACTGCCTCATGACCAATCGCAACTTCCTCAACAGCCATATAATCTTCTACCCCGTTTCTTCTCATATCTCCCCTATTCTTCCTCCTCCCGCTCAATCGTCGTCATCAACCTCCCATCGACCTCCTCCTGCTCCTCATCCTCCACCTCCTCGAACATCTGAACTCTTCTGCCCCCTTCAATTCTCAAACAATTTCCCCTCTCAGCAGCCACACCAGCCTTGCATCGTCTCTTCTACCTCCTGCACCCTATGGCGCCTATCCACCTTTGAGAGTTGAGGTCTCCACCTCCGCCCGCTGATGAAGGAGCCCCACGTCCCTGAAGCTCCTCTCTTCAAAGCATGCCCAGACAGCTGTCAGTGTAGACCATACTGCGACGATGGATGTGCGATGTTCCTCGAGATATGGTGCTGCTGAGAGTTTCTTGCTGCGATTTTGTTTGAGAGCAGACTCGTCGGAAATTTTACTTCTTTTTTGTTGGCAATTGGTGGTAGCAGAGGATGAAGCGGCGACGCAACTGACTGACTTGGTTACTCTGTCATGATGGCCGCTATTTCAAGCTCGAAGCCATGGGACGGCACATGGGTAACTTGTTGGTGAGCATCTCCATCTTCGTGTTGCCTCGCGGACCAAGCCCTGTCTCACGACATCGCCCTAGACTTGGTGGCATTTTAGATCATCTCCATCGCGCACAGATATACTCCAAGTGTTGTACTCTGGCATTAACGTGAAGTTCACAGGCCCCTGTCTAGGTACGCATCTTTCGACATCAGTTGTCCTTGCCGGTTTCCTTCGGTTTTATTCAATGCCTCCATGGTCTGTTTTGTTGTTATTCTCGCTTCCTTGCCGAATTAGCTCCGCTGGTTGACCTTTTATCTTTCAAGTATTCGCTTTGGATCAGTACTTGTTAAGCTTCTCAATGCTCTGCCATTCTTGGGTAACCCACACTCGTTCTTGTGGACTACATTCTCCAAGACTGGTCTCCAGGTACTTTACAGGTATTATGTTGTCAGCAACGCGAGAAGAACTTAAGCATTCAAGTGATTATCTTCTCGCCAGGGAAATGATCCTTAACTTGGGGCTTTAGACAAATGCTGATATCTATTTTGTCTAATTCTATGCCGTAAAGTTCTGCATCATAGTATTTCTATGTGGAGGGGAGTTACCTACCGCCTTTGTTCCCTCCCTTGCCACCGCCACTTTTCCCCTTTGTCTTCCCACCCTTGCTGGCGGCTGCAGCGGCTCCACCCGCCATCATTACCCTCACTTTTCCGACAAATACAGTGTTGGTAACCTCCTCTACTTTCCAACCTTTTAATAGCTCTACCTCCCGAGGCCACATTCTTTCAGGATCCGAACTCGTCTCATCCAATTTCCCCTTGACAGTCATATCGCCAACCCAGCGAGTCATGATTTCTCTTATTGCCTTTCCTTTCTTCTGAGTGCCTGGTTGCAGCTTCACCTTGTATTTGTAGTTGCCCATTGCTGCCCAAGGTGCACATACAGGGATAGCCTCAAGAACCTCATCACCTCTCAGTGGCCTACCCACCAATGCATCCAGGCTCGTCATCTTCTCCTCTTCAGCGTCATCGGCATTATACCCATCCTCAAGCATAGCTTTGCGCGCTGCTTCATGCTCTGCCATCTCCTTTTGCGTTCGCTGATGCTGCGCTTTTCTTCTCTCCTTTTGAAATGCCAATTCTGCTTCTCGCTTTGCCTTCGCTTCCGCCTCAGCGGCGGCTTTCTCTACGCCAGCAGAGGCACCAATGAGCTTTTGGGCGAAGATCCGATCCTCTTCATCTTGGTCTTTATATTTCGTGGCTATCTTCTTGGCCTTTCCCCGCTTCCCACGTTTTGGTGGGGCCGGTCCTTTCGGTGCTGTGGTGCTAGGAGTTTGAGCCCCTGTTGCTGGTGTATGCGCAGAAATCTCGTCGTCGGATTCGTCTTCAAAATCCACTTGTGGCTCTTTTGAATCTTCAATCTGCAGTTCCGCAACCTCAGCTACTACTTCGTCCTCGTCACCATCGGAGATGACGGGCTCTACTCGCTGTTGTGTTTGCAGTGGGTTTGAAGTGTGCTGATCTTCTTCCGCCTCAGATTCCGGGTAGTCATCACGTATACTGTTTTGATCGTCGTCAAGCTCTGGGACAGACTCTATGACTGTTGACTCGGCATAGCCTGTTGTACTAGGTGTGTCGTCTTGTATTCTGTGTTTATTATGTCTTGCCTTACTGTCCTCGCTGATCTGAAACAAAACGCCAAACCCAAGCAGTAATGCTGCTGGAGGCAAGAAATTCTTCTTTCCACTTATCATGAAGTTGCCCGTTGGCAGAAAATCTCCTGTTGGTGTTGATTTGGAAACGTGAATGGCATCCACCCACCATGCTGACATGCCAGCTTTCGCATCCCAGGCGGACGAGCATGAAATTGATAATGTTCCTGCTTGTGATAATGTAGATGGTGGAATTGGAGCATCAGGTGTCTTGGGATTGTTGCGGATAACAACGGATGCAGCTCCTTGTACTTCGGCGTGGACGTAAACATCGCCTTTCTTCAGATATTTTCTGTACAGAATCTCATTTTGCTGAGCATCCTTTCCCGCAAGGACTAGATATCCGTCAGAAGAGAGAAACCAAGTGAACTTCTCGAACCACATCTGCCTCCGAACAGGTCGCAAAACAGCCTTTTCTTGCTTCAGTCCGGTCTTAAGATCACGCGCAATCTTCGCTTCCTGACTCTTCAATGCTTTTGTTGATGATTGCAATGTCTTCTGTTCCTTCTCTGCTGCGGATCGTTTCTGGTCGTAATATTCTCTGGCATTTGCCCACGGAGATAAAGCAAGGTTGATGTCAATTGTCAGCCTCTTTTCCACAGCTTTCTGCTTGGGGTCCTTCTTTGGAGCTTCGTCTTCGCTATCAGATACATCACTTCCGGTTTCGTAGGCTGACTCGTCATCTTCAGCGAACTCCTCTTCATCTAGCAACAAGGTAATGGTATTTTCCTGAAGTTTCAGGGGCAGCTTGATGATTGAAGCAACAGGATTGTTTCTCTTCTGCTCTATTCCAACGAGGTTTCCGATCTCCACCCAATCCATTCCCTGCGCAATGAGACCGTTGATTGCATCCATAGCTTCTTGCACCCTTTCAGGATTTGCTTGAAGCGCACCAGCTTTCCGTATATTCAGCTCTTGAACCTCCTGCAATCCACCCAGTCGTTTGGCTTGGTCCTGTCTTGCAGCTTCAATCTTGCGTTTTGCGGTTTGTTCTCGTTCCTGCAGGCGAGATTCCAACTTCTGCCCCTCAATGGAAGAGAAAAACTCGTCCACGGTCTTGTTGAATCCCTCAAACTCTAAGAATACCGTCGCTGGATCGTTCTCAAACTGCTTTGGCCGGAAAGGGTGGAAATCCTCATATATCAGAAACTTCCTCGCCACGTCTGCTGGAGCCGCATCCTCGTACCCATCCTTCTTTCTCGCGATGATGTATCCTTTGGCGGTCTCCGAACTTGTGATCTCCTGGATGACTCTCTGTGCTTCTTGCAATGATCGCATTAAGTGGTCTAATCGTTCTTGACTCTGTAGTACATCTGCCGGTTTGAGGGATGAATCGAACTCTGTAACTCTCATGGCGTGATCCACCAACATTGGAGGGAACTCCGTGATTGAAACAGCCAGTGCTCTTCTCAGCGCATCCGACTCCTTCTTCTTGGACTTCTTCCCAGCAACCAGATCATCATCCCCTCTGTCCACCGACTTCTGTAGGGCATCTCGTAAACGCTCCTCCGTCAAAGGCGGTACACCCCCAAAATTCTGCCGATTATCCAACGAGTACTTCAATCCCACTCTTAATTCCTCCTGCCCTTCTCCCTCCGGCACAGGCCTCAGCAACGCCAAAATGCCCATCTCGGCATCTGTAAGTATTACATTGCCACCAGCATAAAACTCCAAGTACAACCTATACTGCCCTTCACTAAACTGGAACTCGATTATTCGATCCGTACCCACTGGCGCAACCTTCGTGACTCTCCTTGTTTTCAAATATTTCCGTAGCCGCGAGACGAACACAGACGGCGCGGCGGCTGTAGCGCGGGAGAACTGCGTGAGGTGGCAGCGGAAGCCGGAGTCTAGGAGAACTTGGTGTTTCGAGGTCGGGGAGGCGAATTTCAGGAGGAAGATCTTTGACGAGAGGTCGTAGATTTGGGAAAGGCGGAGGGAGAGGAGGGAGGTGGAGAGCTCGTGGGATATGACCTGGGAAGGGGGCGGACGTTAGCAAGCTGAGGTGGGTGGCAGATGGATTGAGATTGGAGGAGGGTTGGGCAGACCTTGACGTCGAGGGAAGAGAAGCGCTGCTTCATCTTGAAAAGTGGTGGAGATATTATTGTAGGAGTGAGGGGGGTGTTGATGGTAAATTGGGAGGCATGTTTGGTGGAAGCCCAATGGCAGGTGGGGTTCGAGATTTGGCGGGGCAATTTTTCGATGATGACAGCACAGTGATGCGACTCGTCTGGGGACACAGCGAAGCGAGGCTTGGCTTTCCATCGTCACACGTCGAGTCGACAAATATGAAAGTCAACAAACGAGGGAACCTCCATTCCAAGCATTGTCGCATGCTGACTTCGCCATAAGCTCATCAGTGTCCGATAAGAAATGTAGGCCAGTTTTGGGTTTTCCCAAAATCAACTTGACAACGCTAAGGAACGACAAAGCACTTGCCATTCGTCAGCTTCAGACTCTGGGCTGCGAAGGCTGAAAAGTGGCTGTCAAGGACGGAGGGGTATATCCTCATCTTTGCGTTGTGCTGGGTGGACCTGCGTCCTAGAATATAAGTTCCGCTCTTCTGCATTTCAGCTGAAAGCACTGAGGCGTCCTGAAATCTAATTTCGCTGCTATTTGCTGTCATTTGTGGTATTTGATACGTCGTTCAGCTTTACCCCGCATTCCACTCCCACTTGTGGCTGCTGATGGTATCGATGAGGCTAAGCACACCGGAAAGCTTTTGGAGATGCAGCTTTTCTGCGGCGCTCAAGGCATTTCAGCTGCGAATGCTGGGGCGGTGGTCAACATGTGGCGTGGCGAGGAAGAGGCGGAATGAGTGAACACCTGATATGGAATCAGTCCACGCAAGCCACCTCCTACTACTATAGTACCAAGTCGCTCGCCAATTCTGGTTCCAGGACTTATATAAGAAAGGCTATTTCACCGGACATTTTCTTCAGATCATTTTACTCTTCTCATTCAATCACAGTATTAAAACTCGATCCGCTCATAGTTCAACAGTTTTGCGAAATTCACTCACCATATTTTCAATGGCTGGTCTAAATCACTTCAACCCCAAAGCTGGTTCAAAACCCTACCACTCTCTCTTCTCAAACGTCACTATCGTCCCGCCAAATACCTCACTTGCATATATTTCTACACAATGGGCTGCTGATCCCTCGACTGGAGAGTAAGCAAAAATCACGCTCATGTTCTCTTGCTCGAAGCAATTTCTATCACAGGGGGCTTATTACATTACTGACATTCCGATTGTAGACTGGTCGAGGGCGTGGAGGGCGATTACTTCAAGCAAGCCCAGATAATCTACCAGAACATAGTTGCCATTCTCAAAGAACTCGGCGCCGAACTCAAGGACATTGTCCATCGGACTGTTTCATTTTCGTACGTTTCTCTCAACTTACTCTCTGTCTTCCCTTTGGTTTCTTTCTCAGACTAGGGATATGAATTTGAAGCTTGTCGTCTGATGAATGCTGATCCATGTCACGTAAAGGGAGTTCAACGACGACATCGGTAAAGCCGTTGTAGAAGGAATGATGTCCTCCATACCTGATGAGTGGAAAGCCGATGCTTTCGCTCCTTCTTTAGGTTTTAACGGACCGGCTATCTTTCATCGTCCTGGTATGGTGTATGCGGTTGATATCGTGGTTGCTGTGCCGAATCGGAAGTGAAGGCTAGATGTGAGGAACCGAAAACCTTGGTGAAAGAAGTTGCAGTGGGAGGTTTAGTGTACATTGGAAATAGAGTGTTGGCATTCTTGGATTTGATGAGTTTTTGCTTCTGATCTATGATTCTGTTAATTTGACGTCGGTCATGTTCAATCCTCAAAAAGGTGGTTTTCTGGACCAATCGCCGACTGTGCGATATATTTGTTGACGTTTTATTGCTGCCAAGTCAGTTCGTCGCTTACCGTTGGCCAGATGTCTGCGTGGGAGAGACACTGCCCTGTCATATAATATATAGTTATCAATGTTTGGAAGCTTTTAGTTGGTCAATTAGTATGGACTCCGGCTCAAAATCTGCCCTTTCAAATAGTTTGGAGAGGAGATTCCCTTTAGTGAAATACCGATTCCCGTTCCACAAGCCTCTCCGACCGCTTGCATAGACCCTTCAGCTCAAAACCCAAATCGAGGTAGACATCTCCCCAATTCCGTGCCATTCAAACTTCAGGCTATCAAAGTCGAGGGACACGTCCACCAAAACTCCCTAACCACCATCCTAAAACCACCGCACTCAATCCATCGTACCCTACCACCATCAACAAGTTAATCCTATCCTCCTTACTCAAACTTCCAACCTTTCCATCCAAGACTAGTCTCGCGGTAGCCATACAAGCGAGGATGATGCGGACTGGGACAGTAGCGTAAAAGAATTGGTTCTGCTCGAGTGGCATGTACGAGGTTGTGAAGTAAGCGAGGCCAAGCCCGAACGTGGCGATGCCGAGCATTGGGTTCGTTGGTGGAGTAGAAACTCTTGAGGAGGTCGTTTTGGGAGAGGATGGAAGGCGGAATGTTTGATAAAGTCCGTAGAAGGTGAGGCCGAAGGCGTGGAGGGTCATCGGCCACGGTAAGTTGACGTTTGGAAGGAGAGGCATTTTTATTGTAAACGAAGTGTGAATTTGTTTGTAAAGCTATGAAGATTGAGATGGGTCAAATTGGGGAGTCTCGGTCGTGTAGAAGAGCCATGGAATATATAAGGTTAGGGGTAGGAGCAATTTCAGCCCGGATTATGTGCCGTCCCGTCCTGGAACCTGACATCACGCCGCTGCGCCATCAGCAAGAGGTGGTGATGTACACTTGGCCGAACGGATATTGAGCTTTCTCAACGATATTTGTTTGGTCTGTCTCAGATCGTTGAACAAGTCAGACGGTTGCAAAGCTTGAACGTCAACTCGAAGAAACCCAATGGAGTGAAGCGAGGAGTGTTGAAGGAGGTTGATCACTGTTGATCACGTTGTCTGATGACTAAGCGCTTCTGGCACTGCTGGTGCTGCTGTTGCTTAATATCTCGCTGCAGGTCCTGTCTCAGTCAGTTACTACGAGCCCTTCACCACCATCTCTTCAAGAAAGTACCGGGCCAGAGAGCTTAACACAGATGCCGGACGCCAACTCCGGATGAAATGCCTACCAGGGCGGGTTCAAGTCTCAATCCTCGATCGCGACCAGCACAAGAATATGGATTCTCTGGTGCCTTCGTCCAGCCATGCTGAACAGCAATCCTCGACATTTTCCCAATTTCAAGAATTCCCGTTGGAAATACGCCAATACATCTGGGAAGCAGCATTGCCTGGACCTCGTGTTATCATGTTTCAGATGGAGGCCCCTCACGATGGAATGTGTTTCCAAGTTCGGTCAGATATTGATGTCGATGGCCCCTCAAATGATGAATTCTTCGATTTTGAGTTCATGATACACTTTCGCCAAAGCTTCCCAGGAAGAGATCCACGAGACCTGACTTCGAGGACGTTTGGCCCAGCCCGTAGCTACACCCCACGGTTTTTTGCTAAGACTCCCATCATCACAGCTGTCTGTCGAGAATCTCGAGCAGTGGCTGAGAAATCCTATACCATGGCGTTCGGGTCACCAATTTCCTCACCCCGTGTCTGGTTTTCGTTTGAGCGAGATACGCTGCATATGTCCGAGGATGTTATTGCGACATTTGAGAGTGGTCTGTACTCAGTGACCGATCTAGGCCCTGACTTCGCAAAGGTTCAGCACATTTCAATTGCTGAGTCGTACCTTCAGAATAACTCTTTGCAAGGTGGTCCAATGGGACACCAAATCCCACACCGCTGGTGTAGCAAAACAATTTCATGGTTCGGCAGCCTACAATCAATCACCTTCACTATCATCCCTAGTTTTCAATCGTTCAAGGGCGACTTGATTTTGGTTGAGATTCAGGATGTTGCAGCTATGCTGGATCGCGTTGAGAAAATCAACGACCAATTGTCAGAGCCATACAACGCGTGGCCCATGACAAGAACCAAACTTATAAAAGCACCTCTCGATGGGTGGGAGAGAGGCGTTGTGGAAGCTATCAGCAAGGAAGTTGAGGAGCGGGCGAAGTTCGACGATTTCAGGGGAGTCATCCCTCCAAGGGTGGACTGTCTGAAGATTTACAGGATGGTGCTCACCACGGCTCAAGATCCTCATATGACGCTGTTATTCGATACTGTTATGAAAGAATTGGAAGGATTTGAGTTCGACTCTTGATGACAGCTCGAAGAAGCGGCGAGAAACTTATCGCCTCGCGTTGAAATCGAGCAACGGGAGACCAGGAAACTCCTTTGCTCTCAACCTGCGAGTTTTTCAATATCAGGGACAACACGCCAGGTACATACATCTGGATTTGAATAGAATGAAAAGGTGATTGTCTCGGGGAAAGAAGCATATTTGGATCTGGTGTGTTGCTGGAAACGGTTTGACCAAAGGGGCTTCCGGCTTGATTAAAATAGCTGATTAGCGCGCCTCCATCTCAATTGAACCTTGTGGCATGTCGGATATTGCTTGCACCTCGACGTCTAGCAAACCTTCGCCGAACATCATTCGAAGACGACTTCGCAGCGCCAACTTCCGGCTCAATGCTTCTTACGCCAGGATCTACAACTCGCTTTCCCTCAAATGATATACGACTACATACTGCAAAGGAACGAAATTCAACGAATTGAATAGAGTCGCAATGCAGCATGCAGCATAGTGAGAAGGTTTGCCAATTCTGCAGTGTCGGATCGATGACTGGCCCTATTCTACTTTCGTCCCTTTTCTGATTACAGCCGATCGCTTGTGGCTGTTTCAAAATCCTTGAAGGTTCGATGCACAATCTCACTGCTTGCATGCAGCCAAAAATGGGCTCGAATAACGCCCAGTTCGACCCAATAAGAAAATCTGGAATGCCTGGCAGAATCGAGACTCGCTGCTGTGAGGTCGTCAGAGCTGTTGAGTCCAAAGGTTGAAGGATTTGTTCCAGAGCATCTGAGTCTATGTTTATCCACTAAGCCTAGAATCCTTGGTCGCTCGCCCAAACTTAGACTCGGGAGTCTTCTCCGTTTTGGCTTCTCTGGACTCGAACCTATTACAAGGTTTTCGTTTTGGAGCCACGCTCAAGGCACCGTAAGCCATGGCTATTTTCGTGAAGTCTCGCATGATGGGACTAGATCTGCTGGCTTTCGTGCTGCATCTTTGTCGATTGCAAGCTGGTCTGGAGCACCAGATCAAGGATTTGATTGGAGAGCATAGAGGTGCCTGAGAATCGTCCACTCCATGCAGAGTACACAGCTCTACGACTACGGAATCGGGAACAGGAAACTGCCGCCTCTCTGCCCAGGTCCTTGAAGACTTGATATAGCTTCTTAGCCATTGGAATCTCAATGGCATTTGATATGTGGCTGTTCATGCTTCTAAAGGATTTGATCGAAGGCTAGCGGTTGTCCCTGTTCGTCGATGAGCTCCACATATGGCAAAAGAAGCGATTTGCTCGTTCTGCACCAAAGAAGAAGAACTGAGAAGTAATACGCATCTTATGATGTGGAACAAATAACAATCTCGGCAGACAGAGGTATGTTTCAACGGAGCCAATTTGGCCAATGTGGGAAAGAACAGTTTATCGAAGAATCTTCATTCCCAGGTGGCGTTCCTCCAAGGACTAGAATATCAGCAAGTTATGGAATCCTGAGCCTGGGGGGGTCGAGGAATATTGTAGCCTTCTAACACCGAGCCGACACGCGAGGCTTTACGTGAGCTGCTGACCGCCGACTGTTGCTCTGATAATCAAGCCAATATGGATACAGAATACGACCACTGCAGGTACCGAAAGGGTTGTTGTATTGTCGATCGCTTGCTGGCGAATCAATGCTGACGGGTCGCATTTTTCCAGTGATGGTGTTGCGCTACGGACGTAGAAGTGGCCGGTGGCGGGATCTCGGCAAGCCTGTAGGGACGGCATAAACGGGACTTGCAGCACTTGCCCACACCTGTCGTGCATCACTACAGGCATGTTGTTGCATGGCCTGCTATCATTGTGTCTGCCTGAGACCGAACCGCGATAGAATGCTCATGAACCAGCACCTAGTGAGGAGAACCTTCCAAGTAGCGAACTCGGCGTCAGCATCTGGATGATTCGTACTGACCAAAGATAGATCTTTTGCAGGCATACAGTACCAAGTCCCTTATATTACCGCTTACCACTGCCGCAATGTCTTCCCGTTTTGATCCCACCCCCACCTCGTGGTGTGCATACATACCTTATTTGCCATGCCTCAAGGACGTCCGAGACGACCAGGTACAGAAGCCGAGCGCGCTGAAGCACGAAGGCAACAAGTCAGGGAGAACGTGCGGGCATTCCGTCAAAGAAACAAGGAACGAGGTCTTTCAGACAACACAGTAAACACTTTAGCCGGCATCGAAGACAGCACCTCCAACACATCGAACCGCCCATCACAAGACAAATCAGGACCTTCGTCATCCTCTAAGTCCTACGAGACTCCGCCACCACCAGGTCAAGTCTCAGTCACACGCTTTGCGGTCGACAAGGGTGTCAAATGGTCGCTAGGCCTTCCATTCAGGATAGATCTGGGACCTGCTTACTCCGGGGCTTTCATTGCTGCATTCAACTACCGAAACCAACCAGCTCCAAATGCAGGAACTCTAGCGACAACTCTAAATCCGGAAGTAATCCCATCGATTTCTGCAAGATCCCTGGTTCCCACCTCTACACAAGCATCGAACCCACCTTCACCTGATGTTCTCAGGGTCGAGATATGCTACAACTCATGGACGACCGCGGTTTCTATTGAGGCAATGTCATCAGGTGGACAAATGCTCAAAGAGGCTCTGCTTGCCGCCGCTCTGAGTCTCATCAGTATCGAAAGGAATGATAGGAGGATATCAGCGCAGGCAATGCAGATTCAAATCATTGCTTTGCGAAGACTCCGGGAAGGTTTCAACCAGTATGTTGACGATAAGGACCCTGAAAAAGCTACCATGCTCTCTGCAACTGCATTGGCTTGTTCGATGTCAGATCTATTGGTCCACAAATCCTGGCCCGGCTTTTCGCTGCATCTGAAAGGTGTGGGAGCTTTGATTGAACATGCTGGTCCGGCAGCCCTCCACACCTCTGCGGCCCAAGAGAACTTTCTCGGTTATCGTACAGCCCAAATTTCGTTCAGTTTTCTGGAGCGAAGAGGGTCATTCCTCTCACGACCTGAGTGGACTGACTTTGATTGGAGAGATGACCACCCGCATTTCCGCCACCCGGCTCACAGCCTACTTGATATCGCATATCAAATACCTGGGCAAATGGAGCTATTCGACAGATGCGCCAATCGAAGTCCGGGTGCCTTACGCCGACATCTCAAAAGGTTGAATGGCTTGGTCTCAGATTTGAACGAGTGGAAGACAGACCTTTTCGAAGAATACTCGTCAGAGATATACAGCACTGAAGCAGCGAATTGGCACGGGCTCCACACCGACGTAATCAAATTTTCCAATATCACTGTCGCTACTAGTTTCACTCTTTTCACCGGCGTCCGAGTCGCCCTCTTCTCTCTTGTCCGACAAGTCGCAGAAGTACTCAAGGAGGATGACCCGTCAGCTATACCAGTCCTGAATTTCGCCATCCAAGAGAGCTACAAATGGTCGAGAATAGCATGTCAGTGCTTAGAATATTTCTTTGCTCGTGACCAAAATGTTGTGGGTAGAGTTTTGTGCCTTTTCCCCTTCGATGCGGCGTGGTTGACGTTCACGGAGCTGAGCACAACTTACAGGATGAATATGGCGACTGAGCTGCAGTGGTGTACAGCAACATCGGAAAGGATCAAGGCGACTGGTTTGCCTGTGTTTAGACAACGGGGTTGAATCCCACTGTTGCTTTTTGGTCGCATTGGAGCTGTTCATAAGCGTTTTGATTTTGTTACGATTATGTTTCTCCAAAAGCGTGTGATCGCTGGTTTCGATCTCTTTTTGTAGTTCGGGTGCTTTATTTCTACACGTACATACCAGCAACTTTGTTCTCTCTTTGTCTTTCTTATCTTTACCTCTGCATCAACAAAGCATTGCGGTGTACCGGACTTCTGGCATAAAATGGCGCTGCATTTAGGCTTGCTGCATCGGCATTGTATTTACCTTTCTCTACCCACCTCGTATATAGTAGTGCGACATACCCAGATAGATCACCACTAGCATTTTACATGCTGCATATAAAAGAAATCATACCATTGTTTCCTCAATCTACAAGTTGACTGTTCAAGCTTCTTCGTTAATCGTTATGCTCACCGTTTCAGGTCACAGTTTGCACCTTGTAAGCTCCAATAAGTGAGCAGCCATTCTACAGTCCCTATATTATCGCAATGTAGTCGGCTCTCGGCAAAGCACCCCGCTGTGTAAGCTCAAATCAGATCTCATTCAGTCCATCGATGATTCCATGACCGCCATTTCTTCCTCACTCTACATCAGCGACATTGCGGATATTCCAGAATCCTTCCCAGAATATTCCATATCATTTCCTGTTCCTGACAAGATCTCGCATCATAACGTCATCATGTACGTGTACGTTCCGCTTATCCATAAGCCATAAGCACACAGGGCTGAAGTACGTACAGAAAGGGACATAACACCACGCTTCGCTAAAGCCGTGAGCACAGGGGTTTGCGGACGAAGCCGTAGAGCGAGGCTTGCCAGATCCAGATTAGTGATCGTCGAGCTCGGTATTCGTGACCTGAACCGAGGGCGTGGGCGAGCACCAATGAGATGCGTGGAGTCGGTCAGGATGCGGGTCAGATGTCAGCTGTGGGCGCTGCACGCTATCATGCATGTCAGCAGTCTGCCGAGATGTCGGAGTTTGGGCGCGATTTCGGCAGCGATTGATATCGCTTGCTTATTGGGTGCAGATGAGTAGATGATGGCAATGTCATAACGCTGGAATGATAGGGTGATGTTCTCAGAATTTTCTGGTCGTCAAATTTCTTCTATTTTGACTTCGAATGATCTATGACCTACATATCGAGTGTGCTATGAGAGTTGTCTTGAAATATTAGGCTTGGCGTTTCCTCTCGAAGCGAAATGTAAATAACGTCAAACGCTCAGCCTCTCGCTTATGACTTGAATTTACGTGGAATCTGCTTTCTTTCCGAAAGTCTGTGCAATGATCTTCATGCCTCGCTGACAGCTAGCAAATCAAATCCAAGTAAAGCTTTCTACATCTTTAGCCTGAGCGGCGCGGCGGCTCGATTGTCAATATGACAGATCTTGGTCCTCTTCTAAAATGCTCAATAATCCTTATGTCTCCTTGTACATTGGTCAAGTCAAATCAACTTTATCACTTGGAAGTCTCATCTTGTGAGAACATGGGAGGCTGGAAATAATTTTGCTCGCGGAGAAGATCTTCTTAGACCCTCCAGCTAAGACAACAATCTATGCTCACAACAAGTAGGAAGGAAAATTTCACTGGTTTTGAGTCTCACGAGATAGAGATTGCTCCATAAACAGGAACCTCTGAAGAATCTCCTTGCACTGCTAATAATTAAAAGACTTCTCTATAGAAGGAACTGGTCCAAGATGTGACAAGCATGTCAGTGCAACCAGAAGTATCTTCAGAAGTCAGTGTTTTGCCCACCTACTTGATCCATGCCCTTCGGTAAAATATACTTTTGCGATGGGGGAATCAAAGACATGATTGAAAGCCCAAGACCAACGCCTGTTCCAATTTATCTCTCTGATCCATCAAGTGTAAAAAGCGAAGGCTATCCAATACCATTCCGATGTGTGCCAGCAGACCACCCAAGTCCGCAGGCGATGAGACTGATCAGCTAAGAGATCAGCTAAGATACAGTCTTGCTATTTAAATCAACATCGTTTCAGAGGACCACGCTTTTTTGATCTCTTTCCACTGCTTGTGAGCCCAGTAAGATTTGTGTAGTCAGTCATAGTGGAGGCTACTGACTCCGCACGTGGTGGCATGTAATTAATGCCCACAGAACGAGATTGGGTATAACCACGACCATAAAACGGACCGTCTTCTCGTCGTCTAACTACGTCAGAATTCTTGTTTGCACCGCTGATAAGTGGGGATTGCATGCCAGGGTTACCAGAGCGTTTATGAGATGTAATTTGTCCCTGGTGAGAATGGACAAAGGTATTGAGGCTGGATGTTCTTGAGGAGCTGGTCTCTGATGCTTCTCGAGTTCTCGTCTCCCGAGCGTCAACACGGCTTGATGATCTGGATGGCTTTGGAGGAGGTGGGTGTCGAGATTCGTGGCGCTTTCGAAATTCCGACCGATATCTTGGTGCAGGGCCCTTATCGTATACATGATCTTGTAATCCAGAGTAAGAGCCGCTTTGAACACCTGGAGCAATATTGGCATCCTGTCTGCCGCCCGAGGCATACGGGTGATCCTTCCCCGTCAGAAGCTTCTGAAACACGTCACTGGTCCAGCTGTGGCGGGTGTTTCCACGAAGTGGGGCATGATGTGGTCTCTCGGTGCTTTCAAAGATAAAACTAAAGGAACCATCGTCAGAAAAATCAGCGTTTGACTGATTACTGGTGTTTGGGGGAGTTCCAAGACGGAGCCTAGAGAAGTCGGCACCGACGTTTGTGGTGAAGTCGGAATCATACTGTGACACAGAATCCCCAGGTCGAATTGAGCTTGAGCGTTCTCTACTAGTGTAGCGATTGGAGCTGTGGAGATGGGCAGCTGGGTGAGATTTGGTTTTGCCTCTACCACGCTCTTGGTCGCGTACGGATGTATTATAGCGTCTTGAGTCACGCTGCAATCCTGGAGTGGAGCTTTCAGTCATTGTAGGCTCATAAGGGAACTCCACCCGTCGAGTACGCTGGACTTTGGGTGAAGACGGGGGAGCGCGTGGAAAAATTCTTTTGTTTGAGCGATCGTCGTATTGGTTATCCTTGTGATACTCCTTTGCAGCATTCTCTAAAGCACGAGTCAGTTATGTTCGTAGAAATTTTTGACGGATATCTTGAATTTACCATGCCAGGTGCGCTCCGCTTCTGTATGAAGTCTCTCTCTCATATGTCGTAGTCTTTTCGCAGTTTTGTCGTCCAGAAATTGACACTGCTCTGTATCTTGGTCAGCTACCATGACTAAAATACCTCTTTTCGAAAGAGAACGCGACGAAGTACATACCTGATTCCTTCGCATTTTTCTTCTCCTTCTCATAACCACTGACTACCTGAACAGCTGTGAAGCCCTTTCCATTGTTGTTGCCATCATCATAGGGATTTCTTTCCATCGCACCTTGGACATAAGAGTTGCCCTTGAATTGTGAGAACTGGCTAGTATGCATCATATTTCGGAGGATGTGAAGACAGTATTCAAGGAATAAAGGATCGTAGTCGCCATTCTCGCCTGATGCATCAACTTCTTCCTTGATCATTCTTTCAAGGGTTTTTTCGTGATAACCATTGCTGAGCTTAGAAGCGACGAATGACTCGGCCTCAGCCCAGGTCACACGCTTACTCTGAAGCTCTGGTCGATTTCTGTCGCAGTAATCTCCTTCGTAGAATTCTCTTTCCTGGTGATCTTCGTCGTAGAAATAACCTTCATAGTAGTCTCCATCGTAGTGGTCTCTGTCGCGGCGGTCTCCTCTTGGCTGGTCTCTGGGTCTAGATCGTCCCACTGGTGACCGGAAACCGGGCACTGTCAAACATGTTAAAATAATTCGTTAACTAGTACTGGCTATGTACCAGCATAATGGAATACACTCACGCAGTACATCTCTCAAGACGGTGGGCAAGTCATCCAAGTCTCTGGCATAGCCTGAAACAGAGAACATTTTATTGTTGGGATAGCACGTTGTGCACGAAGTCTTGTGTGACGACGAGAGTATTCGAATATCTGTAGTCGGATCGACTGTCGAATAGTTCGATGTGAATCGGTATCGAAGATGTCCAGGGAGGAATATTTCGTGTCAGATCGGAGACTCGAAGGGGCTTTTTTGTAGGGCGAAGGGCAGCTCATCGGCCTCGCTTAGCTAGTGCGAGGAGAACAGCAGCTCGTGCTGTTTACGAAACAATCACTTTTCCAGCGTGACGGGATACTGTGAGTCACTGTCTATGTGAAATAGTGACATGAGGTCTTGACTATTCATGGTGGTGTTCAAAGGCTTGATGCTTGATGCAAGTCGATCCACTGCGCGCCCAATACCTTGTTTACTTTCAGTTATGTTTGCTTCCATGTCTACGTCAACCAAGCAAGCGTCGACCGACAAACTTATTTCCTATTTTGGTAATGGGTACCGTGGTGGTGGTATTTTGAGCTATAAAAAGTTAGCATCGTGTCGTTAAGCCATATTGTGGTCTATATCACTCTCCATGTCGATCCGTCCTGACTGTAAACAGCATTTTAGAAAGTATGCAGCAACGATCTTAGATAGAAGTTTCAGCATCTCCTCGGGTCAAAGTCAAGAATGAGTCTGTAACCTACAGGCTGTGTCGTGTTGGTGCTCACAATTAGACATGTAATGGACATACATCTTCCGTTCGGATGTCTCATGTTCTGTCGAAGAACAATATTGCAATCTGCACCACTAGATGCTCCGTTCCCAGCCTTCAATGAGCTGTGTAGAGTTCCTGAAGTATTTCGTTTCCCTAATCTGGACGTCGAAATGTACAATGACGTTACTTTTTTTTCATAGGAACATGGAATCTACTGGGCCCAAACTCAGCAATGGAAGATCAAGACTTTGCAGCACTGGAAGTGTCTGTCTTCATCGTCAACACAAGTTTTGGAGTGGTTCAGTCATGATTGAACGAGGTTTGGTCAGATCGGGCAAACCAAACTGGAACGTTAAGGTTACCCAGGGTTACTTTGCTCACACCACACATAGAGGAGTGGAGATAGGCGAGTTGCGACTGATGTTGAGGAGGCATGCCAACATTCTTAGCGAGGCCCGCCATGTCCGAAGAACGCATCTGCCCTAGCTTTCGCCGCTAGGGGCATTATTACCCCGCACTTAACTGAACGCCTTGTGGGAATTGCCCCTCATTCCACTATTCGCGGTCATCTCTTCTCTAATTTCTAACAACGTTGGGAAACAAAAAAGAACATGGCACTGTGGAGAAACGTGCAAATTGTAATACTATTTAATGAACCTTTGTTATTTATTTATTAGTACTATACTAATAAGCTTATACTTAAAAACTCTCAGTTCACGTCTAGCCTGGAATCATCCCGGCCCTCCTAAACCCCTCAAACGCCTCCACCCAACTTCCATGCGGATCTCTCTCCTCACTAAACCCAACCTCCCTAATTCTCTTCAAGATCAACTGCCTATCAAAATTACAATAAAAGCCATAAGTATCCAAGAAATCACCCTTCCAAACATCCACCCCCCTCAACCCCTTCTCCTCCAACCTCTCCCTATTAACCCTCAAATACTCCCCAGGAAGCAACTTACCCTTCCCTTCATCCAGAGGTGCAACACCTACAAGCCCAAAATACTCGCATATCTTCGGCCACCGCTCCTTCATACTCGTCGGCCGTTCCTGGTCCGCGATGTTGAATAACTTCCCGCCTCCGCACGTCTCAGGGTGCAGAGAGACGTAGATGGTGAGACGGCCGATGATGGATGCACTTGCGTCGTTGAAGAGAGATTCGTAGCCTGCATTGGTTCCTGGATATGGGACTTTGGAGCCAGGGGCTTCGAGGAGGGCATAGGCGGAGAGGTAGGTCGCCCAGTGGGCGGCGAGGTTGAATGTGCTGCCGTTGGGGACGAAGCCGATGATGGCGTCGGGACGGACTTCGGCCCATGTCCAGGGGCGGTTTGCAGAGGCGGTGGTGAGGTGGGTTTGGAAGGAGGCGTACCAGTTTTCGGTTGAGAGGTGGGGTGGGAGGACCATGGTTTCTAGGAAGGGGGCTGTGAAGGGTCGGTTGGAGGGAGGGAGTTGGATGCCGTAGCCCTGGGTTTGTTTTAGTACTTTTCTATTCATTTTGTAGTCGTTTTAGGGAATGGAAAGAAGTGTTGAATTAACCTTTGTTCCGCTTGGAAAAACGAGAAATTTCAAATTTGGGGAGAGAATATTCAATGCTCCTGTCACTCGCGAAAGCATGCCAAGATTTGCTGCTACTTCTGTTGCTTGGTCGTTCTCTTGTTTGTAAGCTATCAAATATATCAATAACAGCCATAGTGTATATGCGGAGAATCAAGATACCGAAGTAAAAAGCGTGCGTGACCGTCTCCATATCCTCGACCTTCCCTCTCAATTTTTCAGTAAACTCCTCATCCGTTCCTCTAAGCAGATTCACACCAGACACCAATTGAAATTTTGGTCTATTTGACGAAGGTGGTGGCCAGTATGTGTCCTCGAAATTGAGATGCCTGTTGATGACTGCTGTCACTTTGAAAAACGACCCCTCATTGGGATAGTTCTTGAGAAGCTCATTGACGAGTCCCCAGCCTGCGACCCCAGAGGCGCCAAAGACGAGGGCGTGATTCTTTGACTCATTTGTCATTTTGAGTTGTTGGAAAGCATTGATATGGAATTGAGTGGATGAAGGGAGTGTAAGGTATATATACATGAAAAGACGACGTTTGTTCGCTCTTGCGTACTGGTTAGAGTCCAGACCTTTCCTTTTTGAGCTCTGTTGCAGTTCATCTCCACGTGACTTCAATTAGTCAACATGACTCATGATCTCTCATGTATTTCAGCTTAGAGGCATTGCACCTGAAGCAGAGAATTTCTCTCTAGTAGTAAAAGATATGCCCCAAGCAAATGTATGAAGCGACTTGGTGCAGAGTACAATCGGAAACAACCCAGGTCAAATGATTCCAGCTCAAAGATATTTGTTTCTGTGATCTTCACATTATTCACTATCAGGTCCCAGTATGTACTGCGCTATTGCTATGTGCTCCATTACCTTGCTCATGTGGTGGAAGAGCATATTTCGGCAACACCTCCCCACCACCCGTCCTCCTGGTATCCATTTCTGTCTCGTAGTCCGGCAGCTGTTCTTTTGCAGTCTTACGTTTCCAGCCCTTTCGTCGCCAGATGCAGAACGCAAGTAGTGCAAGCAAGCCAATGAGGGAGACTCCCAGGCCTACGCCAAGACCAACTGGGAGGCCTATACTTTTGGATTTACTTCTCCCCTTGCAGAAGAAATTGCTAAGAGGATCATCGAGGTCCTTGTCTTCGGGGTGAATTTCTTGCCATTTCTTCTTGGCTGGGCTACAATCAACTCTCGGGAAATCGGCTGGTGACGTGTTGATGTAAAGATCGTCGACGTCGGTCACGCTAGATATGTCGTAGCTGAACCCTTAGTTAGATGTGCTGTTTGAGGTGGTGCTCTCTGAGATTGCAAGTGATTGAATGGTTACCTTGTCAGCCGACCATCAAGCGTAAACCTGTCTGTACTTTGCAATGGATAGGTATCAACTTTCATTGGGAGATAAGGCTTGATGTAGTATTCATCCTCGACGCGCAGGAGTGATGGCAGGGAGATACTGTTGTGATTTAGCACCGGAAGTGCGAGAGAAGGTGGTGGAGGGGCTCTACTTCTCGAATGTTCCCACCATTGTCACCGAAGAAGCATTCAACAGGGATGGTAAGCTCAACTGTAGCGGCTCTCCTATGGTATAAATAATCATTCTTCCTCTCAGGTCCGTTTTATCGAATCGTTGCTGGGAAGTAGACAAAGATGATAGCACAGGCATCGATATGCTAGAACAAATTATGTCAGTAATTCCCGAATTTACGATCTATCTACAAGAGGAAAAGAGCTCACCTGGAGATATTCCCCGCGATCATCAAGAAGGAGCAGCTGACCAAAGAAGGACAGTCAAGGACGATAGGGAACGACAGGTCGTACGAGGTCGAGGAAATCGAATCGTATGAGAAACGTTCCAGATCTTCTGGACTTTTCGTTATCGTCAAATCACCGGCAACTTCGGTAAGGGCTGGAAAGGACATTCTGAACGCTAGGTCAGTACGCTGCAATGAGTGGAAGCAATCAAGAATCAATCTCACCTGCGCACACTTCCCGTAATTCTCAGGTCTCCTGTGATGTTTTTCAAAGCTGGGAAGTTGATGGAACCGCCTCTGTTCAGCGCATCGGCAACGTAATCATAGCTCCCTCTCACTGGTATCAATACTGTCATGTTGACATAGACCGCTGACGCTAGTTGCAACTTCTCGAAGTTAACAGACTTCAGCGTTGCGGCATTCCGCAAATTCAGCCCAGCGCTTCCGTCTACATCGTCCCCGCCAATCTCGACCAAGTCGGGCCCAACAACAGAAGTTAAGGCTGGTGCTCCAAGCGAACCATTGTTACTTTTACCGTCGCCTATATCACCTGTGTGCAGGCCTCCAGTGATGTTTGTCAGACCAGTAAGCACAAGCTCGCCGGTATAATTGCTGGCGATAACAAGGTCACCTCCCCATGTATCGCATCCTTGAACTAGATTGTCGAAGTCACTTTGGCTAGAGACTGTTCTCTGGAAAGCAGTATTTTGCTCAATCGGGCGACCACATCGCTGCGTACATACTGTTTGAGAAGCAATAAGTCAAGGTGTCGTGTTTGATATGCAAGGGACTCCATACCGGGTGTGGCTGTCATCCACAGAACAGCTGCTACTATCAGACCTTTCGAGTTCCGCATTGCGCCAAACGCAGGTGCACAATCGAGCCACTGTCGTAGCTTTGGAGCGGGGACATGACCTTTATCTGCTTCAGGAATCGATGCCGAGTGCAGACTAGAGGTAGGAGTGCGCCACCAGTGCAAAGGAGATGATCAGCTAGCCAAGTTCATGGCACATTCCAGGGACTGTAAGGCTGAATTGATTGCACTGCCGTGCCGGTTCGCTGCCATCATGAACCCTGCCATAATCAAGTCCAAGACTGTGGTGGTGGATCGCGACGTGAGGAAGCAGAGACGGTAAATGTTGTCTTCTTCTTTCCCTGAGGAGCTCGCCCTATGTTGACCCTTCAGTGTCCTTCCTGACAGATGTCAGAACCTCTTCTTGTGCGAGGCAAGACTAGAGAGATACGTGAGGACGGCATGACTGCTGGGCTGGGATTTCAACCCCAACCTCGACTGTACCAGGTCTTGGCTCGCCTTGGTGAGATGTGAACGGGGGTCGGGAGTATCACGTGGATTGACGGTCAGAACAACGAGTCGAGAGTCCAGTGCCTAATCGTCAGTCCCCAATCAATGGATCTGCATCATGGTATCGACGATCTTGTTGCTGTCTCCACGTCCTGGAACATGAGGATATAATAAAAAGCGAGGTACCGAGCAGCCCGAGCACCGACAAGCTGCAACCTTGATAGACTGAGCTTAGCCTATTGAGGGAGGTCCGATAACGATAAGCTAGGTATCATGGAGCTTCCCCTCCCTTCTTCTCTTCTCTGTCCTCTTCCTTCATTACCAACAGTCAAAGCTCAGGACAGAGTCGAAAACAATAACTCACATTTACATCACTGTTCAATAACACCTGAAATCCATCAACCATGGGCGCGAACCAGTCAACAGCAGCTCTGCCAAACGAGAAGCTCGTTATTGAGCGGCTCCGAGCTATGGAGATCAAGGACCAATCCGACGACTATGTTGAGGTTAACGAGAAAGCCCTCACAGGATCATCCAAGAAATTCAAGGCACCATGGACAGCTATCTCTATCTCAGACGTTGGACAGTGGGAGCATGAGCTTTTGCAGGATGCAAAGAACAGGTCAGTTTAGTTCCGGATAATGTCAACAATGGCTAATGACGACTTGCAGACTGGCACTCTCTGCCTTGAGCGCCGCAGACCCCAAGACTGTCCTGACATCCCGTGCGACGACCATCAAAGACCAACAGATCTTCAATACCAAGATCCCATTCGAGGGAGCTCCCATCACGAACCAAAGACAATCCGGTAGATGCTGGATCTTCGCAGCGACGAATGTCTTCCGCGTTGCTCTTATGAAGCGTCACAATCTCGACAAATTCGAACTCTCCCAAGCATACCTCTTCTTCTATGATAAACTCGAAAAGGCAAACTTCTTCTTAGAGCAGATACTCGATACTGCGGGAGACGACTTCGATACCAGAACAGTTCAAACACTGCTTCAAAGTCCAGTAGGAGATGGTGGACAATGGGATATGATTTACAACTTGGTCCATAAATACGGTCTCGTTCCACAAGTCTTATATCCAGATTCGTTCAACGCGCAGGCATCTGGTGCCATCAACCAACTGATCACCACCAAGCTGCGTGAGGATGCTCTCCAATTGCGAGCATTGGCAACATCCGGGACGAAGTCCTCCAAGGACATCACCGCAATCAAGGAGAAGATGATGCGTGAAATCCACCTTATCCTCACCCTCACACTCGGCCCACCACCATCCCCAACCACCGAATTCACATGGAACTACCTCGACAAGAATGGCGTATCCCATGAGCTGAAGACCACCCCAGTGGCATTTTCCAAGGAGCTCTCCTCCCCAAAATCTATTCGCATCACCAACTCCACTGTACACGACATGTTTTCCCTCGTCAATGATCCAAGAAACGAATACAACACCCTGCTCACTGTCAACAGACTTGGCAATATTGTCGGCGGTCGCGGAATCACATACGTGAATGTTACCATGGACGTCATGAAAGAAGCTTGTATCAAGATGTTGCAAGCTGGTCTCCCCATCTTCTTCGGCTCCGATGTCGGCAAGTACTCAAACTCTACAACTGGGATCATGGACCTGTCGCTCATCGACTACGAACTCGGCTTCAATGTACGTCTTGGAATGTCCAAGGCGCAAAGATTGATGGTTGGAGAGAGCGCGATGACCCATGCTATGGTATTGACTGCTGTGCATATTGAGAATGGTAAGAGTGTTAGGTGGAGGGTCCAGAACAGCTGGGGTGCTACTGCTGGTACGGAGGGATGGTTTGTGATGAGTGATAAGTGGATGGATCAGTTTGTTTATCAGGCGGTTGTGGAGCCAAGGTTTGTGAGCAAGGAGATTCGGGATATTCTGAGCACTGAGCCGAAGGTTCTGCCTCTTTGGGATCCGATGGGAGCTTTGGCGTAGATGTCTCGGACGGAAAGTACTCTGAGGAGGCGGATGCCTAGGAATTTGGCGGTGGTATATGAATAACGACTCGCATAATCGCACTGCATATTAAGTTTCTTGAGCGTGAGCGTAGCACGAATCGAATTTCTACGAGCGTACCACTCGCTTAAGGCATGATTTGTGTGGTCCAGACAATAATGGGTCTACCACCCTCTGCTTCAGCTTCATCTTGTTCGATAGTTCCCGATCCTTACGACCATCCAACGCCTTGAAACAAATTCATAGCAGTAGTTCACTTAGAAACCCCATATCAAATCTATTCGGAAACTCAGACAGGTTATTCACCCCCCACCATGTAATTCTCCTCTCCTCCTGCCTCTCCTCTTCACGAGTCCAACTATAAAGTCTCACACTCCTCCATCCAGAAAGAGAGTAAGAATCTGGTCAGAGGCAATCAGGGAGGAGCCAAGCGGGCCCGGTCGTAACCACAACGCCTTTTTAGATATCTAACTCATGCTTCTGTAGATTGATATGCAACTTCTCGTGTGATATTAACCTACAGGTGGGTCCTTTTGGGTGGTTCAATAAGTGTGGTCTTCCAGGAAGGGAAAGTTGGGAGGTGATGGTGGAGATTGAAATGATAGTGGGATGTGGACTGACAGCAGGAGGGGGTGTGATTTTCGTTTTTGAGATTGGTGAGTGAGAACTGACAAATAGTTGATTATGAAAAAGACTTGATTGTAATTCTGCTGATGTTCTTTGCCCATTGTTTGGATGATGTAGAGATACAGTGTTCACAGCTCACAACTCGAGGCTTCCTAGTCCGTCAGAATTGAATTGTTGTTGCTGAGTTGAATATCAGAGGATTGAGAGGACGATGGTTTTATAGATCTTTGAAAGTGGCTACGAGCAGGGCTTTGGTGAATACGAAGCGGTGCTGATAGGGTACCTAATTCACTGAGTGTCAGAACCCACTAAAATTACTGTATAAAATGTTCTGCAGGAGCGGTAGACATGGAGCAATATCCAGATCGAACGAAGCGGGAAGACAATCGACGTGCTTGACCCGTTGTGTCCCAAGTATGTCGTGTAATTGCTGCTCCTTCACGTTTGAACTTATCGTTTCGGTCAACGGATGAGTAGCCGAAGCTGCCTTCTTTTCAGAACATGAAAACTATTGGGATAGATTGGACACGAAAATAGTCCAATTTTCGGCAATGAGAATCCTTCTGACGACAATGAAGCTGTATGACAGAACCAGTGAATAAAGGTGAAAAAGAGAAGGAGCTAGTATTTGTATGTTTGATTCTTATTCCCACAGTGAGCTCACAATGATCGCCTTTGGCACAGATTTGTTCGGCTAGGCGGGGATGTGGTTTGAAGGCAAAGGAGTATGATATGGTGTGATGGCTCAAATATATCTATCTACATTTACTCAAAACTATCTATTCATTCCCAGTAATACGAGAAATGCTTCGAGCCCATCAGATCATCACCAAAAGCCCTAGCCTCTCCATCTCCCCCCGCACCCGCACAAACCACCAACGGCAGAAAGTGCTCCTCTCCACCAATAGGATGTGCCTCTTTACTTCCCACCCAATCCCTAAACCCCTCCAACGTCTTCCCTCTCTCTTCTGCATCCTTGATAGTGACCGTCTTCGTCAGACGATCACTCCACTCTTTATTCTTTCTCATGTAATTACTCTCACTTGCTTGACCTGAGAAGATAGCACGGAGATTGTGCATCGTTGGCATACCGCTTCCTACGATGGCGATGCCGGAATCTCGTAATTGAGCGAGTGCTTTGCCCATCTCGAAATGCTGTTTTGGAGAGGCTGATTGCATGACTGAGAGCTGGACGATAGGGATGTCTGCTTTTGGGTTGATGAGGAGCATTGGTATGAAAACACCGTGCTTGATGCAATATTAGCGATGAGTTCTTATGTAAGGAACAGAAATACTCACATCCCAGCCCCTCTTCTCATCCATCTTCGGCTGAAACCCTGCCCCCTTCAAAACATCAAACACCTCCTCCGCAACCCCCGGACTTCCCGGTGCAGGATATTTCAACTTGTACGCCTCAGCCGGGAAACCGCCATAGTCATAATACAGACTATGTGACGAGGCATTACTGATAGTCGGTTGCCTTTCAGACCAATGTGCAGTCACGAGGACGATGGCACGTGGTGCTTGGGGTGTCCCAAGCTTGAGAATCTTGGGAACGCGAGTGGACATCGATTTTATGAGTTCGGCGTGACCAGGGTCGTTGAGGACTGGCAGTGGTCCACCGCCATGGCAGACGGCAACTACAGAGGCGCGGGTGGACATTGTTCTTGTTTGGGGTTTGGTGAGGGAGGGAAAGAAGGGTATTCGCATGTCCTGCAGCCAAGAAATGCGCTGCTTGGTATTTGTAGTAAGATGATAGTGTGATATGTGGTAGAAATGGAGATGCAGGGCCGATCGTCAGTACAGATGAAGCTTTTCATATACCTGGCTAACGAGTTGACTGCGTCTCGCCCACTCGGCTGTTACAAACTTTGACTAAGCGATCGGAACGCCCATTTGTAAGCAGCGGAGTGTTTCCGCTTCCGAACTCCGTAGTAAACAATAACAATCAATTGCCGTTGGACACGACATGATTTTCTCCCGTCAGCTGAATATCTAAACTTGAACGTGGAAAGAAATCGGGCGCTTTCCCAGCTCATTCAATGGCTTTGAGTGTCACACTATCTTCTATAACATAATTCGTGATGCCTTAGGACAAGCAAAAATATACTTTCTCGCTAAGGTATGCCAAGCACTGTACGATTCAGTGATGTTTCGCTTCCCCACAACACAGAATGTTTGATCTTCTTTTCACGTTGTTTCTGGAGGACAAGGGGAAATAACAGGCGTGCATTTTAGTTTCTGATCGGGACGATCTTTCTGTTTTTGTTACTTTTTTTCATGCTGTCATCTCATGCTGTCATGTCACAATCTAAAGTTCGGGTGTTTTGAGCAGCGGGAAGTTTCGCTCGGTGGGTGATCGAGATCGGAGACTCTCAAGTCAGATGCTTGGTAGGTAATTGGGACCACTAAACATGTCATTCCAAAAGGTTAAAGTCAGAATCTGGCTATTTTGGGAAAGATATTTGCTTGGGAGACATGGCTCGAAAACAACACTCCAGAATTGGGATCCAGATCACTCGTTTCATCGCTACGTTTGATTTCCACGATCGTGATATTTGTAGCCTTCGCCATGTTTTGATTCCATCAACAGCAGATCATTTGTCTAGAGCCTGTATTGCGTGCTGGGACCGGGGAAACCCCAGCTCGTTTCGGATATTCCCAAGACACTTGGAGATATCCTGCCACCTCAACTCGTGCCAATGAGGAATCTTGAAATGATGTATCGAGTTCAGTGTCAAGAATGCTTTCGTGGCTTCTGCAAGATCGTTCGCCATGCGGCATTTCCTGAAGGAGCCGCTTTGCTAAATGCCGGGCTCGTCCCGTCTTATGGGACTATTTTGAGGCGAAACGTCATTGTCGATCGGACGCCTAGACTCTATGTACAACTCTTGAGTCACAAATGTTGGTGTCAGCTGTTCTTGACTTACTGGTTCGTTCTGGGTAAGTGGTATCTGTATATAAGAGTCTTGCCATCCACAAGGGTAAACTTTTTTATACATCGTCCGGCACGTCTTCATTTGATCTTCTTAAATACATTTCTTTCCATTGTACTTCACAGCTGGTCTGATACTTTTATTTTGAGCTTCCAATCATATCCTATCATTTTATCACCTTTCAGTTTTATTCTAAACTTCTACTGCAATCATGCACTTCAACATCCCAACAGCCTCCCTCCTCATCCTCGTCTCAGCTATCCTCTCAGTCCACACATCACCCATACCTTCAAATGGCGTAGCACGTATCGGACGGTCCTCCGGTGACGCTTCTATCATCGCTAGAGATGTCGAAATTGACCTAGAGAAAAGACGACCTGGCGGCGGAGCTGGACAGGGTGGACAAGGAGGTGCTGGCGGAGCTGGAAGAGTAGGAGCTGCTGGAGCTGGACGTGGCAATGGCGGAGCTGGAGCTGGAGCTGTATGTTCATTCCGCAAAAACCTTTTATATGTCCTGAAAACTGACAAGTACATAGGGAGGGGCAAACGCTGATGCTAACGCTGGAAATGCCAATGGTGGAAACGCCAATGCAAACGGCGACAATGCAAACGTTGGAGATGCCAATGCTGATAACGCTGATGCTGGAAACGCTGATGCAGAGAATGCTGATGCAGAGAATGCTGATGCAGAGAACGCTGATGCTGGAAACGCTGGAAACAACAACAATGCGGGAAATGCCAACAATGCTGGAAACAATAATGCTGGAAACAACAACAACGCTGGAAACAACAATGCTGGAAACAACAATGCTGGAAACAAAAATGCTGGAAATGCCAATGTGAACGGCGACAACGCTGATGCTGAAGCTGGAAATAATAATGCCAACGGCAACAAAGCTAATGCGAATGGCGACAATGCCGTAGATGTAAGTCAACTCTGTTCCTTCTTAGCTACGATCAACTACTAACCTTTCCCACAGGCCGCTGATGGGGATAACGCAGATACCGGCGCGACGGATCCCGCTCAAGCAGCTGCTGATGCCGCTCTAGCTGAGAGTCAGGTACGTGGTTTCGTCCACTTTTTTCCAATGATCCATCTGAGAGCAGACGAGAAGAGAAATGAAGCTAACCAATGCTCTGCAGGCCGAGTCCAATAAGCTGCAACCTGATGCTTAATTCCATACTTAGTTCTAAAATGGTTTTTGGGAGTATAGTGGATATCGTGGTTAATGGACATTGTGGTGCTGAAAGGACGCTGCGCTTGCTGAATGAAAATCAAGGTGGGAATCTTAGGGAAAGATGTTTGGTGAAATCGAAACACCCAAAATTGAAAAGAAATGAGACATGACATGAACCATTCTAGATTTATTCTCTCGCAACTGCGGTCAAGGGGATGAATGTTGTGCCTGATAGTATCGACAATAACGAAATCGGAATTAAGCTTTCCACAACAGTGACATATGTGAACTAATCGAAGGATCAGAGACCACTACCCTCCGGTAAAACTGCGCCTCCAGGTAGGCCGCACTAAAAAGCAAACGCGCATCAAAAAGCATCATTTCATAGGGTGCTTAGCAGGCTTCGCTTCAAGGCACTCAGGCACCCTATCCTCCACCTGAGCTATCAAGTATTTCATAGAATATGAGTAGAAAAATTCTTACTTTCTTGATGCGCGTTTGCTTTTTAGTGCGGCCTACCTGGAGCCGCAGTTTTGCCGGAGGATAGTGGTCTCTGATCCTACGATTAGTTCAAGGAGAAACATACAACACATTTTAGAGCTTCAAGTCAAGTCTAAGATGAGTAGTCGGCTGTTGTGTGAATGACCAACCAACTTTCGTCGTCATTGCAAGCGAGAACGCTTATGCACCATCAATCAGGAGACCGACTGCAAGTGGTCGGAGAAGGGGATTGAAAAGCGATGGCTTGATACATGCCGAGCAGAGACGCCTGCCAAACAGTTGAGCATGAATATCAGGCCACATTATAGGATAGAGCAGTATGAAACAAAATTTGGTAGCGGGAAGGCTGCGAGCTAAATATGCTGTTAGTGAGGAAATCTTCGAAGCACATTTGCGGGAGACAATTGATGGATGCAATCAAGATACTACGATAGCGGCATCAAAATTGCCCATATGTCCGCGGTAGCCATCATACTGGACAACGACGAAATCTTTGGGTCGGCACTCCTGATAGTCGGGGCAAGCCGAGAAAAGCCCAGACGGGGGACATTCAACGCCTCGGAATATGATAGTCATACTGGCTCAGTCCGGACTTTTCTAAACATCGGCACTGAGAAAAGCCGTCGTAATTAGCTTTGTCACCCTTCTTCCACGAAACTTTCTCTTTGGCAATGTGTCATTACCTTAATGTGACTTCAGTCCAAGTTCGAGGATGGACGTTCCACCACCAAAGTAAAGGAAAATGTATATTAGATGACAAGTATAATTTCTCGGATTACTTCCGGCCAGAATTTTAGAAGCCGCTATGTGGTGCACCGTGGGCTTACAGGCGAAAACGCCTGACCACGCCACCCATGAATGTAGTCGGCGATTACAGTACACGACCTTCAGCTTGACCCCACTGAATCTCGGAACCTCCCGCAGCCACCATCCGAAACATTCAATCATAAATATGCCACAGAATATACCAGTAGACTGTCCAGTGGTCTGATCTTTTTCGGTAGGTCATCTTCGCTCTGGAGCAATGTTCTATGTAGTTGTGATCGCCGATCAAGCTGAACGGCCGCACCCTTGTATAGATATGTGATATAGGTGGCGAGACACACGGGAACATGATGTTCAGCTGAACATAATACCGCGCATGAAATTGATATTTGAGGGATGAACAACTTTACTGAAACGTTCTTTTGCAACCGCTTTTATTGAAGCCATGCTAGCAATATGATGGCAATCTAGTTGCTTTCTGTTCTCCAAAAGCTCGTCGACCAATACGTAGTATTCTGAAAGTCAGTCGCCTACAGTCAAGAATGACTGGTAAATTATCATCGGAGCCCTTAGCTCCAGAGATTTACATCTCATTTGAGCCTGTGACTGCCACCTTGCAATACATCGTCGCGGATCCAAAAACTGGTGAAGCAGCAATTATTGACTCAGTATTGGATTTCGACCCTGCAACCAACCGTCTCAGCACTAATTCGGCAGATGCTCTACTCTCTACAGTTGTACATAATGGCTTAAAGCCTACTTTCATCATGGAAACTCATGCACACGCAGACCATCTCACTGCCGCCCGATATCTCCAACAGAAGCTCGTTGAGCTAGGGCATCCCAAACCAAAGATATCAGCTGGAAAGCGCATCACACAAGTCCAAGCGACATTCGCCAGCCGATACGGTATCAGCAAGGATGAACTCGAAAACATCTTTGACCAACTTTGGGACGACAACCAGAAATTCAAAATTGGACTCCTCGACTGCGAGGTCCTTCATCTTCCTGGCCATACACCAGACCATGTCGGATACAGGATCGAGCAATATGTCTTTACAGGCGACTCTATCTTCAACCCAGATGTCGGGTCTGCAAGAGCAGACTTTTCTGGTGGTTCAGCAACGCAGCTGTACAAGTCTGCGAGAATCCTGCTGGATCTGCCTGATCATTACCGCTTGTATACTGGTCATGACTACCCTCCTTCTGACAGGGAAGTGAACGAGAATGGAGAAAGGTTTCGAGCTTTTTCTACTGTTGGAGAACAACGCCGTGAGAATAAGCACGTCAAGAGTGGTGTCGATGAGGAGACTTTTGTGAAGTGGAGGAGGGAGAGGGATGCTACACTTGGTGAGCCGAAACTACTTCACCAGGCGTTGCAATTCAATATCCGTGGAGGAAGGTTGCCAAAGATGAGCGAAAGAGGAGACAGACTCCTACTTGTGCCTTTAAAAGTTGACAGTGAGCTCCTGAAAATTATGTAGGGACCAAAATTGTAGGGTTTGAATGTGGTAAAGGTGCTTTCAAGACACTTTGGAGGACTGTCTCGATCAAGGTTTCTCGAGTCTTTGATTGAATGAATTTTGATTTTGAATGTCTTTAGCGTTCTCAAATGACAGCAACAATGTAGAGATTTTTTTTGGCGGTTGCGAGCCTATCCCGAGGTCATTTCAAGAAAAGTAAACCTGCCTTCTCCTTAAGGGTGCCTGATGGGAACATATGCGCCGCTTCTAACCGTGATCGTACAGTTATCTAGGCGAACGTAGCGGTGATAAGAATTGTATCTGTTTTCGACACGACTAAGAATCGAGCTCAGTAACCTCAAACGAAGCCGGGAGGCGTGTGAAGAACTGAGAATGTCTGAAACCCCCGAGCCCTAAGAGACAAGGCGTCCACTTACGGAAGACGTCTACCTAGACTAAGTCGGATAACACGAAGAAGGAATCTTCGAGAGAAATTTTAGCTCATCCGGTCAAAGTTAATGATAGTTCAACGTGAAGGCTGAAGGTGAACTTCTCTGGAAATATCTGATACATTCAGTGCAATCACATATGACTCGGCTGTATTTCGGCTAACAAAAGGCAATAAAAGAACAGAAATTCGGCTCTTCTAATTGTATGCATCGCGACAAGAAGAATAACTGTGCTGGTACGATTAGGAATTATCCGCGGGCTCCCGCAACGCAAGGTTTGATGTTGACTTGAGCTGGCTCGCTAAAAAAAAAGACCCACTAATTTAGCGCCTCGGTTCATTTTGACACTCACCTGCAGCGAAGAATTTGATTCAACAATGACAACGACACCCACAACCCAGGGAAGCTATCATCCTCGATGCTTAGCACCCACAGAGCATTCTCCTCCTTGAAAACAAAGATCCTTCGAGGTACTTTAACTCCCATCAAGGGCTCGCCCAAGGTGCTCTATCGGTCGCGGAATCGAACTCGACGTCACCTGATCATGGACAGCGCAGGAGAAGTGAGTGGCTCAGTCGGCATGAGAATAACAGCTCTAATCTGACCACAGAAAGATCATGACCATGATACACATGCGATACCTCCACAGGCTATCTGCAACGTGTATAAGAAATACCAGCGCATGGATGACGCTGCTGTGGATGCAGATCTCAGCATCGTCGATTTCAATCGAGGCTTGACAGACGTACAAAAGCAAAAGTTGTTCTCTGTAGGGACCGTAGAAGCTGAACTGATCGCAAAAGCTCAGAAAACGTACAAGTTCTACGGAAAAGACAGCATGGAGGAAGCTTCAGGATCAGATCCTCTTCCTGCACCGTGCACAGTCTATGAGCACAAAGATTTCCCAGGTTGGTGGGGTGCGGCTGAATGAATCATCATATTATTAATACATTGGCAGGTCTACGACTATTCCCTTCTCTACTACCTCCAGAATGTCAAGTTATGATGTTGAACTCGGTGATGCACCGTAACCTTGCGAACCCTCTTCACAAGACGAACTTGCAACCCGATTACGACATTCCATATCCCCCATCCACCTCGTCCACAGGGTCATTCTTCGGCTATCCCCCTCATTCCAAATACGAAATCTACAGACCGCTTAAAACAGACTCTAATCACAAACAGCTGAATACAACCCAATTCCTCTCAAAGAAGCTTCGCTGGCTGACTTTGGGCTCGCAATATGATTGGGCAACCCGTGCTTATCCTACAACATCACCAACACCATTCCCCCCAGATATCGCGTCATTAGTCACCACCCTATTTCACTCATCATTCACTCCGGAGTCAGGTGTCGTTCTTCTTTACAGTCCGAAAGATTATATGCCTGTTCATCGCGATGTCTCTGAACAATGTGATCGTGGTCTTGCATCCTTCAGCTTGGGATGTGACGGGTTGTTCATCTTATCAAAGGATATCAAAAAGGAAGGTGAAGAAGTAGATGAGAGCAACGAGGATCGGGAGATGGAGATGTGTGTTCTGAGGGTGCGGAGTGGGGATTGTGTCTGGATGAGCGGGGAAACCAGGTGGTGTTGGCATGCTATGCCGAAGGTTATGAACAACACCTGTCCTCCATGGCTTGTGGACTGGCCAGCTGAGAAGGGAGGTCCGAAGGAGTTTGAAAAGTGGAGGGGATATATGAGAGGGAAGCGACTGAATCTCAGTTGTCGACAGGTGTGGGGATAACTTTATCTTTGGATTCACGGCGTTTCCCCATCGTCGCCCTCCAGAACTAAACACATCAATGCCTTTACATATGTCAAAGGGCTCAGCAAAACAATCATCCTGCCACAAAAACTATCAACAGATACCTATCCATGCACTTCGGCCTTGGACTTTCAGAAAGACATCAACCGAACTCATCATCCTCAAAATTTCGCTTCTCCACACACCATTATACACCACACACACTGCTATTTGAGATCCTGATTCGTCGAATTGTGCTCATTCGTCAACCCATACAACCTCGCAAATAGATCATCAGTTGAATTCGTGTGCCTCACATATTCCATCAAAATCACCACCTGCACCGCTGCTTTTTCCGAAAACACCTCAGAAATCCACGCAATCGTCACATCAATGCCAGCTCACACACCCGGCGAAGTCCAGATATTACCATCAACCATCCATCGTGCCTCGGCAACCCATTTCACTCTCGGTCCCATCTCTGGCGTTCGCGCCCAGGCGGCTTTGTTCGACGTTGCTCTTCGTCCGTCAAGCACGCCAGAGCGGGCAGCGAGCCATGAACCAGTACAAGTCGTGATGAGGTATTTGAGACTTGGATAGCGGTCTCTGATGAATGCGATTTCAGGATCTAGCAAAGGCGCTGGTGCACGAGTTCCGAGGCCGCCGGGAACGATAAGGACGTCGAGTTCAGGGGCAGTATCGAAGGTGTGGGTTGGAAGGACTGATTCGCCGAACGTGGAGTTTATAGCATTCTTCCACCAGGATGGCTTTTCGGTTGCGACGGGATCGAGCGTGGTGGAGAGAAGTGTGAGGTTGATGGTATACTGCAGGCTGAGAAGATTGAGAGCGTCCAGAGGTCCGAAGACATCGAGCGCTTGGAAGCTAGGAAAGAGGACGTATCCAAACCGCGTGGGAATAGGGGCGGTGCTGTTTTGCGATTTGGCTACACTGGCGAGGACTTTGCAGGGAATGAGGGGTGTTGAGGTCGGTTAGTAAGCATACCGCTCTACTCAGGCGCTAATCCCTGTCGGCCCAGCCTGCCCGCCGTCGTCACCATCATTTTCTTCAAACAAAGCACTTTCCATCATCAAACGCGCCTGCCATCTCCTACATGCTACACGCGACACTTCATCCAAATCTTCATGATGTCGTCTTCTACTCATTCCAGCTCCGACTCCTCATCACACTCCGGCTCCTCATACCTCGACTCCTCACACTCCGACAGCCTCCTACAGCTCGAAAATATCATCGAAGAGCACTCTAAAGACACTCTCTCATACTCTGCAGACGCTCTACTACACCTTGTGGACGCCCCCTCTTCCCCGTTCTGCGAAAACACTCAGTTACACATGCCTCCTCAAAATCGCTCCGCAGGTCGTGACGTTCATATCTTTGATATACACAATCGAAGCACTTCAATTGGTGGCCTTATTCTTACAGCTAGTATCACAAATGCCAACCTATATTCTATGATACAGATTATTGTCTTCTTTGACGGCGAATATATTCTACGGAACGAAAGCGGTATTATAATAGAGAGAGATGATTCTCTACTTTTGCGTGGAAACTATTACATTGATTCTCCTCGTACGTCCTTTGCAAACAACGCTTTTATATAACTAACTTGTCAGTAGATCCATTTGTTGTCAATAATGAGGCAGTACTAGTCCGTACAGTTTCTTCATCGCATTCAGGACCTCGTGTGCATGCCTTCCGGGACGCTGTACGTTTGCGAGATGGTCGATGTATTATAACAGGGGTGGTAGCGCTTGGTGCTCAATATGATAACTGGCGCAGTTTTGAGGCTGCACATATCTTCCCGCTGGCTTACGAGGAGCACTGGAGAAATAACGATTACGCCCGTTGGATCTCGCTTTCCCCAAATGTAGGAGGTTCTATCAACTCTGTACAGAATGGGCTACTGCTTCGCAGTAATATGCACGACCTCTTCGACTCACATGAATTCTCGATTAATCCAGACGTATGTATCTGCTAATCTTTAAGAAGATAAAGTAACTAATTCTTATTTTAGGACAGTTACAAAATTGTACACTTTAGCTTTGATTATGATGGAATTGCTGGAAAACATCTCGATCAGAGATTTCTTGATGATCCTCAAAGACCACCAGATGAGCTCTTCAGGTGGCATTTTCGACAGGCGGTTCTCGCCAATATGAGGGGTGCTGGCGAGCCTAGATTCGAGCATGATTTCCCGCCTAGGTCTGATATAGTCGGTAGTATACTTGAGGGTCCAAAGGCTGCTGAGAGGATGGAGTTTGAGCTGTTCAATCGCTGGGCGACCGAGGTTGATTTGACTCAATAGCCAGGTTGATTTGGGAAGAGGACTGAATAGGACTTATAAAATAAAATATCAACCATGAACGCAGCTGCCCGGTTGTGTATCTGCTAAATGAAGTTTAGGAAGATCACGGAAGCAATTGCAACTGAGAACAATTGTGCAAAAAGAGATTCAAGGAGAAGATTTTAAAGCTGGAAGGGGAGGGGAAGAAGGTTAGATTGGCGATGTGTGATACTGTGTTGACTTTTCCGGGGGCGAGGTTTCCATGGGAGAAGCGTGTGGAAGTTTGTACGGAATTACGGGTGTTGAGTTTGGTAGATGGGGCACACGGGATTGGTAAGATGTGATGTTCCCGTCTCCCAAGTTTGAATCCTGCTTGCATAAAGTTGAGAGTATCTGGCTCTGCAATTTTTGGATTTGGTCATATGTCAAGATTTGAGATTGAAAGCCGCTGACACCATGTAGGACTAATAGACCTCACACATCTTGGCAAAGTCAGCCCAGACTTCTTCGTCAGCAATTGTCACAAGTATGTTATATCCTCTCCACAGCTTTGGAACCTTCAGAGATGAACAGAAAGGACTAACGACACTTTCCAAAAGATGGCTCTACACTCCCCGCTCTTGCGCCGTCCTCCACGTTCCAACCCGGAACCAGCACCTCATCCGGACATCCATCCCTACCTCCCATGGTTACCAATATCTCATCACCCCCGAAGACCCAAGTGGTCTCTCCTCATTCACCCACCTTTTCGAATTCGTGGCCACAATGGACTACACTCCCTATCTTTGCATCCCAGCCGCTCTTGAATTCCGCAACACGGTATGCGGTGGTGAAGAAGCGATCCGGAAATACTGCTTTGAGATTGCCCGGAAGGGAGGGGATTGTGTGGCGAGGGCTTTAGGGACAAGTGTTATGACTACTGAGGGGGGAGAGATGAGGGCATGCGCGTTCGCTAATGTGGAATTGCCTTTTGACTTCTGCGATGTTACTGACGCCCGTTCGAAGGAAAATGATGAAGACATCGAAGGTAGAGAGAAGACCTTGAAACTTAGCGAAGCGGAGAAGATAGGGGCTTGGATCAAAGTCACTGCCGCGAAGGAGTTTGATACTTATTTGCAGACTGCGGTACATGGTGGGAAGCTGTGGATTCGTTTTAGTGGGCAGATTTACCTCGAGCTCGCGGATTTCGAGTGGGTGGCTCCAAGATTGAAGGAGCTTTGTGCGAGGGTGAAGAGTAGGGAAATAAGTGAACGCGACAAAGCGAGAGCTGTAAAGGTGGATGATGTTGTTCTTGAAGGGTGAGGGAGGAGAGGAGCGGAGAAACTTTGAGTTGAGGAGAAACGATTGCCCAAATGTTCCAAGACCCTTTTAAGACCCGAGGAGATCTCTGGTAGTACAGACTTGAAGAAAGAAGTCGTTCGTAGAGAGTCCTTGTGGAGGAGCATAAATACCATGTACATATTCATCAGTAAATGCTAAACATAGCGGTTGGTGAATATCAACACTTATGACTTGCTCCTTGATCCGCCGAACATGGAGCTCCTATCACCGTATGGGAAGTGGTCATCGCAAACAATCAAGATCTATGGTAACAGCATAATAATATTACATAAACCGCGTTATCGTTTCCGTTCCAATTTCAAGGGGTGCAGAATGTCCAGTATGTTGTCATGATCGTCACGTGATAGGTTTTGACATTTGAGCAGGACAAGACTTGGATACTCAATTAATCAAGTTAAAATGATAGTCCAGGTGATTTAAGATAAGGACTGAATAGAGCTTATAAGTTTAAGTGTCAACTATGAATGCAGCTGCTCGGTTGTATTTCCGCTAGGCGCAGTCCAGGAAAATCACGGAACCAAATGCAAGTGAGAATAATCATTTCAAGTCAGAACAATTTCTACCTGTTGCAATACATCGAATCTCCGTAACCACGAGCAATTCGCTTGGGTATAATAATGTCTCCCATCCCTCTTTCTTTGTCTTCCCCACCCAAGAATCCAAACAAACCGAGCGGAAGTGAAAACAAGAGAACAACCGCAGCAAAGCTCCCACATAGGCGCAATATGGAAGTAAACACTAACAGCGCAATGATGCCGAGAATCACAAGAAGAAGGTGAAGATCTAAGCCTTCCCATTCACTTCCTCCTTCTCCTTCTCCTCTTGAATAACCTCCTCATTATCCTTCTTCCACTCCTCATCATGATGCATAATCACCGGTCTCCCCAACTTATCTGTTCCTTGAGCCCACAGACTCAGAATACTGCCTCTGCGCTCAGCACCAACCGGTCCAGTCGAGCCTCTGCTCCCTCTGCTCCCTCTCGACTTTCTCCGCTCCTTCTTCTCGGCCTCGCCAGTAACATCAACAGGCTTGACGAGCAGGAACTCGCCGTCGTCTTTGATTTCCTCAGGCTCCAACCTCGCGAGCTTAGCCTTCATCTCCGCAAGTTCCTGCCTCAACTTCTTGACCTCCTCGCTGGGATCCTCCTCCTCAACAACAATAACCTTCTTGCCATGTATGCCATCCACATCCTCACCATTCTCAATCTTCTCGAGATCCTCCTGCGCCTCCTCGCCGCTGTCATGCACGAGGATGTCGTTGCCGTCTTTGTCTTTTCCGGAGACCCAGACGCTGAGCACGGAGCCGTGGCGGCCGGCTTGCTTCTTGGGGGATATGGGCATCTCGGCCTTGGACCACATGGATTGTCGGCGGCGCTCGCGGATCGCCCAGGATTCTTCGGGCGCGGTGGTTTTGCTCCAGTCTTGACGGTGTGCGGGGTCGTCTTTCAATTCGGGGCCGTCGTCGGTGGAGAAGGTGGTGCCGTTTGTTGCGGCTGCAGAGGCGGAACCGCTGCCACTTCCACTGCCTGCTGTTGAGAGGCGGCCTGTTGAATCGAGGGTTAGATGGAGTCTGATATGGGGGTAAGGTAATGAGAATTGATAAGTAGAGGATTTGAAGATCTGGATAACTATTTTCAATTTGGGGGAGTTTCTGTGGAAATTGACTTACGCAGTGTGTTGACATCGAAGACCGGGGAGGTCGGACTGACGACTGTTGTGCCAGGCATGATTATGAAGATGGAATCTCTGTATATGGAGCTACCGTCCTCTACAATTCTATCCCTTCGTCAAACTTCAAAAATATATCCGTCTAGATCTATTTTCGTTCTGATCTTCGTCTTGATCTCGATTCTTGTTTCGCTTTGATGTCTTTTCTTTTCTTTTCTTTTCTTTTCTTTTCTTTGTTGTTAATTTGGGCGAATATGATGACGATGCGGGGTTTGTTGTTGTTGTATGTCAAAATCAAGGATCGGTTTGAGAAGAGAAACCACGGGACCTACCCCTTATATACCTCCCGCCAGTCCCAAGCCAGACCAGACCAGGCCAGGCCAGGTGTGTCTATCTATCTCATCCCTAACGTAAGAACAAGAACGGCAAGATAGGATAGGTCCATCATGTTTTCCCCTCTCTCGTACCGCCAGTCAGAGTCAGCTTCTGCCTCCCTGCCCTACCATCCATCCCTCCCTCCTATCCCTATGAAGGTAATTTAGCTCCTCCCAGTGCACTAAAACCGGGACTTGCAACCGCAGCCAGCTCTCCACCACTGAAAGCACATCCATCTGCCTGCCTGGTTGGTAGAGAAACCCCATATCCACTGCCCATATCTCGCTCTCGGCAGGCTACTGCGCAGGGGGAGGGATGCTCCACCCACTGCCGCCAAGCGTCCAACCTTTTGGAGGTAAGTTAAGTTACTGTATCCCCCATCCCCAGGAAAACCCCGCAGATCGAGCACGCTCTAAACCACAAGAGGGTCGGTCGTTTGGGGTGAACCACCTGCACCCGAACCAGCGAGCGTCCCACTCATTATTATTCGCCTTAACGTCATGAAGCTAACATCTCGCAACAGCATCTAAGCCACCACCGTGCGCGCTCTACAGTAGCGCTCTGCCTGGGGCTGTCAACAGCTTGAGATGCTAGGAAGTTAGAGATGCCTGGCCAGTGAGACGGAGTGGTGAGCAATGCGAACTGCGAGCAGAGTTTGGGAGATGCTGCACGGCGTATCATGCCCAGACGGACTCGCCGTTGAGGGAGAGATACACTTTTTGGTAGACATGAATTAGAGTAGCTATGCATCTGCAGTGCATGGCTGGGGGACTGCAGATAGCGGGAAAGTAAATCGTCGTGTCATGATTCGGATGTCTACTTTCTCACTTTCTCTGCGTTACAGTACCCATTGTTTTCTTTAGCTAAGTTAGAACCCAGGAAATCAAATCGCCTCTAGATTATGCTTTGCGGCAGGGCCATGGACTTCTGGTGCTCCCTCCGTGTGTCTGTGTCTGACGAGACGAGCGCGGGGTCCGATCTGCATTCCATCCCCCAGGCCCCACCCAATTGGCTTACTGTACATGCAGAGAGGGCTTATCTTTCCATCTTTTTTGTACAGTACCGTATCTTGCGCATTTCCACGCGAGCCGTGGCTGGGCTTCTGGGCATGCAGACTCGCCCGCCCAGGAAGCTTGGGATAATTTGAAAAGGAATGTGGAGCAGTGGTGCGGTGCATCATTTCGTTCGTCTGGAGTGTGTGAGTGCTGCATGTGATGGGTTGATAGGCGTTGATAGACTGCTTGGCGAATCGTCATGGAGGACGCGGTTGACGAAAGGGGGGAGCACTTTTCTGTGGTACGGTAACTTACTGTATCTGAACCCGGAGCTTTTTGTGTGATGTGATGTGATGGGTGATGCTGATGGGTGAGTTGTTTGCGGCACAGAAAGAGAAGCGAGAGCGTTCAGGCAGAGAGAGGGATGGCAAGGAAGTAGAACGGTTGCGTCACGCTGCTGCGAAAATCCCCCTTCCCCTGAGATTTCGATGTGTACGATGACGAGAGATTGATGATTGATCATCGCCGTCTTTTCTCGCATGACAGCTGCTGCATACTTCCCGCATAGTTCCCATGGACTACCAAACAAGGCAGTACCTCAACAGGTGTACCTGTCTGACTTAAAACTTCGCGATATGATTTAAACCTCAACAAAATGTTCGAGGCTGAAGTATGAAATCAGAAAACTAATATGAATGCATCCAGACGCGGGGTAAGTGTGACTACTAATCATGCTTTAGGTAAGAACTTCGTGAAGGGCCCGTCAGTCACCCCTCCCTACTACCTAGCCAAATCCAAACTCTCGGTCAAACCATGCCATACCAACAAAAGCCTAGATCTAGGTCCTCGTGAACCCTGAGGTCCTCACGATTCATCATGCGTCCCTGAATCGAGGTTAAATGAAACTTAATGCGTGTAGCAAGCAAAATGCCAGCCGAATCGGGATCTGAGGTTCGCGATGCAGGACACAATGAGCAGAGTTGATTCCCATCCCACAGTCAATTCAAATCGCGAGAATGACCCCGTGAGAGTCTGGTTGGGTACCATTCTTCTCTCTTGACCTGCCTCGGTGAGTTTTTCTTCTGTATGAAAAGGAGGCCTAGATTCCATACAATTTCAATCCAGCCCGCCTCCACCTACCGCGAGAAAAGCAGCGACCAGCGCCACAGAACGCCTCGGAGCAAGTAGCCTGGCTGCCTGGCTATCGAGTGCATGCACCTCAGGGTCCGTATCCCGTAGTGCGCGGTCGGGGAGTGACGAGTTGAGTAGGTAGATTAGCTTGCAGGAGACTGTGGGACGTGGTTGGATGGATGTAATATGTATGAATAGAGCTCTCATGGGAAACTCGCGTCGGTTGGTTGGTTGGGTGGTTGAGAGGTGGGGCTGAAGAGCAATGTAAGATAAACATGTGAAAGAAATGAGGGGTGACATGCGAGATGATGCGTGGGATGGGATGGTTGAAGTGAGGGATTTGAGATAAGTATATGAGTGATATATTGCAATTCACTCACATTTTGTTTTTTCATGTATGCCAGCAATCGCCAGTAAAGTCGAGAGGCCAAGAAGTTTTAGTTGCGACTGACGCAATCGAGGTCAGAATCGAATACTTCAAGGCAAGGTTACCAGAGAGCCAGCTCGGCCCAGCTTTCTCTCCGCACCCACAGGTCTTCTGCGGAGGATACAGCAGCTAACAAGAACAGTCTGCACGAAAGAAGTCAGGTAGAAACACTCCGCGGAACGATCGCCTCCCCAGATTCTATATGAAACGAGAGAACCTAGTCTTTGGATTCTGGTGTGGATCGGAGCTCAAGAGCTTTGATAGCTGTGCAAATACCATCGTCGAAGACCAAGGAACGTCGATGTCACCCAGGCAAGAAAAGCAGCCGGGTCTTTCCCGGTGGAGCATGATTAGATATGCGACAACGCTACAAGACGACCTTGTGATAACGGAGGCTGCGGCCTCGTGAAGACTGATTTGAAGGCGAGGGTAGTGAAGATAAGCTTCCGGGCGAAAGACACACATGGATACCGAGTAGCTTCTGGTGGCATGTGCTGGATATCGCCATGGCGACTGGTGGACCTGCCGAAGCAGTAAGAATGATACGCAACCAGCAGCATTGCTCGATATCTCGGTAGGTATTGCGGCAGGTCAAACTATTGTTGCAATGTCCAACCAAGCAAGGAGGCATGGAGAAAAGTAAACTGATTGTGAAATCAGCTAGACGAGTTCAGCAAGATCCGGTTAGTTATGCCAATGCTACGAGACTAGACAAAACAGACTGTAGCTCTGTGGCGAGAGAAGACGGAATAATGCAGACAAAACTTCTGCCAACCGATAGAACAACAATCAATGGACGTTGTGTGTAATGTCCGGTAATCCCAAGACATACACGAACACCCTCCTGTGAAGTCCTCGCTTCTGTTTGTTGGCTTCTTCAATTCCCCGGGTTCATGTGCGCGCAGATGTCGAAAAGTGTGTGCAGGGTATGATGCTCTCTACTGATCTCAGAAGCGATCAATGATAACAGAACATGGTAGACTTGACAAATCTCTGCCCCCATACTTAACTGATAAGATAAAACTTTCCGACTGAAATATGGAAAGCAACTGGGGAGTATGCCATGAAGGCCTGGAAACATTGCAATTACTTCTCTGAGGTACCCTCAAACTCTTGACCCATTGATCCCATGACACCTACTTTTCCCAATCACACCCGTCCCCTTGCTCCCCTGAAATGTTCCAATCACGATCCCCTTGAGACACTCCTCACTGCTTAGCAGGCACACTTGAAAACAACCCCACCAACCCCTCACTCAACGTCGGATGTGTAATAACCAAATCTCTCACATCTTCATAACTCAACCCCTTCTTCATTGCCAATTGCACCACAGGCAACAACTCACCAGCCCCCAATCCTAAGACCGTAAACCCCAGAATAGTATCATCATTTGCAATCAGTGCCTTCGCAAATCCAGCCGTGTTGCCCAGCGTTCGGGTCTTCAGGAACCCTGCCATAGGCATTTTTGCCAGACGGAAATTCAACCCCTTGGAAACAGCTTCGTGCTCGCGGAGACCGACATGGGCAAGTTCTGGGGTTGTGTAGAGGGTGAATGGGACTTGGCAGCTGGATTTCCGGAGAGGAGGCTGAGGGCGTCCGAGTAGGATGGATGACACAATGCGAAAGTCATCATAGGCTATGTGTGTGAAGCTTGGAGAGCCGGCACAGTCGCCCACGGCGAACACATCTGGGCTACTGGTCTCGAGATTTTCATCGGTGGAGATGAAGTTTTGAGGTGTGAGCGTTATACCGGCGTCTTCGAGACCGATGTTGTCTGTGTTGGGAAGACGACCAGTGGCACAGAGGATATGAGAGCCTGTTATGGTGAAGGGCGAAGTGGAGGAGGTCCCGGTGACAGTTACTGAGGTGCCGGATTGCCCCGTGACGTTTGCGATGGCTGTGGAAGTGAGGATCTTGACTCCGTCATTTTCGAGGACTCCTTGCAGAGCCGTGACGATGTCGTCGTCTTCCTTCTTCAGCAACCGAGCGTTCCTCTCGATAACAGTGACTTCAGCTCCAAGGCGTCGCATAGCCTGAGCGAATTCAAGACCAATGTAACCACCACCGATGATGATGAGATGGCTCGGCAACACATCCAATTCCAAGATTTCGATATGTGTCAGTGGGTTTGCGGCTTTCAGTCCCGGGATGTCATCGATTCGTGCTCTGGACCCAGTAGAGATCACAATCTTGTCCCCAGTCAAGACTTGCTTCTCGCCATCTTTGCCAACGACTTCAATACTCTTCGGTCCAACGAATGTCCCCTGACCCCAGATAAGCTCAACACCGAACTCCTTGAACTTGCCCGCGTGCATGTCTACCAGACCAGAGACCATTTCCCTCTTCCTCTCGCGAACCACAGTCATGGATAGGTCGAATTTACCTGGTGAGTTGAGTATTCCGTAAGATTGACCTTGGGAGGCTTCATAGATCACGTTTGCTGTATGAACGACGTTCTTGCTGGGAAGGCAAGCGATAGTAGGACATGATCCTCCGAGCCAACGCCTTTCGATGACAGCACACCGTTTACCCCCTTGCGAGGCAAGAGTCCATGCTATATATTTACCAGCCTCACCACTGCCAAGTACAAGTACATCGAAGTGATTTGGATCCGCTGAAGACATATTACAGGACGAGGTTGAGGATTTTTTTGCTGGTGCCAAAAGAGGTTTCTGGACAAAGTTTGCTAATAGGTCTTGCTGCGGTAGTAAGGCCAGTTGAATGATTGACGACAGATCCATAGTCAACATTGATACTCATCTTTATATCGACATTGTTCTGAGTAAAGTCCTCGGCATTTGTTGTGTTCGTTCTTATTCATCCCGATGCAGGTTAAGACTTCGGGGATTGGGTGCTGCACCCCGGATTTAGCCATCCGCTGCCCTGACTGATCACCGTGGCACCAATGCGTCTCACAACATTGCTCTGACGATTTGTAAATAGGCTCTACCCGTTTCTGGTAGGGCTTGTAAAGGCATGACTAATTGAAAGAACATGTGTGATAAGGCTTGTATCGATGTCTGAGGTGATGAGATAACAGATCCCGAGGGTGATGTGCATGCTTACTTGCAGGAGAACAGCAGCAGGCAGAAGCCGGGATTGAAGCTGGTATTCTAACATCGGGCAGACTTGCCAGCGGATTTAAGCAGAATCACAAAACAGCAAGTGTAGTGAGTAAGGATTGAGATTCTCACTACTACACTGTCAATTGACTAAAGCAAGGGAGAAAGCCACCTCGCAACTGATAGAAAGGGGTTCCTCCATAAGCTCGATAATAACAGTGAAAGCTTCAAGGCGACGTGCAGCAATGAGGAGAATAATGAATCGCAATTAAAGACGTAATGAAAAGTCTTGCAGGCAAAAGAAGGGGACTAAAATGCAAGAATAAACGTAGAGAGACGTGATTATTGAAGATCGGGGACTGGTCTTTGTGGTGTGCGTAGCACAACACGACTTTGCCAGGACACCCAGCACAGCTCCCTCCAACAGTCTAGCAGATCAAGCTCCTGATCTGATATCTATCAATAAGATCTCCATCAGTGCGAGGACTAGACGATTACTTCATACTATCGTGTCCAGTCCTAGGGACATCCGCATGACTAACTGGAATCGAAGAGTACCGTCCACACGATTCATCGCGGAAACATGCGATACGGGAACACTTTTGGATTGATCAAGTTGTAGATCAGAAGATCAAAAGGGGACGAACTCGAAGTTGCAACCAGACGGCAGCTTCTGGGAATTTTACCCTTGAGGCATGTCATCAATCGTTGATTCGGAGAGGAAAATTGAAAGCGTTCTCTGGCTTTGTGGGCACAGACCAGATCGAGATCACGTGCTAGCGCGTGCCTTCCACCGTCATGGATATTTCGAGCTCAACAACACATCACACAATGCCTGCTTAACTTATGTTGAATTATACGACGAACTTCCTCTGTCATGATGCGACGAGTCCATGACTCCACTGAGTTTGCGAGCCTCTCTAAAGCCAAACGGAACATAGGAACAACGTCGCTGCTGGGTGCGACTTCGAGCACAAGAACCTCCAGGATGGGTGGTTCACCGGAGACTACAACGACACCGCGTACACACCTCGGAGATACAAAAACATCTCATACATGCGCAGGTATGACAGGCAATGTATGCGGCAAATACGCCTTATGGCATAAGATCCACAGCTGTGGGGGAAGCAAGTCTTTTGCGTGTCGCATACCTTGGGATGACGACTGCCAGGGAACAAGCAAGCAAGCGAGCCTTTATTCTGCTGGAGAGCTCTTCGATTCAAGGCATTGAGTCTGCCACTGGGGCTTCTGTCAATGAAGGCGTGGTGGAGTATGGCAAGCAGCCAATCCAAAGTACCGGACAATCGTCCAGTGGAGCTCATTTGCTGGCACTGCGGTCAATCCGCCTCGGATTCCACTCTGCGAATAAGGGGCCATCCAGTCACTTTCAATGTTGCTTCGAAGGACTTGGAAGTCCTTTAACGAAGGCAAGGAACGTTGCCGTTCTCTATGTGAAGACGCTCGTGGGGATGCTGTTGACCCTGAGAATCATCCACAAAAGCAAGTCGCGAACAGACTTTGGTATAACTTGCCGGTGCTTGCAATAGCATAGATTCCGCATCTCGGTTCGAAAGAGCTGGATACAGGCAGAGGACGGGTCGTAATGGAGAATAACGAAGACTTTGCCGGGAAGAATTCAGGAGAAGGATGATTGCCTCGATTCTGCGGCAAAGCTCGACCGACTCTGCATATCGCACCAGCAATGAGGGGCATGAGGGGCAGACGAGAAACGGTTTATTGATAGTTGATGCGACGAATCCTGCGAACACTATATTTAACCCAGCAAAGGAGAGAGCGAAAGGAAAACCGGCTTCTCGAAACAGTAATTGTTGCGGACCTCCCGCCATCACAGCTGCGCGCTGCACACACCTCCTTCTGAGGAATTTTTGCCCCAGCAATCTGGCCATGTTTTTGTTCATGTTTGAATGACTCTCGGATTATTGATCCTTCCAGCAGCTGGATAAACGCAGGTGGGGGCGGGGTACTGCCAGACTGGATCATTCTCTCCGTGAATTGCAACTTCAAAGCGCGATTCTGCAAGTGGCGTCTGCACGAAGTGGAAGGGAAGATATCTTTCCGCCTGCAGGTTCTCAGCGACCTCTTATGACTCTTGAACTTGGATAATTGTCCCCACACAGTTTCGAGTTGCCATCGCAGTGACTCGCTGCGCGAGTGGCGTAACAGGTTGTCGGTGCTCAAGCCTTCGAAGGATCCTCTTTCGTGCGACGTTCCTTCACGACGATGTTGTTTCTTTATTCCGTTATTACCGTCAAACAACTAGGAGATCTCCGACATTGAATTTTCTCCTCGTTGTTTCTTCTTTTCGATTCCGTGGGGATATCCAGGATCCAGTATTCCTTCCAGGAACTGCGCATTAATGTATTCCCTTGGACCATTCGGTGCTGAAACCCACGCAGCAGCCAGCTTTCAGCCGCATCAGACATGCGATACTTCTCCTATACTTTAATCAAGCTGATGCATTTGGGAGGAGCATTTCCTGATTTGCCTCTTGCGATTATCGCCAGTAGATTTACGATGAGATGAGTCTGGAAGCGGTCCATTCCCTCGCCAGGGTACACTGGGATGTCAACTGAATCATGCTCGGCATGGTCTCCGGACGATCCGTGCAGATCTTCATCTGTGGCTTGGAGCGGGGGTCTGTGTGCATCCAAATCAAGATGCAACGTCTTTGCACACGGCTACAGAAACTTCTTTTTTCGACATCAAGGCATCATCTTGGTTTTTTAGGTTTGACATTAATTACTGTGAAAGTTCTTGGACCGGGCCTACTGCGAAAATCCTGGAAAGCGTCCGAGGTTCGGGTTGCCCTACCCGGCAACTAACTCAAGTGAGTGGGGTTGGTTCACTGGTCGTAGGGGCTTCTGCTCACAACTGACCAGTCAGTATCTCAAAGTGACGGCCACAAATCGATGGTCAAGCCCTTAGATAGAGGCGAAAAGATTGCGCCGCGTGCCGCTTAAACTCAGAGTTCTCTCAGGTAAGGAAGTGAGCAGGCTGATCAATTGAATCCTCGGCATGAAGGCGACCATGGGGCAAATGCAATCGAGATTATGCCGAGGCCAGTCTTCGACCCCGACTGGGTTCTCACGATGTTTCTTTTTTGCCGCCGAGGCGTTGCGCATCACCAGAAATGCGTGGCATCCGCTCTCACTGGCGCGCTGTGATTGCGGGCTGGCTGCCATAGGATGAGCCTCTGCCAGTTGGGTGTCGTGACTCGGTCCTCCCTGTGCGCAGTGCTGGTATTGGGTGCAGGGCACATGTTTTTCGTCCAACCATCGCCTATCAGCTGCAGTGGACGTGCGTTTTCAGACGAAAACAATAATTCGCTAGGGAGCCATCCCTTTGATTGGTGTCATCCTACTGTCAACTAGCCCATGAACTATTTGCTCCACAGACGTTCGAGCTTCACGCTACTATTTGACGTCCATGTGGCTCACAGTACTAGCCCTATTTCTGGCCAGCCCGCCCCTTTTAGAGCGATCTACGGTGATATTTTGGATCATTCCCCAGGTCTGTAGTCGCGGGGAAAACTCTCGTCTTGTGCCACCAGGAAAGCTTTCTCGACCTCAACATTCTCTTCCAAGAACAAGACAAATCTTTGGAGATGACATAAGGCTTTCTGCCATTGAGCTTTAATACCCGTCCCGCCATGCGTGTCTCTCTTTTGCTCCCGGCCGCAGCCTTTTTTGGTGCCGCTTTGGCTGAGCTCGACTACGCGTTGTTGACCAAATTCCCAAGCTGTGCTGTAAGTGCTTTACGGCTTCCCAAATGGAACATCGTTAACACATATACCAGCTGAAATGTGCTACAACAGTAGTATTACCTAAGTGTAATATAACTGATTTGCCGAATTGTCTGTGTAAAAGCGACGACCTCCAATATGACATCTCCACGTGTGTAGTAGGGGCATGTAATGTCACGGACCAATATGGTACACTGCGAACTACCCACCTAAATTGTTTCCCAGGCACCGAAGCTAACTATGACCAGCTTCTTTGACGATTTTACAAGAAGGAGTATGCAAAGGGGTTCCAGTACCATCTCGTCAAGCAGAACTCCGCCGAGCAGCGATCATCCTGGCAGCCTTCACGTACCCGATTATAGTCCTACGTTTCATTTCAAGAGTCATAATAGCTCGCAAGGTGTGGTGGGATGATTGGACAATCTTGGCTTGTGTTGTGGGTACTTTCGATTGAATCAGCACGGACAACACGCTGATGGCATTTTTAGGTGTTCATGATACCCATGACAGTACTTCCGATCTATCGTACGTGCCCAAGGGAGCTCCATCTCGAATTCGAAACTGACAACAGTTAAGCTTCATCTGGTCTCGGATTAGGAAAACACTTCTACAATGTGCCGCCGGTAAACTTTGACATGCTCTTGAAGGTAGGGATACTTCTGGAATTGTGAGAGTCGGAGAACTGACAATACGATAGCTCTTTTATGCCGTGCAGCTCTTCTATGTTGTTGTTCAGACCCTCGCCAAGATGTCCATTCTTCTTCTCTATCTCCGGATCTTTCCAAGCCAGCGCTTTCGTCTCATTATCAAGATATCCATGGTATTCATGGTGTGCCATGGTACTGCCTTCTTCTTTGTCGTCGCCTTCCAGTGTATTCCCGTCCGCTCAATCTGGGACCGTGGGATCGCAGGACAATGCGTCAATTCCCAAGCTTTGATCTATGCCGGCGCAGGTTTCAGTATCTTTGAGGACTTTGCGATTATGCTCCTTCCAATCTTCGAGCTGAAGGGGTTGAATTTAAGTCGTAGGAAGAGAATTGCGCTGGGTTTCATGTTTGCTTTGGGGTCTTTGTGAGTTTTCTTTCCCACAAGCTTGAACATAGCGCTAATCAATCTCAGCGCTTGCATTACGAGTATTATCAGAATCAAGTACGTCACATCCTATGGTAACACAATCGATGAGACTTGTAAGTTCCAAGCCTCCCCAGCCAATATCCTCACTCATATTGAAAATAGGGAACTACGTCGACGTTGTCATTTGGTCATCGATCGAAACATTTACAGCTGTGATATGCGCTTGTTTGATGTGTATCCGTCCACTGATCATGAAATACATGCCTGGAGTATTCCCAACGACCATCAATTCTCGAAACAACACCAACAAAAGTTGGGGCCAGAAGATCGGGTCCCGCGGCCAGAATTCTCGAAACTTTGGTGGCGGCATCGAATTGTCTGGCGAAGACAGAGCAAAGCGGTCGAATCCAAGTTCGCAGACAGCCAGAAGTCAGATCACCGTTACCACGGAGAGCCGAGTTTCTTTTGAAGCCAAAAGGGCCTCCGAATACACGGCATTTACCCGCGAAATGGCCGACGATGCGACGATATCCAGCGAGTCACCACTAACGCATACAAAGCGGTAGGCCACCTGCACAATGCTGGAGGTATCCTTTCTAAACTATATGTTTCTTTCCCACTTCTCATACACTATCATCGGCGCGGCTTGGCGTGAGTTGAAAGCCCACGCGGTACATCATAGGATCCTGGTCCGCTTCTATAATTCATACTCCTGAACCATTCGTCTACCCCGATATTCGACACTGGCCGGACGTGGAATGCTGGGGATAGACTCTGGCGCTGATTTGATCCAAAGAACAAGTGCTCGTGTTCTTAAGTGCTCGTTCGAGGAGGAAGTAACTATATACGTTATCGTCGGTATGAGCCCTCTATTGAACAAGAACGCTCGACCATACTGCTCAAGACCTCTCGCTTGCCAGCTGCCATACTGCTCGTCTACCAGGTCGATAAATGTTTCGAATGTTCTGATTGGTTGAGGGCCCTGGGCAGCAGGAAATCCAGCATACATCCAGATTCGAGCTGACAGGTGGAGGATTCGGAGTTGGTTTATATAATCTTTGTCCTCTGTGGTTAGGAGAAACTTGGGATCTGCTATAATCGCCTCGAGCCTTGCGTGCCAGTGCGCAAGATGCGATATATGGGAAGTGACTTGAGTATCGAGGAACTGCCGACCAGAGACGTCACGTTTCCCATTCGACAGCAGCACAACGTCCAGACGAATCAAGCGAAGACCTTCCTTCGAAAGAGCCTCCATGGCCTTCCCCGCCGCTACCAAATCATCGAACTCGGACAGATCTACATCATCGCGGTCCTCGATTGGAACCGTCTCTTGCATCGCCTGCCCATCGAGGCTTATCCTGTTCATCAACTCTACTAAGTTCGCCTCCAACGAGCCTTCGCTCACATGCCTTCCAGCTCCATTCCTCCATCGACTAAATATCTCAAGTCCATATTGCAAGTGCCAGACCGCTCTCGCAAAATTACCACCAGACAGGAAGTTGAATACAACAAACAATGCACAGCTCGTCAGCGCAACTTCTTCACTCGCCGTGCCTGCCGCTAAATTACTCGCCAGAGCCGAAACCGCGGACTGATAATGTCTTTCCGCGAACTCCTTGCGGGCCCTGGATGAACTAGGGTGGAGCCGAGGATCGTCTGGGAGAGCCTCACGGAATAACTCGATGTTTTCATGGATGGTAGAGATGGCTATGATGGCGTGTCTGGTCGAGGGCTGCGAGTACGCTAGCTGTGGGAGTTGTAATGTCCAGAAAGGAGCAAGTAGCCAGCCGCCTAATACCGTGGCTGTCCGGCAGTGGAAATGGTCCAGGGCGCGGAGGTCGCAGCGTGGTAGATCCTGGTTGGTAGATGGATTCGATGGGATACCGGGATCATGCCTCGTGAATCTAGTATGGAGATTAATGGGTTTGGCAGTCGTGGGTGCAGGTGCCAGCGGAACGGGTGTTGACCGCTGAGGCACCTTTTTGGCTCGAGAAGATGGCAGCTTGTATCCATCACAGGTTCGTCCTGTGGATATACATTTGTTGCATTGCGGTTTAGCTTCTGCATTGGATGGAGTCAGTGGCTATATTTTCCATTTAGATAAGATCCGCAGGGACAATTCGTCTGTCCCGATTCAGGGTTTCCATTTCATATATTGAGAATATCAAAATATATATTTACCATCACATTTTATACGGCGTAATCTGTTGACTATTAGTTTTGTTCATATTCTAATAGTGATCTTGGACATGAGTGGTAGAGACAATGGACTGACTTGCACGTCACGCATCCGGTTCTCGTCTTCGGAGCTCCTTTCCTTCCTCTCTTCGGCTGCTCCACTAGAGTCGGGAGGCTTGCTTCCTCTGTAATCTCCTCCTCCCCCTGCTCGCTAACCATGATTTCTAAGATCAATTCCAACGCCAGCGACGATTCCAAGATCTTGAGTTTTTGCCGTTTCCCCTAAATCTCCCCCAGGTCCAAGCCAATCTGGTAGAGCCTCAGTAACAAAATCAACTTTAACTCAAGTTTCGGTTCCAAGCTTGGACGAATTTCTGTTATCGCTACGAGTAGCGAACTCTCCATCTATCTGTACACACAAATAAGACAGTCTCGAGATGTTGAAAACATGAGCGGCGTATGTTGTCAGCTTTTGATATCGCCTGGGCATCGGAAGAAGGCTTGGCGCGTAAACGTCAAGTATGGCCAGGCGCCAGCGGGTGGTAATTGTTGGTGGTGAGAGTTGGTCGTCCCCAAACAGATATCGCGGAAGATGTGCAAAGTTGAGAGAGCGATAGGGGCTGCGCTGTATCGAACCAAGTGGGAATCTGGGATCGAGGATGCTGCATGTCAGATGAGATGAGATCTCGGTGATCTGCGGCGGAAGAATAAGAGTGGAGACAATTGCTTTGTCAGCGAGATGTCAGGGGATTGACACTTTCCCAATGAAATTAGAAAATGGATTTCCTCGTTTAGTTGGTGTATGCAATGGTTGTGGTTGTATTTTCAGACTGGATATCCATTCATGTGACTGGAGGTTGAGGCCAGTGAAACGCTTGTCTTGACACTTGAAAAATAAATTTCTTGGGGCGAAACTACATCATGCTCTGCTGTATCTAAGAGACTTAACTGCTTGAGCACGGGAAAATTGTAAATAAAACTGCCGGTTATCAATCATTCAGGTCATTTAATTTTCACGAGATTTCTACTTGTGCTTGTTTATCTCCTCGGCAAAACCCTTTCTCGCTTTCCGGCCCTTCATGCAGCGCGAATGGAAGTAAACACCTCGGCATCTGTCACTCAAAAGTCTAACCCTTTGATGTTACACTATTTTGCTTCACTTCTTCCGTTACCTCTTCCATTACACGAACCCCCATTCTAGCTCAAGCCAGTACTTTCACCAACTCTGAGACTTTCTGCGGTCGCCGACCTGTGCTTAAGACGGCACAGTTACACGGATGTGTGGGTCCTTTCTAGAATTCGACGATCGGGAACACAATGATGAGATCTGGATGTTCTAGAATTACATTCAATACGTTTTTCGTTACATGTGAAATCTAGCTCGTTATGGGTATCCCGATTAATCGCCATGCCCACCCAACCCATGCAGCCATGTCCACCGTTTTACAACTCCGTCAAAATGCCGAATCAAAAACGTAGTGTCCCTGTTCAAAGATCAAAAATCAAAAACAAAACAGAAACTAGCAGTGAGAATATCACACCACATCCAGCTTTAAATGTACTGATGTGGAAGTGAGCTACTGTTATCCCCTCCCATTCTCGACTATGATTTCTCCCTGGGATAACCCTTGATGATGTTCAAGGGTGCAGGAACTTCTGTCACGTTAAGCTCAACAGGTGGTTTGATTTCTCTACCTTCGGTGGGTAGCTCGAAACGTGGCGACTGGAGGAAGCCAGACGCTAAAGGTGTCATGGGTACGGGTGTATTGAGCGTATCCTAGAGCCGTATCACTAGTTGGACACAAATTCGATGACACATCCGTGAATGTATTGACTTACACTGTACCGAACTGGTACTTTCTTCACAAACCCAACCGCCTTCGACGAATCTGCCCAGGCCATGACAATCGCCTCTTCATCCGGCAACTTCATAAAAGTCATCGCAAACGCATCTGATCTAGTCGTGAGTTCCTTCGACGTCGCGATCCGCTTGACCTCCATCGGACTCGCATTCAGATTTGAAATGTGATACAGATGCCCCTTGTCATTGACTATGGCCAACTCGCCACCGGTGGGCGAGAACGCGGCACACTGGATCCGGTTTCCGAGTTTGCCTTGATGCGTCGACGAATCTGACCTGATCTCACTTCGGTGTCCTCCTTGTGGCTGCACGAGCACTGGAACACCTGATTGCGTCCATGTGGAGATACAAACCAGATTCTCCTCGCCACAGACGCCTGAGCGGAAGATGGCTGAGGAGACACCATTATCTTCCGACTCATGGAGAGGAACCTGATATCTGCATGTAGTGAGTTCTTGTGATTCCTCGAACGGAAATCGCCATGCGTAGATCTGAATCGTGCCGTTCTTAGGGCTTCGTGTACTGGCAATGAGGACGAGTCCGTCACTTGAGAAGGAAAGAGTGTCGATTGGTGGGCACTGTCTACAGTCTCTGTGGTTGCGGCTGTGTAGTCGCTCTTCCCTCGGCTCTTCTGATTTCCCGGCGTTGAAGAAGCGTACAGTGCAGTTGTCAAAGCCGACAGCGACATGATTTTCTTTTGGGTCGATGCAGATACTGTGACACCAGGGTGAGGAGGGCATGCGGTACTCGATCATGGGCACTGATGGCTGGATTAGATCGACGATACGGAGCTGTGACTTTTGATTAGTTTACGGCCGCAGTCATGACACAATATTCTTACCGTGAGCTTTTGATCTCTCGTCCCAATTATGTAGGCCAAATGAACCTTCGTGACCGCCGCCAAGACGCAATTGCTCTCTGTCAATACAGCTCGACCAAGCAGTGGTGACGAGGCTCCTACATCCCATATGTTTATCGAAGCTTGGGTCCAGAAGAGTACATATGACGAATTCTGCGATATCGCGACGTTGATGTTCTTCCCACTTTTTCCACGCGATATCTTCGACGAGCTGACCAGATTCTTCAAAGATATCTCCTCGAGCTTTTGGGATTCCAGGGTCGTTGATGACAATGAACTCGAGTCTCCGGATGTTTTGGAAGACTCCTTTTTAGACGAGGTAAGCTTCGACCGCCATCTCGATTTGCTCTTCTCGGGTGGAGGGGCAGATGAAGTACTTCGACTTTTCTGTAACCGTTCCGGCTCGAATGAGACTGTTGATATTGAGTGAAGTCGTGATTGACTGCCCAATGCAGGAGGGCTAATACTTGGTGAAAGCGGTGCTATTACATCCCCAACATTTGATGGGGATTTCTGGGGAGGATCCGAGGTTCCAGGAGTAGTGTCGAAATAATTTGCCCCGTCGCTGGACGTTAATTCCTCGGATGGCGTGAGATCAGCGCGTTGTACTTCCAATCGCTTTCCGAGCCCAGGCGAATTAGGAGACATAAGAAATGTGTTTGCTGTAGGTCGCGATCTGTCTACAAACCTCGGATCTGGTATCTGAATGTGAGTGGGGGGAGAAGAAGATGATTCTGGCTCGCAGGAATTTCGCCTGCCTTCTCGAAGGATATTTCCATATCCTGGATGGAATGGCAGTCCTGTCTCAATTTTTGGGGAAGTCATTTGGAATTGTGTAGGTAAATGTCTTTCGACGTTGATAGTGTCTGCGTTCGACTCAAGAGGCTTGAGCAATTCCCATGAATCTCTCGCGAAATTTAGCTCTCGCATCATGGTTATCTCTTCACCACAAGCAAGGCATTTTGATTTTGGCGGCAGGACAATCTCTGCCGTGTCTCTTGAGCTAGGCTGCGGATGTGTCAGCTCTTTTTGTTCCTCCGAATACTTATCTATTCTCGAATGAGTGAAGTATTTCTATCCACTATTGATGAAAATAAACTTACAGTGTACATTACTCGGTCCGAATCTTTCAGCTGAGACTCTCCAACGACATGGCAAGCTTCACAGTTGAGGACGAAGACTTTCGGACGAGCAGCTCTAAACTTGCCTGTAGGATCATCAAGTAGTTCAACCCTTCTCGTAACTTCTGCTACGCTGTGCATCACCTCTCGATCACTGACTCTGTTGACAATCTGCCTATCGCTGAGCCTAGAACAAAGCTCATCTATCGCATCGATATCATGCTCATCCACCAACCCTTCTGATGAGCCTCTTCTCGTCAAAGACAGCGTATCCGGAAGAATGATTCGGAAAGTGTCACTGAAGTTCGCTATGAGGTCCACTTTAGATAAGTGCGAAGGTATTCGAATATTTTCGAGCGCATGTAAGACTGCATTTCGAGTCCTCGCTGATGAGGACTGAAGCCTCATATCTCGAGTTTCTCTATTCACCGCATATTGTACGGATGCTCCCACAACAAAATGCGATACATCCCGGAGCGCCATGAGCTGTGCCAGCCAGTTGCCGGGGAATCCATCTTGGGGCACGATATTCGCCACATACTGAGACGAAAGGCACTCAGGAAGAGGGTACTATTCAGCCAAATATTAGCTAGATCTTCTAAGCTTTATGAGACGCAGGAGCGTATTTTACCAATTCCGTGGCCAAGCTTGGTAAGTCGGATCTCATACGCGGGGGAAGAGCAAGTCCATTTGGCTCAGTTCGCAGCGAATCAGTTACTTCTTTGCATATTAAGAGCAAGAATGATTCAGGGCTGGGATAACTGTCAAAAACACGTTCTAGTGACCTGTGCACACGAGCAAAGCGGTCTCGTCGGTCTTTGGCTTTTTGGTTCGAGGGTATTTTTGGGTGTAGAGTGAGAACTCGTAGCGCGTTTAGAAGAAGCTCGGGCAGGTATTTGTCCCTCAACAGCCGAGCTTCCCACAGGCTTTCTCTTCCCTCAACAACCACCTGCAGTACGAATTCTATGCTCCGCAAAGTCACCTCCCAACTCGCGAGGAAGCCCAGATACCATCCAACTTGTTGATTCTCCGACGGCAGTGACAGTCGCTGGACATTGAAGATCGTGTTCAATTGCGCCAGTAGTGTGATGACCAGATTCTGGTACGTGTCCTTGTCGCTGTCGCAGTATATCTTCTCTAGTGAGAACTGCCCCAGCAGCTCCAGTATGATATTATCGATATCGCTTCGAAGTGACAGCAGTCTGTACGCGTTCGTAAGACGAGTGAACATGGACGATGAGGCTGGTCCGGCCATCGCAGCCAGCGACCCGGTGAGGTTTTGGAGTGCTGTGCTGCATAGAATGTTGTGCGATGATTGTCGCGCTGGGGGTGTTGTTGACGGTTGAATTAAGGTTATTGCACATATGGTTGGGATGATGATGATCTGGTGAGAATCTGGAGATGCGACCGTGAGCGTAGGAAAGCACCTGGACCTTATTTGATTGCAACGTTTGAAGAGGGGCAGAGTCGCAGCACAGTGACGAACACGACCAGGCAGACAGGCACAGTTTGGTTAGTGACCTGAGCTTTGGAGCCGCCTAAGAGGGACAAGAGACAGGGACAGCGACAGGGACAGCTCAGGCTCGACTCAGGATATTATGCAGTTCGGAGGGGTGGCTGACAGGGCTGCGAGAGTTTCGATTATGACTGGTTCTGGGCCCTGTCGGTGCTGTTACCAGGGACGGGCAGACACTTTGACATGGTTACACTTGGCGAAGCCTCGAGAAACTTTTACCCCGATCATTGCTACTTGGGACAGCTGTACGAGGGAACCAGCTGCATTTCTTTCGCAGCTTAGCCCTTTTGCGTATCTTACCACTCTCCTATGTGTACATTTCCTGTTGAATGAATCAAGGACTTCGCTGCTTAGTCGTTAGTGCTGAGAACTTTTTAAGGTTCAGATGAAGTCGTTATGTATAGATCACTTCATCAAACCCTGGGACAAGTCCCTGTGGTGTGGCTTTCCAGCTCCAATAACGTTGTGCCACCCAGCTGTTTCCGATGCCGTGAGCTAGGAGACTCTCCACATGCCAAGTCATGTTCACTTTCTCCTTTCCAACGGTATGGCCGCAGGACTTTGAAATCCCATTGGTCCTCGTTCGTCCAGCTGTCTATCCTTACCGGGCTGACTTACATTATCCCCCGTTTTGCTCTAGATCAGTAATTGGAAAGATGTACCGCGCCAATCTTTGTGTCGGGGGGAGTCAGGGTTGCCAGTCTTGCGGTACGTGACTATTTATGGTGCGATGTCGATTCGATGATTTACGGTTGGGCGCAACAGGGTGGGGGACCTGGTGCGACACGGCTGCAGGCATGCATTCCTTCACCTGATCTTTATTTGCATCAGGGTTGTGTTCATCTTCTCTTTTAGTGCCAGCGAGATAAGAGCCCAGAGCTGCACATGTCTATTGCTTTCAGATCTCGCTTGGATTTCTACGTCCTAAGTGCGAACGCCAATTCAAGATTTCATAGCCTCCTGTTGTGACAGCTCAATGTCAATGTCAACGTCAAACTCAACCATGGATCATGAGAAACCCGAAGTAGTCTCTCCAAGGGTCTTCGAGTACCTCAGTGAGGCCACCCGCTCGCCAGTTAGTCCTGATATCGAGTATCCTCGAACTCCGTCCATCGACGAACCAGGCAATGTTGATGAACGGAGAGACCCCAAGGGAGAGAGCGTATGGTATGCTTTTCTCCTAACATATGACATAGTCTCATGGCTGATGTTCTTGCAGGAGAGTACTAAAGGAGAGACACATTAACATGATAGCATTTTCTGGAACGATTGGAAATGGTCTATTTCTTGGCTGTGGAACTTCCCTTGCGGTCGCTGGGGCTGGTGGCTCCGTGCTTTCGTACATTCTGATGGGCACCGTCATATCCTCGATCATCTCATCTCTTTGTGAGATGACGGCTTTGATGCCAGTCAATGCACCAGTTATGGAGTTTCCAAGACGGTTTCTTGATCGCGGGGTAGGTTTCGCCGTCGGATGGATGTATTGGTAAGTCTCAGAAATCTGGGTATTTTACATTCCAGCCTAACATTCCGATTTCGCAGGTTTGCATACGCTGTGCTTGCTGCAGATGAGCTCGTTGCTGTTTCAAATACGATAAAATTCCGGTACGACGACGGGAGGACGTTCCTTAACTGGTCCACTGGGAACAACGTCGATAATGCTGTTTGGATTTCACTCTTTCTGGTGATTGTGATAGTGATCAACATGTTTCCAGTCAGGGTAAGGCAAAGTATCCAAATGGAGACGGTCAACGATACTCATCTCTTTTTGTAGGTCTTTGGCGAGCTTGAATATGTTTTCGGCTGTATTAAAATCACTTTCATTGTGATGCTCATTACTCTGATGCTCATCCTGGGTATCATGAAGCGTGAGTACGCTCTGACTTTGAAACGGATCATGATACTGACAGGGCTGAAAGCTCGAGCGGATGCATACTACACACAAACAATCGGGTCGAGATGTAGGTTATCCTGAACTTTGCTGTGGTCGCTTCGCTGATTTCAAAGTAGATTGGGACTCGCCTTATTCATTCTTCAACCCTACCTACCATGTGAAGGACGAGGACGGGAACCTCCAGCGAGACATACAAGGCGCCATCGGTACATTCCTTGCAATGTGGACGACAATCGTTCACGCAATCTTCGCATATGTCGGCATGGATATCATTGCTTCTACTGCTGCAGAGAGTAAATCTTTGGCAGATGCCGAGAGTATGAAGATGGGAGCTCGAAAGATCAACCTCCGAATCATCACGCTCTATGCACTTGCAATGCTAATGGTATCCTTCGTGGTTCCAAGAGATCATCCATTCATCAACGGGAAAGCCCAATCTGTTGGAGCTAAGTCACCATTCATCATCGCTGTTGTGGAAGCAGGAATCCCAGCCGCAGCCCACTTCTTCAACGCTGTCTTCGTATTCTCGTCATTTACATGCGCTATTAATTCTATGTATGTGGCATCTAGAGTCCTGCACACTCTAGCATTACAAGACCAGACCGGACCCGAATTCATTACTAGGAGGCTCCGAGCATGCAGATCTGGTGTTCCAATCCGGGCTGTCTTAGTGACGGCAGGAATGATGCTGATTGGATATATGGGGCGTACTGGAAATCCTGGAGAGGCGAGTAAAGATTCTGCTTCCCGGAAGTCAAGTGCTGATGGTCAAACAGAGATTGAGTGAACTCGCATCCAACTGCACAGTTACATTTTTGATCGTGTATGCCACTGTGTGCGGCACTTATCTGAGTTTCTTCAAAACGTTGGTTGAAATTTCTTCCGATTACGAATCACAAAGCTGATCTCTGGTGCTCTCAGACTCGAAGATGTCAAATTATATGGCAATACTTCTGAAGCCCAAGCTGCCATGTACGATCGCGACCATCCCAGATATCCGTACAAATCGCACGGCCAATGGCTTAAAGCAGCATACGGAATGGCCGCATGTACCATTCTTCTCATCTTCAATGGTATTGCCGCATTCTTAGATCATCCCTTTGATACACGCAGATTCATCGCCTCATACATCGGAGTAAGTATATACCGATCTGACCATTTTCTCTCCAGCCCACTGATTGGCATGGACTGACTTTGGTATCATCGTCGCAGATCCCCGTATTCCTCCTACTTATTCTAGGCTACAAGATCAAACGTCATGGACTCCACTTCAGTCAATGGGGGCCAGAACGCTCCAATGACCTGCGCAATACAATCCAAGCCTCCAGCGAGAAGCGAAAGGGGAAATTGGAGTTTACTGATAATGGATTCACGAAAGATAATGGACGCACATTCGTCAATTGGATTTGGGTGTGGCTGAAGTAATTATGCGAGAGCATGCAAGCCCTTCGGAGTGCCGAGTCAAGCCTAGCCAGCTGGTAGAGGGGTCGAGCAGCGAGCTGCCAGCGAAGCTTGAAAACCGAACAGTAGACTTGGGAGGTAACGTTGCGATGCCCAGTATATACCGAGTAATCTTTTATTCAATCCAAAAAGTCTTCAAATGGATATATCTGTACTGCAAGCCGACAACATGCATTATCTACATCGGAATATCGCGTCATTCACATGTTGCTTCCCGTAACCAAATCCTTCGGTCTAGTCTAACTGCCTCCACATCTCAGCCATCACATAAACGGCCCGCCAGCCCGTCGCCCCGTCTCATGCCAGATGAATGAAACTGATTCCGACACTCAAAAGAGCTTTTTGGCGACCAATTATTCTCAGAGATATCTGCCAAAGCCGTCAAACATGTCTCACAACGGTTGGCTTGCAGAACAGACAGTATTCCGTGTCGCGTGGTTATGAATCAAATCGTTGAAGAGGCTTGGGGCTGTGTGGTTAGAACCTTGTTTCTGCCCTATGACTTTGTTGGTGAAGCTCGTCCCGAGTACCTAATTGAGTGAGGAGCAGAGATATATTTCTGTCGTTGCATGCCAATCGATAAGCCTATATTTCGGCCTCGATCCCAGCGTTAAAAAGTAACCACTCTGCTGCCTCACCCAGCTCAACCCACCATCGGCGACACTAGGTGTTACTATACATATCTCCCTCTAGTTCTGCATCGCATTCTCCACAAACTTACGAAGATGCCTGTACATGCAGCAAAGCCCCTAAAACGAGCGAATCATATCTTACACCTCGTACCTGTTGTGTTATCTATTTAGGTTCTCACCATCCAACCCCTGCACGGGTATTCCCCAGACTAGGTAAATTCGTCCGATCATCGTGAGATCCTACTCGCTTGGGACGGAGGACTATTCAGCCTTATATGCGGCACAGCGGTGACAGCACAGAGACTTGGTACTTTTGTCGATGAGATGCGTGGGGACTGAACGACTCGGTAAGCGAGGGGCGGGGGTTGGATGTATGCCGAGGTGTCGTGTGCATCTGATGCCATAGCAAGGAAGAGCGTTGAGCGTGATAGAAGGATTTGAGAGGATGTTTTTTTTTACTTCTCTGCCACGGGACTTTTTTGAACGGCCAAGTTTAATATGCGCCGTTGCAAACGAAAGTCTTAGACTGAACAGTGTGGAGGCATGTCTCGGCTCTGATCAAACTGTGCAGCCTGATGTTTCACCGATATTTATGGGTATTCCCCGGACAACCAGATTCCTGGTTGATGGAAAGCGTGACTCGCTTGGCTTTTTTCAGGAGTGGAATCTAGCATATCCTCTGCCAGCAGTGCTTCAAAGGCTGCCTTACTGGAAAGCGACCGATTCGGCGTCTCGACTTCCAACACAATATCCTCATCGTTCCACCTTATGCTACAATAATTTCCAAATTTTTGGCAAGAAACGTTCTCTGCAGATGCTGGCCTGTCGCGCTGATGAGTGAATAGGGGGTGCAACTTGAACTTCCAAATCGACCGGAGATCGATTGAGACAAATCTTATCTGAGTAGAGCTCTTAACATAGTTCCACAAGATATCTGAAGATCCACAAGCAAAGATTATTCTCCAAAAGCCCATCAATCTCTCATGGGAATTGCATGGAAATGCCATTATCTCGGCAATCTCCCAATCTCCGAAATGTCAAAGCGGGCAGATCCGCATCTGGAGTTTGGATCGATCTCGCTTGACAAGCGAGATTCGCCCCCCGCCAAAAAGGGGGGCATGAACGAGCAAGATCACTGAACTGGGCTTCATCTCCGGGTGATAGTCGGAGAACGAAGCATTATCCGAAGAAATGGTTGCGCCACGCTGTCATCGAAGATTTGTCGCAAGGCATAAAAGTCTTTTATTCCTGTTGTTATTTTCGATGGAAATCTGGAATCGTCAACAGATCAGTTCCTCCCAGCAGTTCAGTCTCGCGAATATACTCGAGCGAAATCGCAGACCTTACAAGATAAACAGAAAGTTGCCAATATGAAGCTCTCTGTTCTTGGGACATCCAGCGTCCTCCTGACGTCTGCCGCTGCCATCCCTTTCTTGGTTGAACGGGTGACAGGGAATAATTCCTCCCTCTGACATACCACAGTATCGTCAACTGACAGAAATGATTAGTCAACACAACAGTCGGTATCCCCGAAGCTCTTTTCGACAACTTCAAGTACTTTGCGAATGCGACGGCCGCATCCTATTGCCCTACAAACGAGAACGCGACCTCTGGATCACTGATCACTTGCCCAGCTGGCGTTTGCCCACAAATTGAAGCTGATGGAGTAACTTCACTTGTTGGATTTGGAGGCTCGTATGACACCCATTGTCACTTTTTCAAAGGCTATGTTATCTAACGAAGAGTAGCAATGACTCTTCATTAACCAACATCAAAGGCTTTGTCGCACTCAACCCAGTCAAGTCCCTCATTATTGTCGCATTCGCAGGCTCTGGCAACACAATCCGCAACTGGCTTGCCAATTTCTCTTTCGTTCAGATCCCGTATACTCTCACTGGCTGTACAGCATGTACAGTTCACTCTGGCTTTATCAAAGGATGGCATGAACGACGCCCTGCCGTTCTGGATGCCGTCACGGCGGCTAAGGCAGCTCACCCTGAGTACACAGTGGTCGTAACCGGGCATAGCATCGGTGGAGCAGTTGGAACACTTGCTGGCGCTGAACTGAGAAGCATGGGTATCAATGCAGATGTGTACAGTTATGGCTCGCCACGAGTCGGGAATGCTGCATTCGCGAGTTTCGTGACTGCTCAGGAAGGTGTGAACTACAGAATGACGCATGAAAACGATCCAGTTCCACAGATCCCACCTACCTGGATTGGATACGAACATACTAGTGCTGAATACTGGCTCGCGAATGGTACGGCAACGACTGATGTGTATAAGAAGGAAGATGTGGTTGTTTGTGATGCATTGGGGAGCACGGACTGTAATGCTGGGACAGGGCTGATCCCGATTGCTGGAGATGCGCATAATCATTACTTGGGTGTTATTACTGCATGCCAGGGACCAGTTGAATGGTAGAATTGTATCAACAGTTGTTAGCTTAATCCACAATATTGGTCAGAATTCGCTCGAAGGCATTCGCACGCGAGGCATGGGAGCTGTGAAGAACTAAGAAAGTATCAATGACGGCCTTCAGTGTAGGGATCATTGCTCAGGTCGGTCCGGTCACTCTCGCTATCGTCAGCAAAATAGAGAGTATTCGCTCTTTGGCATCCTTCTGTTGAGCGGGCCGTTTGCACTTCACGTTTTCTCCCGTTGAAATGGGAAGTAAGCACTCAAACCCAGTACTGCCCAGCCACCGGAGTTCCAAGGCACACAAGATCTCGCGAATGACTCGGGGTGGTTGACTTGAGTGAACCACTACTGAACCTCTCTGAGTCTGCCATTGGCATACAATAGATCAGTCTGTTGGTATATTGAAAAGCCAGGCGCTGAAGGTGTGGTCTTCGTTATTCGTAAAACAGCAAAATGTTGAGTCGGCATTGTTGTAAGAGACCTAGTGGTTTCTAGCTCCATTTTTTTTTTTGGAAGGATCTTGGATCGTTAGCTGGAACCAAGGCTGCTGTTAGGCTGACGGTGGCTTAAATGCGCCGAGAAAACTTGTTGTCTTATCGCTCTGTCATTCTCTGTGTGTGGACTGAAGATGAAGAAAAAGAGGAAACGAGTGTGTCACACAAACCTAGACGGATTTAAGTTATACTTTCGCTTCAGGATTTGGGTGCGTGGCTTGGGCTCGGGTTCGCCAGTCAACAATTAGGGTATCTTAGGAACATTGCTCCACCGAGAGGATTCGACTACGGATGGTGTAAGTTCATTGTCCGTAGGATCTGAAGGTCGGTCTGCCCTGTGCCGTGTCAATTCATGGAGACGATTCTTGGCTTTGTGCGGCGTAAGTTGCGGCGCAGGAATCCAGGGTAGTTCACTCGATGGAAACTGAAGATAAGGTTTGCGGCTACGGCACGCACCGTGGAGATCAAAGGATTGTCTACTTCTGATTTGGTACTTCGACTAACTGTCGGTTTTCTTTACAGGGCCAAGGAGAGGAAGCGGGGTCAGGAAACAGGGACTCGGTGAGGTTTCTGATAACGACCATGTCAGATGAGCGAGAATGCTGATAAAAGTCGCCGAATTTCATACCAAAGGTATATTCATCTCTACAGATAGATTCAATTGATTTGAAGATTGGACCTGCCCATACTCACAACCTGCGCGAGCTTTTACTGTCGAGAACCAACCCTTTTCTCTAAGTATATGTAATAATACTCCCTGAATTCTGGGTCTGACCATGTCAAGTCTATTCCAAGGGAAGGCAATTTACTGCAAGCTCAGGTAGTGGAGAGAACCTATTTTCAAGGCCAAGGGTAAAGAGCATGCGAGAAAGTACATCTGGATTGCGCGAATTTCTCACTGAATGGTCTTGGCAGCTGCCAGCCGTGCTGGGCGTTCATCAAAGAGCCCCACTGAGTACAAGGATGGCCATCCGCAGCACGATAACATCGTGGTCTCGTCGGTCAAATCGAACGAGATTTACATACATTTTGCAAAGGTACCGAGCTAGGCAGAGGTGTGGGGTTCTTGGAGAATGACCATGAACCAGTTATGGCTCCCACCAGACAATGTTGATTGAGGATCTTCTGTCCACGTTGAGTCAGGAAGGCTGGGCACTTTCTATATAATAAGCATGGTACCTCCTCAGGTTCTGCTTTAGAACATCATACTTACCACTCACTCAATCATCAATCGTATATCAAGATGCTTCTCAAGCTTACAACAGTTGTGCCTCTCCTGCTCTCCATCACTGGGTAAGTTCATACCTCTGACTGTTGACGGACTACTGTTCATTGTGTCTTTATCATTGCTTGTTTTTTAATCATATATGTAGAGTCCAGGCCGGCTATTACAGTGTTGGTGAACAATGGGGCTGGACATTTGGTTATGAGACTGCGAGACAGCATGTCAGGAACGCCTGCCACGGCTACTGGGAGGGGTCGCAATTCAAAAATGGAGCGTTCCAAGACACGTGGTTCAAGTCAAACTCGTACGTGTGGCATTACCTACCCTACTACCTACCTCCATTGACCATTGTAGGGAGTCTTCCCTACCTGCGACCGTCTGTATCAATGCGGTGACAAATAAGGTTGGAGGGTATCACATGGTACTCCAAATCACCAACCTACAGAACAATGCTCGCACTTTGTCACAGACCGATTGTGAAAATGGGCTCATGTCTGAGATCGATAGCTGCCCTGCTGGTGGCCAAAGTGACAAATGGGGATGGAGATTCCGGTACGCTCTCTGGAGATTTCGTCTTGGATGAGGCAATCTTGCTAACAATTATCTCCATTAGCTCCGATCCAAACCTTGGCTGGTGTTAAATCTCAAGGAGAAGAAGTCGTTCGCTCTATTTGATTAAGATGAATATTATAAAATTCAAGTCGAGATATCCCAAAAATATTAGTGGAGTTTACTTGGACCTTTACTTTGTTGATCTTTTATTTTCTCGACCTGTCCCGTCTCCACGCTGCCGATTATCTTTTCACACAGAGTAGTCAAGCTCGGGTTCTTACGCTACGGTAGACACAAGGGTTACTGCCATTCGAATGTTGAGGGCTAGGAACTCATTTACGACCCTTCCCTAAGCTTCAAAAGTCGTCACTTGTTAAGCGGTAGTCTTGAAGACAAATTTGACTAGGAAGGAGACTGCTAAGTAACCAGCCGTATGGAACAGCGAGCTAAACATCATTTCTTTGTGAAAGAGGTGGAGAGTGTTTTACAATAGCTGTGAATTATTATTTTCATTATCGAAATGGATATGTTGTTTCTAGCGGAGGTTCCCTTACCCAAACGAGAAGACCTGCTACGCTTCCGACATTTAGAATTTCCGGCAGGCAGGTCACATAACTTTTGAATTTTCGAGCGATCTTTCAAATAAAGAAAGTTCACTCAACGGGAATAATATCTGAATGAAAACAAAGAAATTTGCGGGGTCGACAGTTCTGAGGAACGTAAAGACAAAGGCACACTGTGCACATACAGAACTGGCAGTTAGGTTTCGGACGGAAATTGGTTACCAACCCCAACGGGAACAAAACATCATTTTCTTAACTCGAAATCTCGTTTTATCTGGCCGTAATTACTGTCTCAAGCGATACAAAAACTTTCTCACAAGTGCTTCTGTTAATTTTGGTGTTCAGTATTTCTCCAGGAAAATAGTTAAATTCTGCTCGTTATCTGACTGTCTCCAAGCCCGCCTTCAGGCCCATCTCCCAACCCATGGCGAAGATAATTCTCATCAAATCGAAATGGCTATGAGGAATTTCGATCCCTTTGAAGCGAACGACAGATTCTCGAACCGTGACCGACAACTCATTGTCATTACCGAGAAGTCCCTGAACAGGATCATCTTCATTCAGAAGGAGCCTACTACTCGCCAAGGTCTTGGATATAGGCTTATCTCCCGTAAGAGCGACTCGTGGTTTACTTGAATTCCCGTTGAAGTCAAACTCGAGCGAGATACGTTGAAATGATCCCGGCTTGAGGTTCACTTGCCCGAGATCTTTCAACTCGAAACGCAGTTTACCATCCCACATGGAGAATTCGAATTCCACTGGAGTGTGAGTCTGGCCCTTCTCGATGAGACAGACACGAGCTCTCATTGCGTAGCCTCGACTTTCTTTGGGTTCTATGGTAATGGCTCTGATTGGGAAGGGTATCGTCAAGAAAAGTGGGTCGGACCACCAGGAGCAGGAGCCCCAGCGCTCCAGCCAGTAGGAAGAGCGAGTGGTTGCTTTTTCAGGAGGCATTTCGATGGTTTAGTTTCTATGTTGGAATTGATAAAGCATGCAGCTTGAGATAATTATATGTAGAGTGACCAGCTCTTGTCTCTAGCCAAGGAACAGTCAAGACCTATAACAAAGCTTGAAAATTACAGCAATCCATTGTTCTTCATGGTTCCCTGCAGGCTATGAATATCACACCTTTCAGAAGCTTAAGTCGGTGAAGTGGATTTGTTCCAGTACAGCAAATGCAACATAATTAAAAGAAGAAAGGATTTAACTGATGATGATGTGTTACTCGTCATCCTTCCAGTTTCTGGCGTGCTTCATTCCGCAAAACCCACTTAGTGAAAGAGAAATAGATTGTTTCTTCCGACAAAGAAATACTGAAATTGTTCGTCTTTCACCGACGAAAGAAAGATTGCATGCAGAAGAATGCAACATAGGTGGTCTTGTCACAAGGATTACGTAAATGGTTCACTCGAGCTTGTCCAGTAGAGGGTGTGTTGAAAAAGATGTAAACTCCTGAGATCTGTTTTACTACATTAAACATGGGGCTTTTGTAAAATTTATAAAGAAATCGAATACTTGTGCTATTGTTCAACGCTCATGATTCTGGTTAATGAAAGCAAGGGTTGAAGAAGCACACGAGGTCTCGCTTATATCCTCATTTCTGGTTTAGCCTTGTTGACAAGCCACCCCCACTCGATGACCAACTTAGAGAGTGCGGATGAGTGGCAACAATATAGTAACATTTGTTATTTGAGTATCTTAGAAAATTGCTGACGACAGTCAAAGAGCTGAACGTGGAATAAACGGCACCCAAGTCCTTCGACTAAGCCAATTGAGAAATAATCTCGCCCACATATTCGCGGCTTGTCCAAACAATCTTGCAATAGGAGTGAAGGACAACAGAAGAAGTATTTGATGACATCAAAGATTTTTAAAAAGTAAATCCGTAGCTGTATTACTTTCTTGAAATGACGATCGCCAAGGTGGAACATCGGAAGTACGTCACGCTTGATGATGGTGCCAAGTGACAATGCCAATGTTTTTCTCAACATGATCACAAACACGTTTATAATTGAGCCAGATCGATTGGTTCAGGAAAAGATGTCTCCAAGACCTTTGGGAAAAGATGGAATTCTTCGTGAGTGCTTGGTATGTCTTGATTTCGATGCTTCTTAAGAAGAACGCGCGCTCAATTTGATGCCCAGTGGGACGCCTGTCAGTAAACAGATTTCACAATCCATCAATAGCTTGACTTCATTCTTACTTGTAATATCACTTCTTATACTTGAGCATGGCTATCCTTCAGCAATATTCTTGGATCATTGCGTTGATCTCTATTGCGTTCTGCGTGAGCTCTTTTGGAAATGGTGCCAACGATGTTGCCAATTCTTATGCTACCTCAGTAGCAGCACGGACTCTGACCATGCCGCAAGTCGGTATTCTGGCTATGATAACAGAATTTGTTGGTGCTGTGGCTCTTGGTTCGCGAGTGTAAGTACTCCACCATTTCCTTTTTGGGACAGGTCAAGCTTCTTCGCTCAAATCAAGCATGCATGGCTTTCTCTGAATGATCCTCCGATCCTGGGCTGACTCGGGTCCCATCATCCAGTACTGGTACGATTAAAAATAATATTATCGACATCAATCACTTTACTGCAAAACCGGCCACCTTGATTCTCATCATGGGCTGCACCGAGTTTGGTAGCGCAACGTGGTTGATAGTAGCCACCAAGTTTGGATTTCCTGTGTCGACCACACAAACAGTTGTCGGTGCCCTTATTGGTGCAGGTATTGCTGCAGGTGCCGATGTATCATGGAGTTGGAAATCAGGAAGCGTGTCCCAGGTTGCATCTTCATGGGCTATCGCGCCTTTGATCGCCGCAGGCTTTTCTGCCATTCTATTTGGCACCATCAAATTCGGCATCCTAAACCGCAAAGATCCTTTCAAGTGGGCCATGCGACTCACTCCTTTCTACTATGCATTTACAGCCGCTGTGCTGGCGCTCTTTATGGTTGTCGAAGTTCCTAACGGAGATTCGCTGGAGGAATTCGGCGTCGGCAAGATCCTGGGTATTGTCTTTGGTACTTTTTTTGGTGTGCTCGGCTTTGCCTACATCTTCTTCATCCCCTATTTTCATCGCCGCATCGTAGCGGGTGACACTCGCATCAGATCATGGCACATCCCTCTCGGCCCTCTCCTCTGGCGCGATAATCCACCACTCTACTGGCCTTCGAAACGAGGCACTGGCGTCAAGGACTACTCAGGTGGAGCCAAGTTAACAGGCCATGGCCATACAGCGACGGCCGCTTCACAAAACACACCAGTTATGGCCTCCAAAGCCACTCGTCCTGAGGGCTCAGAGTCGCCAGTCCCAGATTCAGAGAAAAACGCAGTTCACCAAGGACCATTGGAGCATGCGGTAGTGAGAGATGCTCGCGAGAAATATCTTGGCCCTACCGAAGGCAAGAAATTCTACCACCCAATGCGCGCTTTTGCCTATGTCAACTATATATTCTGGCGTGGTGTCAGTAAAGATTGTGTCACCTTCGATGATGAGCACCTTCATAAAACTCATGCTCATGCAGCAGTCTACGACAACAATGTGGAACATCTTTGGACATACGCTCAAGTTGCTTCTGCCATGATGATGTCTATTGCCCGTAAGTTGCTTCCCAATTCAAATTTTCCCAGAAATTTAGTCGAAAGTCTTACAAATGTTGACATTTCAAAATTCAGATGGTTCCAATGATGTTGCGAACTCTGTAGGTCCATGGGTTGCCGCGTACCAAACATACACGACTGGTACAGTTAGTAGCAAGGGAGACACACCAGTCTGGATCTTAGTCATCGCAGGTTTTCTTCTCGGTACTGGATTTTGGTTCTTTGGATACCACATTATCCGCTCCCTGGGAAACCGCATCACTCGTGTCAGCCCCACTCGAGGCTATTCTATTGAGTTGGGCGCAGCAATCACCGTGCTACTGGCTTCCCAATTGGCACTTCCGGTTTCAACTACTCAGTGTCTGACTGGAGCGACAGTGGGTGTAGCATTGATGAATTTCGATGCTGCTGCGGTGAACTGGAAGCAGTTGGGTTTTATTTTCATGGGATGGATTATCACTTTGCCCGCTGCTGGATTGATAGCCGGCCTGCTGACGGCGATGGCGCTGAACACTCCTCACTTTTAAAGATAGCCATTTGATTTGCTAAGCAAGATCTGAATCAAGCCTGCTTTGCTTCGGTAAATGTCTTTCTAGTACAGTTGTCTATTAGGTAGATGAGATCTAGATGTGTAAAATAGAAGAACATGTATCATATAGCCACGCTATTATTTATTTCGACATAGTGAGTGATGGTATCGTTCCCCCGCTTCCTTTGGTGTTTGGAGACCTTTTTGGTCTATTTCCAAAGGCTTGCAACCGAAATAGTCCGTTTAATTTATTGATCATATGGAGGATTGCCTGATAGAATATTGGCGATGCGTTGATGCTGGAATACCCCCAGAAGTAACTTCGTAACGATGGTCCCTGAGCTTCCTCCCTGAGGCAACCCCTGAGCTGACCTACTTGGCAACACAAGAGAAATGCGGGGTTGAGTACCAGCAGACGATCGAATAGCATGTCTCGAAAAATGTCCTTCTATCTTGGGTGGAAACGAAAGGTGTTTCTATGCTTCCGAGATACATTTATTGAGCCGATTTTCGTTCCCATTCGATCTTTGCCTACTGATTCCGAAATTCTGCTCCAACACATCTCCCGACTTCTTCATATCTGCGCTTGCGACGCGTACCTCCTTACAAGGCCAGAATATCGGCTTATCCATAATTTGGCTGCGGCACAATAAATTAGCCTGTTCATCATTACAACTTCGCCAAGACCTATCTCGATCGACCACCAAGTACTGACCTGTAAGTCCCAATCGTCACACAGCACTTGTCATGGTTCGATCCGATGATTATGATATTACTCTATATTAACAATATGTCAGGTCTACTACTGTTACTTCTGCTCGCACCTGTTCTGGCATTAAAAACAAGTGGCATGGCACAGGTTAAAACTCACGTCTCTGAACTGAGACCGTCTTATGATTACATCGTCGTCGGCGGAGGAACATCAGGCCTGACTGTTGCGGATCGCTTATCCGAAGATGGAACGAGTACTTCGCTACGATTCATGATTTTCGAGTGCCTGTTACTCATATGTCTACAGAAACTGTCTTGGTAGTCGAGTATGGGTATCTCGACCACAGCCCGGATATCCTTCTTCCATCACCAGCAAAAAATGATCGAAACATGTCTCGTTTCTACGACTACATGTCTGTACCACAGACTGAGCTAAACAACAAGACTACCATTGCCTATGCGGCAGCAATCGTTGGAGGTAAGCACCGCTTTGTTGCTATCTCTCTTGAAAACCTTGTATTTGAATATTATTAGGAGATGCATGAATGCCCACAAAATGCTTTCGCTCTTGAATATGAACTCTATAACACCTCGACTGATTATCATCCCCTTAGGTGGATCTGCCGTTGATCATATGATGTTCGACAGAGGCTCTGCCGATGACTATGATAATTGGGAGAAACTTCGAAATCCTGGATGGGGTTGGAAAGAGCTGTTACCGTACTTCCAAAAGGTTGGATGGCCGTTTTCCTTACGACCCTCTAGCTAATACTCTGCATAGAGCGTGAAATTTACCCCACCAACTCGGGAGCAACAGGAGAAATATGGCTACACTTATGATGAGAGTGCGTATGGGGGCAACGGACCCATCCACGCCAGCTATCCTCCGTTTCAGTGGCCACAGCAAAGTCAGAGCCCATCCATAAGTCTCTTTATATCTTTGCCCATTATCTGACTGAACAGAGCTTCAATGGAATGCATGGCTCGATCTCGGTATCGAAGCCACAACAGAGGGAGCCGGAGGCGAAGCACTCGGCCTCTTTTGGATTCCAAGCGCCATGAATCCCAAAAATGAAACACGCTCATACTCTAAGACTGGGCACTACGACCCATCATCTCTTCGCGAAAACTACCACCTCTTGACCGGACACCAAACCAGAGAGGTTGTCATCTTGAAATCGCGAGCCGAGGGGATCACGATCCATGCCAGAGATGGCACTGACACAGCACTTACGACTATCTCCGCTACCAGAGAAGTTATTCTTGCTGCTGGAGCATTCGGAAGTCCCACAATTCTACAGCGCAGTGGAGTCGGTCCTAAAGATATCCTTGAAAGCGCAGGAATCGAAGTCAAGATGGATCTTCCTGGTGTTGGTCAAAACTTCCAGGACCATGCAGCCACCCTCCTGCTTTACACATGTATGTCATCATCAGATATCTGGAGATAAATTCTAACTTTGGGTAGATGCAACCAATTCTGAGCCAAATTCTCAGACAATAACCACCAATGCATCGGTCAAGGCGGAGGTGGAAGCGGAGTACTACAAGAATAAGACTGGTGAGTCTTCATCCAATCGTATGCAGAGACATATCAGCTTATCACACTAATTATTCAAAGGTCCTATGACAGTTGGTTACGGCAACAGTGTTGTCTTTCTTCCACTTCCAACCATTGACCCGAACTACGAGTCTTTGATGCGAAAGCTGGCCGCTCAAGATTCCGCCGCCTTGCTTCCGCCAAGTTATGATAAAACTCTCCATGCAGGCTACGCACTACAGAAAGAACTCCTTCTTGAATCGCTGGCCTCCAAGAAATCTGCAATCCTGGAAGTCTTCTTCAATGGCGATCCCACTATGGTTCTGGTCCTGCAGAAACCGCTCTCTCGTGGCACAGTTTCGATCAACCCCAGAGCACCCTATTCTAACCCCATCATTGACCCACGCGTCTTCGCCAATCCAATTGATCTTGAAATGGACATCTCCATGGTGAAATACGTACGAAGGTGGTTTCGGGCACCAAGCCAAGCTTCACTCACTCCTGTGGAAGTATTACCTGGCAGTGCGGTCCAGAGTGACGAAGAGATCACTGCTGCTATCAGGGAACTCTCTGTTCCAACACTCGGTCACGCGCTGGGAACCTGCTCCATGATGCCTTTGGAGCTTGGTGGGGTAGTGGGTTCAGACCTTCTTGTGCATGGGGTTGAGAAGGCTTGAGTGTTGTTGATGCAAGCATCATGCCACTCGCTCCAGCTACGCATTTGGACGCAACGGTCTACGCAGTTGCTGAGAAGGTGAGTTTGTGATTATTCTTTATGGTTCTTCTGTCAGGTATACTGACTATTTCTAGGTTGCAGATTTGATCAAAAGCCGGGCCAGATAAGGATTTGTGGTTGTGGATTTGTACACCCCAGTGCCCAAATCCGATTTGTAAAATTCCCTCTGAGCAATCCAATCTCTCTTGATTTAGGCCTGCTATAAGCAGTAGTAATTGCTACTTTCCAGCAACCTCCACTCGTCGCCAGCTCTTTCGAACCAATTGCTATTGCCCGTTCAGGTGATAACTTATTGAATAAGCTACATTCTCATGCCAAAACTCCAATATTTAAGGACGCAGATGTTTCACAACACCCACTTTTAAAACAGAAACAGAGCTTATAAACTCTTCAATAAGAGCGATGGCTTTGATTCGTAACATTATTTGTGACTGTTATTCTTATTAAGTTAAGATAATTAGAAGAGAAGTATATAGATTTACTTCTCGCTTATGTCTAGGGCGCTTATAGCGTTGCTGCAGAGTTGCGAGCGCCGAGAGGTTAAGTTAAGCTCGTAACCACTTAATATTATACTTTAGCCACGATCCTCTTTCTCCATAAAAATTGATTTATCTTCTCTAAATCATGTATTTAATCTTTCCCTACCTTATGAAATAAAGCTCGACTATAATTAACAAGTTTTTAAAGTGTTAATCATGACTTTTAGTAGTGAACAGATGTTTATGCGTCGTCAGTTGACCATTACTGTACCTCGGACTAAGAAACAGGGAAGAAGATCCAGAAGTCGTCAATTTGTATAGACTAATTTGGACTTAGGAACAGCGATTGATGAGCTCACCTTGTATTCTTTTCAGAGAGTTCATCGCGGCGCTATTTCGCCGGTTTCGCTGCCGGTAAGGCATACTATGGCCTAAAGCTTGGTAGCCGTGCCGTTAATCGGTGCAGCTTCTTCAGTCTTAATAAATCTGCGAATTTATACGTCGTGATAACATTTTTTTGGCCAACTAAGGTACTTGCAAAAGGAGCCCAGCTGTCCGATCTAAATCCACGGGGTAGATTCTAATAATAGAACCCAATATGGTGATACCAAAGCGCCTTTGAGCCTCAGGATGCAGGAGCACATCTGTGGTTGGAGTTCTTGAATTCATTGAGATCCATTCAGCTATGCCAGTTCTACCAGGCCAGAGTACAGTCCACCAAGTAAATGAACTAGATCACGATATCTTACCTTTTCTCATTTTCGATTCTCCCTGCGTCATTTTAAATTCCTAGAGACAGACTAAACAACTAATTATAACTGCATCTAATTACTTAAAAAATCTACGCCTTGTTGATTATGAGGTTTCAGCCCATCGCTACATCCCACCAGTTCCTCTGTGAATTATTCGTCGAAGATAACAATCTCTTCATCCTTCACACTTTCAATTTCAACATAGCACCCTTCATCTATCTCCTTGCGGGTGCTATGCTCTTCCTTTATCTCCTCAATTCTAACATAACAATGTTTACTTGTCTTGTCAGAGGTACCCTCCTCCAGCTTCTTGCTTTCAGCTTTGATAAAACACTTCTCACTTGTGATTTCGTGAGTGGTGTCCGGCTCCACTATCACGCCTTCAACTTTGATACCAGACTCTGCAGTGGCATCTTGAAGTTTCAACACTGCATCGTCTGGCCAGGCACTCTTCAATGACTTCCGCCACCAGTCCGACTCAAAAACCTTCCTCTTCACAACTTCAACCTCAGGTACCTGCCACTCCCCATGTCGACCCTTCAGCTCCTTTAAGTCTTCCTTCCTTTCTTTGGTACACTTTCCTGCCATCCAAGCGGCCATCCTAATCTTCTTCGCGAGCTTCATTAGTTTCCACTCATCAAGCAAATCATCAATGACGATCCACATCGTCCTCACCTTTGGAAACCACAAGATCCAAACCACAAGCCAAACAAAGAACCGCTCGATCATGTATGGCATACTCTCCAACCTCAATGCAATGTTCTCGCACATCGCCGTCTCGAGTACGGAATCGCATCGCGCGAGGACGTTGCGGACACAGTATCCTCCAAGCTCGAAGTCCAAGATGGAGTCGAAGTACAAGATGTCGAAGCGGGGACTAAAGTACCGACATGGCTTGTAGAGCGGTTTTGGGACACGAATTGAGTTCGAGGTGGAAACGAAGTACTTCTCCAGAGCTCGGAGACGGAAGAATCGTATCGCTTCATATCGTGATTGTCGGTTGACCTGCAGGAGTACGGGATCTTGTGGTGGTGGTCGAGGCCAGTTGTACATGGGGAAGCTATAGTCGTGGCCGCCTCGATCCAGAATGGGTTGGATGATACGGAATCGAGGAAGAGCAAAACGCCAGATCATGATTTGGAGCTCTCGGGGGAGCATGGCAAAAAGATGAAATGTCTTGGTGCTATTCTCTTGGATGGAGGCTGATATGGCGAGGAGTCTGTGAAGTTGAAGAGCCGAGAACTGTCGGACTTCCTGGATTGTTCTTTGATGCACCGGCCAAAGGCATTCCGTGTGCCTAAAAGGTTGTTGCATATGTGTGGGAGACGGAGATATATGATCGAGCATTTCGAGAGATTTCCAGGATTAATAGACAGTTTGTTGTAGTTGTGGTTGATGCTAGAAGCAGAGGTTTCGAGAAAGGTTAATGTATGTGTGCTCACCGCTAGTAATTCAATATCCACAGTGTTTTACTTACTATGTCTAGTCTTGTGATTCATCTCATACCTAACTCCTAGAGATTTTTGTGGAACAAGCCAAGTATTGAAGCGGATAATGCCCTTGGACGGAAATGGAACTTTGAGAAATGGGCTTGTAACAAGTCTTTTCCGACTTGCCAGATAAGAAATACCACATTCTGCCATGTTCATGTAAAATTCTGGGAATTTGGTTGATTACATAGAGAAAAAATGCCAGAAGAAAGGCAAGGATGGAAGTGATGATTAGCATTGTGTGAAAATAGACTGAAAAAGGCTTGCTGGCGCTGTTCCATTACTTAGATAAGCGGACTACTGCCTGAGTAGTTGCTGAGATAGTTCACGTAATAAATTCCACCACCGTCGTTTGGCTTCTACAGCCAGAATATAGCAGGAGCCCGAAATTCTAGGACCCAGAGTTTGAACTGTCGGAGCTATTGGAATTGCAATGTGTGCCTGGTCATCCAAATAGCTCAACTGACCCTTGGTCGGAAACTAAGACATTAAGCGAGATGCTAAAAGCTACCAACCTAAGCGATGCAATGTCAACAACGATGTAAGGAACCATTACCACGTGCATCATGCGGGATATGCGATCAGAAAATTAACAGGGATAGCGATGATGAATGCTGAGTTTTAATGTGAAGTGAGCGCTTGTTAATCATAACAAAGCGTGTAGATTGGCAACTGTGCTGCGTTATCTCGTCGCTGGGAATGAATAGCGTAATGAGCGGGCCAAGGAAACGCACATACCATAGATTCCTAAAAAAATAATCTCATTTCCCTTAAGTACATGCAAGCTATTATTTTACCTTTTGTAAACCCAAGTCTCTGCACAACTTTACAATGCCAACGCCATCAATGTTTTACCCCATGTCAGCTTCACATGCATCATTGGTCAATGACGCACACCCGATCCGAACTTATCGCAACATTTTCCGATGTTCAACCCAGTTCCCCTTGAACCCAGGATTAACCTGAAAATCCTCCGGCTCTTCCGGCTCAGTTTCAGGGAATAAGGCCAGCCCCAATGCCACGATCTGAATAACAGACTCGAAAAACCAGAACACCGGCTCCGCAACAATCCAAGCCCGATCTCTGGGATATCTCTGCCAACGCGAAGCTCGCGCACGATATCTGTACGCCAAAACAACCAAGCCATACAGGTATATGAGACCTTTGTCGACTTTCGCAAGCCACAGGAGAAAGGCCAGGCCCAGGTCGGAGACCATTGGGATGTGGAAGAGTGATAGGAGGAGGGTGAAAGCAGTCCAGGGACTCTTGAGCCACATTCCGGTCTTGAGAGAAGCAAAGTTGCTGCGATATGCAGCGCTATATCTATCCCGAACCAGGTTCGCATACGAGATCAAGCCGCCGTTCTTAACAGGGAAAATGCATTGTACGTGTGTGGTCGGTTGGAAAGCTGTCTTGTAGCCCATTTCGCGGACTTTACGCGTGATGAAGTGGGCGGCGCCCGTGCGCATGCCTCCATATACTGGGAGAAGGCCGATAACTTTCTCATGGGGGAAGGTGAAGCGGAAATCCGGGGACTGAAGGATGCTGGTGCGGACAAGAGCGGTTTTGGCAGAGGCAACTTCGAGGCCGTCATCAATACTGTTAGTGATGGCGCTGGCGAGGTTGTATTGTCCGTAGTAGATGCATTCGCGGAAGTTCATTAAGTTGTAAATGAAGCCGTGGTCGCAAAATGTGTGGTCGATGAGGAAAAGGTTGATGGCGAAGAAAAGGATATTTTCGATTGTAATCAGTAACCAGTCTTTGAAGCGTAGGAGCTTTTGCGTCACGTAGTACATTGGGAAGCCGGGATATATGGATATTTCCGGCTTCAGCCCCAAGTAGGAAATGCGGTAGTCCTTTGCATTGAAGTACGTGTGATTATTGCACATTCGAGCCATGGTAAAAGGTACACCGACGAGACCAACCTCTGGATTGTTGAACGGCTTGAGTGCTTCTTTCAAAAAGTTCGTGTTCCATCGCACGTTCGAGTGGGCGTAGCATATTATGTCCGTAGTCACTCCATTGATAGCGTTGAGGAATTGATGGCGGAGATTGCGCTCTGGTTCGTAGATCGAAGTTACCTTCACACGATGAGTACCGCAGTGAGCGGCGACAATGTTCAGCTTCTTGTGTGCTTCCAGTCCGCTAGTAGCAAGAATTACTTCTGCGGGGTTGTTTTCCAGAAGGGTGCCAAGCGCATGCAGGAATTGATCACTGTCTCCGGTGTCCACCGTGTCATTCACGACATAATCTCCCTTCGTGGGTATGACCACCGTAACATCACTCGTCTTGTATGCAGCCGGTCGCGTACCAGTATCTAGCTGACTGAAACTATCCGTCCTTCTATATTTTGCGAGATATTTCGATAACCTGAGCACTAATATTATCCCAAACCATTTGAGATAAATATTATCCTCGACATTAATACCAAGGAATTTATATCGCACCAGATATGACGTCCATTGGTGCACGAGAATGTTGACAGGAACAGAGAGAAAAGCAAGATAAGTCGCGCCAGGCCAGGAAGATATTCTCAGGCTATTGACGAAATTACTAACAGCCCAGGTGCAAGTGCCAATAATGGCTAGGAGCATAGAGTTCATCGTGTGTATACCCATCACACTCTCGAGATAGGTAACCACAGCATTCAAAAGGTCGCTATAAATTGTGGAGGCATATCCAAGGCTTTCAGGTATCCAACTGACAAGACTGCGTAGAAATGAGACAATCTTTGACTTCATGTAAGATGACAGTCCAGCCCGGAGTCTTTGTCTGGTAATAGCTGACGATGTAGAATTATCTGAGGGCGAAAGAAGGGCAGACGGTCTGAAGTGTACTGAAGACGGACCAGACGTGGCGGATTCTCCTGTATTGTCGTGTGGTGCAAAGGTAGACGAGAGCCTGTGAAGGACCCATCTGACTATTCCGGATATATGAGACTGGATCGAGAATACAACTCGTGGCATCCATCCAAGTATTGACTGCAGAAGAGCCACGGACTTCGTTGCTGCTGTTGGCGCCGCCACTAACGCCAAGAGGGACAATCCTGCAACGAGCCCCAAAAACATTATCAGAAGACCTCGTGGAGTAGAGCCGACAGTACGAAATATATCAATAATGATATTTGTGATTTCCCGGATGCTGCCATTATTGATTTCGAACAACGATGAACTGGCTGGTAGATCTGGGTCTTCGGGGACAGCAGTCCGGTACATATCCGTGTGTCTGATAGACGTTATTGGTGTCCGCCCAGCATGACCTTCATTGGCAGAAATACCATATCTGTACGATTTCCTGTCTGGTACCACCGGGGTGCGGGAAACATGTTCTTCATCGGCGAAAGTCTCATAGCTAGGCGGTTGTATAGTTGGCGTTATCGGCGTACGCGGAGGTGTAGTGTTGGGTGAGATGAAGTCAATCGAACTGTTCCGTCTCGACAACATCAACGGGCTATTCATGGGAGATAAACGATATCCCAAGTGATACAGTAATCGATTTGAAGCAGCTATGATGAGGTTCGGAATGACCATGATGATAGCAAGGAGTGTCCTGTTCATCACTCCTTGGGGTACCATGAGCCACTTTCGGTGAGCCCTTTTGGCTTGGCGAGACAATACATACATAAATGGGAATACAGTCAACAGTCCGGATATAATTCTCAGGAGACTCTCGTGTTCCCGAATGGCCCATTGAGGCTTGGCATTTGCCGCTCTATGCCATTCTTCCGAATTACGATTCATCAATGACATTGCTTGTGCAAGATGGGTAACAAGCGCTGTTAGAAGAACGCCCAGGGCAGTTGAAACAGGCTTGAATCCATATTCATCAACAGCGAAGGTGATGAAAACAGCATTCATAAAAAAGTCCAAACTCCCTGCGCGATACAGATTAAGTCGAATTGCACCCGTAAAGCTTCCCCATTCCAGGGAGTTTGGCTCGACAAGGATTGTCATAGGGTCACCCATCCAGCGGTACGCACGATACGCCAGCACCAAGCCCAAGGTAATGACTATGAAGACCTTCAATCCCTGAGATGTGACGGAGGCAACGATCTTGTGATTTTTGTTGTCGACGAGGACGAGGACCTCGACAAGCCTGTCAATAGTTCGATGGTACCACGTTACTCGTTGGAATCCGGCAAATATACGCTCGTTACCAACTCCAAATTGTGGCGTATCCGAGAGTGGGCTCGTGATGGTTGTCGGTCTGCCGTTTCGCAAAATGGCGATAACTCGCCAGCAGAATATTATGTTCAGACTAACAAGGACATAGAGAACAGCAAGAACGACTAGCAGTGGAATAACTAGTCGAGGGTTCCCCAAAATTGGCAAACCCTTCAGCTTCTGAAGACCCCTTACAAAGGCAGCAGGCCACTAACAATCGGTAGTTAGCAGGTTGTATCACCGACTCCGAGTGTTCTGCAGAACCGAGGACAGCCACTCACTTGTTCGGCCTCTGGGAGTTGTGCTTTGGGGAAGTAAAATGTCGCATTATTCCACATCCATATAATGAACATCAAAAGAAGGCGAAGTATGAGCCATGCGAGGCCCAAAGCAACGTTGATCAGGTGATGGCCGACCTTCAGAAATCCAGATTGCCAAGTCGGTTCCCCATTGTATATCACGACAAGAGGATTATCTACAAGATAATTTAGAGGAATTTCTTCGGGTTGGCCCATGTTGTGTATCTAAGGCGTGAACGGCAGGGGTTGAGAAACAAGGGAGTTATCGGAAAGTTGTCGCCAGAAGATGGATTCATAGGTGTAAATGAAGGAACAGCAAAAGAACAAGAGAAATGACCTCGGGACTACCTCTAATACCATCGTAAGCAGCTCTTAATTTCACTGTCTGAAACCAGCAGGACATTCCGCATTCCAACTTCTTCGCTGAATGCATTGTCTTCTTCTTTCAACTGCCCGATGCGGCACAACCCACAATTCGAACTGCAGTCTAAACTCACGACCAAAGTAACAGTTTTAATGATATCGAGTCTTGACAAACGGAAAGTCCGTTGCAAACCGCACGAGTTACCCTCGAAATAAACCAGGAATGATTTGCAAATACCTACTAGGTATCTACCTAGGTATGCATGGTCGACGATACTACTCACGTGACCGGACAAAGTCACCCAATATCGGGCGTGAGGAAAATCATTGGAGGGCAGCAATAAGACGCAATACGCAACGAGAAACAATAATGAGAGCTATAAGAAAATGGGACTTGGAAACATGTGGAATCGACCTTTGGCCATGAACTAGCATTTGGCATTGAACGACTGCCCAGGTGTGAGCAAAATGGATTTCCACTTGGTCCAGAAAGCAGAAGGTTGTTTGCCGAGGACACCAGTTTGATTTTATCAGAAGAGTGGTGGAGCTGTCGAGGAAGAAAGGGGCTGCCATACCTAGGTAGGGCTGTAAATAGAAGAGGATGGAGAAGGATCTAATGCAAAATAATCTGGAGCATTACCAAGGTACGCTAGCTAGGTAGGTGTAGGTAGTCCGAGGTAGTCTGGAGGACTAGCTTCATATCACGTGCGATAAGGCTTATCGGTGCCCACTTGGTGCCCATTTGCGGGGGAGCTCTCCGTCATACGAGTACACCCTGACAATAACTCTCGTCCTACAAAAGAGCACGAAGTACTCTGCTCGTACGTCCATTTCTCTCTCCGTCTATGCAACATCGTTGTCATATCACGGCAAGCTACACTCCAACAAATATCTGCAAGCAAATACTTACAACAAGCCAACCAACCCTGACCTACCATCGTGCCTATGATCCCCTCTAGAAGGTCCCGACTCCACGTTCACGACGAAGTTGCAGCTACAAGTAAACCAAATCAAACCATTCCTCCCAATCTTCTTTCAGCTATCGAATCTCTAAAAACAAGCGCGAAGCTCAAAACCTCCCGTCTATCCTTACAAAATGGTGTGCAGCTGCTGTAACCTGACAGCCCCGCGGTTCGAGCCATTTATCGACCCGTCCTCTTTACAACTGCTCTGCCCTCTCGACAACGAGAAAAAGGATTTCAAACTGGCTGTTGGAACTTCAAGAGAGGGTAACACAATGCAAAGCATGCTTGAGCATCTGCCAATCGAAATCTACCATAATTGCCTCCAGTATCTCGACCTTGGCAGTATCATTACGGTACGAAGGCTGTCGCAAACCACACGATCAGCAGTCGACTCACTGCTTCAATACAAGGAGCTTTACGAACATGCGCCGAACATTCTGAGAGCCTGTTTGAAGACTGGAATAGCACCTCATATTCCACTCGTCCGACTCCATCATGCACTTACGACTCTGGAGTGCCACTATTGCAAGACATCGTACTTATTCCTGAATGCCCTTACTCATTAGCAATAACTAAAAGTATTAGTAAAACGCCTTCTTTCAAGTTCAGTTCGTACCTCTCCCTCCATACCGGCCACCGAACCTGCTTATTCTGCATTCGCAACAACACTCTGCTCAAAACAGCCGAATTCCAGACTCTAGTACCACTTTGCTGCAACCCACGAACTTCAATAGTCATGACCTCCTTGCCCCTATTCCGAACCCTTCCAGGAGCTTATAACACACCGCTCGACCCCGGAAACGTTCCACCTCCGCCGACGACTTTGGTTCTATCCTCTGCCATAAAGACGAAACCAGGCCGTTCATTCTCGAATCAAGAGCGGAAGGTCATATTTGGTAATGAGGAAATACCATCTGTTGCGCACCATCCTTTAGTAAAATCAATCAACGAGTCCAATATCAATCCAGCTGAACACTATGTTGGTCCAGATTCTGCAAAACAGATTACCCACAGATACGCCTCAGTAATCGCGTTCCCATACGTTCCACCATCAAGGACCATAGGTGACTATGGCCTCTTCTGTAAGGAATGCGTTCTAATGATGCGTTACCGTGAGGAACAGTGGACCAGAAAGCAGCGCAGGCGCGTGAACCCCATAGCCAGCGCTCGTACCATTGACATCGTAACAAAAGCGCGAGAGATGGCTTGCAGGCAGTACGTAGTGTCCGACGAGGCTCAGGCCGAAGCCGTCAAGTTAGAAGGAGATAGGAAAACAATGAGTCTCACGGAGCACCTGAAGACTCATGCTGCCGATACGACGCTCAGCCCGGAATGGAAGGCGTGGCGAGCAGCACAGAGGGGACCACCACTACCTTTATTCCATAACGACCGGTTTGGATGATAATCGTCTCACCACAGAATCTTACAGACACGGAAATATGCCTTGTATGATGCTGCATCCCCGTCTGTCTATGATGCTGGTAATTTTATGAAAATTTTCCGCGGCATATACTTCTTCCTCCCAAGAAAAGGAAGGCAGTCGACTTTGAAACATATCTGTTCCAATATTGCGATCAACACCAAATTATTGTGGCAGTCCAGAGAGTCTGAGATTGGTCTGGAATCATGAACGGCCAGAACGAGTAACTGTGTCATAACGGTACATGACCATGGTAAACAACATCTTGAGCCTTAAGCGAGACCCAGCAAGGAGGCTGTTGTCTCACACAGACCACTGCGTACATCCTTGCGAGCATAATTATCACTTCATCTGAAACTCCACTTCTGTTTTGATCTCATTCTGATCTATCATATGTCTGTCTACCATTACTAATTCCCTATTTGGCTTCAACATTTACATTTTTTCTGTTTTATATCCAATTTACAACGTCCGTCCCACATTCCTCCTACCCCACCTACAACCTTTCCATTTCCGCACCTACCCTACCTCGTTCAGAACATGCAAACAAGTAACATCTACACCAACACAATACCACAACTACCACCAAGAGGAAAGTCAACAATGGGACCGATTTCGTGAACTGGGAGGCTCATGCAGGATTTCCAAGGTCAGAAAGGTCTGTGTTAGAGCCAGAAGATATCGATCAACCGGAAATGGCAGCTCTCCGAACCCCACCTTTCCCAGGAAACAATCAGCATATCCAGAATGGTTGGGAGGGACTGTAATTAATTGTTGTATATTCTATCGAATGGACAGCGTCACAAGAAAAATGAGAGTTGGTGGAATCAAATTTCTCACAACATGCCCGGAGAAGGAGATACCAGCAATGCATCCAAACGCTCCTTTAATTGGAACCAGAGTCTAATCCAAATTCTGACAGGTAACGTGTACTTGGAATGATGGTGAACAATCACCACATATCTGAATGCCAGGCACCATCTTCGGGGTTCTCTGAGATCACGAGTCGGGCATCCAATCACGAGACCAGTATCTCTTGCCGCCGTGGCTTGACTAGACATGGCCTAGTCGTACAACACACCCAGCCACTAGACTTTCTGTTAACAACCACCAGAGCCATTAGAATCATTACCTTGATCCAATTTGCCCTCAAATCTAATATATTGTCGCATTTATCCTGTTCCAAAATCAACTTTTTATTTACCAAGCGGAGGTCCTTCAACATGGGGAAGAATATCCACACCAACATAATGCTCGACCTAGAATGTACCGGTATCCTTCCCAACCCATGTATCCTCCAAATCGGCGCCGTACACTTCGACCTTGACACCGGAGAAGAATACTCGCATTTCTGTACCCCAATTGGCCTTAAGTCATGCGAAGATGTGAAGTTGCAAAGTACTGAGCAAACTATGGAGTGGCTTCTTGAAAATTCGCCACAAGTACTGCAGGACAGTAGGAACAGCGAAGTCACGATTTTCCAGGCGCTGTTTCGATTCAATAATTTCCTGAGGAAGGCTCTTAGGACGAATAGGCATCGTCTGGAGGAGATGGGTCGCTTGTATGCTTCTGATATGTCTGAGCTGATGGTATGGGGAAATGGTGCCGTGGCGGATAATATATGTAAGCAGTCGGCCACCAATTCTTTCTTAATCACTCAGATTTGCTCTTTATGAACAATTTGTCTCCGCTCAGAGTTGACGACGGTCCTGGGACACAGGGATAAATTCAGCATATGCAGCATGCGGAATGGCTGACCGCAAGCCTTGGACCTACAAGAACGACATGTGTGTGAGGACTTTAGTCCGAACAGCAGGCGATATCCTTGGGAGAGACTTTTCTAGAGAAGAGCCTTTTCAGGGTACCAGACATGATGCTCTTGATGACTGTAGGCACCAGATTCGATACATGGTAAAAGCTAGAAATGCGATGAAATCGCTTTCAGAGAAGCCAAAACTGAGTTCAAATGTTTTGACGACGCTTACAATCGGGGAAGAACAAGATATAGAGGAGACGGATGCAAATCATGACGATGCGACAACGCTTTCTGATCCTGGAATTCGCGAGCCGAGCTTACCACCGAACGACGTTACAACAATCACAGAGGCTGTGAAAGTCTTATCCACAGTTCCTCAACAGCTCGAATCAACCGCGGTCACAAACATATCTCTAGAGAAGATCCCATATCCTCAGGAGCCTGCAACAGATTTCCAAGTTTCATCATCAACAGAAGAAGTCCTTGGACCATCGCAGGATTTCTTTCGGGCAGACGAAGACGAGGATGATGCTGATATGGACGCTTTATTGCAAGCAGCATTTGAAGTATACGAAGAGGAGCGAACCCCAAGAAGCAGTCAAGTTGATACGATGATATTACCCGACTCCTCTCATCAATCATTACCGACAATCCAGGAGAGGGTGGCGGACGAGAATGGCTGTGGGCAGCAGTCTACAGAAGCCTCAGCGCTGAAACTGTCGGAACAGTTGAAGAAAATGACAGTGTCTTGATAAGTTTGGCTTTATCCTCTTCTGGGGGTTCTCCGTTCATGGCGTGGATATCTGAGATTGCCGAAACCATTACCAGAATATCGAAGGACATTGGCACATATACGGCACTGAATGCTAATGACGTTGATTCAGCTCATGAGCCTCGTCACTTGCACGAACGCAAATCGTCTTGGGATTGCTTTCAAGCTAGAAATCTCCATTTCCTCAACAGTATAATACAAAGAAGTATTTGAGACACAGTGTCTACATACAAAATCTTAGCCCCTCTACACGAAGATTAATTAGATGAGTCTGCTTTGCTCGAAAGGCAAAGTCTCCGAGTCGCAATCTTTGTCATTGCTTTGCTCATGAAATCATATATGTACTATTTTATTCGATCTTAAAAACACTAGATGGAAGAATAGCTGTCACACTTCGCTCTTCGCCAATACCCAGAGTTCCATCTCAATTCCAGCTCCCTCCCTATCAGTTGCAAGTCCCATATTTTCCTCCCACTACCAGTCTCAACCACTTAAGCATTCAAGAAACCCAACAAATCCTCATTGACACCTTGAACCTCTATGTTATGCAAACCATGCGGTCCACCAGGGTAGACCTTCAGCGTTCCCTTCTTCAACAGCTTGACCCCAATCTCAGCCGCATCCGCAATCGGCACGACCTGATCCGCATCACCATGAAGAAGCAACACAGGGATATCGATTTTCTTCATATCCTCCGTCATGTCAGTCTCACTGAATACCGTAATGCAATCATAAGCTCCCTTGAAGCCGCAAATCATGGCCTGCTGAAACCAGCTATCAATGAGACCCTGCGAGACCTTTGCACCAGGTTTATTGAATCCAAAGAATGGTCCGGTTGGCACATCAACGAAGAACTGGGCTCGGTCGGCTATCATGGCTGAGCGGAATCCGTCAAATACTTCCATGGGCGTGCCTTTGGGGTTGGACTCGGACTTCAACATGATGGGTGGGATGCCACTGATGAGAACGGCTTTGGAGACGCGAGATGAGCCGTGACGGCCGAGGTAGCGGACTACTTCTCCGCCACCAGTTGAGTGACCGACCATCATGACATTCTTGATGTCGAGGTGCTCGAAGAGCTCGGATAGATCGTCGGCGTATTGGTCCATGTTGTTTCCGTCCCAGGGCTGCGAGGAGCGGCCGTGACCGCGGCGGTCGTGGGCGATGCAGCGGTAGCCTTTTGAGGCGAGGAAGAACATCTGGTTTTCAATGTTGTCTGAGTTCAAGGGCCAGCCTGGTATGGTGTTAGTCTTTTGATTGTATATATAGGTTGGAGGTATGAATGGTATAGGTAGACCGGACGCACCATGGGAGAAGGTAACTACTTGTCCGTTTGGGTTACCCCAATCTTTGTAGTAGATTGAAGTCTGATCTTTAGTGGTGATGAAAGGCATTGTGAGGCGTGTTGATGTTGTTGGTAGGTGTGGGGAGTGTTTTATTGACTTTGAAGGTGAGTCCTTGGCGCGTTGCTTGAGGATCGATATGATTTAATTCAAAAGAAAGTGCAAGTACTTTCATACTTATATATTCTCGAATTGTGACGTGGAAGCTTCAAAATAGCACTCTATCAGAGAATCGGCTTCGATGTCAGCTTCAATGACGTCTCATCTGGCCCCGAACTTCCAGATTCGGTTAATTGAGAAGGTGGGGAATACATATACGACGCTTGCATAATACTTGCAGACCGCGACCACTCTGGGACCTTGCGATGCGAACCGTCCACTGAAAAGCCATATGCGGAAATATGTATATCCAAGAGAATGTATCTCGACGATAAGAAAGTATCTAGCGGCATCTTTATCAGATTGTGTTTCGTACGTCAAGTGGCTGACAGTGCACTGAACGGCAAGTAGTGTGCTTACTCACCAGCCGGCTTGCGGCACAAATATTTCCATGGAGGAACTTGGAGCAGCATATCGGTGTCCTGAATGTTGTGGCTTGGTACCTGCTTAAACGATAGGCGACGAAAGTGGGCCTGGGTTCGTCATCATTATTCGGACTCCGAAGGAATCGAAGGCTTGAATTTCGCCTCGAGGAAGTGGTGATGACCATTCTTTGTTAATTCAGAGAGAGGATGAACTTGAAAACTTCAGACAAAATCGAGAATGGCGAAACTGCAATTAAGAGTGTGTCTTCTGCTAAGAGAGAAATACAGTCCATGAACAATTGTCTTCAAAACAGTTGGCACGCTGCTCGACATAGCTATTTGACATGAAATTTTTGACTTCTATTCCACGAATTTCAAGAACTGATCAAAACGATGATGCATACAGCGAAACGATGGCGTGGAATACATCAAAGGCCGCCAAGAAGGAGATTCGATATAATGAAAGCAAGAATCAAACGACAGCCAATAGACGACGGGTTGAGATGGGGGCAAGCTTGCAGAAAGTTGCGATAACATCCACATCAGGGACTATCAGATATGACTGAGTGAAGCACCATCGCGAACGATGCAGGTATACGGATGTTGGAGCGGCACCCCGAACAATCTGTAATCCTTTCCAAGAGAGCAATTTCTAGCCTACCAACCTGAGATGGGAAACTGAGGGGAGGAGGTTGCCCAATAGTCAAGCGTAAGAGATGGACCTGACGTAGTGGTTCATACACTCTGTCGTGAAATACGTCTAAGGTCTACGGGAAAAAGCTGTGCTCAAAATCCATACGGTGAGTGACTGTTGATGTTTGGCGATAAGGCAAGAGTTGTGTTCATTCAGGGTTGATTGAAAATTGGAACCCCATGACGCCCCACTCGCTTGGCAGTGGCTCGGTCAGCCAAAGATCCGCCCCGACACCCATGACGATCCAGTCAGCAAAATAATCTAAACCTCCTCCATCATTACATCTTGCACAGAAATCACGATTACCTGATGATGTCTTCACCTAGTTCCATAGTCACCTCCCGTCAAACATTCATCTCTGCATCTGCATCTGATACAAGTTTCCAAATGCTCCAAGTGCCTCAACCTAAATGAAGATCCCATCCCAACCCACCTAGCGTCGCCGCGTTGACAAGACTCTGGGCAAGACTTAGATCCTCCGCACGTGGTGGACCAGTGAACGTTGACTCGTTACCAAGACGATGAGAGAAAGCCTCTTTTCAAAATGCCAATACTGTGACGACAACGACGGTGCGCGCAACGATTAAAAAAATTGTTGCGATGACATTTAAGGTCAGCATGGATGGTCTTCAATATGTGATCAGTGACGGGCACGCGACCATCGAAAAGCATGGACGGTATTTCGAAATCGACGGCTTTGAATGCGTCGGGAAGCTCGTCGAGTTCTGGAATGTGTGAGAAGGGTCGAGAGGAGGCTGAGAAAGATGTTTTGAGTTCAGATCTGGATCTGGATATTGAAGCTGTTCCAAGAGATAAAACGGATTTCGAGAAGAAATTCCAGGATCACACTATCGATGACTATGCATCTATGGATCCGCCTTCAAAGAAACCACTCAAGCAAAAATTGAAGAAGTATTTTGGACCAGGTGGAAAACTCCGACCGTTCAGGCTGCTCAGGCAGGATATTAGCAATATACGGAAACGATATATTTCGGACTGGGCGCTGTTCAACCAGCTCGTTTTTGCGAGTGCGGTTTATGTGTTTTTTACGAATATTTTGCCCGGGATCACGTTTGCGAGTGATCTCTATGTGAGGACGGGGATGAATTGGGGGACGATTGAGGTGGTGTTCAGTACGGGATTGTGTGGGATTATTTTCTCGTTGTGAGTTTTGGGCTTGAATGAGATGTCGGGAATGATGTGCTGATGAGGAGATGTAGGTTTTCGATTCAACCGCTGACGATTTTGGGTGTTACTGGGCCATTTGCTGTGTTGGCTGAAAACATTTACGAGCTTTGCGAGACTTCGTTTCACGTGGGTTGTTTTATTCGCAATTTAAAGAAACAAGGCTGATGATGATCGCAGGTCGATTTCCTCTCCATCATGGCATGGTCCCTCATCCACGCAGCCTGGATGCACTACCTCCTCGCAATCTTCAACGCCCACGACTGGACCATGCAATACGTCACCAACTTCACCGCCGACATCTTCTCGCTCCTCAACAGCGTCATCTACTTCCACAAAGCCATCCAAGAGCTCCAGCGCAACCATGCCCAAGTCTCCTTCGCCTCCTTCCTATACTCCGTCATTGGCGCTGTCGGTACTTTCCTCCTCGCCGTCTTCCTCTCGACAGCCAATTCATGGAAACCTCTCTTTCATAGATACATCCGTATGGGCTTATCGGAATACGCAGCAGCGATCTCAATCATCCTATTCATCGGCATCCCCCACATCGGCGAGCTCGCCACCCTCGACAAACAAACCCTCGTCGTGCAAACCACCTTCCGACCCTCCAGTCCCGCCCGCAGCACATTCTTCGTCCAATTCTGGACGCTGCCCGTACAGTGGGTATTCCTATCCATCATCCCCGGCTTCATAATCACCGTGCTGTTCTACTTTGATCATGAGATAAGCAGTATTATCTGTACGTTGGATAGGTATGGGACGAAGAAACCGGGCGGGTTCGCGTGGGATGTTGTGTTGCTTGGGACGACGACGGCGGTTTGTGGGGTTCTGGGGATTCCGCCTGCGAATGGACTTTTGCCGCAGGCGCCGCTGCATTCCGAGTCGTTGATGCATACTGTGAGGTCTGAAACTCTTGTTGTGGATCAGGAGACTGGAGAGAGGGGGGTTAAGGTCGTGGAGAGGGAGCAGGTGTATGAGCAGCGCTGGTCGGCGTTCTTGCAGGCTGGGTTTATATTGATGTTCATCTCGCCGCCATTGCAGCGTGTCTTAGGTCTCACGCCTACGTCTGTTCTTGCGGGTCTGTTCTTGTTCATGGGCGAGCAATCTCTTGCTGTGAATCCGATTCTGTTTAGGTTCTTCCATATATTGACTCCAGCGTCGGAATTACCGCCTCTGCCGAAGGGAATTGGGAGTTGGTGGGGGGTGCATGGGTTTACGGTTGTGCAGATTGTGGTTACGGGGGGGATATTTGGGATTACGTTGAGTGTTGCGGCGCCGGCGTTCCCGGTGGTTATTATTGCGCTGGTGCCGGTTAGGTTGTTGTTGATGGGGAGGGTTTGGGGGAGGGAGACGTTGAGGTTTGTGGATGGGTGGGCTTGTAGGGATGGGGGGCCGGAGGAGGATGAGGATAGGAGGAGGGAGGAGAGGGAGGGGGAGGTCTGGGTTGGGAATGGAGATGGAGGTGGGAGAGTGAGAGGGATTGGAGAGAAGGGGAAGATGAGCGAAGTCGATGGGAATGTTTGATATCGTATGGCTGTAAGTCTAGATATGTTCGCTAGACGGCTAGGTACCTATAGACTTAGAAAAATTTGGCTAACTCCTAAATCAGCTATCAGTCACGTGCCTGCACAATTTCAAAATGGGTGCCTGGCAAAGTATCACAGAATGCTGAGCTCTTCTATAGGCTCTGACAATCTATTACATGAAAAGAAGTAGAAGGGAGGGTGGTCGTATGTGCCTTCTAGGTTGTCTCTGCTGTCAGCTCCGCCAAATACCTCCACGTGACGGAAAGCATCTCCACGGCCTAATTGTCCCAAGTCCATTCATTGTCAGCAGCGACATGGACAAAGACGTAGGTAAGTCTCCCATCATCTGATTCGCTCCATTGATACCCATTTCAGTCTCTCACATCATGCACAAAATCATCCCGACCAAAAGTCAATGTTTAAAGCTTACATAAGGTAACACATCCGAGATCTTTCTCATCAGCACCCTACCTAAACTTACCTGTAGGTTCCGAAGTCTCCCTAGCGAATCAACAAATGAGCCCCTAGGAACGTGCATCGTGATTTGGTGAGAAGAAAATCCGTACCTAGAGCGGCGGAGACAGATGTGGCTAAGGTATTGGAAGGAAAGGGCAATTTTCTAGGCTCGGAATTCGGAATGTTTGACCATAATTATATGCTAGCTACCTAGGTAGATGTGTTGCGTGCTTGTTCTTTCTTTTGTCGAAGGCAGGTAGGTACCTAGATTAAAAGGTCAATTGGAAGATGACGGACGGGAAGAGAAAAGAAGAGAATAAAGCGGATGGGTAATGAAACCGAGATATTTTGCTGACAAGTAAATGGCCTTTAATGAGGTCTAGATCTTTCATGCTATTGCCATTGTAAATCAACCGGTGATGAAATCGGTTTTGGATTTCTTCGTTTGGGATTTTTCAATGGTTTCGGGTGACAGATGTCCGCCAGTCATGTTCCTCCCACATCCCATCGTGAGGCTTGAGCCTTGAGGTGGTACAAGTAATAGAGGGGCCAGGCGGCCAGACAGAGTGGGATGTTCCCTTGCTCGCCTTGCCACTCAGGCCCAACCCCTAACCTTACCTTACCTATCCTATCCCTGCCCCATGTCCAGACCAAGATCCGCATACCGGACATCGAACAGCAAAAACAGTTGTCTTGTCTTGTTCTCTTTAGATGCGGTGATATGATATCAGAGAATAAACTTCTCACCGCAGGCAGGGGAAATACTTTCTCTGGACTTCGACTCGTAGAATAATCTAGAGCTAGTGTTAATGGGGTTATTGAGGACGCTGATGCTGGCCAGAGGAGCTCCTGATTTGCGCGTTTCGTAGTGGGGTACTGGTTAATCAGCTCCCAACGTTACTGTATGACGCCGGGCGGGGACAAGACAGCTTGGGGTGGTGTCCAGGTCGGTGCGTGCTGCGGGCGGGTGTTGAGACGAGACGAGGAGGGGTCGCGGTCACGGACAGGACAGGACCCAAAGGACCCAAAGGCTGCGTGCGTGGTTTTAAACCTCGAAATTCTTTTCCTCTTTCCCTTCTCTTCCATTTCCTCAACAACACCTCACTCCCATACCAAGCAAACACACTCTGCCATCATCGCAATTGAATACCGCAGATACTTCTACTTTGCTGCACTACACACAACTCGCAATCATGAGCAACTCATTAGAACAGCTTAAGGCTTCTGGAACCGTGAGTTTTTACCCCTCCATCCTGAATCGGTGGGTTGCAAAGTGGCGGAGAACTCGGACATGCTTGGGGATTGTTGAGTCTCGTCTCAATGGCTTCTTCTGCATATTCTATCGAGAGGTAGCTGTTTACTAATGATTTTTCTGCTTGCAGACTGTTGTCAGTGATTCTGGTAAGCTTCATCCTCCATCAATGCAAACCATTGGGACATCAGCTAACCTCTCCCCTCTCCAGGTGATTTCGCATGTAAGGCTCTCCCATACCCAATATATCCTCCCTCCTACTTCTGCCATCTCCAATCTCTTATTCAACAAACATACTGATAATCCCACAGCCATTGGCAAATACAAGCCCCAAGATGCCACCACCAACCCCTCGCTCATCCTTGCCGCCTCCAAGAAGCCCGAATACGCCAAGCTGATTGACGTCGCTGTCGAGTACGGCAAGAGCCACGGCAAGAATATCGATGAGCAGACCGATGCTACTCTCGATCGTCTTTTGGTCGAGTTCGGAAAGGAGATCTTGAACATTGTTCCAGGAAAGGTCTCAACTGAGGTTGATGCCCGTTTCTCGTTCGATACTCAAGGTTCAGTTAACAAGGCTCTCCACATCATTGAGGTATGTTGCTCCTCAGGCCATTTTTTCCTGCATTCGAAACTGGTTTTTGGAAGTAAGAGATGGGACAATGCTGACAAAAATCGGATAGCTCTACAAATCCGTCGGCGTCGACAAGTCCCGCGTCCTGATCAAGATCGCCTCCACCTGGGAAGGCATCCAAGCCGCGCGCATCCTCCAAAAGGAGCACGGCATCAACTGCAACCTCACCCTCCTCTTCTCCAAGGTTCAAGCCATCGCCGCCGCCGAGGCTGGCGCCTACCTCATCTCCCCTTTCGTTGGCCGCATCCTCGATTGGTACAAGGCCAAGACTGGAAAGACCTACAGCAAGGAGGAGGACCCAGGAGTTGCGTCTGTCAAGAGCATCTTTGATTACTACAAGAAGTTTGGGTACAAGACTATTGTTATGGGTGCTTCGTTCAGAAGTGTGGGTGAGATTACGGAGTTGGCTGGTTGTGATTACTTGACTATTTCGGTATGTTCTTTTCCTCCCGCTCCTCTTTAAATTCCCCCACCAAACCAAACAAAACCAAACCAAACTCGAGATTTATCGATCCCTCAAATCCTCCAGTTCAAATCTTCAGACCAAACAAAACCAACTAACGAAAAACACAGCCCAACCTCCTCGAAGACATGATGGGATCCTCCGACCCAGTCCCCAAGAAGCTCGACGCCAACAACGCCAAATCCCTCGACATCGAGAAGAAGTCGTACATTGACAACGAGCCCGACTTCCGCTTCGACTTCAACGAGGACCAGATGGGTGTTGAGAAGCTCCGTGAGGGTATCAGCAAGTTCGCTGCTGATGCCGTTACCTTGAAGGATATCCTCAAGGCTAAGATTGAGGCTTAGGTTTCTTGAGGGGGAGGGGGAAGGGGAGGGGAGGAATGGGGAGGTATATATGTTAGTTGGGTGATGAGAGGATGGGGAGGGGAGGGGATGGAATGGGGAGATTAAATTGGTATGGGATCCATGGATGGGGATGGGCGAACAATGACGAATGTAGTTATGTGATTATGCATGCTGGCATACATTTCAATGAAGCAATGAAATTTTCTCGCAATCTGGACTCTGATCATCGCTTCTAAGTGAAATATTTCAACTGAAGCCCACAGTAGGAACATCTCATAGTTTATACTGTAAGCAATATAACTATAGAATAGGTAATAATCGGTTCACCTCTGCAAGTCTGCGGGCACTCGCCTACACGATAGCGCCAACTGGAAGGAAACAGATTATTAATGGCTATCAGCCATCAGTCCATTTTTCTTTTTGATTTGAGCGAAGCATACTTAGCTCAGCGCAGCACAGCGCAGCGCAATATATTATAGCCTAGTATAATACAACTACACTCTCTACCCTTCCCTCCTTCTTCCCACAAAAACCAACCGACCAACCAAGCACGACTAACTCCCCAACTTATCCAACAATCTCCTCCTCCTCCTATCCACCAACTCCTCCTGCACCTCCTCCGCACTCGGCAACCTCCACCCCTCCCCACCCCCGTCGTCGCCCGGCAACGGCTCCCAATCTTTTGGCTTTCCACCATTCCCGCCTTCCGCAAGCAGGTTCTCAAATGCCTCTTGCTCCTTTTGTGACTCGTAGGCTAGTAAAGTGCCGTCTTCTTCGTCGAGGTTGTACCCGTAGTAGGAGGCGTCGACGAGTTTGCGGAGATGGAGGTCTGGGTGAGTGCTGGATGATTTTGATTTGGAGGGCTTGGCGGATTCGAAGAGCTCTTTTACGCCGGGGAGGTCTTTGGCGCGGCCAAAGTATCTGTGGTGGTTCAGTTAGTGAGTTCGCTGAATTTCTGGCAGGCAATATATTGGAAACGGTGGCAGAGAGACCATAACGAAAGAACAATCCAAGCATACCTATACCCCTTCCCCGCGCCCTTGATCTCCACCCCCTCATCATCATACACCGCACCACCGCCCCTCATATAATTCGGGCCTCCCAGATTCCTCACCTGCACCTCCCACATGTGCTTCTCCCTCATCAACTTGTTGATCTCGTCGTTCAGATCCCGGATCATGAAATCGCTTAGGCTAGGGTCCTGGATCTTGGAGACTTTTCGGGATATCTCTTTGAGGACTTGGCCGCGCCATTTCTCGCAGGAGGGGATCGATGTTACTTCTGTTATCATCTTGGGGCGTCGGGTCCGTCCTGCGTCGAGGATGCCGAGGTCGGCGGCTTGGGATTCGCGGAAGCGGAAGAGCATGCTTTGGGCTTTTTCGGAGTTGCGCGCCTAGAGGGGGAGAGGAGGGGAGGTTAGTTGGTTTGTCTTTGGAGAGGAGGAGGAGGAGGAGAGGGGGATGGTCTGCTGGGATTGGGAGGGGGATCGGGTTGATAGAGGTAAAAATAGCGTACCATGATTGCGGTGGTGCTCCGTAGAGACTTATCTGGAGATTGGGAGGAATTAAGGAGTCGTGAGGTTGCAGTCGTGGTCGGTATGTAGTTGAAGCTATTGACATCCACCAAAAAGCTTCAGGCTTCGCGACATGATGAGGCTGAGAAATAAACTTGCGCTAAGGTGATCCTCTAAACCACAACCAGTATCGAGTCTTAAGCGGCCGCTAGCTCCCCGCGCTACTCGCGTCCTACAAAATCACTTCGCGTCTCCCTTCGCTCTCAACTTATCACAACGAAACAAAAAACCAGCAATGAAGAAAACCCAACCACATTCAAGAGCTAACCCACGATCCAGCCTCTGAGATTCCTACCTCGGTTGAAAGATCGAAGATTCGGATTCTCTTACGGTCGGAAATGCGTGCATTTGAACAGAGATCTGAGCTGGTCCAACTGTTGTCTGTCTGTCTGCTTTGACGAACCACGATTGGAACTTCCGGATTGTTGTGTGAATCTGTGAGGATGGGTTGGGATCAGGTGTGAGTAAGAGAGGGTGGAGCATGACTAGGACGACAATTCGCAATCTACCTGAGACGCTGTGCCGATGCTGAGCTGAGATCTTTACCTTGCGGAGAGAGAGAGGCTGCGATGGGGGTTGTGGTTGACCTCTTGATGTGGGGAGTGGGTCGATGCGAGGTGAGGTGAATGCGTTGGTGAGGGTGGAATATATAGTTTTCAATCGGAGGAGTGCGGTATGTCTTTTCTCTCTTCTTTCTTTTTTCACCTTGTGTATTCCAAGCTGTTGATCAGACCTTTACTGACTTGCCTCATAGATCCCTCTCCCTCCCATCCCCCAACCCGAGCCTTTTCCTTACAATCCATACCCACTAGTCGGTTCGTCGTCCACACAAGCACCCAACACAATCTTTCCTATCGTCTATCTATGCATGCATGCCCGAGTTCATTTTTCATACTGTCCTCCCATCCATACATGCCATACACCAAACACAAAAAGACAAACCAAGAAAAGCCCAGTGATGACCAAAAAAATGTCATAAGCCAAAATTGCAGGCCAACCTACCACCTTCCTTGCTATCGCTGCTCTGCTACTCTTGATCTCTTCTCTGCCTGCCTTTGGTGGGCGGATGGGAGGGAGGACGGAGTGGTGGGTGGTGTGTTTGCGGGAGGTGGGCAAGTGTTCGCGATGAGAACTTGAGAGCTAATCTGAGGGCCACTTTTTGGTTTTTGTGTGTTTTGTGTTTGGGTGAGTGGCCCCTTTTCATTTTGTTAGTGCTTAAGTTTTGAGGTGGTATTGAGAATTGAATGATGTGAAGTTGTTTATCCTTTTGAGTCTCTTGCTTCTGCTTGCAACTTTGTTGTGGTAGGTTGTTGAGGAGTAAAGCAGAGAGGCTACAAGGAGGCCTCTACGGTAGCTGGTTGGGCAGCTGAAAGACCCCGCGTTAAGCTGATCTTGGGTTGAAATCGGAGAGACACAAGTATTTCAGTATGACAGGAAAGAAAATTAGAGCATCATTCACCTTGAATGCAAAGCCATCCGCCTCTTAAACTTATCTTGTTGCTCTCCATGCAGTGTATCAGTATCATCGATCCAAATCAAGTAACGTGCTCATCAAGTCGTGGCTGGAGAAGCCTGAAGACATGCATACAGCCCTTTTGCTCTTGTCGCTGGCCCACCTGCACAATAATGAAAATCTTGAGGTGCGATGATCAGCATCCGCCAATGTGTTCTTGCAGATTGTGGAGTTTAGTACTCTCTGCTATGAATAGGACATCATTTTAGCCAGCCAGCACCCGAAAGACCAATCATTGTCTCTGTATTTGCTGAATTCTTCTTAGGAGATCTCATCCTGTCGGTTAATGCTGAGAATTCCCGCCCGTGAGTCCACAGCCTTCAGATATCAACAGCATCAAGGTGTACTGGAGTGCAATTAGTTGTCGCTGTAAAGCCAGAGTGAGCTCGGCCGAGCTGAGATCTTGACATGCTATGTACTGCCTGGGGAGTTCTCTTTGCATGGGTACCTGCTTTGATTGACCTCGCTGGGGTTTTGTGAGAAGAAGAATTGATGGAGTGGAAGTGTATCCATTCAAATTGTAGAATGTCCTTGCTCTGCTGTTGGAATCTGTATTTGTTCGATTTGCATGTTGACCTGTGTTGAGTTTTGTCTGCTTTGATTACTCTCAGTCCAGGTTTTTGGGCTTGCTTGAAGCTACGTTTGATCCATGAGTGCTAAATTTCCCAAGTGGCGAGACGTTGCTAGGAAGGAACCCCCAAGACCAGGCTAGCTTGACGTTGTAGATAGGTAGCTACGTTCGATGCTGAAGCTGAAACGTCCAACTTTCACAACACTACATCAAAGATAGGACCTCAAAACCACGTTGTCTTCTTGCTCAAACCTCTTTCGCGTCTTTTGCCGAGATACCCTCCATGACCCTGGCACTCAGAAGGTGAGCCTCTGCAGAGTCTTTTCTTCTGTCGCATTGTCATTCAAGCCTAAAATCAGCTTGCAGTTTCCTGAATGTCATTTCTAGGAAAGCGACCAATCCATCACTTCTTTGGATACTGGCGCCGTTATCGGGCTGACGCAGTTGGAGAAGTCAAGTCCATTGGTCTCGCAGAGACAGAACCACGCTAGTAACCAGGAGGCGATATAAACCCATATCTCGATCGCGACTTTTCCTCCAGGACAAACACAAAACCAGACATTCGAAAGCAAATCCAATATACTCCGATCTTACATCTTTCTCCACAATCGTATTTCGCACTCGGTGAGTAAAGTACACTCTTTTGAGACTTTGATGGAGGATGTTAAGGCATTAACAGCACACCGTAGGTGGATTTGTCCACAAATAAAGGCTTTTGATCCTGGTGTCAAGGATAACGAAAGTAGTGTGGGTGATTCAGACATTCACTTTCGAGATCTGTCGACTGAAATTGGGGCTAACGTATGTTGGCACAGAAGGATCTTCGATTTGCGCATCCGACCTTCCTGCAATAGAAGTGATTCTGCAATCCTGCGCGCTTGCCACGTTTCCACCATACCGGTAAGCTGTTGCTCCGCCCGTATTAAGACTGTCCTTGGAGCATCCCCTTCTCTGTCCTCACCACACGCCCTCACATCCTAATATCCTCATTGTCCCGCCTCATTGCGCGACATTGGAAAGACCATTCCAATTCACCTCGAAATCCTCGCCTCCTACGGCCGGACCAAGAGTGGCAGGCAACCCCATCCAACATCCTTCCTCCAACACCAGCTTCTTGTAATTCCACTTTCATTCACATCCACACCAATTTCAAAGTCCTCAACACATTTCGGGACATTGATCAGTCTTTCAGCCGTCGTTGCAGAGATATCCAAAGCACCAGTACTCGATTGGTTTCAAACCAAGACCTAGTATCCGGGCATCTCTAGCAGAACTCCAGCCATTCACTTTTGATTGTCCAAAACGCGTTCAGACATTGAAACGCGACATTCTCAAACCGGGCATATTCGAGCCTGGACTCCGTGCTGACAGCCGACACAGGTTTCTTGACCCATATTCTCTTCCCGAACACCAAATACGTACGCAGAACTACTCCATATCACCACCCAAGCTTTGGTCATATACCCAAGCCCACCCACCGAAGCAAGCAACGCCCTTACCATTCGTATGTCCTCAACCCAACACAATACATTACAATCATGCTAACCCTCGACAAGGATAAAGCCCGGACGGGATATCGCTCCTGCCCTCCTCCAAATACCCTACCTCTGAGTCGCAGCGTCTTTAGGGACACTTGCCGACACTCGGTCGTGCACTTCCACTCAAAAGCTCGAGTAAATATCGACGAAGCCAAGGTATTGCCGCTGGATTACTCGATCCTGCCATACAAATCGACATACGGAAGGAATCCTGAGTCCCAAATATCGGGGTTTCAAAAGTCACAAGTGGACTTTGCGACATTGGTGAGTGCTTTTATTACTCTTGGGCATGCGGATATCCCGCGTACCGGCTCACATGAATCCTCATCTACCATTGTGGATTGCAGGATTGGAGATTGGTCGAGGCTCAATTAAGAGTTCGTATAAATCACTTTATCTTGACCAAGATACCTTGCTATCCTTCACAATCTGACCTCATTTAAACCTGAAGATCAGATTGACACAAGTCCATATTCACAGTACAATATCCCAGTCGGATTCAGTAATGACATTTCCCTACCACAAACTTCCATGTTCTACTGAAGAGCCTCCGTTTTCCTTTCTAGTTGACAATATTGTTTTTATGTTAACCAGCTCAAGGCTTCGGGAATTTGCTAGTGATTTCTGCCAAGTTGAGGATCCATTTTCTGGGAAATTACCATACCCAGGCCGAGTCGTGAGTTTGTTACCGGCATATTCATCACACAAGTCTGTCGCCTCTTCGAAAACCAGAGTTTAAATTTGTTCATTCTCGTACGTATCGATTTTTAAATAGACAGTCTCACAGCACTGACCCTGAGCTAGACAATGGTTGCCGACGGATCTGGTCTTTACCCAGCCACCCCAGGAGGAATAGGCCCTCCCGTTATGAATTCCACGACACCCTCGGCCCTTTCAAACGGTCGACCTGTTGCCCAGGTTCCTGGATCCCGAAGAGCTTCTCAAGTTCTAGGTGTTGGTCGTATTAACATAGTCAATAATAGCAAGTATTCCACGCCTCGACAGCCAGATGCCAGAATGTACGATGAGCTTCAAAGAGGCTCCTCGCCAAGTCGAGTTGTTGACGAAGATAATGGATACGGTCGTGCTTCGTCTTATGTATATGGTGAGGAACGTGGCAACGACAGCAACATTTTTGGCCGCCAGGCTCACTTTCAAGGCACCCTACAGTCCAATAGCCATGATTTTGGCGACAGTTATCAAGGCTACAATGGCTCTCCGATCTCTGCTGTTGGCACTCCTGCTCATGGATATGTGAATGGTATGTCACTTGGCTTCGACCGCATTGCGAGTGGCGGACGTAACGAGCATTATTTGAATGGTAATGGACACCATCTCTCGTACTCTGGTGCCAATGTTGCATATTTTGCTTCCTCAACTGAGACTATTACACACAGCCCAAATGTGTACCCACACTTCAACGATGGTGATGTTCGCATCGTTTCGCCCTCGGGTAAAGTCTGGAAACTCCACAGTATCATTCTGATGAAGGCATCCCCCGTCTTCGCTTATCTCTTGGATACAATTCCTGGATACAATGTGACCAGGCGTATGAGGGAGCAGGGTAATTGTGTTAGATGGAACATTACTATGACTGCCGACCACCGTGCGAGTGATATCGATCCTGAGGGTCTGAAGTACATGAAGTTCGATAAAATCGTAAGTTCTTCAATCTCTGGCGTCATGCGTCATATTGCATACTAATCAGTATCAGACTTCCAAGGACAGGAGTCTCACAATCATGGCAAACCACAATGGCTTGGGCGAAGCTGCTGGGTATAATAAGCTGTATGACAACTTCTTCCGATGTGTCTACAACATGGAACCAAACTTCACCAACGACAATGATCCTCAAGCTCGTGTGATGATCGTGGATGCTACCACTCTCCTTCAAGCTGCAGTCTGGATTGATGCTGTTCCTTGTGTCCGTTTGATCATAGAAGCCAACTTCCTCCGTCTCAACCAAGCTCTCTGGAAGCATATCAGCGACAAGCCCGAAGGGTGGATTCACGTTGCTTCACGTTTGCAGTCACCATTGATGTTCCGAGAGTGTTTGATACACATTGTTGGCAAATACCATTTGAAGAATGGTATTAATAGGCATTTTATAACAAAGAGAGCTCATGGGCCATTGACACCAAAGATATGGGCTCTAATTGTTCAGAAGGCCAAGGAACTGAAGGACAAGAAACTTCGAGTTGAGCGTGTCTTAATGGAATTCTATCCGGTCCGCATGATCCACAAGGAGGATAACGAGACTATTCCCGGTCGTGCTATCTACGCAGCTGATATCTATCTCTGGCAAGCCCTAGTTGTCTTCCGCCAATTCATCACATCGGCATTCTTCAGTAATTTCCACCACAAAGCCAAGGATGGAGGTCTCGCATTCTACCGTACCCTTGGAGCAGGCGACGCCACATACCTCCGTGCGGATACTCTTGACAAGTTCCACCAGAGCTTCGACATGAGTCCCAAGGCTAAGGGTCTTCTCATCGCTGCTCTTGAGCAGGTTAAGGCTGAAGCCAAGAACATTGTTGCAGAACTCCTTGTTGACCGGTCTCAATTGGTGCGGGGTCCCAATGATCGTCCACGGGGTCATCTTACCTGCATTGAGGTCTTGGATGAAGAGATGCCTTGGGTTGTGGTCGAGAAAGTTGATCATAACGTTGATTCGGAGATGGATCATGAATACAGATCTTAGGGCGGCAACCAAAAATATCACGCCTCATCAACATGCGGCACTGGGATATTTTCTCAGCGGAAGGCGTTTATTGCAAGTGGCGTTTGGGATTAATGGTTGCTTTTATTTTTCTGATCATGCATACATGTACATTAGATAGATCGACAAAGCATGTCGTGACACTTGAGGGACGTAAAGAAGGCAACATGAGCAGGGGCTGTGCTCCTGTTTTTAGTCGCAATTAGCTAGCAGACTTGACTAGTAACGACGAATGAAATGCAAGGGCTTATCCCAATTCCCATTGGCGTGAATCCCCTAGACTAGCAAGAACATGATACAACATTTGTTGTTTCACGAAGAGCAGGGTTGTGCGAGGTTTTGTAAGCAGGACAGACGAAAAGCGACCCCTTTGCTAAGCGAGGGGTTGTAAACATGAAGCCGCAATGAGGAAAAAAGTCCAGTTAACAGAGAATCAAATTTTGACACGATGCATCTCATACGTCGTTCTATATAAGTACATACACATGTGGTAACATGAAATTTTCAATCTCATGGTTCTCGTGCATTCTCTAATCAGTAAGTCACTCCCCATTACCTCCCTGTCCTTCCAAGACCCAACCTTTACGCATTCCCTCTCTTTTCTAACATCGTCCTCGACTGTCTCAACTCCACCAAGCACTAAGCCGAGCACCGCTCAATCGCCTCCACTCCCCACACCTCCAACAACCTCGCCACTCCTTCAATCGCCCTAACATATTTCCCTCCTCCCCACCTGTCAGAAGCTGCTTCAACGTCTAACACGCAATATGAATCTCCGGAATTGTGCTAAGAACCGCCACATATAATTTCGAACAACCCAATCTTCCCAGAAAATTCTGACCATCTCGCTGCCAATCGCACCTGTGACCTGTCACACTGTGAAGACACGCATCATGGTGAGCAACACCGTGCAGACACGATTCCAGGAATCGCAACACTTGCAAGAACTAAGTAAATGGCAGACTACAAAGGAAAATTGAGGTACAGCTGTGTGGATAAAAGACTTGCTAAATGCAAGACCGATCATCTCTGTCAGCCATCGCAATGAAGCCCGCCCCCAGATACCAGAGGCTGCGTAATGAATATCTCAGGGACAGACAAGGATCACATTTCTTACCGCTCCCATCTCCTTTCCCTTATAATTCTCAGCAGTAGGCGCTGGCAGACAGGGGCCTGCTTCAAGATGAAGAAGGACGACTGTCTTCTCAATTTTAGAGTAACAAATCAATGCTGAGGGGAGATTCTGCCCCATCAAATAATGAATTCAAAAGGATGCAGTTCAAGGGGTCTAGATTCAACTACTGAACTTAGACCATAGGAGAAACGTGGTGGACGCTTCGTGTCAGTGAACGAGCGCATTGTCAAAGCCATCACATTCAACCAGTTTGGCATGTTGTAAAAATGATAAACATCAAATTGAAGCACCTCGTGTGTCCCGATGTGTGACACCGAGTACCTACGGGTTAGGATTGTGGTTATCTGAATTCGTTGCGGTGCATGGCAGATAGGGGTGTCGAGTGGAGCCAGCCAAACTTCCTGCATGCAGCCTCCTGCAGGCTGTGAATCTCCAACGAACCTGATTCTTGAGACCTTGTGGATTCTATTCTTGATTGACCTTAAAGCAAGCCAGTAAGTGAGGTTGAACATTGACCTAGCACCCTACGATCCTCCTGAGAGTTGCTCTACTGCCATCAAAATGCCAAAAGATCAGAATGTTGTGACAACATCCGACGGGAGACAGTCCACGGAAAATGGGAATCAAGAGATCGGTAAACGCAGTCAGCTAGCGAGGAAGAAAGCCACTGCTACGAGTAATGAGCTTCGTTCTGACTTCCAAGTGGGTAACATGCCGATGATGACGTCGGAAGCAAGGAGCAATACGAATGGAGGAGCAGCGTCAAAGCCTCCATCGATGTCCCTAACGAAAGCACTCTCGCCCACATCATCCCCGCATGCTAGATCGGGGCATATAGAAGTCTTAGCTAGCTCTGATGTGACACCACTTGGATCGAAAAGCGATTACAAAAACGGAATGTCATCACAAGCACCTGGCAAAGCGAAGTCCCCAAGGAGAAAAGCTCATAGAACGACGTCCAACCCGCAACCCAGCGAACAGGATGACAAGAGAAAAGGTTCCTCATCAGGCGCCGTTCCTAGCCACATGGAAGCACGTTCGATGTCAGTTCCGTCGATAAAATCTCTTTCGTTAGCTAAGCAGCCAGCAATCGCCGCGTATCAGGCATATATCCCTGTTGAACCCAAAGTAAACAAACGCTTTTACGAAGCTCTGATTATGCTATCTATTCTCGGCAAAAATCGAGGAGGTCGAATTCCCGAGAAGCCATTTCAGCACAGATCTGGACTGGAATCTGAAAAAGGCACTCTTCGAAGATTGTTTATCAGAAGTTTAGCTTACTTGTGTGACTCGGAGAAAGGAGGGCAAACTACGACCGCCATTGCTCTGCAGCAAGCTCAGAATGGAGGAGTTGTATACTGGGTTGCGTCCAACTGTCACTCCGCCGGTTCGAAGAAAGATCGGTCTAAACATTTCATGGAGGGTGTCTTGGGCACAGTGCAGAGCTCACTTGGCATGGATCATGCTCGGTTGCGGGTGGTGGAAATGAATATACTAGATAGAGCTGTTTCCTTTAGCGAGGGTAGACTGAAGGTGTACCGGACGACGTTGAAGTCACAAATAGAGAATGTAATTGGTTATTTCATGGAGGAAGGTATACCAGGTTCGTGACACTACTGTTATGAAGGAGATCCACGTATTAACGGTTTGCAGAAGATCCTCTTATTGGCTGGCTGAGAAAAATGCAAAGTCTCTTGAAGGACCCGAACGAGTTGTGCAACTTCTGCTATGAGGATCGTCAGTCAGTTCACTGCTTTAACCTCACTGAGCGAGCAAGAGCAGGCGGAATTTGTGCACAGCGGTTCAAAAGAATCAGGCATATCATTGGCCGTTTGGCTCATACGAAGAAAGCGGTCGTGGCCCTGGTAACATCTGGGAGTAGGCTCCCCCATCTCTTGAGCGATTTTTCTGTGACTCGAACGCCATCTGGATACGGTTCTCCACCGCCCCTACAGGAGCGCAATCCGACTCTTGTAGAATTAGCAGGTCGTATGACAAGCAACAAAGGGACAATCGAGACAATCCGACATTCCTTGGCCGATTTCGATCGACTGGTCCAACTCTCCGAGGAGTTGCAGCGTAGTTGCAAGTCTCGAACTTGGAGGCCACAGGTCCACGCAGAACTTCTTCTGAATGATCTTTTCGTGAATCGCAAGTTCAAATTCGTTGACGGAGATCGTTACATCGCCTGCAGTAAAGCCGCATGCTTCTGCTGCTACCACTACATCAAAGCTCAAGGCCAGTTCGTTGTACCCGGGTGTCACAATAACGTTTGGGTTAACTGGAAAGCACCAGATATCCTGAACCAGCCACAAAATGAGCCTTCGGTCATGAAACGAAAAAGGATCTTGAATATTATGACCAAGCATATCAGAGCTGCTGTTTTGAACCAAATCATCTATCGCCAAGCTCCAATGACGTGGAAGCCAGACACTGCTACAGAGATTTCAAGTGTACGAATGCAGGACATGCGAAGCCAAATAGCAATGCCAATTGAAGAACTCAACGCAACGCCGGGACCGAATTCCTATGCAAACTCCAGTCCTGGGTCTGAGGGCCCGGATTACGAAGAGCAGGATGATACCAACACCGGATTTTTCGACGAGGACGAGGACAGTGATGAGTGTGAGCCCGAATTGCAAGATGAAGGGGATTTGACAGAGAGGTTTGAAAGCTTTCAAATTGGAGATGAGCATGAGACGGGTGGTGCGGGGTATGGAGATCTTGAAAATGGGTATTGGAGCGATGACAAATACGGACCAAGAGATGAAAGATGCGAACCAAGCGATGATGAAGTCCATGGGAGAGTTTCTTTCTCTGACGAGTGAAGTTTTGATTATAGTAGCACCTAATAAAGTGATTCACACCTAAACCACGTATTTGGGAGGAAATCCTTGGGACGATTGAAACCACCCCTAGAATAGAAGACAACAGGTGACACAACAGACATATTCTTCCATTCAACCTGAGACATCACAAACATGTATTCGTCAAACTCGAAAAGCGACGGGAGATTTAGCTTAATTCAACGCAGAAAAGCGTCCATCAATATTGTTCTATTAGGATCAGGGTCGCAAAATCCCCACATAAAATAAAGTGCCACCAGCGGGTAAAATACCACAACACAATACAGAAGAATCAATTAAAACAAAATAACACAGTAAAGTCAAGCTAGTGCAACATCAGCCACTTACTATGGCTCTAGCGGTAGTAAAATTATATATGCCACTCATCCAATTTGTAACGCTCAAAGCCTCATGCTTTGTTGTATCCTCCACGACCATCCGTACCAGCCACTCCACCGACCTTATTATAACGTCCCACCCCACCATTCCGCCTAACCCCCTATTCCGGCTACCTCGCTTATATTCCGTATTTCCTATTTAACACTTAATAACTCTATATTACGTTATCTTTTTAATTAGATATTATAGAATATAATTCTCCTTATTATTCCGGTTCTATAGGTATAATTTAGTATTCTCTAGCTGTAATTTAAGCTTCTCTAATAGCACGTATTATAATAAACTTAGAATTCGGACTTATTTAAACCTTCTTCTTTTTCCTTAGTCTTAATCGCTCTAATTATGCCTCTAACTCTTTAATCCTTATATTTACTTACTTTAATTCATAGTCCTTCTTATTAAATCCTTTTAAAACCTTCCTGAAAAGTAAACAATATATTAAAAGTTAGTTATATAACCCGGCTATTAAGGAGTGTAGTTATAAGTAGATCTCTTTTCTAGCCTTCGGAATCTGTATCTTAATTAACGTGCTAAAAACTTTTATAGGTAGTACTAGTGTATCTTAAGGCCTTAGAGAAGTTAGATCTATCGATTTATTACTATTTTCTAATAGTAAAGGGCTTATTAATAGCTTTATAACTAATACTAGCTATAACCTTATAGTTCTTTACCTAGCCTTAATATTAGATAAGGTAAAACTCTCTTACTATGCCTTATAGTAGTATATAAGGAAATTACGCTTACTAATTAGAGTAGAATCGATTAAAGAACTTAACTTTTAAAGTTCTTTCTAGTAAGAACGTTTAAGAATAGAGAAAACCGTTAGATTAAGAGGTTATAGAATATATAATATATATATAAGTAAGAACAGAAGGTAGATATTATTTTTAAGGTATTTCTAAAGGAATTCTGTAGTTTCGTAACTCCTATAGCTGTCTAGAATAAGAAGCCTTACTAAATCGTTACGTAGTTATATTTAAGGGATAAAGACCTTCTCTAGCTACTTAAGAGCTATAGTATTAGTTATCTACCTATTTTTAGTAGTAGTGAAGTGCTACTAATTAAATAGGTCTAATTAAGACGGAAACTACTATTATTAGACTGATTTTCCCTTATATTACAGCTAAGTATATAGAACTACTTATTATAGATATACACTTAATAATTAATATCTAAACATATATACCTAACTATTTCCCTTATATCTTACGAGTTTCGGCACTTCTTATAATAAGTTTATTAAGACTATAACTTTCTATAACACTTGTTTTATCTATATTCTATCGTTAGTGAGCTAGAATCGCTTTAATAGCTAGAATCTCTAGTTTTTAGAACTATAGCTATATAACTTTAGAATAAGCGCAATTAACACGTATAGAATTAACGTATATTTACTTCTTAGTCTTTAGAACAGGGTTATATACTAGAAATCAAGTTATTTAGTGTTTCCTAAGTAGTTAGTAGTCTCCTTATAAAGCTAGAAGCCTCTCTTTAAAAACCCGAATCTATATATATATATAACTCTATAGCTAAGAGACTCTTAAGTAAGAACTTAATTAGTTAAACGATTCTCTACTACTATAGGGAGTCTTTATAAGTAACTTATAGCCTCCTTATATAATAGAGTCGTTATATTATAGTCACGAAGTGTAGACCTTAGAACACCCTAGTTAAGCGATACCTTCCGTAAGAACTTGCTATTTGCTACGTCCCTAAGTGTACATATAATATCATACTTAGTATATTAAGGCTTCATAATAAGATCAATTCATATTCCAAATATTAAAGAAATCTATTAAGGAATAATGGAATTAATAATTATTGAAGTAGGTAGGAAGAACTAGCGGTGAGTTAAGCGAGGTGGCCGGAATAGGGGGGTGGGCGGAATGGTGGGGTGGGACGTTATCCTCCACGTCCATCTGTACCAGGTAACTCGGCTCTTTTATTATATCCTCCACGACCATCCGTACCAAGTAGCTCGGCTCGCTTGTTGTAACCTCCCCGTCCATCAGTACCAACTTGACCGTCTACATCGGCCTCGCGAGCAAGATTCACACCAGCGGGGTCAACAGGAGAGGGAATCGCTGCTCCAATGGCCGAGACGATAAGCGTGGCGAGGAGGGTGCTAGATGTGAAGCGCATTATTGTGACTTGTGGGCGACTTCTAGCTGAAGATGTGTTGGTTTAGAAGATTGGATTTAGATATAAAGTGGTAGCTAGTGAGGCTTGATCTGAAGTCTGAGCTATTGACTGACAGGAGTTTCAAGCCCCAGAACTCGTTGGGCACATGCCTGGCTATATAGACGCCATCTGACATACCAACTAACATAATTTTAAAATTCAATAATCATCTGGATGGCTGGCTGTGTCGAGCAAAGGTCGCGACATCACATCATACCGATAACAATTTCCTCTTTGAGGCACTCGCTCCGAGTCCGAACCACGCCAGATCTATCACAACGCTGACTCGGCAACGACAAACAGGCAAGATACCGGAACTGAAAGCCAAGAGGGCGTACTTTCATTGGAAGATTCGGAAGCGCCGTGTTGGTGATGTTGGTTGGCGCAGCCCTACGATACCCGAGCCGGGTCACAATTGGGGGCCGATGCGACACTTGCGAGGTACGGGTCGTCTAACGCAGCGGCGTAGAGTTGAAGAACAAGATTCAGGTAAGCTTTGTGCGACATTGATGTTTCCGGCGACTGTGGAGTTGGGAGGAAATTGCAAAAGGACCGATAGGAAGATGGATCGTCGAGTTGAAGAAGTGTTGCGCTCCCACCAACTAGCGGCACGGGTAGCCAATACAAGATGAAGTCTAGTAGGGGACAAGAACTAGGTGAATCATATGCTGAACCATTCTAGTATTCTGTTGGAAAAGAGAAGATGGGAAAAGAGCAAGGGTGAAAACGGTTTCTGGGTAACGGTTAGTCCAACTGGCCGTGAGGGCGAATGGATAGGCAGCCTACACTGGTGGAGGATCAAACATCAAAACGCCGACCTCACTAATGCAGAACCAACGCTGGCAATAAAATGTGATATAGAGTGATTAACGAGCCGGAAACTTTCATTGGCTAGATTGAATAACCGAGCAGCTGACCTTCATTGGTTAGAGGGTGTCTTCTGAGTGGCTTCACCCTACTATGACACTCACCCGTAAGCAGATTCTGATCCAGACGATAAGATGCAGAACAAGCCCTAAAAACAATCATAAGACAAGTACTGAATTGGCTCAATGAAGCGCTCAGATACAAATAATTCCCAATCTCACAACCCAAAGCCATTGAGTAAGAATAACGATACGCTCTGAAGTGACCAGATGAAACATTCAAGACAAAGTCTGACAGCTATGTTGACAGCTCGCAATGCTGCCCTATCAGATGTCTGGATGCCGGACTAACTGCAGGATCTTGGAACAAATAGCAGGAAATGAAGCATGCAAGGAACGACCAAAAAAAAGTAGGGATCTCGTTCAAGCACTTGATTGTAGGCCCCGAATTGTGGGCGTATAGCCATTCTCGCGTGTCAAGGTGTGCTAACCAGCCACCAACACACCAAAGTTATGATGTTACACTAGACCATAATACCGATCTTACCCCATGGCTGTGCCGTTCTTATTCGGAATCACAGCGGTTCACCTCTATACCAATTCAGAGCACCGCACCTCCATCACAAAAGCCACATCTGAATGACCGGTGTATTCCCATCCCAATACTCCTCCTGCCTATTCTTCATCTCCCACCTCAAGCTCTCCACATACCAATGCACATGCCTGATCTCCGAGCCCACCGTATTCGCATCAACATCAATAAACAGACTCTGCGTCCCATCGTCATCCATCCTCCTTTGTAGCCCCCTATCATAATCCTTCGACATAACCAGGGCCACCGTCCGCAGATTCCGCATCAATTTAACCTCGCTCAGCGAATCATATTTGAAAACCCTTAACACTTCCCATAACTGCGCATCCACAGCTAAATTCAATATCTGGTCTGCGTGGGGGCTTAGCGCTAGGTCGTAGGAGAGGTCTCCGTCGGGACTGCAGTCTAGGTTGTCGAAGAAGAGGGTGTCGCGCGCGAAATCGACGAATACGGTGGATGTGTAGCGCGGGGAGAGCACGAGTTTCGTGTACGTCTCGAGAAATATCGAGCGTGATTGAGAGCAGGCGTGGGCGAGGGCTGGGGGCGCGGTCGTCGATGTGTATTGCTGGCTGGCGCGGTTAAAGCGGACTGGGACGACGCGGGGTTCTGGGAAGCCGAATTTCCATATCTTGATTCGGAGTTCCGATGGGAGGGTTAGGAAGGGTATAAAGGTATCCATAATCTATCTGATTTTTGTATTATTTAAACGGGCGAGATTGGTGATGTTGGATGGTTGTTTTGTTGTTTCGGGTTGGGAGTGATAGGGATTTGAGGATGGGGATGTCGTCGATGACGAGGGTGGAGAGGTGGAGTCAGTCATGGGGCAAGCGAGCATGCCGTGCTGTACACCTACAGACTCGGCTTGGCTTGGGGCATAGAGGAGCCTAACCGAAAGAGGATTTGTTTACATGATTCGCATAATCTTTACGAACATTTCTTGTACTAAGTGGCTGAGGATATGGGACCGCAAACTTGTCCAAAAGTGAATTTTGCTTGAGATAACTCTCTGATGTAGTAGAATATCAAAATCCTCCGAAGAACCAAGCCGGTCTTGTGGGAGTCACGATCTCTAACCCACATTACGAGCTCTAACCCACATCGCAGGCAGACTATTCACCATTGGAATGATCAAACAATTAAGAAATTGATAATTAGTTGACTGCGTAGAATGAAATTTAACCTAAATCGAATACATGCAGTTTTCCTCCTAGTCCTTCACAAGTTCGAGCTCATTCTAGGCATCGAAAACGAATCCCATATTCAACTTTGATGCCGGGCGGGATGCAATGAGATAGAATGGTTTGCTTCTCCCAGCCTTTGACCAGATGATCCACGTATTCCTCCCGGATACGCTCATGAGATTCTTTGTATACATACGCCATAGACCTCACAGTACGGTCAGGACCAACGCCTAAATACTTCCTCGCAATGTTGATGATATCTAGCATAGTCGTACGGCCCCCGACCCGAACTCGACGTGTCACACCACCAAAGACCACCCTTACGGTAAGTCTAACGAAATACTCATCGGAAAGCTGAAAACACCTTTCCATGGCAGCATCACAGCGGTCAGCTCGCCTCTTGGTGGTGATGGTAGTACACCTCATGTGCTTCGGCAACTGATACTTAGGTCTCTTCGCCAGACCCTCAACAGTATCCAAGACCCGCAGATCTCCCAGTCGTCTCCAAGAACCAGGCATCGACCTCAAGACTCCTTCTGTCCGATCCGAGTTGGCTTGCCTGATTGCCTTCATGATCGCAGGGTGGTACTCTGCCCGCTTCTCGATCATGTGCACCTGGTCGATGATCTCGTTGATGTCCACGATGCCTCCCATATCCACCAGTTCGCGGACCTCGGATCTCGAGCGCGCGCGGTAGGTCATATCTGCGTCGACGTATGTCAGTTGCTTGACGTGGCCGAATGTCTCGAGAATGTCGTGCACCCATTCGGCGTAGTTCTCCCTCCGCATGTCGAAGTCCTCGTATGGGACGAGCTCGGTGTTGACTTCGAATCCATCGTTGAGTGCCAATCGATGGACTTTTCTGACATCGGAAGATAGATCATGTCGAGAGAAGCGCCAGCTAGTATTCTTTGATGATCGCCATTCTTCGAAACCGTGTCTGGAGAAACCCCAGTCGAGATACAGCGTGTCGGTACGGAAATCAAACCATGTCGTGGGTGGGAAATTCTCGCTTCCAAAAGCGAGCGTGAAACGCTGCGAGACGATGGCTCTACTCTCTTGGCAGACTGTAGCGATTGGGATGACAGTATTGGATCGGAAGCCGAACGATTTGGGTCTTATATGGTTTCCTGGGATATCATAGCCGTCGGGGTGTCGGATGACACTGAGATCTAATGGCACAATTACTACATTTTCTCGAATGGGAAAAATTCAGCAAGACTTACCAATCAAATTCGTTCCCTGAAAGAACTTCTTCTCTCCCTTCTCACTACCAACCTCGCAATCACTTCTAACTCTCAAGCACGCTTTGCCTTGCACATTCTTTCTCTGCAAGTACACGATTCTGCGTGGTTCTGGGAGTGAGAACTTCCAAACCATGTGTCTAAGCTCAGCAGGTAGGTCTGAAAAGCGGTGGAAAGCCATCCAACAGTCAGTAGATGACAGACAGTGACAGTGGAGTTCATGTGCCTTGCGTGGGGCGGGGATCGAGGAGAACTCGATGAAGTTGTTGGAGGGTGGCATTATGTAGGCTAATTAATCACCTAGAATTCGTTGGTGGATTGGTAAGGAGCGATATCTTTTGCTCGAGAATGAATTGGAGATATGGGTGATAAAGTGAAGAGTACCAATAATATGAGGCTCAGAATTACAATCGGATATGTGAAGAGTACCACTTTTTGTTTTGAAACTCAAAATCAAGATTCAAGCACTGTGTAGTGCAAGGTTGCTTATATAAATCTACTTCCGAAAACTATTACAATTTCGACTGAGTAGCAAGAGAATCTCCCATGGGCAAAGTTAATTAGTTAGCTCGTAAAGACCACAACCTGACCTTCCACCATGACAGAAAGCCCATCATCGAGCTAACACTAGCCTACCAAACCATCCAACTACAACCAAACCACGAAACAGGACATTGAAGGCTAAACAGCTGGAAATGAGGAAGCTTAGATAAACGGGCACGAAAAAATCATCTAATATGTAATCGCTGGCTCGGTTGTCTGAACCCCGACCACAGACCCAACGTTAATGCCAGTCGATATATCAAAGTTCCGCTGAATGTTATGTGAGAACCCAAGTACAGTATCATGAGCCTTTTTACACACACTAGCGCGAGCTCGCACTAGTTTGGATATGTTCATGGCGGTCCTGAAAATGCGCAGATACAACATTTGCAGAGACGGAAAATAATCGCAATTGAAACAGCATACAATAATGCAGTAAAATACACTTCTCACAATGAATACAAACTATACCATCCCCTCTCCTTCCCATCCCACAACCCACTATCCATGATCAGCCCCAATCCCAACCATGCTCATTCCCAGCAAATACTCCAACGCCAAACGCACAAAAACATCTATGTTATCCACTATATACACGTGTACCAGCTCAGTTCGCTATTAACATTATTGTTCAACTCTCTGTTCCTCTTTCTCTTTCTCCACATCCACCTCCCTCGCCTCACAGAAAGCCTTTACTCAAGCTCACCTGCCTCGAAACGCTACTCTTCCGCTTCGGCACATCAATACCATTCTCATCCGCCGACGTCCCATTCATATTCCAAACAGCACCACTCCCCCTCCTCACCGTCCCAGAGCCCTTCAGACCCTTCCACCCCTCCAGTTCGCGCTCAAGTCTCAGCGCTTTCTCGCGCTCCTCATTGAGAGCGCGCTCTGCTCTGCGGGCAGCGAGTTGTCCTTCACTTTCGCTGCTTTGGAGTTCGTCGATGGTTTTGAGGAGTTTCTCGACTTTGTCGCGGGAGCGGGAGATGTCTTCGTGGAGAGAGGCGTTTGCCTTTTCCTTGCGCTCGATTTGGAGTTGGAGGTCTTTGACGGTACGATCGACATTGCGGACAGAACGTTGGGATTTGTTCCGTTCGGTTTCTTGGGCTTCGAGTTGGGATTCCAGCTGTTGAGATATTAGTAATCTTCTTTCTGTGCTTGCAGTGGTGATTCTTACCTCTTGAACCCGACCGTGTAGGAACCTCACATCCTGGCTGGCACTGGAGTAGCCCTTTGTTTCGAGATCGATGAGTCGGACTTGAAGCTCCTTGAGCGACTTCTCAAGCGCAGCCTTCTCAGTATGGAGTTGCGCAGTGGTCTCTCGCTCAGCAACGATATCCTTCTGCATCTCAGCAGTAAGAGCCTCGGCACGTCGCATCTTGCCTACAGCGGCAGCAACGATGTCTTCCTGCTGTGCAAGGCTGGACTTCAATTCGAGGAGCTCACGATCGAGACTGGCGGCATTGCGCAACGAAGGACTGTCTCCACGAGCGAGATCGTCGAGACCGGTCTTAGCTTCCAACAATCGCGCTTCGAGACCTCTCTTCTCTCGCTGAAGCATATCGCGTTCGGCACTTACGTCGTCCATGGTGGTTCTCAAGCTGCGAAGCTGAGACATCATGTTGACAATCTTATCCTGAGCATCGGTATGAGCCTTGATAGCTTCATCGCGAGAAGCTGAAAGATCTGAGAGTGTCGACTCAAGGCGAGCCTTCTCCTTGGACCAAGTGGAGCTGTTGAGCACTTCATCATCCCACTTTGACCGAAGGTCCTCCAACTCTTCTCGAAGTCGAGTATTTTCGGACTGTCTGAAGAGCTTCTCCTCCCGAGCAATGTCCAACTCATTGGTGAGTGTGGCAAATTCGGCCTGGTATTTCTTACGAGTTTGCTCCATACTCGTCTCTTTGTCTTCGATGTCCATTGCTCGCTGACTTCGGTAGTCTTCAAGCTCATGCTGGAGTCGCTTTCTCGCTTGAAGAGCGGCTTCCAGATCAACGGAGATATCCTCAAGGCGTTCTTCATAGCTCTGATTCTGTCGTTGCAGATCCTCGATCGTCGCGTCCGTCTGCTTGCGTTCAGACATGATCTCGGCGCAAGTCTCCTCGGCTTCTCTCGCTTGGGACTTGGCGAACTGTTCAGCTCTATTTGCTTTCATGACTGCAATCTCGGCCTGTTCCAACTTGCTGAAGTACTCATCGGCGCGACTCTTGTACAAGGACAGACTGGATGTTACGTCCAGTAGCTTGGAAGATTCCGCGTCAAGGCGAATCTGGAGATCCGCGAATTCCTGAAGTAATTGACTTCTATTGGCAGCATCTTGCTCTCTTTGCTGTGTGACATCGTCAAGGTCTGACTTGGCATCTCTGAGCTCAACTTCCAGGGTAGCCCGCGTCCGCTTTAGCTCTTCATAATGCTTCTTGGTGTCGTTAAGATCAGCAACAGTATCATTGTGAATGTGCAGTAACGAGCGGCGAGAATCTTCCTGATTGTTGATGAGATCGAAGAGCTCCTCGTGCGATTTGGTCTGGACGTCTCTCAGTGACAACTCGCCAGTCTGGATACTCTTCTCCAAGGCAGAAACCTTCTTAGCAGAATCATCCAGCATGTCATGTAGTCTGCTGTTTACTTGTTCCAGTTTCTGTACGCGACGGAGGGAGGGGCTATCATCGGGCCATAATTCTCTGGCAGGTGTTGTCCGCTCGAGTTGACTCTGGAGATGACGGTTCTGCATCTGTGTCATCTGGAGTTGGTTTTGCAATTCTTCAAAATCGGCCTTGAGATCCATCCGATTATTGAAGCTTAAGATGTCAGCGGTTCGATCAGAGCGTCCCGAGTCCTGAGCATCGGTCCCGTTGCTTGGGAATCTGCGGGTGGGCGTGGTCACGTTGGAACGAGGGCGTCCGTTGAGCTTGTTTCGAAGATGACTTGGCGAGTGGTTGAATGAGGCCTGGTTTGGATTGATCTCTTCCAGTCTGGGGCGACTTGGAGAATGTCTCTCAGGCGATTCTCCAAACTCATCCTCGAATCTCTTCCGCAGCTCTGCCAATTGAGATTCTGCGTTGGTTCGGCCAGCGGTTTGGACCCGAAGATTCTGGTACAATTCCTCCACCTTTTGAACAAGAGTGGGTACAAGATTTGGAGTCTTTGTTGCACTTCTGTCACTGGCACCATCGAGCAGAGGCATAGGATGATTACATTCAGGATCGACTTTCCGTAGCAGTTGTAGTAACTCTTGTTCACGGGTCTCCACAATGGTTTGGAGTTGGCGATTCGAGTCTCGTGATCGCGTGTGCTGCTGCCGCTCGGCTTCCAGGTTCCGCACTGCTTCAGCCAGCTGGCTGGTGGTAGTTGATGAAGATTTCTCGGCATTGCGGGTGCTCTTGTGTTCCCGAGCAACCTCGTGAGCACGGTCTTCCAAGTCCAATTGAAGTTTCTCGTTTTTCTTCCGAAGGGAAGCGATTTCGTTCTGGGCAGTCTCCAATTGCTTGGTGATTTTGCGGTTTTGCTCCTCAACCTTAGCCTTCTCTCTTTGGGATGCAATGATTTCCTGTTGGCTTCGCTGATTGACCACCGAGTTAGATCTAGAGATTTCAAGCCCCTTCTGTTGAATCTTGGTGAGGAGCGCCTTGTTGTCACGCTCTGATGCCACGAGACGACTTTTGGCTGCATTAAGCTCTCGTTGGAGACGGTCCTTCTCCTGGTCGACTTGAAGTCCAAATTTCCCGGAGTCGAGAATAGTCTTCTCCAACTCTTTGACCCGGCCAGTGAGGAAAGTGCATTGCTCCTCAAAGTATTTTGCACGACCCTGTTCCTCATCCAGGTCTTTTCGCAAGCTGGTCTCCCGTTCACGGGCCACTCTCAACGCGCTCCGATCGTTCGACAACTCGGCCTGAAGCCTAGCCTCTTCAGCTGCGGCTTTAGCTTCCCTAAGGCGTCTGATTTCGTTTCGAGCCTCGTTGCGCTCCTTTTCGGCTGTGACTCTGGCTTCCATTGCCCGCCTTAGAGTGTCTTGCTGTACATATAACTCCTTTTCGATGATGATCTTCGCCTCATTAACTTCCAGAAACTTATCGTTGAGCTCCTTGTATTTGTGTTCTGCGAGCATTTGAACATCATCTCGAGATTGGGCTGTCCTACTGAGTTCCTTTTGTGTCTTTTCTAGCTCGCCCTTGTAGTACTCGATGTCCTGCTCCAACCTCTTGCGAGTTTCACCTGCTTGAGCATCTTCAGTGAGTCGTGCATCAAGGAGCCTCTTGGTTTCCGCTGCCTCCTTTTCAAGATGGGCCTTTTGCGACTTCATGGCAAACATTTCGGCTTGCACTTCCCGGAGTCGATTCACAACGTTTTCTTTCTCGGCGATCAAGGATCGTTTCTCGTCTTCGAATGTCTTTCGCTCCGACTCATACTTCCGGTTATCGGATCGCAGAACTGCAAGCTCACTCTCCTTTCGACGAACAATATCCTCGTATCCAGTGGATGCGGCAGCCAATTCAGAGAGCTGTTGGTTCAGCTTTCGATTTTCGCTGTTCAAATCTTGCTCCCTGCTGCGAATCACCTGAAGGTCCCGAGTTGCATTAGCCAACTTGACATCGGCTTCATGATCTACTTTGAGAAGTTGACCTTCGAGATCCTGAAGTTTCCTATCTTTCAAATTGAGTTGACTCTGAAGCATATTGTTGTCCTTTTGGAGGCGTGATTCTTCGGCGGTCTTTTGAGATTGGTTTCGCTCCATCTCGTCAATCCGGTCCTGTAGATCGTCTCTTTCCTGGGTCCGTTCCCTTTTCTCTGCCTCTAACTTAACAATCATCTGCCCTGCTTGCTCCAGTTGTGTTCGGTACATCTCACTGTCCTGTTCTGCCTTGTGTCTCGTTTGCAGTAGTGCATCTTGCTGGCGTTCAAGTTCGGCAATCTCCTCCTCGGCGGCGAGGAGCTGGTCTTCAAGTTGACCCTTCTGCTCATGTAGTCTCCTTGAGATCTCTTCCTTATCCAATGCTGTTGCACGTTCGCCCTCAAGAACTTGTTGCAAGCCCTGCAACTCAATGTGAGCTTTGCGACGTTCATCCTCTAACCTTTGACGGGAGGCAGCTTCTTGCTCCATCTTCTCGCTAAGCTTTTTGATCATTTCGTCTCGCTTCTTCACTTCTCCTGATGTACGAGTAGCGCCCAGAAGAGGCTTCATCTTCACCAAGAGTCTCCACCACGGATTCTCACCCAAGTCGAGATAAACTTGGAAGTTCTTCTGAATGATACGAGTCGCTTCTGCTCGGTAGAGTCTTTTGTGGGCAATTCTTCGCTGAGTGAAACCACGAGCAACAGACTGGAATCGTGCAATGATCTCTCGGATCAAAGCGTCACGCTGCTCTTCGAGCTCAGCAAGAACACCAGCTCTGAAGAAGACTTTCGTGAGACCGACCCGGAACAAAGACTTGTCGAGGTTGAGCTTTTCGAGCATGATGGTAGCAACCGTTTGGCCATCGAGGTATCCTTTAGGCATATTCCGGCAGAGTACTTCGTATCGATGTCTGAACTCGGAGAATGGGAGCCGATTGGGAAATCCAGTCCTTGCAATTCTGATACCTTCAAGTACACCATTGCAGCGCAATTGATCCAGAACAAGTGGAGCATTCAGTTGCTTGGGACGCTTTTTGTGATTCGGAATAATACACCGAACAAAGTGGGGATGTGTCGAATGGAGCTGTGCCATGAGACTGGAAAGCTGCTCCTTGTGTCGTTGCGCGACTGTGCGGAAAAGGCCTTTCTTCACGCGACTTCTTGTAGCCCCTGGATCGCCATCTGTATCAGCACAATCGACGAAGAGTGTTGCGACATGTTTATCAGTAGATGCGGCAAGGAGCCTGGTGATGTTGTCGTTCAGTGGATCTTTGTTCTTTTCCAGCCAGCCTTCTGTTGAATACTCAACTTCGGCAGCGTAGTGGGTGAGCATGAACCCATGTCCCAGCCGAGAAGGGCGGTATTTGGTCGTCTTCTTGTCCCAAAGCGAATGTAATTTCTCAGTGAATGATCTGTCTGTCGCCTTGGGCATTACACAATCTTCGTCCAAGCAAGAAAAGATTCCGATAGGGTTGGGCAACTCGATGAGATCGATCGTGGGTTGAAGGTCGTGTCCGAAATCGATAAACTTCCATTCGATCTGCTCTCGAGCATATTCTTCTTGCTCGAGCACGAACATGTGATGATTGAAGAATTGCTGTAGTTTCTCGTTTGTATAGTTGATGCACAACTGCTCAAAGCTGTTCTCCTCGAAAATTTCGAATCCAGCTATATCAAGTACTCCGATGAAGCGGGAGTCATCCAATCCCATACCCGTGCGGTCTAGCTGTCTGTTGATACGACCGACAAGATCGCCAAATCCCCGTTCATAGATACCTTTCGCAAGGGCGTCGATTGCGAATCTGACCTGTTCCGGTGTCTGCACCTTTTCTACCCATTCTCGTCCAGCTTTGACACGAGGATGCAGGAGTGCCTGTAGGAACGGCTCGACTGGTATTCCAAGTAATCTGCACATCTTGTCGGCATGAGAACGGGCATCGGAAGCAAGCCTAGCCTGGTCGGCTGCTCTACTCTCCTTCACAACAGTGATGTTGCCTAAATGAAGGACAGCAGCAATAGTCCGCAGGATTGAGACCTGCTCCTTGTCCGAAAATCCCATAATGGCGAACGCTTCAATAAGCAGGTTCCACTCTTCCACGTCAGAGACACCAGCGATGGTATCATGGCCGTCTCGAGTATATGCAAAGTCTTCCACGTCCAGGCCATCCAGCATAAAGTCTTGCTTCATATTGCGATCGGCGCCCTTGAGAAGTTGATAGAAAACATGGTAATTTCGCTCATGCGCATTGAGTCGTACAACACGAGACTTTTCAAGCAGATACCAGTCAATGAACGCTCCAGCAATGGTTCCGGTCCGGGTAAATTCGATCCTGATAAATTTTCCAAAACGAGAAGAGTTATTGTTTCGCACGGTTTGAGCGTTACCAAAAGCTTCCAGGATAGGATTTGCTCGTAGGATTTGCTGTGAGAGATTTGAATGTTGCACCTTATTCTTGACTGGTGAGTCAGAGTGCGCAACAGCAGCCAGATATTGGATGACCTTCTTCGTATTTTCTGTCTTTCCCGCACCAGATTCTCCTGTTACCAATATACTCTGGTTCTCTCCCTCGTCTACCAGATTCCGGAAAGCTTCGTCAGCCATTGCATATATGTGTGGTTTCGTCTCCTCTCGCCCTTGACCTTTGTACATGTTGATATACTCGTTCGTGTAAATCGTCAACGGACAGTAGGGATTGATCGCAACCAGAAACAGGCCTGAGTATGTGTATATCAAGTCCGCCTGGTATCTCATATGAAGGTTGTGAACCACGGAGGCTTCATTGAGGTGCGTGAGTTCAGCCATGTCGTCCGCCTTGTCAAATTTGGCCGGATTGACCTTGTCGACGCTATCTGCATGGACTTCTCTTTGCTGGAATATTGTCAGCCCACGATCGTCTCCAGCTGCTGAGGCAACTCACACTCCCATCATCACATTGCACCAAGATCTGGTTGCCCTCTAACTCCTCTACTACCCAACCCTTCACAAAAGCAGTATCTGGGTCCTTCAGCCAGACATATCTCTTGCCGGAGAAGTCATTCTCTCCCTCAATTCCCTTCACGGCCTCCGCCCCCTTCTGGCTTTCTTCGGATTTGATAAATGATGGCGCAAAAGTGTTCGACGAAGGACCAGCAGTTTTGGAGTTGGAGCGATGCCGTGTTACGGGTGTGTAGCTAGGTGATGCGACTCCTGCGAGGGAAGAGTATGACCGATTATGCCCAGAGCTTTGCGAGCTAGATAAAGGCGAATTCGAGACCATGGACTTTGGCCTGCCATTGGAATTGCCTGGAGCAGGAGAACAGGACCCGGTCCTCGAGAAGGGATTCCCGCGCTTCTGCGGCGAGGTTGAAGACATGGTGGTGTGCTCAGTACGCAAATGTCAACATTGACTGTAGTTTGAACGAAACCCAAATCAAGCGTCACGCATCATTTGGCTGTGCAAAAGGCCTGGGTCCTGGGAGCGCACAGTTGTCGTAAAGCAATCAATCAAGTGAGCGAATCCAGATTCTGCATACACAAAGAAAACGTCGTCGTGGTCGTCGGTGGTGTTGCTGTGTTCACACTCGAAAGCTAGAAAAACATCCCGTCCTCGTCCCTCTGTTGTGATAGACGCGGCGCTGACTGGTGGGCCCGGCCGAAGTAAACAACCGTGCCCTTGAGGAGCAACCGCCCGTGGACGCGCCTTCCCTGCTGCAGTCCCGTGACCAGCTAGGCGCCAGATCCTAAAGCAGCCTAGTGTCTTGTGCTTAGCGCCGGTTTGATTTTAGGGTTCTCGATTGCGCTGCACCTCTGTAACTCTGATTGCTTTCCAGTCTTGTTGAACCTTGAACAGCTTCACTTTCCCATCGCCTCAACTCTTCACCATTCTGTGCCAGCCCACCCTGAAGAAGCGCGCCTCCCAATCTCCAATTTGAGATTCACTTCTGCGCAGTCAGCTTCATCGCTGGGCTTCACTTTCTCCTTTGCTCTCCTGCATCTTCCATTCGCTTCTTTGTAAATCTTTTCTCTGTTGCGACATGGCCTGCGATTAGCTTCAGCTGTTCCGCGCATCTCGAAGAGCTCCTCAATCATTCTTCACTAATACCCCAGCCCTTCGGACGATAATGCAACTTGTCCACTCCACGTGCAACAATGTCAGATTATCCTTCGATGCCATCGTATCCCACCGGATACGGTGCTCGCGATCAACAGAATCCTCCCTACCTTCCTCCTACCTACCCCAACCAATATCTACAAGCAGACGATAGTCAGCAAGCACAAACGGCATCTCATTATGACACTTCAATGTCAGCGTATGGATATAATAGGTCTATTCCCTCTTTCAGTGCTTCTGCTGTAGCCGCTGGTGTTCCCCCTCTGCCCATATTTCAAGGTTGGAACCAAGACTCTGTCCCGCTGCCGCCATATACCACCTCAAATAATGGAACTCAATACTCGGGCTACACAAACAGTGCGCAAAATTCTGCGCCCTACTATCCCCAGCTTAATCAGCCTGCATACCAGCCACAGATCCCAGGGTCCAAGCCCTTTGACCAAGGTGATCTAGATGAGGGAGAATATGAGGACCCTTCAAACGAAATCCACACTCCTGTGGCCAGCTTCAACAGCCAGTTCCGAGAACATGGTGGTACGGGTTATACTGATTCTGCTCAACGCGCCATATATTCCAAAGCGAATGAATACAGCCCACAGCAATCAGCCTACCCTGGTATGCTCCAACTGCTATAACTCTCACCCGTCTACTTACTCATCCAATCTAGCAAATAATCACAACTACTCCCCAAGAGATTCGTCACGTAACAGACGGCAGCAGTCTGGCTCCTACTCACCTTATATACCTTCGTCGGATGAGCAATCACAAACAGCAAAATACAATTCATACGCACCCATTCGTCCCGAAGATGGTATCAATGGTACACCCCAAAGTCAGCATGATTGGTCACGAAATGATGCAGGTTCTTCAGTCGGAACGAAAAGCCAAATAAATGGAAATCGTTTAGCTTCAAAAGTCGATGTTGAGCCTGCTCCTACTCAAGCGACATCCACAACGAATGGAAGATCTGTATCCGAGTCGCGGAGGAAAGCTCAATCAGCAATCCTCAATCTTTGGCCTTATGACGTTCGTTATCAGACTTATATTGACGAAGGGTTCAGCAAAGAGGTTGTTGGAAGTCTCTTCGATGAGCTCAAGATGACACGAAACTCTGTCAAATCTACCAACGAGGAATCTACTCTTGGAGCACTCTCGGTTGGTTTGAAGCAGCAAATTGGCAAAGAAAATATCCCTTCGGGGCCTTCGAACAGTGCTGCCACTAGTGGGCCCCCAGGTATCAAGACCGACAGCAACGCCGTGGGTAAAGATCGCACCTCTTTAGGTCCCAGTGCTTCTTCTGCAAATACTGGTGGCAAGCAAACTTTGGCTGGGCCAAATCCTACGGCAGCTCTTGCCAAACCAGCAGCCATGACGGAGAAAGAGAAGACGCTTCAATCAAAAATGGAGGCTCTACGAAAGTCAAGAGAGGAGCGTGCACAAAAGGCGGCCGCAAAAACTGTCAGCAAACCTCCCACTACAAATGCCGAAGCCCCAATTCCTCAAGTAGAGCAGGCCAAGACGTTTACTTCTAACCCGACGACGTCGCCTTCACCTCTTACTACTTCTTCCGTCCCAGCTCCTCCATCTACAGTCGACAGCAATCCTTTGACATCGAATACATCCGCAACTCTGGCGAATCCACCTCAGCAACTTTCTAAAATCCCTGGTCTGTTTCTGGCGTCTGGTTCAAGCAACGCTCCCGCTGCGATTTCATCCTCCAAACTGTCATCTTCAAGTGTCAACACTGTGCGAAAACGTCCAGTTGCAGCCGACTTCGATACACCGACGCCAATGAGTACTCCTTTCAAGCGACCTTTCGGTCACAGCCGCGCCGATCAACGTCTCGTCATCACTGTCAGTGATGATGAAGCAGATTCTGAAGATGAAGATGTTGCAATGGATCTTGAATCTCAAGCAACGCAAGATTCACCAACGCAGTCAGCAAGAAGGATATCCGATCACCGTTCTGCTGCAGTCCAAAACCTCCCTCCTCTTTCGAACTTTCCCCAACGGAAGCCTTACACGTCACCGCCAAATTCTTCTGCCGCAAATACTCCACCTCTACCAAATGTACCGGATACTGCTGGCCGCTTAACCCACGTTCAGAGTGAGATGGAGAAGTTGCGGAAGCAAATTGCCTTGCGTGAAGCTCGTCAGAGAGCGAAGCAAGCTTCCAGTAGATCACGTACACCTCAAGTTTCTGAAGACCACGGATCCAGTACAAATATTGCCACTCCTCCTGCCGCCAGTATTGCCAGTAAGGTCGAGACTTCCATACAGATACAGGAGATGATTGAAACTGCTTCCACCAATGTTGCTATCAATCAACAGCGGCTGGCTGATGCTCAGGCTGCTGAGGTCACGAAATCCATAGAACTCAAGGAAAGCGAGGACGAGCAGAAGCGTCTTCGCCGAGAGAAGCTTGCTGCCGACATCCCCCGAGTCGATGCTGAAGTTCAGCAAAACCAAAGTAAGCTTGAACAGCTGCGAGCCGAGATGGCGAGGATAGAAGCCAGCGTGCAGAAGAGTCTGGAGGACAAGCGGCTCCTGGCAGAAGAAATGGAGAGACTTGGGCAAGAGGCCGAGGACCAGCTTCAAGCTCAGAAGGATAAGCTGGAGGATCTCAGTAGACAAGATTCTACGATGAGCGAAGGTATGTCCAACTTCTCCACCTTGGTTCTTTTCCCCTACCTTTACTTCTCTCCTGTCTCATTGAACCTTAGCTTATCGTCTAGATTCGTCTCTTCCAAATTCGACTATCCCAGTCACCGAACCTAGCCAGACTGCACAGCCCACGATTCTCCAGCCCGCAATTCTCCAGCCCGCGATTCTCCAGCCCGCGATTCCCCAGCCAGCGAACACGAACGGTACAGTCCACCCCGAGGATATGGAGACTCGAGAGACTCAGTCTTCTATCAACGATGCGCCTGGCTCAGAAACAATCAAGACGACTCCAGTCAATGGCAACAAAACCATCCAGGACGATCATAGCGTTGTCTCCAGTTCTGTTCAGGAATGTTCCAGCGAAACTGTTGCCGACCCCAAGGAGAGCGATGTGCGGAGAGAAAATGCGTCGACTGATCGGGCGCTTGAGGCAGCTTTGCAAGAAGCAGTCCGTGCCGAAGCAGATTCACATGCACAAGAGGAGGATGACATGGATAGCGAAGATTTTTACGCCCCAGATCCTACCCAATCGCCACCGCGGACACCAATGCAGGTATCTGTACAGACTGGAAGCCCGGAATACTCGCCAACGCTCGATCGTTCAATTCCTGATGTACCTGGCGAATCTGATGACTATGAACCCCCGGAAGCTACGCCCCCTATTGATGAGAGATCCGCCCTTGAGTCTCCTCCTTTCAGCCCTGCTCCCCCCGAGATCATTTCTGAGGTCGACAACGATGAGAGCTTAGATGTTGACATGTCAGGATTTGAGCCCGCAGCGGCAGCTAACGATGTTGAGAAAGGTCATAGAAAAGAGGAGATTCTGCCGTCCACCAATGGTAGTTTCCCTCCAGTGGTTGAAGTACACAATATATTTACTCTCATGTTTCAGCACACTTCCTTGCTGACAGCTGACTAGGCTCACCAAGAAGCTGTTGATAAGCATGAACTGTTCACTCCTTACGAGAGTCCATTGAAGCAGTTCAAAGCATATCGATTTCACCCCAGCTTCAAAGAAGATGTTGCCGGTGGTTTGAAGTCAAAGACTTATAGCCACAAGATCGATTTGATGGAAGAACTTTGCCGCTTCGAGACCGCCGGTGGCATTTGTAACGATACATCCTGCGACTTTCAACATTTCCGAGATATCGATCTCCCTGGTGCGTGGGTTGTTAGATAGAGCCCACAGGCTCATGTCGTAGTATCCCTTTTTGTGTTGGGGCTGACTTGTGGCATTACAGATGATGCTATTTTAACCGCCCTTGGTTCGCCAGAGGAGTTTAAAGGCGAGCAACGAGATCGTTTCTGCATGGGATTAAGAGGGGTTCTTATGGACCTGCGAGTGCGGAAGATAAGAGACTTCGATGTCATTGCCTCTGAAATCATGAGTCACCGCGCCAAATTCCTCGGCGACAAGTCCAAAGTTTTGGCTGCGCTTGAAGGCACGACCATCTAAGAACTTACACCGGACAGCCCGACTTGTAAAAACACCATTCCCGATCTTTCTATGGGACTTGATCCCCCAATCGTACGACATTATACCATATGTTGATCAAAGCCAACTCTTTTCCGCTGCGTCGACAAGTCCTGGGACAACTGTTTTCTCTCCCTTTTTTCTTTTTTATAGTACATTTGCATAACGGTTCTATCTCTTGCATGGAAAACGGAGTTGCATGGGCCGGACCAACAGGTGTTTACGGCAGTGGCTTTGCTACGATACCCCGTTCGATAATATTTGCTTGCTCTTGCTTTGCTTCTGAGCATTTTGAGAAGATCGAACGACCGACACCTGAGGCGAACGAACACAGACTCTTGTCAGAGCTAGGAGAAAAATCATACCAATACCCAGGCGTGAAGGCATGCTGGGCTAGAGTCTGGGTCGACGTCGATAGATAATACTGAATGAACAATATTTCTTTCCATAAATACCTCCTTACATACACTCTCAATCCTGATCTGTGCCTTGAATTGGAATCCGAACTGAATAAAAGTCCTACCTGCATACTGTATGAAGTGGGCAATTCCCGCCCTCCCCACGACGACCGCCGCATCCATCCCATCAATGGAACCAATCCCCAATCCCCACCACCCCTTCAACTGCCGATCCACACCCCATCCACTCTAACCTCCCGGCACCATTCAAAATCACGACATCCACGCCTCAATCTCACCATCCTCACAACGTCACGAAAAAATTCTCCAATCCCCCCATCAAAGAAACTCTAAGACGCCATAGACCACTTCCATCATCGCTGCATATCCCTTCCGAAATAAGCCTCCGGACCGTTAGGGATCCGGATTTGATAGGTGGAGGATGGGTGCGCGCGGGGGCAAGAGGGAAGAGCCTCGGGAGACTAGAAGCTTGGGTGACTAGGGAGGTGAAGATGTCGTCTTTTGTGGCTGTTGCTTGTCATGAGGAGGGGATCTTGATTGGAGTGTATTTAAGCCTTGGGAGCTTTTATAAAGGAGTTTCTTTGTTTCATCAGTACCTTGGAGCTTCCTGTTTTGTGCATTTCCGGATATGATGTGATTGAGTTTCAGGGCGAGATAAGATACGGAGAGTATCGTTGTGGGTTGGGACCCAGGGTACAAATACAAGTACAAGTAAGTACCTATCCACATACCCTTTGGACTTAGTTTTTGGGTTTTGTTTCTGCCTGAACTGGATATTGTACTCGAGTAACTTGGGCGCGGGACTTACGAGTCTCTTCGCCTTTTCTCAACCTCGAAATTGATCCCAAGCCAGGAAGTCAGAGTCCACTCTCAATATCCATCCATCTATACTAGCGTATCCCAAAATGGCGACTTCTACATCCCACCCACAATCTCTTAACGAGAAACTCGGCCTCAACCAAGACCAGACTCATAACCATGTCCTCTCCGAGAAGAGCGAGAAGCAAACACCCAGCGGCACGCCATCCCTCTCTTCAGAGGAAGCATTCACGAACCCGACGGGAATCGATGAGAAGGCGCTGGTGAGGAAGTTGGATTGGAAGTTGTTGCCGCCGTTGACGTTGTTGTATTTGTTAAGTTTTTTGGATAGGAGTAATGGTATGCTCAAATTTTGTTCGTCCAGTTCTCTTGGTCTATTGTTTGAAGATTGACTTGGTGGGAGAACTGAAATGAGGAAGAGGTGGGAAATCGGAGGAGTGGGAGTAGAGGGAAATTGGGATATGAGGAGGAATATTACACTGACGGGGAATAAATAATAGTGGGTAATGCCAAGTTGGAAGGCTTGATCGATGACCTCCATTTCACGGGAAATGAGTATCTGTTTACACTTACGATATACTTCATCGGCTATGTATGTCCTCCTCCTCTCCCCTCTCCTCAACCATCCCCAAAGTCTTGAAGCCCCACACTAACCTCCTCCCCTCTACCAGGTCCTCTTCGAAATCCCCTGCAACATAATCCTCAAACGCACGACACCCCGCTTCTGGCTCCCAACCCTCATGCTCGCTTGGGGAATCGTAGCAACTCTCCTCGGCGTAACTCAGAACTTCGCCGGTTTCGTAGTCGCACGGTTCTTCCTCGGCGTTACGGAAAGTGGATTATTTCCTGGTGTGGTGTTTTATCTGAGTATGTGGTATAAGAGGACCGAGACGCATTACAGGGTCGCGCTTTTCTTTTCGGCGGCGAGTTTGGCGGGCGCGTTTGGTGGGATTCTGGCGTTTGGGATTGCGAAGATGGATGGGGTGGGGGGATATCAGGTTAGTGAACTTGTTTTTTGTTTGTCTTGGCTAGGTTTGGGGATGATTTTTTCGGGCTGTTGGGATGGTGCTGAAAGTTGAGAGTAATGTTACTAACTTCTCGAATAGGGATGGAGATGGATTTTCATCTTGGTACATCTCATCTGGAAGAGTCCGAACTTGGGTAAACATGCTGACATATTTACAGGAAGGTCTTCTAACAATAGTTGTTGCAGTAGCAGCATATTTCTTCATCCAGTAAGTCCAACTTTCCCTCTCCTAAGCGACTCCTCAGCACTCGATATAGATGGTAATTCTGACTCTATCTTAGCAATTATCCATCGACAGCAAGGTTCCTCTCCGAGCCTGAAAGAGCGTTCATCAAGGCACGTCTGAAGTCTTCTTCAGATGCCACCAACGATGAGAAATTCTCTTGGACCAATGTTCACGCTGCGCTTGCGGATTATAAGTAAGTACACTCGGCTAGCTCTGTTCGACAGTATATGGGTTGCTTCTCAAATATGAGATGTCCATTTAAGATTACAACACTGACTTCAAACCAGATGCTGGCTCTACGGAATGGGTTTCCACACCATGTCTCTTCCTCTCTACACCCTATCCCTCTTCCTCCCCACAATCATCAAACAACTCGGCTACACCGCCGCCCAAGCCCAACTCCTCACCGTCCCCCCTTACGCAGTCGCCACAATCCTCACCGTCATAATCGCCATCCTCTCCGAGAAAACCAAAAAGCGAGCCCCCTTCATCCTAGCATCCACCTCCCTCGCTATAATCGGCTACATCATCCTCCTCACCGCACCAACATCCAAACCCGGCGTCTCCTACACTGGCACCATCTTCGCCGCAGCTGGGATCTACCCCTCCACCGCTATCGTGCTCTCCTGGCCAGCAGCCAATGTCAGCGGACAGTCGAAGCGAGCAACTGCTACGGCGATGACGATTACGATTGGGAATCTGGGGACGGTATTAGGGACGCAGTTGTATAGGCCGAAGACGAGCCCGAGGTGGTATTTGGGCCATGGATTTGCGTTGGGTTATTTGGTGGGGAATTTGATTGTTGTGGGAGCGCTTTGGGGGCTGTTGGAGAGGGAGAATAGGGCGAAGATTGCGAGGAGGGAGGCGGGTGAGAGTGGTGGTGATGGGGAGGTGAAGAATGATGAGGATGTGAGATGGTTGTTTCAGACTTAGATGATTGTGGGAGACTTAAATTGTGAGATAAGGCCCTCTTAACCTGGTGGTACAAAGTTCGTGATGTGGGAGGATACTGGGTTTTATGATGCCCACAGGTTTCACTGGGTCAACTATGCTCAAACAATAACGTTAACAACAAACTTCTTCCACTCTGTACCCCAAGGCATGACGTTCTGACACTTCCATTTTCCGGTACCTCCAAAACTCGTTCATTGGGCTCCTTCTCAGATCCTCATACCAGATGTATCTATATTAGTACAGTAGAACTTCAGAATTTCTCTAATGTCTCTTCAGCTCCACATCTTATCTTCAATTTCAGATGTTCCTCTCTCAAGACCGTCACAGAGATAGAATATACTTTTTCCAGCTTCGCAAACCAGATCCTCACCGTCTCATACTCCTCTACCCGCTGCCTGATGGTAAACACCAGATGTTCCTTTGTCAACTGTACATCGTCGTCGTCTCTTTGCATGAGTTTGCTCTATAGTAATTGAACTAGACAGTCAATAACCGATTTTGTGGACATAAACCATCCCGATCATGAAACTTCCCCGACCAGCAATTTGCACTTGACTTTTAAAACGACAACTTCACGAATGATCCAGATATAACACAACTTTGAAATTGAAGATACCCTAGTTATAGATCTATCGACAACCTTATTCCAAAATCTTGCCGGCACTGAATGTAATTTTTGAGTGACGGTCAAGCATGGGAGCAAAAGGCGTCTTGCATTCGGTCACGTGCTATATAGCACAAGATCATTCGAGGGTCTGATATACCCTTAAATACTAGGCAGAAAAAATGCTACATAGCTTGTAGCTGTATTCAGAGTCATTATCAGCACTCATACCACTAGTATATATGCATTCTACGAGTCAGGAAACTATTCTGAGGGCCTCAGGCTTGAGAATGACAGATCTGCGTTAGGAAGACGTCTCCGTGCTCATTAAATGTGCAGGGGCTAACGACTGTGCAGCCATGCAATTACAGCGTCCAATGACGATTATTTGAAACGTTACATCTGCAGAAGTTCTTGTCGCGCGCTTGACTTCGCGCCAACCTCCTTCAAAAAGCCGAATCGGTGTTCGGATGGGGCACGCAGCCAAGTGCCAAAGATTCCCTTTGGCATAATAGTCGTCCTCCTGTTGTTAGCGGCTAAGCGTGGACAGAACGGGAACAAACTACTATGGGACCTGTGGGGAGATTTTAGCGCTCGCCGGGGATGAACGGATACAGTCAACACGCACGTCGGTGGACACACCCTGTCTACCTGTCTCACGAGGAGGCGGAGGCCCACTGGGCCCAAAACAGTCACATCCTTCCAGCGTGGCGCCCAAGCCCGTCACAATACCGGCCGTGTCTCCTCCTAGTCGAGTGTACTTGATGTAACTGTCAACGAGCGTCTGAGGTTAGCCAGGGTGCGAAAATAGCACCCAACTTTCCCGTCTATCGTTTTGACATGGCAGGAGAAGAAATTGTGTCTTGGAACGAAGTTGATGAAGCTTTGGAAAGGAAAACGCTTTGCTAGAGCTTTTCCAGGGGAGCATGATATCACAGGGTAGTGTACAACCGCCCATTTTTAACCTACTCTAAATGTTTGGAGAATCTGTACCCCTCGTACAAATTCAGCAAAAGCGTCAGAACCTTCTCATCTTCATTGATGAGCCAGGTCTTTGTCCTGCTCTGCTTCTCCGTGGCTTAATTAATGGCGCGTATACTGGAAAGTTCAACACATCTTGAAACCAAAACTTTTCTGCTATTCTACATGAAGGTATGCTGGGTGGTTGAGAGCGAGGACGTCGAAGAGGTTTTTGGGGATGGGGAAAGTGGGGTAATTGACATTGTGAGGGAGAATCTCCCACAAATCGTACAGGATTGGAAGCCATTGTCATTGTTTGGTTGAGGCCACTAAAAGTACTTTGAGCCACAGGCTCGCTATTTCCGAAGGCATGTTCCCTTTCCTCTAGGAGAGGACTTCCCCTTACTCCCCTTTTTTGGCGGGAAGGGAGAACCGAGCGTCTCGTCTGCGTAATTGTGTATGGCAGACGTGAACTGCATGGTGCGATAGGGAGGCATGCTTTCGAGCAAGATAGTCGTGTTTCTCGGCTTAGAGACTAGAGGGGAGATAATTAAATGTCATCAGTCGACGTGAACTTTTGACAATGTACTTTGCCTTGGTTCAAGAACCATCACTTCTATCAGCACTTCTCTGAGCCCACCTGCTGTTTTTCTCGAAATCCGATCTCTCCTCGCCAGTCAATTGCTCCAGCCCCCTCTCCCGGATTCCAGCGAACAGGTCGAGGGCTTCTTCATACCGCTCATTCGAAGTCCATCCATCACGGGCAACAAATCCTTCTAGACTGTCCCAGAAATCGGCCTGTTCGTTGTACCCTTCAGCATCCCGCACATGATTCCGTAGATCTTCTTCCGAAAAATGAATAGGGCAAGCGGCATCATGTTTCATCTCATCCCAGTATCTGCAAGCTTTACGTTAGCTAAAGTTTTCTGGAAGGGGTGTAGCAAAGCAGGACATACCTTTCTAATCTGATGAGGCATTGCCTGAACGATAAAATCCCTCCTTCCCAAGAATCCTCAGCAAACGCGATGGTCTGTTTTCTTACTGTTCTTTGTGGGACATTGACGATATCAGTTAACAACGGGTTTGAATCTTCAGTCTTCGACTCGTACAAGTACTGCACGATGGATTTCTGAACCTGACTCGAGACCTCGACCTTTTCATTCCCTTCCATGGTCTCATAGTCGTCAGGAAGCCTCAACATAACTTCGCCAGCGTAATGCACCAACTTCGGATAGCGGTATTGAGCGAAAAGAGGTCCAGCCCACGTAGACTGCCAGTCAATGATGCAGGTGACTCGTTCATCTTTCACAAAAAGATTTGATGCATGCAAGTCCCAATGCCAAAGAGTAGAGCGAGCCATTCTCTCATCCTTCGGTAAGATGTAGGGGCAAATAGCGAGATATTTCTTGTAAAGCGCGATATGGGCATCGGGAGATTCTTGGGCTACCGATTTTTGGAATATGTTCGGTGTCTTTCGTGGTGCGTACTGACTCAGCCAGGTGACTTGGTTGTTGGCTAGAGCTTTGAGATAGTCGTCAGCGCTTTTCCCTAGAAGTTGTTAGCCCAGAATTCCATGTTGTATAGTAGCTGGTTGGTCTCCCACAAGGCCCTCGGTCCACTGGCATTGAGGTTTGATCCCTTCTCCAGAACGCATGTTCTACTACTGGGCCAATTGTGAATCGCTCTTCTACTTCTTGCTTTAGATCTTCCGAAATATCGCCAGAAACCTCTGCTTTTTCGCATCCTGGAAAGGAATCTTTTGCAAAGTATATATTGCCATATCTAAAGATGTCAGTAGTCTTCTAAGTCGTATCCCAGGGTGACAAACCGGGAGAAGGACACCGAGAGCAGCTTCTGCTCAATGGATATAATATCTTCAACAATTTTAACTTTGGAATGTAGTTCCATATCTTCCCATATATCTCCGAGCGACGTCCCGCAAGCCTCCTCCATTAGAATATATTCTGCTTCGACAGGATTGTCCGACACTGCACTCCAAGCGTGAACTTTTGGAACAGGTAGATTGAGGATAGTTCTAGCCTACAGAGGCAAGGCAATATATCAGCTTTCAACGTCTTCAATCAAAATCTGGGGGGAGCTTACAAAGTCCATTGTAGCAACTTCAGAAGCGGTGGTCATAGACGGTGGGCCAGCATTAGGACATGGTATACGTGCAATAGCAACCGATCCATTGTCCATAACTAGCTTGAATACTTTGTTGTAGCCCCCCTCGTCCAATTTAGTGATTGAGACACAAGACTTTGCGCCGATGCTCTCAGCGCCAATACGCTTAAGCTCATCAACATTGAACTTCCTATATCTTTCTTGAAGTCGCTCCTCCTCATCCCATAGCCATCTCCCACTAGTGTAGCGAAAGAAATGCTCATTTTGCAGCGCCTTTGACTTTACGGACGCAGATGCGGATGTGGACATGGACAGCCTTCGAGACAATTTGCTCCAGAGGAAACGGTGCATCATCGTAGTTCGTAGTAAGTCGATGTTTGCGGTGGGATACTCGATTCGATGCGCGGAATCGAGATGCTGTTTGGGTGTTGATATTGATGGTATGGACGGAGACGGGTTAGCCACGGCATGATCCGCTAGGGTACTGTAAGATAAGATAAGCGCTAGCACTCCCGGCGCTTATGTACGTACGGAGGTAGTATACCCATACCTCAAGTGGGGTCTTAGCCCCTCCTCCTAATTCCATCACTATCCTCAAATCGCCCGCTGCGGCAGAATCCCTACCTTGGCCCTTCAATTATACGTTTCCACGGCACTTCCAGCATTCAGCCAATCTCCCCCCTGCTCTGATTCTTGTCTGCGAACAGGCTTATTAAAGGTTGTTCCAGAAGGGAAGGAGATAACATTTCCAGTCTGGTATAACCGCCCACCCCCAAAACCTGGCACTACTTTAGATTCAAGATGTTACACGAAGGCGCCTAGCAAAGAACTCTTATAGGCTGTCTCGGGATGATGGCAGGTGGAGGCTCCTCGAAAGACTTCAACAAAGCGAGATCGAGCATTGAGGAAGCAGCACGAGGCAATATCAAGAGCGAAGTTCGTGCAGACTGTACAGCAACAGTCAAATACATGTTTATCATATCACCGCAACTTCTTCACAAGCTCCGTCAAGATATGCTAGGCCCCAAGGTTTTGGACAGCATTATTCAAATAGACAGACGATGGCACGGTCGAAAGCTCGTTCATTGGTGACCTAGCTAGTCTCTTACTAATCATCAAGGGCACGAGCAGAGACTTGGAACTCACAGCCGAGCAACCTCATATCCTCGACCGCTAGTAGTACTATCATTTACCTTTTTTTTTCTTGGAAAGAGGATGCAGAAGTGCTTTGGGCAGGCCGAGTGAACGCTGGGGTTGCCTGAGAGGTGGGCTGAGGCCATTGGGTGAGAGCAGATTATCTGGGAAGCGAGATGTTGGTATTGAGATAAGTACGCGCTTTGAGTATGTTGGGTGAGACTCTTGGCTGTGAAGGAGGAAGTTTGGGAGATGATAGCGAATAGACCGTCGGGCTTACTGCCTGATAGAGGTCCAACGCAGGAAGAGTACGGGTCTATAGGACGAGAGAAAAGTGCACTCGAAACAGGCGCCCTCAGCAGTATCACTTCTGGCTGTAGAACAAGGTTCAAGTATGTAGCAACAGTAGGAGGAATCCAACACAAGGCCGATATAAAGCTTTCATGGTGCCCGGATTACTTTTTCTATATCTTCAACACTTAACAACATTCATAACCCAAGCTCTGATCTATATTCTTAGCGCTTTTCGGTGTAAGCAATCTTCACCCCTTTTGTTAAGCATATATTCTGACGCGTTATCTAGCTATTAAATCCCCAAAGCCCTTTCCATCCGTCTCGAAGCTCAACTCGCATCTTGAAGTACTGCCTTCCCCTTGACCACACTACAGTATTCTGGCTGACCCCAAGTAGTACTTCTAAATGGTCCACTCAATCTCCAAATCGACTGTCAAAAAGTTCCTCGACGGTGTAGGATGGTCTGGCATCTTCAAAAAGGTTGAAAACACCACCCGGGGTACTCGTCTATATCCTACCAATAAAGCCAAGGATCAAGCAGAGAACATGCGGTTTGATGCTGGTTCTCAGGTTGGGGACAAATTCGAGATTATTCTGCAGCCAAATAAAAACGCCGCGAATGCTGCTGTCAAGAAGGCTGCGCAGGTTGACAGCCATCAAATTCTTGCCAAAGCTTTAGTCAATAAGAATTCTACTAAGGAGGAGGTTCAAAAGGCTATTGTTGTTGATTTTGCAAAGAGAAAACAGGGATGAAAAGAGGACGTCATGGATGTCTTGGCATGTATGCACGTTGCTCAATGGACATCAACATGGTCGAATATGTGTTCGGTCCGTGAAGATCAGGACTCAAAGGCTGTTATTTCTGACACTCACGTTTGTTATGATGCTCGGTGCGAAACAATGAAACATCTAGATGCACTGCAAATCTTGTATTCTTAGATGACCAATAACCATATCTATACATCATTGTATCAAGTCTCAAGTGGCATTAGTAGACGATGACACCTTCCGTGCAAACTTTGAATATGAGCTTTGGTTACACTGGTGTATTATCGGATGAAGAATCAGATATTCTTAATGTATGTTGCAACTGAGGGTAAGAATCTCCATCTATGCTGCTTGATTGGAAAGATCCCAGATGAAACACAATATTTGCCTTTTTCTTCTAGATTTATAATGTATATGTGTGCTCGCTACTGCTTGGAACCATATAGTAGTCCCCAGATATTTTACAAAAAAAATGATGTTATACTTGGGAGAGAGTCTGGGCATCTCACATGTGCATGCTGTAAGCTCGTGACAGATGTGAGGCTAAGAGCGCGTATACTGAGGAGAAAGCTATTTATACATCTCTAGCTGTGTTTCATGTTCACGCACTTACGTATGATGGGCTGGATCCTGCTCGAGAAATTGCGGAAGCATCAGCTCTGATCACCAGTTCCGCTCTTCGCTCTCTTTCTTGCCTGATAGCAAACGCTGGCCGTCCAGGTTCGACTACTGGCCGCGCCTGTTCGAGCTTGAACCACCCTAGTTCTCCTCCCTCAAGATCGCAGCTCTTTGCTAGCACCTGCACTTCGTTGCCGCTCAAAATACTATTATCGTCGCTGATTAATAACTCACTTCTTCGTGGGGTAGGAGATCTAGCATCATCAGCTGTCCTATTATAAAACCATGTCAATGTTACGTCAGTGTGATTACATACTGGATTGTGGTAGTCGCTCCATTATTGCACTGGTTGGGTTCCTTGTTCATGATTCCAAGCATCCACCTCTTCTCGTGCAAAAGATGTCTTTTATTCTCTGCGTCTTTTCACCGTCGCAAGCGAGAGACTTGGCATTGGACATAGCACCGCCACCTCAAATATGGGCGAACGTCTTCCTGTGATGGAGACAGTCATTTACAGGAGCCCTGGATCAGCTCGTAGCATATTCGCTTCACTCTTGCCTGTTTGTAGAATACTCCAAGCAGACAAAAACCATTATCGAAGGACTGCGCCAAGCGAGTAGTCGCGTGACCTAGGATGTCTCGAAAATCCTTCTCAAGTTGGGATGGTCATGGTTACAGTACCACCACTGTCTCCGACTCGTAAATGCCGGCCTCATCCGGCCTTAGCAATAACAAGACCGAGTCCTAAAAGCCAATGAACAACTTGAATATCACATCCGTGGCATGCCTCCTCATTGGCAATTGTATCGCTTGGAATCTTGGTCCTCGGAACACCGGCGCGTGCCAAGTTTGAGCCGATATTCCAAGACAAAGCATACTCCCTTTATTCAATAGGGCGACAAACGGTCGTCTCTTGTACATGAGATTCTGACCAAACAATTGGTTACTCGGCCCTGGTAATAGATAGTCTCCTTCTTGACCCAGTGAATGAGGACGTAAGGCTCTTGGAAAAGACCCAGGGAGGAAGCTCACACGACACTACCCCAGGAAACTTGGCAACCTGCAGGATCGCCAATGTCAGCGCTGACATCCGATATACGTCCAGATTCGTTTCACTGCTGTAGTGTTTCACTGACTTGGAAGAGAGATGCCAGTTTAGTTTGTGAGTACCGACAGTATGGGGACCTTCTCCCCACACGCACAGACGAAGATCAGGCAATGGGTCAATATAACCTTGAGGCAGAGAGCACTTGGTTACATGACCTAAAAATGATCAAACCTATTTTATTGTGCTCAGGTATGTCTGGTGTCTCCCTCACGCACCTTGGACACTAAACCGTAATCGTTCAAACGAGGTATCCTGATCAGCTGAGTGGACAAGAACTACATTAATCTGCTAGTGGTCCATGATAAAGGGGACTTGATACGGCAGGTCCTAGAATCTTGTCCAGTGATATGCTGATGCCAATTGGCAAAAGAGGTAGGTGATAATTCGTGGCTGGAAGTCCAGATTTGCCAACGCTCTTGGAAGCCATGGAACCGAATGTTGGCGCCGTCACCATCTGTGTACGAGAGCTGACATCAAGATAAAGGATCAGTTATCTGCCCGTGATGGAAAGATTTTCCAGGTTTTGAGAGTTGCATTGATGCATCATTTCAAATCGGTTGCGCTCAACTTCAGTGACCTGACTTAGTTGATTTCGATTCTTATGCAGTAACTTGAGACGTCCTGCAGCCATGAACGCATTACGGAAAGCCGTCAATATCTTCGCCCCTGCGGCTCAGAAATCCGAAGATGGCCGTGACAAGTGGTCTTCTCGTCCAGCATTCGTGCTCGCTGCTATGGGTGGTGCTATCGGACTAGGAAATATCCTGCGATATCCTTCTATCGTCTTCAACAACAACGGTCTTCAATGGTTCATTCCATACTTCATCGCTCTTTTCTTCCTCGGTATTCCGGTCTTGTTGCTTGAGATATCTATCGGTCAAGCATACCGGGGCGGATGCATCGTCGCCTACGATCATATCAGCAAGCGAGCGAAGGGTATAGGATTGGCTGTTATCTTCAATGGCTATGTTGTCACCACATATTATGTGCCGATTCTGAGTTTCGTCATGAAGTACTTCCGCAATTCGTTCACGTCTCCATTGCCGTGGACTGGCAGGACTAGCGAGTTTTACATGGACGACGTCGTCGCAAATGTTGATCCTGTTCCTGGGACGTTCAACAGTGATGGTACCGTGGCTACCTACACCGACTACCCAGGTACTGGTATCATACCTGAGACAGCGGGTTGGGCGGCCTTCATATTCTTTGTGGTGTGGCTTTGTATGTTTAAAGGTGTTGGACTGACTGGGCGTGTTGTCTACTTCACTGTATGTTCCCCATCCGGAATTGGTTTTAGATTCCATGACTAGTCTAAAGCATGCTGACGTTCTGCTTTATATAGATGGGCATACCGATTGTGACCATCATTATTCTTATTGGTCGAGCGGGAGCCCTCCCGAACGCGATTGATGGCATTAAATTGTATATGGGTGTCTGGTATGGCCGCAATACATTTCATTCCCTTTTTGATGCTTCGAGATATATTCTGTGAAACATTGCACCAAATACATGCTTACTCTATCTCAGGCATAGCGAGAAGCTTGGTGCACCAAAAATTTGGCAAGAGGCACTGGGTCAGATCTTCTTTTCCATTGGTGTCGGATTCGGATATTTCACATCGTATGCATCGTACAACAGCGAATATTCCAACGCCGTACAAGACGCTCTCATTATCGGCTGCAGTAACAGCTTGTTCGAGATTTTTGCTGCCTTTGCGGTGTTTGGTGTCATTGGATTCCTAGGACGACGTCCGGACCCCGAAAATCCCTTGAGCAGCTTCCAAGTCGGCTTTCTGACCTATCCCGAAGCGGTTGTCAATATGCCAGGCGCAAACTTCTGGTCCGTCTTGTTCTTCTTCACCCTGATGCTGCTCGGAATCAGCTCAAGTTTTGCTTTGCTTGAATCCATCGTCACTATGATAATGGACAGTCCTAAGGGCAGAAATATGTCTCGGTCTATTATCTCCACCGTGATTGTCATCATAACATTCCTGATATCGTTGATGTACTGTACCGAGTTCGGATTCTATCTTCTGGACGCTGTCGACACCTGGATCAACTACTTGGCTCTCTTCTTCGTTGTGTGGTGCGAGGTTGTATCGGTAACCATGATCTATCGCTTCAAGGATGTCGTGAACCAAGTCGGACTTCCTGCTTTTCTCATCTTCAACGGAGGCTACCTAGCAGCTCAAATTTTCGGTCTGGTCATTGCCCACGCAACAAATATACCAGGAGCTGGAGCTGGCTTCGCCTTTGGAATCTTTTTCTTGTGCTTCGCTATCTCGGTCTTCATCTCCCGTACCCCGGACAGCATTGCGCCTCGATTTTGGGGAGGTAATGTCTTCCTCACGAAAATGTGGTGGTTGTGGTTTTACTCTGTAAGCATTCCCCGCCCCTGTGACATACACCATGGTAGGATGATTGCTAACAGGTGGACAGGGCAACCAACTCACTCGTGATCTAAACGTCCATGTAGCTCTTGGCAACAATTGGGCTATTCCAGTGTTCTGGGCCCCAGTCCTCCGGTTTATCTCGGCGCCGATCTTGGCCATTGTGTTTTCTTTTGCATATCCCGCCTTTCATCCCAACCGTGGTGACCCAACTCACATCTTCGGGTTTGCAATTGCACATTGTAAGTGCACATCTCACTCCTTCGATTTACAGAGCCGTAGAAATCGTGTCGAATAACTACTAACTCGAGTTTAGTGGTCATGTTTTTTGTCGTTGGGGGTTTAGTCGTCCCGAAGGCTCTCGATGTTTTCGTTCCGGAATCACATAGAGAGATCAGGGATATACCGACGGTACCCAATGTCACCATTGGTACAACAAACGGCCAAGAGTCGCTTGAGAATGGCCAATATACCCCTGATGGAACTCAATCAGTAGAGAAGTAAAGCTGAAGCTTGCGAAGATGACAAGGTCTTGCCTATTTTGTGTGAAGATATTAACAGGTCATATGGTGGCCAAGAGGCGCCATTCGTTGCATATAAGAAATGCAGACCCCTTTGTTGAGCTTGATTCTCCCTCCTACAGAGGCTCGCTTAGCAAATGGAAAGAAATGCAAGACAACGGGCAACACATGTGGTATCAATGTTCTAAGATATCACCTTGAATAATATTCTACTTTCCCTGATGAGTTAACAGATTAAGATAAGTGAATTTGTGATGTACACTCCGCGGTTTCCCACGCATATTCAATTTTGCCCATTAGAATAGTCCCGGCAAGATTTTACCAGTGGCACCGCACACCTCAAGGTTAACCTCCATCTGGGCCGCAATACCGGACCTGAAACAGCAGAAATGCAATTATGCGAGACGTGGAAGACGACTTGTAGTCTAGATTCTCTCCAATTTTCGAAGGAAAATCGCCGTAAACATCAAGGCAACGGTTGTCTTTACACAAGCAGTTAGCTTCGACTTCAGACTCGGAGAAGCACAAGTTCAGGGCGAGCATCAGAAAGTAGTACTTACTGACCCAACATTAAACCACTGGGCAGCTCTCAAGCCACTCAGAAAACCGATGTCGCCCAAAACGATATCTGATTTGCCTTGGACGGTCGTCTGTACGCCTGTTACAATAGCCAGCCCCAATGAACGTCCAACATTGTTCGCTGTTTGCAACAAGCCATTTCCCAGTGCCTGGTCTTCAGATGGTAGCTGTTGCGCAATGAAGAGACTAGCGACAGGCCAAAAGATGTCCACTGAGACAAAGGCACATTGCGGGGAAACCGTATGCCCAGTATGATGTTGAGTGTGGCTGGAGAGGTACTGCGAAGAGGAGGGGAGATACAACGCCGCAGACGAGTCCGAAGGTGAGCATGTGATATCCTGATATGCGTGAAAGTGCTAGCGGCATTATAAAGGAAACAAGAACTAAGAATTCAATCATAGAGCATTAGTATCTAGTACATGAGGGAACGAGTGAAGCTATGATTGTTCTTACGGCCAGTAACACCGGCAGGTACGAATCGTAGAGTTGTGTCCAGCACGCCAAGCCCTAGATAATCTTGATAGCTAGATGTGTCCATTGTCAGCTGCTGTCAATCCTCAAGACTGTTGTACATCAATGGACTAAACATGGAAAGCGTGAATGAGTGTTAAACTAGCACTTACAAGAATGTTGCAAAAATGAGAAAACTATTAAAAGAGCCATAAAAACAGAAGATAACGATAAACATGGCAGAAAACTGGAAGTCTTTGAACATAGAGACTCTCATCAAAGGCTGCCGTTGCGGATCGATCTCTAAGTGGTGTTGCCAGAAGATGAAAAATACCATCAAAAGTAAAGATACACCAACAATCGTCAGAATCCATGGGGCCGTCCAACCGACGACATTAGCTTGAGCAATGCCAACCAATAGCAAGAGTAGAGCAGTGGACACCATAGCTGCACCAATCCAATCTATAGAAGATCGTGTGCTACCCCGTGCGTCTTGTGCTGGCGATTCAGGAGCAGGTATAAGCACGAAGGCTATCATTGTGATAAGAACGGCTGGAATAGAAGGGATCCAGAACACCCATTTCCATGACAGATAACCTCCTATGACGCCACCAGCAATATTTCCAAGTATGGATCCAAGTGACGCAGCAGCTGAGAACGTGACGAAAGCTTTGTTTCTTGATTTACCCACAGGAAATGTCGACGCCATAATCCCAACCGCAGATGAGACAGTCGCAGCGCCACTCATACCTTGCAAGGCGCGCAGTGGATAGAAACATATCTCATTGGGCGAAAATGGCATGGCTATACTTGCGATTGCGAACCCAGTCGAACTGCCCAGGTAGATAATTCGATGTCCGTAAACATCTGCAAGTCGTCCCCAGAGGAGGATGAGGCATCCTGAAGCAATGTTGTAAACTGAGGTAGCCATTTGCTGTCGTTGGGTTGGGATGTTCAAATCATGACTGATAGAGGGCAGCAGAATGACAACGGACTGCACATTGAATACCTATTCATATCGTTAGAAGATGACGAGAACACAAAAATTTCAACAAAAAGTGAATATACACTCAGGAAGCATGAGCATGCGAGGCTACCGACAAGAAGTACTGCTCTTGCTCGGGATCTGCTTGCCGGGTTGGGGGTTTCTTGTTGTGGTTCTGGTTTCGCGTCCATCTGGCTCGAGCTTGGATCGTGTTTGCAACAAGGACTCTGATTTTCATCATCCATCAATGTAATCTCTTGATTTTTACCAATATGTTGAAGCTGTATCACACCTGCAGACAAGTTTCCCGAGTTCGTCTGTACAGGTAGGATGTCGTGTGACATTGTTGAAAAACTGAAAGTAGATTTTGCTCTTGTTTAAATCAAAAGTTGAGTTTGCGAAAAACAAAGAGTGACTTCATGTGGATGATAGTAGTTCCTCAACTACCTGGGTCATGTTAACGTTAAAATACTGTAGGTAACTGTCCTTGCAATGAGTTGGCCGGCTCCACTACCCTGGAGCCGGAGAGAAGTAGACCAACATTCGGCTTGAATAAGCGGATTTAGAACTGCTTGAGATATACATGTATTCTTACAGCCAATCCTCTTGATAGAATAGGGTGGGGCAAGCTCAGCAGTATCTGCATCAAGGCTCTGCTCCGAAATCATATGGAGATATTGGTTCTCACTATGCCGTTTTTCTCGCTTGTTTTGCGCAATCGGCTTGGCTGGTCAATCAGTGAATAAAACCTGGCGGTTCCGAGCACACGTCTGCATAGAGTGTGCATGGCGCGATTAGATGAACGTTCATAGGCTGATAAAGACTAGAAGAGAGGAACAGATATGATACCTCCCAATAATACGACAATGTAGGGACATCTCTCCAGATGGAATTGAGGCCACACTTGGAGAAATAACCATCATCGGAAGAGGAAAAACGCAAAAGATAACAATAGATCATTGGAGCTAAGGAGAGGAGGTTGAAATTCGACAATGAAGCTACATAGCTGAATGTTTTACATTCTGAAAGTTTGTATTGGATGGAAAACAATTATTGAACAAGGTCCTCTCATGAGTAACCTTGCATCAAGCTCTCGGATATTGAGCACCATATTGAAATGGCACTTCCAACGCCTATTAATCTACAATGGTACTGGTGGCCGTATTCGTTGAAAGCATTTATCAAGGATGAAAATGTTGTCCACTTGTCCTCTTCATCCCATGTATCTGCGAGGGCGCTCGCTTGAGATCAAAACAAAACAAAACAAAACAAGGAAGTGCGGGGCAGCCTTGGCTCGAGAAGCACATTCAATTGCGAATGACAGTCACGTACGACCATTTGTCGTGCTTATCTATCTGCTAGTCGGAGTCCTCCTATTTTTTATGGGGAAGAAGGAAAACAGCTACTGTCGTTATTTCGGTGCGGGACCGACTCTCGCTCGGTAATGCTAGTGCTAGAATTGACAAGATTTGGTGTGAAGCCATGCCAACTATATGCTTTGATATTCAGTTAGGTGGAGGATATTACCACACGTCATTGCCTATGACTTTGAGCTTTCAAACCGTGAATAACATCGGTGGAACGGGACTTCACGTAGTGACTGGAAAATATGAAAACAAGACGTGAGCTGAAGCGAGTCAAGAACGGAAATATTTAACAGTAAGTACAAGAATGATCAGAACAACATAGGTCAAGATTTTCCAAGCAATCATCCAGTACCACCTGCTGCCCCGGCTCCCCTCCTAGCTCTACTTCTCCTTCTCGCCGTCTCAATCGCACCACACCCCGTCAAAAGCACCATGACCTCCCAATCCCCCCACTTCTCACCCCCTTCATCAATCTCAATCCCTTTCCCAGCCACCTCCCTCACACTCCTAACCCTCCCTTTCTCCCCCCTCCTCAAATCAAACCTCCCCCTAGTCCTACTAAACAACCCCTGACACCCCTCATAAACCGCCCACACCACCTCTCCCAACCTCGCCTCCCCACCACTCCTATCTCCCCCCACCCCAATATTCTCCCGCAACTCCATATCTGGCTGATCTTTCAAAATCCCCTGCTTGGTTTTCAACCACGTGAATGTTCTCCTCTCGCCGGTTTCCCCGTCGACGAAATCGAATTCGTAGCGGGCGTGCGACCAGTCTTTCATGCTTTGGAAACGCTCCCATTGGAGGTTGGAGGTTTCGGGAGTTGGGTTGGAGAGGTCGGTGAGGGCGACGACGTTGGGGGATAGGGTGTTGAGTTTTAGGAGGCCGAGGGTGGGGCCGGAGGGGGTTTGGGAGTGGATGGTTACGTCGGGTTTGTTGGGGGTGAAGGAGGAGTCTGTACGGATTAAGGAGTTAGTCATTGCTTGCGTAGTGTGAATATTTTTGAAATATTCTCGGCTATATGACGACTCCAAAAAGAAGGAAAAGGACAAGAATATAGAATTGATTAATACATACTGGTTACATGAAAGAGGGGTGTGGTTGAATCAGAGGGGAGAAGTGAGAGGTTGTGGAGTTTGAAATTATTGACTGTGAGGGTGCGGAACTCGGTGGAGGAAGGATCGGTGGCTTTGGAGAAAGAAGTTGATATGTTAGAAGTTTCGATTTTGGTGTCTAGTTCGCCCATGTTGAGTTATTTTGAAGTGTTCGTGGTTGAGTGGTAATGTTATGAGGTGCCTGGTCAAGGTTTGTTGACTATGAAGTTAACTGCTTCTGAAGCAAGTGGCATAAGAATATTTACATGAAAAGCCTTATTTCGTAGACGTCCGTAGTAATTTATAGCCAGAACCCCCTCCCATAAAATCGGTACACAATGCCTAACACTCCCTCCATTATCCCCACAAAGCTAGACATAGTGACCCAACCTCGCCCTCTCATTGGCTACCAAACCCACGCGGAATACGAAGAACCCTGCCAGTCCCACCCCCACCACTCATAGGGCTGAGATCGGCACTCAGCCGCTCCAGACGTCACTTCTTGACGGTAAAACATGTAAATCATGCACTGGGATGGTTATGATGGACTGGAATCAAAATAGTTTGGTGAGACTAATTGACTTTCATGCATGCCGATCGATGCGAGGCTTGAGATCTGAGAATTTGGATGAGGGGAATGGTCTCCTCGTTTGTTGACCAGGGAGTCGCTGAGTTGGATGGTAGCTGGTGAGATGCGGAGTATAGAACGAAATAGACCTGAAGGTCTTGTCCTCTTCCTTCAATCATACGTCTCATTTACTTTGAATGGTCTTTTCAGTTATAAGACGTGGAAATCGAAATGCAGTTTGCACTTCTTACACGTCACATGTGTTTTGCTGAAGAATCTCACGCAAGGGCCGTGGCGTGCCTCGCTTGAAAGCGCGAGCGGTCCGGAGACTAGACAGTATTACCTATGACTTGAGGCCCGACAAGTAGGCATTGTGATAGATTGATTGATTCAAAATTAGGCTTTAGATTGTAGACAGAGGTAATCAATACGTATCTACTGAATCTCATCAAGATCTCCTTCTCCCTCCCCCTGTTCATCTGTACACTTCACTCTTCTCTAATAACTCCTCCTCCAAATCCCAATCCCCAACCACAAACTATCTTATACAATATTCATCTCCATCTCCATCCCTATCTATCCACCACTCACACACCCACCCTTCCGTTTCCCAACCCTTACAGCCCCCAAACCAAAGCCCCCATAACAGCAGCAAACCCCACACTCCCCACAACCTTCATCTTCCCCATACCAGGGACCCTCTTCCCCGCCGCACTCCTCTGCACAATCGTACTCTTCTTCATCTTCATCTTCATCTTCTCGCTAGCCTTACGGCCCGCACTTGCTTTCTTCTCTCCTTCTCCTTCTCCTTCTCCTGAAGCGGCGGCGTCCTCTTCGTTGGCTGCCGCGTCTTCGCCTTCGGCTTGCTTGGCGGCTTCTGGATGGGAGGTTAGCTTCTGGTGTAAATTTTGTAGAGCTTGGGGACATATGTGTACCTTCTTCAGCGAGCTTTGCCTCCTCGTCGGCCTTTGCTTGTTCCTCTTCATTCAGGTTCTCGTCTTGGTTGGCGTTCTCGCCTTCCTTGGCGTTGGCGGTTTTGTTTCCGGCGGCGGCGGCGTCTTCTTCGGCTTGTTTGGCGGCTTCTAGAGAATATATTAGCTTTTGGTCTGTCATTGTGTGTGGTTTGGAGAGTCTGGGAGGGAGTTATATCATACCTTCTTCAGCCAACTTTGCCTCCTCATCAGCCTTTGCCTGTTCCTCCTCGTTCAAGTTCTCATCTTGGTTTGCGTTTTCGGTCTCGTTGGCGTTGTTGGTGTTGTTTCCGAGGTCGAGACCGCTTACGAAGAGGCCTTGGAGGTCGACCACTATGTTTCATATTGTTAGTACAGTCTTCCATTAAGAAACGGTGCCGGATAGATGAATGTTTTTGGGGCAAGGGAGAGCGGGGAGGTGTAAAGTTGGTTGAAGGATGGAGTACTTACGTTGCTGGAGACAGTCATTGCATTGTCCAAGATTGAGGTTAAGGCCGTTGAGGTTCAAGTTGGAGGCAAAGAGAGAAGCGAGTTGGTTATCGCAAGCGCCACATCCGCCGATGAATTGGACGAGTCTGGTTATATGTTAGTTTCAAAATACTTATGATCTCTGAATGCAAAGCACAAGGAAGACGGAGAGAGAATAAATACATACTCCGGAGCAAGCGCCACCAAACTATTCTGCTGACCTAGATTCAAAAGCTGGAAATTCGAGAACTGGCTCAACCCCGCAGACAGGGTGAGGATTTCGAGGGCGAGCTGAGACGACATCTTTTCTTTACTGTATGTATGGATGGGAGGTATTATACTACTTTCCAGAAGCAGTCTTGATAGGTAGAAAGAGTGAAAGAAGGAAGATTAAGAATTAGAAGAGGAAAAGCAGAGAAGTGAAGTGAAAGGAAGCCGGCCTTGTGGAAAGAAGAGAAGAGAAGAGAAGGAAAGGAAAAGGATGAGTGGGAGGAGGGATGGGGTGTTATTGTACTCTTTTCGGCCTGGCTGGTTCTGGTGCGTGCTGGAGAGTTGGGCGTTTGGACTTGCACGCTTGATGGCGCTCGTCTCCAGAATATGCCAGTAGTTAGAATACTACCCAGCTGTGTTTTGTATCCTTGCTGTCGGAGACGTGACATTGTGAGCAAGACTGGGGGATGAACAGGGGAGAGAAGTGGGCGTGCATGAATAGAGGTGGTAAGCATGCCATGGCGTTGCTTGATAAATGCTTGCCTTTCAAGCGCCAAGTAACTTAACACTCGAATAACCTGGCATCTGGCGAGCAGTCTCCACATCCAGCTATATGTCTTCCACAGAATATCCACTTGGACCAATCACAGTGGTCTGTTCTGTACAATACTTGGCTGTCCCATGATCTGATAACCAGACACATCTGATCGCCTCATATCCATAATCCATAAAAAAGCCAAGGCCATGCGTTTGACAGCCACCGAATCATACCCTCCAGCGCAGGATACAAAACCCCCGATCAGCAGCCGGCAGTCGCAGGCCCTGCCGCAAAACCTGCCATCTGAAGCATAAGACGACCGGACATATTGCACTACCGGACGGGTGTCGAACGGCTGTCATGGGTGTCGGACGTTGGTGAGTGCTGACGGATGTGGATGTCATGGGCTTAAGCGAGGGTTTCAGAGGGTTTGATTGGATGGGTGGGTGAGCTGCCGATGAACTCACGGTCTTTTGGGGCAGGGGTTTGGGCGGCGGGGCGTTTTGGAATGTGGTGCAGGCTTGTTTTTAAGCTTAATGCGATGGGTAGGGACGGATGGCGGATGGGGTGGAGGTGTTCATGCTTTGTTACAGTATGGCTGTTATGGGCGTGCGGAGTGGGGTGGGTGGATGGGTGAGTTGGTGAGTTGGTGAGTTGGTGAGTTGGTGAGTTGGTGAGTTGGTGAGTGACATGTTGTCTTAGGGGAGCTATGGCTGTCTGTGATTTGAGCTTTGACTGTGAAATGGAGTGGTAGAAGTCGGAGGATTTATTTGGAATATGGGACGTGAGGATGGAATTGAGATAAGAAGGTCTTGTTATGCTCCAATTATGAAAATTTATGGAACGTATAAGACAAGCCTGAGCGATGACAGACTGCTCTCCTGCACTGCTTGGGTTCTGTCGGGATTTGATTTATTCTCTGAGATTTGGCATGTCTCTACATACTTCGTGTTGAGATGCCAGAGTACAGACTTATTGAGAAATAGAATCGACCTTGACATCTTTTAGGAATTTCGTCACAAGTTCAATTACCTTCTCAGGCTGTTCTTGCTGAACCCAATGTCCAGCACCATCCACTAACTCGACACCTCGAGATTGACTACACACCTCACTTAATTTTTCAACAGCACCAGGCTCTTGGTATGTTCCCCAGTCTTGTTTGCCTGAGATGAAAAGCGCTGGAACATCAATCTTCTTGCCTGCGAATAATTCGACATCTTTCATGTTCTCTGTGTCTGTAGCGATGCGATACCAGTTCAGCCCACCTTGGAAACCATTGCGACCCCATTCTTGGACGTAGATGGCCAATTCGTCATCTGGAAGCCAGCGAGAACTTGCTTTGGAGACTGAGGATGGATCCTCATCCGCCATGGGGATTTGTATAGATTTCCTCATGCCGGCATCGAGAGGCATCACGTAGTAGTATGGCAGTTTTGCTAACTCGTTTGCTTCCCAAGCCTTCAAAGGCTTTGGATCGTTGCCTTTCCAGTCCGCGCTCTTGAGATGGAAATAACCCCGCAGGAATTCATGCAACCCTTCTTTAGGGTTATCCATCTCTTCTGCTGCAGGTTTGGTGGAATAGTACCATTTGTAATGTTTTCGCGGTTGGGGTAGCTCTGCCAATGCTTTATGGACGTCTTCTTTTGCCTCTGGTTTGGGAGGGTTGGGTACGGTATTGAAGGGGAGAGTCGGCGAGCCTTTGAAAGGATGGGACATGGTTATGACACTGTCTCTGAAGTAAGTAACTGTGTGGAGTGGTGATGGGAGTGGACCTACGATTTGAATATATCTGGTCGCATCAACGCACACATCGAAGCTCCCACAGCGCCGAAATCGTGACCAATTACGCAAGCTACCTCTTTATATCCCAGGGCATTGAGGAATATCACAGCATCTCGTACGAGGCGTGTGAATCCAAATGTGTTCAGGTCGACGGAGGAGAATTCGCGGTTGTCCCAGCCAGTCGTTCGACCATATCCTCGCTGGTCGTAACCTACGACGTGGTAGCCTTCGTTCGCTATCGCTGGCATGATCTTGCGCCATGAATAGGCCAATTCAGGGAAGCCATGGAGGCAGAGGACGAGGGGTTTGGTGGGTTGGCCGGCGCTGAGCACATGGTAGGTTAGGTCGTGGGAGGGGAGGTAGGATTCGGTGATTCCTTGCGGGAGAGGAAGGGGTGGGAATGGAGCTGCCATCCTGTGAGATTAGTGGTTAGTAAACAGAGGAAGTATAGCAATTATTTGTAGAGTAAGTCATCTTCATGAAGCCGAGGGGCGTCCCCAATCGTGATGTCCGGGGAAGAGGAGTAGAGGATTGGTTCAATCGCACCCTGGTCTCCAAGAGAGGTCTTGGCAGCACGTGCTCATATTTGATTGTTAACTTCCCCTTTTGCTGATATGATATGTATTTGTTTACTTTGGTCATATTGCTCGCGACTCCTGAAGGTATTCCCAACTTTCATGCCCTTTTCGCTCGAATCAAAACAAACATCCCCGATCAAGGACAACAGCTGATTCATGCATTTGCGGGTCTTGGAGAGCGCACCACGACCCTTGAGCATGCTACGTCATCACACAGTTTCATCAAGTGTGGCTGTGTGCAAATCGATGCGCCCCAACTCGCGAGCTTCTCTTCCCTCCCGTCCTTGCAAACTCCTTGTTGTTCTCTTCCAAACCGAGATGAAAAGCCGACAGATCATCCGAGGCTATTTCGACGTCCAGTCTGCTTTGGGTGATGATGCGGATGATGCGCTGGGATTTGGCCTTAGTTAGGTAAGAAGTGAATATGGAAATGCTTGAATGCCATTTTTACGATTTACCCGGTACATTTTCAGAACAGTGGGTTGGCTGATCGAAGGTTACAAAAAGACCCTGGATATCTTCAATGATACAGTATGAGCTGAGATGCGATGAGCTGTTGTTTGTTTCGTTTTTCAGTTGCACTTTGCAAGGGCCTCCTTTCCGTCATTCTCGACGTGGTAAACACTAAGCACTTACCGCTGAGTGACCCTGACATTGCTCTACGAGATTTGACCAATACGCGCGGCACAACACAGCTGCCAGTTGTATGAGATGTTACTTTTGCTCCGGACCTGTGCTGTGATATGCATCAACATCCATGACTTGTGAAAGTTCCAGCTATTCAAGACCAGCGTTCCCCGCTCAGTGCAATGATACGATGCGCAAAACAGACTTTCACTTCTGCAAGAATCTTCCCCCTTGCCCAACTTCACTCCCCCGAAACCGGTATTTATTGGCTGCAAGCCAGACAGGATTAGTGTTGATTCATAGCAGCGTCGTAGTGTAGAAATGGTGTGGTGTAGTCGAGGTCTTACCCACCAGACCATTAAATCAAACAGACGGCGCCATGCCATGAACCATGATATCAAGTCCAGCTGTCCCGGCAGACGAGTCGAAACACTCCCAGACAAAATCTGGATCCAAGGCCAACTATCTCCAACCTCACTTCACATTCCTCGTGCATCAACAACCTCTGCACTCGACTACACTCGTTATCACACCCTCGCCATATTTACATGTCCCGTCTCGCGTTACAATCCAGACCGTCGATCCGCAAAAAGTCTACACTTGCCGGGATCCCAGCCAAGCCGCCCTCAGAATACCCTTTCACCCAGTCACAATCCCAGCTTCTCTCGCGTAAGCCTCCACTCATCGTTGTCTGGGAGCTGCGCCCATCGTCATATCACGAAAGCTCTCCATCTGCTCGAAGCAATCGCATTCTCACAACAACCGTCCTTCACTCTTTTCTATGCAATAGTATCCTCATTAGCCCTCAGTTGGCAGAGGTAGACAGGCAGCGCGCCGACGACCAGCGATGTTTGGGAATAAGAATAGGAGGAGACGAGCCGCGTCGAATCCGGTATGTCTATCCTTTGCTCGATTCCCACGTTCCCGATTGATGTTTCGAAATCACGCCAGCTCTTTGCATTGCAATCCAAGGAAGATGCTTCTCATCAGCGAATGTTACTGATATGTTCGCGAAACAATTACTGACATGTCTATTAATAGCCCCTAAATGGAACGACCACGAATGCCTCCGCGATGACCGCTGCGGCCCAGGCCTTCTTGAAGAACCAGGCTTCGAATGCATCCCTCTCATCCGCCGCGGCGGCTACTGCTCTACGATCCAGGCCTACGACTCCTACGAGCGTCGCAGACGTACAGACCAAGCGGACTCTCCGAAGAAGTGGTTCGACATCATCGGTGGGAAGCTCAGTCGCTGGATCATCGAAAGGACAATCCCGGCCACAATTGGAAAGGAGAGGAAGCTCTTCCTCGATGACTGAACGCACATTCCGGGATCCTTCGCCTTCACGAGGAGTACCCAGTGCAGCGGATGCGCCACCGGTTCCGGCCATTCCCAAGAACATCCCGCAAGCTCCGTTGATACCACAGAAATCGCATCGACGAGCAGCAAGTCTGGAAGCGCCTCCCATGAGGATAGCATCTCCCCCACCGAATAAGGCCAACGGACGAGGATCCAGCCTAGGCGGAGCGACACAACCTTCCAGGAGAGCCGGGCAGAGGATGTCGAGCTTATCGAGTGTTCAAGAGCTTGAGCGACCAGCAAGTAGAGGGTCCGTTAATTTCTCATTGCCTACAGGTTTCAGGCAGACCTCACCTGTGCCGCATAGAAGGCTAACATCTCCATCACCTCAAAGGGCAAATACTGCAAGAATTGTTTCTCCTACTAATCAAAATCTGATCTATGACCCAAATACAAGAAGCTTCCTTCCAGAAGCGCAAATATTAGCAATTGAACAGAGGATACATAGCGCGTCTCAGCAACCAGTCAAGAAGAAGAAACGACTGCCACCATCAGCAGGGACGCATTTGGCCGATGGCACTGCTGGAGGCAGGCCGAAAGGCACATTTGTCGATGCGTTGGAAGCAGCGGAGCAGCAGAAAGCTGTTCAACAAGCGGCTCCAGTTCCTCAGCCTCAACCTGAACCTCCTGCGCCTGTGCAAGCGCCTATACCCGAACCTGTAAATGCGGCGCCGCCAAAGAAGAAGAAAAAGAAGAAGGTGGTTGTGAGCGACTCCGAGAGCGACCAGGCTTCTTATGTTCCAAATTCTTCCGACAACGACAGCGATATTAGTACCCAACCTTTCAATACTCGAGCAGGGGCTCTTTTGGCGAAGAAGCCATCAATCGTACGAGAAGATAGGGAAAGGGAGGAGAAGGAAGATGATACACCTACAAGGGCACAGAAACTGGCGAGGCTGGATACCACTCCAGAACCAAGGCATGCTTCACCATCACCATTACCTCGTTCAATGGCTGGGAGAGGTCAAGGTCGTGGACAGGCCTCGGCGTCTGCAGCATTTGCTCAAGGGAGACAGCATGCACGATCTGCCAGTCAGCCTGCCCCAACTGAGGAAAGTCCTACAAAGGAAGGCGTTGGACTAGTTACAAGAGACAGTGTTAGAGGAGGTAGAGTACATTCTGTGAGTCCAATGCGGACGACCCACTTTGCTAGAACTCCGGAAAACCTGGTTGTAAAGCACCAGCCTCCTGCTCGATCGATATCGCCACGGAAGTCTGCCATGAAACATTCCAACTCACCACGCGGTCCTTCTCCAGTCGAGGGTATGTCAGGGGCCAACGAAACAAATCTCAGTGAAGCATCTAATGGCTCAGCTGTGGTTCCAGAAGGTCTTGCTCCACGAAAGAAAGCCAATCGGGTCAGTTTTGACGAAACGAATGTGGTTGTTGGTCAAGCAGCAACTCCAGTTGTCACGGATTCGCCAGTTGTTCTCAGCCCTCAGACGAAATCGAAATGGTTTAGTATTGGCCGTGGAAAGAAGAAGGAAACGCCAGTGCTAGATGAGGATGACAGTGAGGTGATGAAGCCTCGACCGGCCTTGCCATCATTTGGCAGTGTTCGAGAGAAGAAACCTAACCGCGAGATCGAAGAGCGTCCTCTGGTGAAGCCAGCCGAACCAACAGAAGCCAAATTGCCCCCAGCTTCTCCACCGATCTTCACGTCACCTACTGGCGAGGTTATTGAGAACCCATTCGGGCAATCAAACGATCATGTGGTAGGAGCTGTCATTGCACAAGACGCTGCAACTAAGAATGCCGCCAACATCTCGAAATCGCGTGAACCATTACCTCCACAGGTAACATCTGTTGAGGGTAGTGGCTACAACTCAGACAGTGATAGCAGCTTGTACAGTGTTGAGAATCGCAAGACAAACATCGGTGTCACTAGAGCTGATAGTGTGAAACGGGGCCCTGAAGATGGTGATGCCGATTCGTACAGAGCACTGGCATCACCACTGGCACACGAAATCGAAACACCAACGGAGAAGGGTGAAGCAGAGGCTATGAATGGTGCAAATACCGATATTCCTGAGATTGCTGTTTCCCAAGCTACGCCAACTCTTGAGAGTACTGAGTCGAAAAGAGAATGGCCAGACATGCCAGGGTCATGGGGCCAGTCGAGTTCAGATTCTGGTAGCCAAGAACGAGATGATGCTGAAGTCCCAATCGTGGAACACCAGGCTACGGAGCCAACACTTGCAGAGCAGGGCATCACTGAACCAGATGAAGAGACGCCTCGCGCCGGGTCTCCAATTTTAGGTGAAATTGCTTCTCGCAATTCTATCATATTGGAGGAGCCAGAAGAGTCAGATGCTAGTATCTACAGCGATGCAGCTGAAGACTTCTCGGATGTTGAAGGCAGTGGGTTTATGTCTCTCGACGCTGTTGTGGACACTCCGGTCATCAACACCAATATACCTGGACTCGCCATCTCGACTCCTCCTGACAGTCCTACGACGAAAGTCACAAAGGAGAAGGCATATAAAAGGTCACAGCTGTCAAGGAAAACAAGTGAGCCAGACATGGATGAAGGTTGGGACAAAGTGCAAGCTTATTGGAGTACACTTTCCGCCGACAAGAAACTCCAATTAGAGCAAGAGGCTCGTGAAGAGGCCGAAGGCTCTGATACAGAAGTCGAGGCCAAGCCAGCACCAAAGCCTAAGAAGAAAAAGAAGGTGGCTGTCAAACCAGAGCCAGTCGAACCCGCTCCTCAACAACAGCAGAGTGTCAGCAACGAGAGGACTTATATGATTCAACCTGGTTCAAAGGCAGGTCCAAATGGCCATACTTCCATGAAGACATCCATGCGGGAGCAACCTGCAAATACAGAACCTGAGCCTCAAATACGGAAGACGATGCGTGGGCCAGGATCAATGCGTGGTTCACTGCGTACCGAAGCTGAACCCAAAGGATCATTGCAGAAGAAATATCGGCCCATGTCATACCCTCCTGCTGAGTCTCAAGCAAATCCTGCCGATGTCAAGAAGCATGTCCGCAATCTGTCCGCAGCAAGTGCAGCAGCTGCTCAAGGCGCTGCGAAACGAGACATGGCACCACCAGCACCCCCTCTCCGTAGAAAGGGCTCTGCAGGAAGTGACAGTAGCTTCAAGAAGGCTAAACGCGGCAACGAAATCCCAAGCTTCAGAACGTCAATGCGTGGATCTGTTGAAAGCAACCCAGCTCCTCGACCACAATCTCCGGCACAATCGAGTCGATTTAGTCTCCGTTCATTATCCCCCACTGGATCCGCTTTCCGTCGGTCTTTCAACAGCGGAGCTGCACCGCAAGTTGGTCTGTCTGAGACGCACATGCGAAGTTCGATGCGTTCTTCCTATGACACAACTCCGTCAATGAGGAACAAGCCACCAGGAACGAAGACTGGTGGATTTGGTCGATCAGCACCCCAGAAGACAAAGCAAAAGCCCACTCGGAAACTGGCAAGTCGTTTCGCAGACTCGAGTGATGAAGAGGAAGACCGACCTGCATTCCGAAGCCGCTTCAACGATTCAAGTGATGATGACGAACCAGCTCCACCGCCGCCATCCGCAGGTCGGACAATGCGCAATAGTGCTCCTGTTCGCGGGATACCTAAACGCTCCGGCCTTCAGGATGGAGATTCAAGTGACCTCCCTGACAGCGACGATGAGAAGCCCACATCTCCAGGCCTCAAGCTCTCGAAGAGACAAAATGGTAATGCAACTCGGCCAACCAAAGAAGGAGCAACGCTCGCATCTGGCTCTCTTCGCCGGTCTGGTTCAGGCCGTGGTACGATCAGCTCACCCACCACTACGGAATTCACCCCACGGCCTGGTCATTCTCGCCGCGGCAGTTTCATGTCGATACTCCGCCGCAAGAAACCTGATTCCGCGTCTCGAGTACGTAAATCAGACGCCGAGTCTCCTGCTAGGAGAGACACGCCTCTCGAGAGGAGCAAATCCGACTTGCAAGCTCTCCGCACCGAGCCAGCACCATCCCCCAGACTACAAAAACGCAACCCAATGAGTCGAGACAACAGCGGCGCCTGGCCTCTCCCCGCCGGTGAAGCACCGAAAGCACATTCCCTACTCGTCGGCAAAGCAGGCGAAGATGGCCGACCTTTCACAGCTGACGGAGCTGATGGCGTGGTCGGTGGTGGTGGCGGGCGCGAGAAGGGTCAGCTTACCACGAATGGCGATGGGAGACCTGATCTCGGGACGAGGAGGTTTACGGCTACGGGACTGGCGGGGGTGGATCTCGCTGCTATTAATGGGAATGGTGGGATTGTGGGGGAGAAGGCGAGGAAGAAGAAGAGGTTTGGGAAGTTGAGGAAGATGTTTAGGTTGGATGATTGAGCGGATGGATGACCTGGGTGGGGTTGTTTGGAGGGAGGAGATTATGGAAAATAACATACAGATAGGCAGACAGATACCATTTCCTTGTGTTCTTTGTATTGCGAATTTTTTGATTTTCTATGGCATGGATCGTTGGATTTGGAGGGTTGGGGCGGTGTTGGGTTGGTGGTGTTGGGCTGGGTTTGAGTCCAGGATTCTCTATCTGGCCTGGAGAACACCCGCGCGGGAATGGGGGGAAATCATTGCATGTCAGGGGGCGTTTCCCCCGTACTCATTGTTGTCTTATCTCACAGCACGAGATGAGATTATTTCGTTTTCCCTTCTATGTTGTTTTATGCTCCTTTTTGAGATGCTGAGATGCAGAGATGTTAGCAAGCATCTGCGATTGATCTTCTCTACCTCCTCCTTGCTTCTCTTTCTTGTATGAAAAGCGAGGAAAGAGGAAAGTGGGGAAGGTTTGGGGGCGATGGAAGGGGAGGGGGTTCGATTCGAGTATATGGATTGGCAGGTATATTATATGATGGAAGGTACGGGGCAGAGGTGTGTGGACTTGTACGAGCTGAGAAGGGAAGAGACGATATGAGGGGCATGCGCGAGTGAGGGAGGTTGGAGGGTGGTGGAGGTAATAATAATCAGTCAGGATGAACGAATGGAATGGAGGGAGAAGTGGGATACTACATGCCAAATTTGAGGATCCCAGGACGGATGAGATGAGATGAGATGAGAGATGTCAGATACAAGACGAAAGTTGAAAGTTGAAAGTTGACAATAAAATACCATGTTCAAATTTGGTCAATCGGTTCATTTTGTGATTTGCATTTCTGTGATATTTCTAGTGCAAGTTTCTTTCTCACTTTTGATTTCGTGTTGAGAGATCAGACGACTTTCCATCGTCTTCTACATGTCACCATGCTCATCCCCGTACGCTTTCCCTCTCCCCCTCTTCCTCCCGTCCCGTCCCATATCACTCCCCAAGCCCCACAAAATTCCCCAACTCCCTTCCCTTCCCTCTCACTCGTAATTGTAGCAAGACATCTATCCCCTCTGGACCCACCCCCTCCCTACATTTCGCCGCCTCGAATTTCTCACCTACTTTTCACCCATCCCAACTCCTACCACTAAACGTACCCTATCCACCCACCAGCATTGCAGATTCCGATTTTCATTCGCATCCGGCGTTCGTCGTTGGTCTTTCAACCGATCGATCCGTCAATAGGGAGGTATTTGATGTGCGAGGTATATATCGCATCGTATTGCTTTTGTTGTCCTTTTTTGGAATAGATGGACACTCCGAATAGTGGCTGTAGTAGTGTTGGCGCGGTGATAGTGATGAGAATAATGATGGACGTGACCGGACTTGTTACTGAATGTACAGGGCATGTGGACGGATTCGGATTCGGGTTCGGGTTCCACTGTGAAATGAATCTTTCTTGCTGAGATCCTCGTCCTGCAGTATTGCATTGCTCTGCTTACTGACGCCGCTTGTGAAATCCTTGGGTATTGACTGAGACTCTGAGTGTTGTGAAACACCGGTCTTCCCTCCCAATGCTTCACACTCATACTCGTACTCCTCGCTTCATCCCCATTCCCTCACCCCTCATACCTTTCCCATTTCTCTTCCCATTCCCATCAATTCTTTCATCAATCCACTCTCTCCTCAACCTCTCAACTTCCGCCCCTCCCTCCCCATCCTCCCCTTCCTAGCATGCTTACAAGCACTACTCGCGCAGAAAGTAGGCGAGTACGGGGCATCGACGCCTAGATCCGAGTCGTGGAGTGATTTCTTGTGGATTGATTTGTAGGCTGAGTAGAGCATGATGAAGGGGCAGTAGACGAGGTAGTAGTTTAGGCTTGTGGAGGAGGAGGAGGACATTTTTCTTTGGGAAGGCTGGTGGTGGTGGGGTGTGTGTGTGAGTGTGGTGAGTGTGTTTGTAGTTGGTTGGTTGGATGGTTTAGAGAGGGAGAAGGGAGTGAGATTGGATAGTGAGATGTGGTTTCTTGACTGTTGGATGTGGTGCGGATCAATGTGATATGATCCGATTATGATACAGATTATCTGTGAAATAGGCCGGATGTGAAATAGCTTGGATGTGGTACAGATAGAAAATTAAAAAGATAGATATGTTCGTTGCGAGTAGCAGGTGACCGCTCAGGTGCTTCCTAGACAAACAAGCCGATTGACTTCCCAACGAATTCGATTCTCACCACAGGAGATAGTGCGAAATATATAATAGAATGAAAATAGACTCAGCCTACCTCATCTTCCGACTCCGGCAAACAGCGCAACGCAACTCAACTCAACTCAAAAGCCTACTTGTCCATTTCACCTCCGCCCAAAAGAGTACGAACCGACGACTCCCGATCCAATAATCACCACTGAAAAATCTCGCACGTCGTATGTATTGCTGACAGATCGTGGTGCTGACGAATCAACCATGCCCGCACTTTAAAGTGTGCAGAGTAACGTGTGTGGCTTGGCCTACGTTCCGTCTTCTCCGGGACTACTTGGTGCGGGAGCGGCCTTCCGTCCTGTTGCCCTTTATCCAGTAGGTAGGTAGCACAGACAGGCAGGGAGAATGGGGATAAGACGAGATATCTCCTAAACCGGTACGAAGTGTGTGTGGGAAGAGACACAATTGGAGGGTGTGGTTGGGGAAGAAAGGAGGGAAGTGTTATGTAAGCGTTGTTTTTTACGAACTAGGCTGAGATTTTGGGTTTCCTGGGGATCGATATCCGATCTCGACCTAAAACTCCGAACCGAACCACAAACTCCGATCGGCTGGGGTCTCTAGTTCAGGACTAGAGAAGATACAGAGTCTGCAAGTATCGCAAAAGACGAATAGCTTTTCTTAGAATACCGTGTATAGAAAGACCTCTTCACGGCAAGCTCATGTGTATCAGTATATTGCAATCGTATTCAATTATGTAAAGAAGAGTCGAAGCCATTTTATCTTAGTATCAGGAATATCGGATGTTTAATCTATGCTTTTCTCCAAAAGAAAGTTCTCTGTTGACTTATTTTACAATTTTCAGTGTCCAAGTCCATTGAGCATATGATCGCTGCTGCTCTGGCGAGGCATCTGATCCTTCACTCAAAGCATTTCTTGTCGTCGATCGATTGCTGTTAGACTTCTTTCCAGTTGATAGGTTTTCGTGAACTAGTGAAGAACCTTTCCAGGGCAATAGCGTCTACTCGAGTAATGCTGTCCAGGTATTGAAGTGTGGGATTGTCTTCGAATTTGGTTCCTCGTTGGAAGCCATAGTTCCCATATTCCAGTCTGATCGTGCGTTCCAACGCGGGATGATGTTCTTTGGAAGTGCAATTTTGAGCTTTCTGAAATGCAGATGCTTTTGCTCTTGGGAAAGTAAAGTTTTGAGATCTGCGGGCGTGAAAACATCGTCGAGGAATTGCTGCAGGATGAACTTCAAAAGGTCTTGCAGGACGCAAGTGTGGGTTGTAGATCAACTGCTGCCCATTACCAGAATATATAGCCCGTTTCCTCCTCAATCGTCGATGAAACACTGCAAGTCATCTGTCTACACGACAAGACTGCAGTTCGTTTCTCAAAGTCATTTATCCAAGAAAAGTCTCGTATCCTCGCCCATTCAGGAATACGCCCTTCTGGACCGCGAAACTCCTCCTCTAATTTCGCCACCCATTGCACCATCTTCCCTGCGCAAATGCTATCCCAAATACCTTCACGCCGCGGAAACTCAAGAAGCAACTTAACCGCCTTGCGACGTATCGTGTCGTCACGACTGTTCAGGCCAGCCATCCAGAGTGGCATGACAACCCTTGAATCAAAACAGTAGTTTGCTGGCTTGCTGTCTTTGGTCCAGGATCTATCTGTGAGAACTTCCTCTGTCAGTTGTACTGCCTCATGGAAGCTATCCCGATATTTCTCGTGAACAGCCTCGTCGTTTGAGAGGGCAGTGGATGCATATGCGTACGAAACCAGGAGCTGCAATTTCATCAGGCGTGCAAATCGGAGACTGTCACTCGGCGTTAGTGACTTCGCCACAATACAGGTACAAGGAGGCCACAAATTTGGATCTACAAATGGCAGATAGGGGGGAAAAGCGCGGCTTACCTGTGCCCTGTCAAAGGTGATTTCAATAGAGGGTCAAAAGCTTGGAACCACTTGAGACTGTCGGCTTGAAATTCTGCCTGCGCCACTAACAGTTCAGGGGGTACGGTCTGGGTCATAAACGATCGATGGGTTCGTAAGTACGACGAAAAAGTATAAGTACCTCGCCGGATGAGACTCTGGTGAAAGGTCGCGGCCTCCCGAAGGCTGGTAAAGACACTTGGCATCGCTTGAACTAAACTCCTGCCCTCCGCAGCAAGCAGCGCTCGACTCGGAGCCGAAAGTTCAAACCCGAAGAAGACGGTCTGTATAGCTAGTCGGCAGAATATTTGAATCAAGTCTGCTTCAATGACGCTCGGTTCTGGTGATAGACGTGCATTGTTCAAGCTGCCGTGTTGGGCTTTCCATTCCAAGATGAGCGCAATTGCAGCTTGAACTTGTCCAACAGCTAATTTAAGATTTCCATTCCATGCCTCGAAACATACAATCAGCAAGCAACCTAATAATGTTGTTCTGAGGCTGTTTTGAGCACTGGAAGCCTCTTTTTTCATGTGACTGACCGCCTCTGAATACTGCTTCAAGGCGGCATCATGGTGCCGATTCGCCTGCGTCCTCCATTCCATATCATCGGGAGACCATCTTGAGAGCTGCGGGGTGGATGAATTTGTTTTGTCCAAAGCACCAATGGCGATAATAGCGTGCCTGATGGAAGAGGTGGCATGGCACAGCTGGAGCAGTGTCCGGCGTGTAGATCCAGTATCCAAGCCAGGCAGTATCTCAAGACTGGTGCTACTACAAAATATATCGAAATACCTATGCTCTTCTTCGTTGGCAAAGTACGAGACCTTCACCGCTCGTGGGAGTAGTGCTCTTGGTGCAGCTTTCTTCGGTCGTGCTATGATGTTTCGATCCGGGTACCCATCACAGGACACGCCGAAGGTCTTGCACCTCTGGCAAAAAGGTCTCTCTTCGTCACACTTGACTCGACGGATTCTAGACGTCATTCGTGGTAAGTAGAACGTTATACCAGTTGAGAGGGAGGCAGGGGTCCACAGTCGCTTACTTGCAGGTGGTACATCCTTTCCTGGACTTTGGAGCTGATTTTCTTGTCCTCCCACGGTTCTCCATATCCCACACAGGCAAATCTTGACATTTGTAATGTTATCTTTGTCATCTGGTGTGCTCGCTTGCGGTTGAAAGGCAATCTATATCTTCTGGGGATGTCAGGCCAAGGGGGGCTATGCACCTGTGTGGCGTCTCACATCATCTCTCAAATTAGCCTCAATGTAACGAGAATAGAGCACGTGATAGGGAAAAAAGAGTTTGGGTTTTGAGAACTGGACATCATGACCATAAGTAAATCAATGTTGTCTCCAGCGGTAGTCTGGTAAGTCGGTTTCAGGATCTTCGACAAGGAGTATTATTTGTGTCTGTGTATGATGCTGTATCCTTTGAAAAGGCATTCTCCTATAGGTCAAATCATTGACATTCCTGGACAATATTTTGGGTGAGGTGTATCGTCTCATTATATATAATATTTGTGAATCTCAGTTGAGGCATTGACGAACAGTGCTAAAGTGATGCCGTTGAGTTTAAGGGAAGAGACTCGCTAAGCTAAAACGCTTGTCACTTGTCAATAGTGGATAACTCAACCCATATTGAACTGAAACACCTGGACTTACAGTGAGTGTGGAGGCTCGTTCTTCGTTCTATGGGTAAACTAGCTATACAAATCTTCAGCGTATCCCGTGGGTGAATGTGGTGACAAAGTTGATAGCGGACAGATCCGCTGTGTTTCGGGTACAAAGCTTTGTGAAAATACAGGGCGTACACGCCTATTGTGGGCGCTGGAGCAGGGGAACTTTTACCCCGCACTTAACTGAAGCCACTGAACTTAGAGGCTTAGAATTCCATGTCAGGGCTGCGAAAATTATTTTACTGGTCTTGCAATTGCCAAAGAAAAGGGGTCACACAAACGAAAGAATAGCGTCGCTATGTTAATATTTTTCGACAGCCTTCTGGAAACTGAAAGCAAGTTCTTCTTTGTTTACATTGGAGACGCGGGTAATGACGAGGTACAATCATATATTGCTACCCCACTTACTCTGTCCTTTTGGTTTTCTTTTAGAACGTTTACTGCTATGTAATAGGCTTATAGTTTTCTAGTGCAGGTAGATCTAGGGCACGATAATACTGGCATAGCCGTCGTGTGTTACTCTGATAAGTTCGACCCCTGGAGTCTCCCACACTTTTCTTATCGCTTAGATGATATTCATTTGCTGGAACGGCATGATGCATATGCACATACAGAAGAATCAGACTGGATGAGCCGCTCAGAGCCAATACCCTTACAAGGTTTCAAGTACCAGCTTATCGTCATCTGCACATTATATGAAGCTCGTGTTACTGTATGGTAGCGAAGCCTCAGCTGTGTTGGAATATTGGCAAGATGGGCGCTTAACCTCAAGGCATCTTTGTACCTCAGAATTTGGATTAAATTTGGATCCTTGAAAATTCATCAGGGCAGTAATTGATCACATCCAACTACTTTCTCCCTTACCTGGCCATTGTCTGGGCTCATTCTTTTGCGAAAGTAGCGATATTTGACCTCGAATTTACCGGCCGTACTAAGATGGCAGACCCATTCTCAATCGTCGGCTCGGCAGCTGCCATCCTCCAATTCTCCGAGTTTGCTGGCAAAGTTATATATACAGCCTGCGATCTCTACAGCTCCGTCTCCGGCCATACAAGGACTAATGAAGGAACCGAGAAAGTCACCCTCACGCTCCAGGATCTACTTTGTAGCCTCCAAACTCAGCATGGCTCAGGTCATCCCGCTGGCCAGGATGTAGCCTTCGCCGAGCTTATTAATCGCTGCCGATTTCTGGGGAATAAGCTACTACTAATCTTGAAGAAGATACGAACAAGGAAGGGCCATTCTCTCCGGGAGAGCTTGAAATCTGGCATGATGACTGTTTGGAAGAAGAGTGAAATGGATGACTTGAGGAGAGAGCTCGAGTCATGTTCGAATCAGCTTGGACTACATCTGGTAGCCATTTTCAGGTATTGTGAAGATCTTCATGCTTGAGAGCCTTTCTGACTATAGCACAGATCTGAAGCGGGGCAGAAGTTAGAGGAGCTCCTAGCCGCAAACTCGTCACAAAAGCTGGAGCTTGCTTTGCTTCGTCAGGCACTGGTAAAGATTGAGCTTGACCAGAAGCTAGCTGTTGAATCACTGGTATTTCTGCGAGAAGTTTTCAGTCCTTCGGATCCAGTTTTGAAGCGCATGAATCAGGAACGAATCTTGAAAAGCCTGGCTTTCCAAGGCATGGGGCGCCGCTATGAGGAGGTCTCGTCAAGTACTACCGGCACGTTCAACTGGATTCTTCAAGATCTGAAAATACCAGAGTCGCATCCCGACCTGAAGATCTGTTTCAAGGAGTGGCTTATCAAAGGCACAGGGGTTTATCATATTGCTGGCAAACCGGGTGCTGGAAAGTCGACACTTATGAAGTTCATTGTTGAACACGAAAATACCCGAAAGTACCTTCAAGAATGGGCCAATGGTCGAGCATTAATCACTGCCAGCGTCTTTTTCTGGAAGCCCGGCACGCGTCTTCAGAAGAGCCTCGAAGGCCTCATTCGGTCGTTGGTACATGCAATCCTCAGGGCAGTGCCTGACATGATGCCAACGGTATTTCCTCAATATTGGAACCCACGCGGAGAATTATTTTGGGATTCTCACACATCCACTGACATTGAAATATCTCTTCGCAAGGTTTTGGAAGCATTTGAGACACTTGTTAGTGATGTGGCTATCATGAAGGACCAATGCTTCTGTTTCTTCATCGATGGCTTGGACGAGTTCGAAGACCCTGACAATCATCATACGAATTTAGTTAAGCGGTTACTTTCTTGGACTTCTGGCAATCCCGCGAACATTAAGATCTGCGTATCGAGTAGGGAAGAGAACTCTTTCGTGAACAACTTGCCCTTAGATCAACGGCTAAGACTTCATCTTTTCACCAAAAGTGACATGAAGATGTTTGTCGATAATACACTAAGTCAATACGACAACTTCCGCGCAAATGACCCCGAAGACTGTGCAAGATTTGTTGAGGCAGTTGCCACCAAAGCAGAAGGAGTATTTCTATGGACCAAGTTGGTCCTACGCAGGCTTGGAGATGATCTGGAAATTAGTGGGTCACTGAAAGCCACTCACAGAACCCTCCGACACATCCCAGAAGAATTAGAGAGACTATTCTTGGAGTTACTCACTTCAATTGACCAAAGCGACCAGAAGGAAGCGTGGACAGTCTTAGCGGCTGTCATGGCCACCACCCACGACCGCAAGGATCCCAATTTGTCTCTTTTAGACTACTATTTTGTGAAAGACTACCTTGAAGATGACAAGTTTGCAGAGGCTCTGCCAATCCTGCCTCTGCAGAAGTCTGAGATCATTAGCCGGCAAAAGCACACTGCACTACATCTCAATCGACTCCTGAAAGGCATCCTAGAGGTTGACGACAAATACAAACCGCCTTGGCAGCGTTGGGGAGATATCAGTTTGGTCCAAAACTATGGTATGACGATAAATGAGAGTAGTTTATTTTCCTTCCAAGGATCAGTACAGCTCACGCATCGATCAATCTACGAGTTCTTGAAAACAGACTGCCCCAAGGAGACTGAGACATACATCGCCAACCTTGATGTCTACTCGCTTCTTTTGCAGTGCATCACTGCACACGCGAAGTCGATCAAAGTTGACTTATTTGCATTGAACATGATAACAAGCTTTATCATCAAACCCTATTTGAAGTGGCTTCAGCATCCAAGTCTTGACAAGCATATCGAGCAATTGGCTATCTTCGATGATCTTCTGATGAGACTGCAATATCACGGTGACATCGCTGGAGGAGAGTGTCAACAACATAATTGTGAAATCGCGGGAGGAGAGTGTCAACAACATGATTTTGAAATCGTGGGAGGAGAGTGTCAACAACGTAATTATGTGAATTTATGGCTGTCAATCGATGGAATCAACAAAAGAGTCACGACATTCGCATCTGTACTAGCATATTCGTTTACCATGGGAGTTTCAAACTATGTGGCATGGCTACGAAAGCACCGGGAACCGTTCTTAACTCTGGACCAAAATCGGGCTGAGCTTTGCAATCATCTATTCATTAATATAGATATCGATTGTGAGGCATCCAGCAAATTTGTCCAGTCACTTGTGAATGATGGAATCATCACTAGGGAGCTACTTGCACTGCAAAGCGATAATGGACCCCTTGGTTGGGAAACCCCTTGGCAGGTCTTCGTTACCCGACTATGCTTTTGTCTTATTGAGGCGTGCCGCGTCAGTCAAGACCTTTGGGTGATAGTCTTAGAAGCTTTCTTATTGATACAGGTCGACACCGCTATAATCACAATAGATGTCTCCAAAGATCCAAATCCAACCGCAGATCGCTTGATAGTTACAGTAAGAAATACACTTACTTTGAAAGAGTCTTGGAGCGACTATGCCTTCAAAGATGTCCACAACAGTCTTAAGCCAATTATGTCCCTTCGCGAGGTCATCGAGTGGCGGAACCCAAGCAACTGCGTGGATCTTCTCAGACTCATAGATTGGAATCTGGCTCTACAAGACACGAAACCCTTGCCCGGAGGATGGATCGACTAGATCATCGAGGTGGCAGCAGGCACTTCTAGGGCTGGTCAGCTACACTGAAAGAATGGCTTACTTATGGAGAGTTGAGCCTTGGTAGATATCAGAGGTTCTCAGAAACATTCTAGGAAACTTCTAGGATGGTAAAATCTGTGGGCTACTGGATTGGTAAGTTCAAATTCGGACAAGCCAACCATAGCCATTTCAAGCAAAGCTAAACTAGTTGAGCTCATCGAGGACGTTGAGCTTTCATATCTGTAATGATATTCGTTGCACTTGGCAACTGGGAGGAGGACGTACTGTTGTTGTGATTTCGCGGCAAGAGCTGAAGAGTGTCAAACTTGGCGACAAGCTTCAGCCAGCTCTTGCTACAGATGTGATCAGGGGCAGGTTTTTGACAACTTGAAATTCTGTGATGACAACACACTATTCTAAGTTCTTCTTCCATTGACGGTTCTGCGGGATATACATGGGCTATAAAGGTCTTGTGGTTGAGGTTTCGACGGGTTTTGAAGAGTGCATCGATGCTAGAGAACCGAGATTTCCCAAAATATGTACCTAGGCACGCTGTTATTGCAAAATGAATGGGCGCATGAGTCACGAATCCTTGAAGTCTACAACAGAATCGACCATAAGCAGTGGCTGCTAGCTTGATGTGTCCCTACTCAGTGGACTTGGAGGTCATGGAAATGAATTGTTGTTCTCGCTTAACACAAAATATTGCAAACGCAGCAGGTGGCGTGGATTTTCCCGTCTTCGTACCATACATTGACTTTCCGGATTGATTTAGAGAAGCCAATGGCTGTGACGCGAAGTTAGCTGGCAGTGTATCAAATTGTGTGAAGAATCATTTTTACAAGTATTTCCGGTAGGAGAACTGAAGTTACGGGTCTAACTAGTTGCTGAACGGAACGGGCTAAACTAAACGGAGGTGGTGCCAGTCGTCACCGCTTTGAGAGCGCAACGCTAGCCAATCTTGGACAAGAGGCATAAGTAACATCACTTCATCAGCGAGAGGAACGATGACAGGACTTTTTGTCTCCTTGAATAGTGATATTTTTGAGGTGCCAATTGCAAAAGAGAAACAGACTTCTCTATCACAAGCACGCCACAGTCAGAAATAGCCAATTGTAAATAACAGCATTTATCAAATGGTCTACCAAGGCCCGTCGCGGGGTTGCAATTCATGTAGGAAGAGGCGGAAAAAGGTCCGAGCCACTTCATGCTCCGTCTTACTCTTCAAAATCATCCATCCAGTTGACAAAAGATGTTGGGACTGACTAATACTATGGCAATAGTGCGACGAGACGCGTCCGGTATGTCCATTTCGTGCCAGTGACTCGATTGGAGGCTGGCTTTGTCAGGACTAACAGCTCACAAAGGCATGCATGAGATGCTTGAATGCTAAGCGTCAATGTGGCGGCTATGAGGATGAAGTAATTGGTCGCCAGCCTTATGGAGTGCCAAGCACAGTTCAAGTTAGTGGGATGTCAACGGTTGAAGCGATGGAGTCCTATCCGCCTGGAGAGGCTTGGGTTACTTGAGTACACACTTACTGATGAAAGATGCAGGGATCTCCTTCGGTATCCACGGCACGAAAGTGTACGCTTCCAAAACGTCTACCAATCCCAGGAACCGATATAATCCCAGAAGATACCATACCGACGGAGGTGACAATGGACGAGAGTAATGCGCTCGCCTTGAGAGCATTCTACCATGATTTTTGCATTATTCCCACTAACATCAACCTTTCTCGCGGGTATCTAGCCGGCTTAGAGACGATGGTTAATCGCTTGGGACCAAAGTCGGATCTTGCGAAAGTCTGTCAAGGTTAGTAAATGCACTTTGTCATAAAAGCTCCCTCTACGTGCAGAACTTCGAAGTTGTCCCTACTGCCTCAAATCCTGCCAAATACTTATAAATTCAAGCTGTTGCATGTGCTAGTCATGGCAAGCCCGAACGAAGGCCACAGATTGTTCATCGAGCTGAAACATCATATCATCATCTGCTCGGATCTCTAGCCAAGAAGTTGGAAAATCCAAGTACCGAAAGGTTCGCAGAGACAAGGCTGCTGGCTATGTTATTAGGTCTTTATCAGGTAGCTTATCATCGTTTTTGCTGAACTACTGATGCGATGGAAGGCTGACCTGAGTTCAGATAGTTATGGCAAATGAAAAGGACTTTGGTGTTCATGAAGTTCACGCCAGCGGTTTAGCAACACTGATGAAAATTGATAACTCTCCTCTAAACCTTTTAGAGCCACTTCTGGCTAGAAAAAGCTTGGCGACATCAGGGGCCTCACAGGTAAGTGAAGTTCTCGCTATGACGTCTTGTATCTCAACGAAGGATGTCTCCTCACAACACACGTAGGACCCCGGGATATTCTCAATTCCATCCTTGAATGAGACCAGCCCATCACTGGATGAACTCCTCCGCAGCTTGACTGTTTTGTGGGAAAAGACGAAATGGTCGACCGATTACCAGGACACCAGTATTTTTGGAGCCGAATGTGCGGAACTTGATCGAGCTTTTGCGAAATGGGAAGCAGACCGGGCCTCAGACTTTCGACCAACAGAAATTGGCAAGGTAATCTACGCAGCTTCACAACATATTACGGCAGGTTACTGGCCTGGGAGACTGGACACATATTTCGATCTCTACGTGGCTGCCATTTGGAACATCTTTCGCACAGCAAGACTGCTTTCCCTTGCTATTGCACTTACCACACCTGATGGCAATGAGAACTCGATTCAATACATCGATATTGCCAATAATATCGTGGAGGATATCTTTGCCTCTGTTCCTTATCACCTTGCAGATAATCTGCCTGTGTTTCTCGAAGGGACAGAACGGAAACTGCCCATTGATCCTGGGCGGACACTCGGAGGCTTGCTTCTGATGCATCCGCTGTATGCTTTTTCGAAAATAGACTTTCTGCCTGATAGGACGAAAGACTATGCAAGGGAATGCCTTCGGTGGATTGGTGAGGAAATGGGTATCGGACAGGCTGGTTTGATGTCAAATGTCAGTGATTCCCCTGTTCGATTCAACTGGCGATTCTGTCGATCTACAGATACTGACCTCTCTCAAAAGTCCGAAATGAATAGAAAATATTTGGAGAGCGGTTGTATGATCATTTGGGCTGGATTCCTTGGGTGAATCAAGTGAGGATGAAAACCATGTAAATCGAAGAAATGTAAGGTTACATATCCAAAGGGTGCCTTTATCTTTAGCAATATTGACATGAAGCATAGAATTCTGTTTCATCTATTGGGAGAATGGGAGTTTTTGGGGATCATCCTGCAGCGGCGAGTATGGCAGAATCTGTACTATTTACTTGACAGAAGCTCGGGACCGTAGACATAGGTCGGGCTAACGCGAGACTCTCGTAATCGACCTTTTGTCGCTGTCCTCGATCCGTACTATACCAGCCTTCACACTGTACAATCTTACGTACACCAATCATGTTGGAAATTGGATATCATGCAAGAATACACCCTGACATTGATATCACAAACGGGGACTCATCACACTCATAGCTCCACCTGGTGCTAACTCCATTGTCATTGCTCGAGTACAAGACACGCGAAATCATAATAATATGTCGGGTTCAAAGTTGAGGCCACTCCCACCATTTCTACTTGTCCATTTTCGGTTCGTCTTGCGCGCACTCGCCACAGAACATCAGAAGGACGGATGTATCTTTGGACGCAATCGATATCTCCAGGTTAGAAGGTGTGTATAGAGAACAGGTATTCTATCGGAAGTATCGCTCATCGGCCCATTCAAATCTATGTTTTCATTTCAAAGAGACTTGTTCCTCGAAACCTCATCACAACCCACTTCCCTTCTTCACTTCGACTCTTCGCATCCAAAGAGGCACTTGTCAACAGACCTGTCCAAAACATTTGCAACTTCTCAAGAAGCACACAACACAAACATGCCAACCAACTTGCCGCGTGGCTCACAGAAGCCAAATCCATCCCTTTGACCATTAAATCCGCACCCCTCAAAGTCGGTGATCGAGTTCTCGGCATGACGAATGGTTTTGATGCTGGTATAAATGAAGTGAAAGGGTTTTAGGAGTACACGGTATTGAATATTGATGCTACGAGCGAAGCTCCGGAAGGTATGCCTTTCGAGAATGCAGTTCCTCCTCTCGCTTTAGCCACTGCTTCGTCAGGACTTTCAACCCGGACATTCTCAATCTGGACTTGCCGACTGAACCTGCGCGGAATTCGAGGGGTAAGACACTTCTTGTCTGGGGTGGTGCTTGGAGTATGAGGAGTTATTTGTGCAGATACTTCTTGGTTGCCGCCGGTTTCTTCTCAATGATGTTAAGGTGAGATGATGGAAACCCCACTTGTCGACAAAGTTTTGGAGTCAGTAGAATCTATCCGTGATCGAATAGAGGGAGCTTAGAAGGTCGAGGGAGTTGTCAGAAGAGCTTGCAGGGTATGGAGGCAGACTCGAATCCCGAATAAAGATAATCAAAAGACCATTATCCTCGCTCCGCTGGAAATATCGTTCAGGCTCGAAGCTGGAGTCTACGCCTTTCTGCTCCCACCCCAGTCCAGCTATACCTCGATGATGGCTGGCCTCGACTGGGTAGAGTCTAGCCTGTTTTATATTTCCCAGACCTTCCCTCTGACACCCATCCCTGCTTTTTCATGGCCTTGAAGCCCAGTTTCTGGTACTTGACAGAGAGTGCGATTTTCAGCCCATTCTCGGTGCGGGTTCCACGGCTCTTCCATCTGTCTCACGGGCTTCTTGCCCATCTCCATCCTGTTCCCATCTCCAGATTAGAATCTTGCGAGCTTGTACGTCCGCGCAGGTCTGACAGTCCTTGGTATGGCAGGGGTCGGGATGATTGAAGGCCAGACGATCTCGGCTCTCAACATTTGGCTCGAGACGCACCTTCCACCGAACCACCTTTTCGCAGCCTGGGTAATTTCTGGATAGGGTTCCAGGTGTCGTTGAAGCCATGCATGTCCCCATATTACATCTTCATCGAAGCCTCCCATGCTTCATCGACCTCCTCTGTCCAACGAGGGTAGCCAACGTCTACTGTAGCCTCTCCTGAGAGAAATTCGCGACAAAATTGGCGCTTTCAGCGCTCGCTCGCACTCATCTGTGCAAGCCATTTTCCTTCGTCGACGTCCAGAGCGGGCGGGAATCGGTCTTGGCAGCGTTGGTAGATTGGAACACGTAGAGATTCTCGAATCTGGCATTGACGGCCTCTATTGTAGTGTGTGGGGTGGCTCAGCGAGCATTAATCGCGAAGAATTTTGAGGTTATGCGGTTGGAATATTCGACCGACGTGTTTTTGAGTATTTGTTATTTTCGCAGGAGTAAGAGCGTGTTGCGGGAGCAAGTCAATTTTGTTTTGTATGGACGATTAAGCGAGGATGGAAATTTGTAGTGTCATCGACACAAGAACAATACCGCGAACTCTTCGATGTCCACGATGCTTTTTGGCCTAAAGATCACAGTTAAAGACTACAACTCTAGGATGTTTACAAAAATTGGGCCAATAAAGATCCCACGTTCCTCGCCACACTTCTCAGATCTGTTGCTTGAGTTACCAACCTCGAGAGTCCACTTTGACGTGTCTTGAAAACCATCAAGACTTGCTGAATCTCTCAACAGTCAGTGTAATGATCTAAGGTATGACTTCTCTTGGCATGAAATTATCTTTAAGATTCTCGCTCACTGTCATAATAGAGTTGTAAAGAACAGAGATCGACCTTCTCAGGTCTACTTACATCTTATGCCTCCGGCAATGGTACTTTTCTGGTGTACGGTCCACCGGAACAGCAGAAATAAAGGAAATAAAAAGAGGTCCTCATTGATCTTCTCAGACCAGACCTTCGTGTACAGTCCATCGGAATAGCCAAAGAAAAAGAAACCCATTAAGAGGTTTTCAATTATTTTCCCAGATCAGGCCTTCATCCCATCACTTGTCACCACCGCCTACTAAGCTTCCTCTCCTAACCAAGGCTCGCGAAGAGGCTTGCCTCTTATTGTAAAATCATCCCAGAACACATTGTCCCTATAAACGTTATCCATCAACGTTGTCCATGTCAGGATCATGGTCGCGACGCGCAACAACTCTTGTCTTTTTGCCGAAGGCTTCCGCAGCTGGCAGCTTCTTGTAGTCAAGCTTGAGACCTCTAGCAACACCTTGTGTCGATATGGCCTTTATAGTCTCTTTGATGACTTCCCAATCTTGGAAAGGGATTTTTTGATTGGCCTCCATCTGTACAGCGTAGCAGTACACTGTTGCACAAGCTGTTGCGACCAAGGTAACACACCAGATGCGGCAGCTTTTGAGAAAAGCCTTTTCGGTTTCGTTGTCCCCCGCTTCTGGATGGAAGATAGTGTCAAGACATATGGCTTTTCCCCAGGGCTTTTGCAGGCAATGGTAAAGTCTCGTAACCGAATCTTCCAATAGCTTTTGGCGGAACCACAGAGCGAGCTGCTGGGTGTTGTGAGAGCTTATTGCGTTCAGGAATTCAGTTTCCTTTCGGAACTGCAAGAACATGTCACTGTGTTCAGTTAGTTGATGTTTTCGAAACATGGGTACACCATACTTACAGTACAAATGGAAGGATCACTTGCTTTAGCCAAGTATCCACAAGTCTTTTGACGTGGTTCTGCAACTGACGACGACCCTCGTGATGCGCAAGAGTGTCACCACCTACTTGCTTCACAGACAAGTGAAGGGTGTAGTCGTAGTTCTGCTTTGAACAGCTGGCCTTTGACAAATACCGTAGCTGTGGCCAAATACAGAGATGCAATTGAGACCTTGGGAGTTCCATTTGGTGTCATGCTGATTTGGCTATGGAGCCATTGTATCGGCTGATTGAAAGGAAAATGGTCTTGTGCAACTGATTCCCGGTCGAACCAGGCTGACATCTCCACATACGGAGGAATCGGTGCGGCGGCATCCTGCAGTGTATTAGAAGATGACTCTATCGCATCAACAGGCAAGAGAGGATAAGGCACTTACGCATTTGTGAAGGAGAGATCTTGGATAGTTTTTCGGCTTCATGTTGGTCTTGGTCTGCCAGGGAAAGGAATATAATTGCTTTGTACAGTACTCGTCGGTTCTCTCCAGGTCTGCGGCAAGCTTGTAGAACAGTGGGCGGCGCTTTGGGCGGACCAAAGTCGTCCTCATGCCCCTCATACCCTGCTCTGGCGCATTTGGGTCTCGTCTTCGTTCTAAATGGTCTGCTGACCAGATAGAGAATCAAGATGACCGGAATAACCAGCCAGATCATGAGTAAGATTTCAAGGAAGTCTATGATTGAGGATGGTTTGGTGTGTTGTTCTGTGTGGAGGAGGAGGAGGAGTTGGCTGATCTTGAAAGTTGAGTTGAGGTGAGGGATTGATCTTTATGGCGATGCTTGGTTGCAAGGTCCAAATATCAAAAGAACTTTGTATTTTCTTGGCCTAACTGTGCGGAATCGACCTCATACAGCTAAGTGGGGCAGGTAAACAGATTGGCGATCAACAAATTCACTGGAACGCTCGGTCTCCACGCTCAGCTTCGTGCGAAAATTGGACATTAAGGAACAAGAAAGGTACGTGAGCTTTACCCGGCCAATCTGCAATCCAGTCCAGATCGCCACAATCAAACTTCTAATATCCATTTCGGAGCAAGGGACGCCAGACATACTACACGCAACGCTCGTAAGGCCAACGCGGGCATTCAGGTGATTCTGTTCCAAGCCGGTCAGCAGCGAGTGCTTCAAGCCAACGACAACAAATACTTTAAATCGGGGGTCAAATGCCTCGTCAGAGTAGCAGCGATTGTATACTCAATGGCGCTAGACACCGAAAATGGTGAAACAAGTCAACAGAGAATCATTTCTAAGAACAAAGCATGGTTTGGGTTGGCAGGAATCTGTCCGACATCCCTAATGTTCGACAGATTCGCTTGGAGGGCAGCTTTGGCACTGGCAAGTGCTCCAAGGTCATTAAATATCGTGATCAGGACATTTCGGCAATTTGCAAGAACGATAAAGAGTTGTAGAAAGGCATATATGACTTCATCTGCGCTGTGAAGGATTCAAACTACTTTACCAGACAAGCTTCCGCATAACCGACGGCGCAAAATCCAGCATAACCAGCTGTCGGCTTCGCAGAGTGGAAAGGCTCTCAGTCGCCGCAGGATCGGAAGACACGAGGGAGAAGTGAGAGGGGCGCAGGAAATCAGACTTTGAGTTGACGGAAGAGGAGTTAGCACGAAGAATAAAGCGGAGGAAAGAGAGAGTTTCCGTGGCGGCGTTGAGCGGTGGGGGATGTTTTCAAAGGGAAGCTGAACAAAGAGTTGCATTCCAGCGGGACACTACTAAGGCAGTTGATCCTTCGTAACTCAACCAAGTGAGCCTTTGAGCCTGTCTGCAGGTAGCGAAATAGTCATAACTCCAATCATCAGTAATCATTTTTTATCGTCCGCTACTCCGATGCAGCCAGTGTGTAAGAGATACCCATACCTTAAACAGCCGCTCACAGGCCTACCCGCTTATCTCTCTACTCATTTTTCAGAGAACATCCACTGAACTTTGCTTCCATCCGGCATTTCTATCTCGAAGTCGGGTTTTCATCTATGATCTCTAGCATACAACATTCACGACCCGTATATCATGTTTCGCACTTTAGCTGAATGCAAATGAAGAACGAAGGGAGTAGAAAAAGTTCGATAGTAGTGGGCAGTGGCTGAATGTCGTTGGAAAGGACGAGTACATTAAATCCTACTAACCAGAGATCTCAATGGAAGAAACCAATCATACCAACATTTCCTAGTGCACCCTCCATTACAATGTCCGCCATCTGGCTCCCCAACAGCTCTTTCCCGATTACGAGTACTACCTACAAGAGTGCCAGTCCATCTACCTACCTACATTCTACCTATAGGAAATCCACTGCCAGGTCTGGCTATTTTAGCCCCACTCTGCTAGCGAGCCTACCTATCAACACCATTCCTTCAAGGCTTCAAATGCCCGTGGAACCCTCCTGCAACTGCCCCACCATGATAAAGATGGTTGATTTAATTGGCTCGCTTGTACGCGATGCCACACGCTGAGAATTTCATAATCGTTCATAAATTAGGATACGCAATTTTCGTCAACTCAATCATGAGGCCTGTTAGTTCAGTGGTAGAATTCTTGCTTTGGGTAAACCATCATCACTTGATGATGGTCCAAATTGTAAGAGGTCTCCGGTTCGATCCGTAAGTTCACATCGCGTCGCTCCACAGCCTCCAACGTTAACTAACGCTTCACAGCGGAATAGGCCCCACGTGATACAACTATTTTTTTGGCCCTCTTTGGGGGAAAGACCCAAATCCTATCTATCTACTGCGTCTCACTCAGTATTTATATACCAGTGCAAAAAATCTACCTCATCATTTTCGGCTACATTCTTTCTTTTCTGCTTGACATTTTTTTTTTTTCTTTTTCGGAAATCATAGCACTGTCCGGAGCTGAAGGTGTGTCTTGTAGCATTCCCTTACGCAAATTTACGCATTTCTCTTCCTCCATCCACTCCGTTGCCGATATTAGACTCGTCCTGTCTCTCCTCTTCTCTCTGTCTGTTACAAAAAAGTCAATGCATACTTGTTGACATTTCTGCTCTGGCCTAGGCACACGACGATCCAACTAACCACATAATTTCACGACAAAGTACTTAAATCAAGGAGCCTCGTCAGATTGTTTCATTTCCACTTCACCATGAGATCCTTCTTTGGCGACCATTTCCTCTGAGTTCCCCAAAGCTACAGAAGTTGTTACGAAAGCTGAGGACGAGGTCGCACATGCATTTGTTCAAGGCGTCAGAGCTTTCATCTTCTGGGCCCTTTTCATCATCAAAGTTCTTCCATTGCAACTGTCGATGGAATGGGAGTCAGGCACTGGGATTTGAAAGCGAAAGCACAAAGGGGTGAGTAAGCCCGAGGGCGATAATTGATAGCTGACCTGACATCAAAACGGCTGTTACAAGTACGATAGCATAGTATACAATTTATGCTCAAGGCTCGCAAACTCCTGAATGCTCTGGCCGCTCCACTCCGTCCACCCTGAGCCTAGTTCCATTGTTCTGAACATGCAGAGCAAACGCCCAGAAATTTCAACCCTCCACTTTCGGTAGCATCATCCTCAAGAAAGTGCCAGCAGCGTTTCTTTTTCCCTAAAGCGACGGCATTCAGAATGATATATCTCCGCGAAAAAGAAAAAGAATGAAGCTAGAGTTCTGGGAATACTGTAGGAAGCAAAACACTCGTAAGCACAGTCCCGGTTCTCAGAGACCAAGGTCCGTGTGCCAAGATCCCCCCGCCTCTTGTCCCTCATTCCAATTGATACTCCTTCACTGTAGACCCCCTTCTGCCGAACTACAGTCTCCAAACATACTTTGCAGGTGCCCTTCACATCGAGCATAGCTTGCATAGATGTTGGCGACATCGAGATTGTCCCGGGGCGAACGTTCCAAGAATTGAAAAATGCAGCAACCATGCTACCATGCACGAATAGTACGAACTCTGCGAAGACTTCCCCCAGGCCAACCATATACTCTGAAGGGTCGCGATTGTTGTCCGAGACATGGAATTGTGTCAACCCAGGATCGAGCCTTTTCTTCTCGATGTGCGGTGTGTCGATATCTTGAAAACCTAGGTCGAGTCAGCATCTCCACACGACTCTCGGAACGAATCAAGAAAGCTCACCGAAGCCTGCCTTTAGCAAAGATACAAGAAATTCCATGGTAGATAAGAAGAACGCCGGTTCAGCCACAGAACCATTGGCAATAGCTATGATGGCAAGCAGCTGATTCCATACTTGGTCAAGCTCAACTTGAGGATGTTTTGCTCTGGTAGATGTTCTCTCTTTCAGTATTTGCAGCAATGCAGAGGCATGGAAGAGGTTATCGTGGAGAAGCACTCTTGTAGGTAAGAAGAGAGTCCGAAGGCGGGTCGCCTGGTTTCGAGACTGGCGGACACGAATTCGAGCTTGGCCTGCGTTTGCACTCTTGAGGTCATTGTTCGTCCTCTCGAACATGAATGTTTGATACATAGAAGTGTGGACAACATGTGGGTGTCTTGATTTGATGTTTTTGAACTCCTGGAATGTCTTTTGGAACTCTTCTTGGTTGATACTGGCGAATATTCGATCCATGTGTGAGCAAAGTGCTTTCTCACGTTCGACCAGGAATGCGTTCTTGGGTAATTCCTCTTGCCCCAAGCTGGTCGTGAGTTGCGTCTGCAACTGATTTGCACAGGCAGTTCCGTTCCATACCTTGCTAAGTTGCATAAAGCTTTGCAACCGCAGGGTGGTATCAGTCTCCAAAGGCGTGGTTGCCAGCATTATCCTACACTCAAGCTCTGCTTCCTGGAGAAGATACAGTTTCTTTAGCACATTCTGATCCGCAGCTTGCAGTCCTGAATGGTACGACCTTGCTATCTCACGACGGGACTGACGGCATCTTAGTTCGACATCTTGGAGTAGTCGCCGAAGCTCGTGGTAGGCAAAGCAGTCAGACCGGGCGGCAATCCACTCCGACGTATCAGGCAAGTGGTGTGCCGCATTATCGATTGACCACCATTCCGAGATATCCTCTCCGGCTGGTTTTGACGTGGACCTTCTTCTCTTTCGTCTTCTTAGCGTTGGTGGGCTTGAGTCGGAGTCATCGGTGATGCTACGTCTTGACATGCTTGGATTTCGAGAAGTGAAGAAAGAGTTTGGAGCAACTTTTTGGAAGAAAATCTGGAGTTACGATTGGAGTTATGCTACGAGTGCGATCGTTCGATCAAAGATAGAAGGTTCTATCTCATGCCTGTTCAGTGTTAGCGTCAAATCGGTTCGTAGCAGTTAACAAACACAGCCATCAATTCGCGTTTCAAAGGGGTTAGCCTTAGTTCAAGAGAAAACGATCATTGATACGTATACCGATAACGCCTTATGGAACACTCTCGATTTCTCTCTTGACGCTTCTCCAACACTCACAGCAGTCTGGTAGCTCTTTGTCTTTCGTTCAGACCAGATTTTTTGAAGTGGCTATAGAAGCAGGACGTTTCCACAGTTTTTCACTCCAAGACACAGGTTGCGCGAACCAGCTGCGATTTGATCACCGAAAAAATCCCCCACTCAGCGACGATGTCGACACCCGACGAAGGAAAAGTTCGGACTAAAGGGAGTCCTCTAAGCTTCGTTCCTCGAAATATCGAACCATTCAAGGAGGAGATCCTCGAGCTTGCGCAAAAGGCAAAAACTGGCTACTTCATCGCGAAACATTTGAAAGAGAAGTATGACTTCACAGTATCGCCCCAGACGATAGGCCGCCGACTGGAGAATTGGGGTCACGTCGAGGCGAAGAAGGAGAATGGCCTCACGGGTTTTAAAAAAGACCTGGATCCCTGGAAGAAAGAAATATGCGCATGGGTGGACATTGGACTCTCAACGAAGGACATACTGAGCAAGTTAGTGTTGGAGTGTAACATTCGTACGAAAAAAGTCACGATCGAAAAGGCAATTTCTCGTTGGAACGAGGAATCCGAATCTCGAATCACCAGCTGGCGGACAATGCGGAGCGTCCGGTCAACAAGGATACTTGAGCAGCCTTCTGCTGCTGTGAACTTGCTTCTCCCAGCTGAGCTTGCTGCATTGAAAGAAGCCATCGTTGGGGAGTATGCTTCGGTCCCTCTCCACCTTCCTGATCCAACCTTCGACTGGATAGACCGCTTGACAGATGCAGCTTGCTATGACGAAACAATCCAAGTGATCTGTATCAAGGAATGGAAACAGCCTGGTCACCACTGGTCCAACGAGCGAGAATTCGATCCAACATGGGTCCTTGGGATCCATCTGCCAGGTAGTTATCAATTCTCCAAAGTCAACACAGAAGCGAAAATCCTCAACTTCGTGACAGCGCAAACTCCGAAAATCCTGACAAGAGTGAAAGACAAGTTGATGGGGTACTTGAAAGTGGCAATCGCTGGAACAACAACAGAGTATGGAGAAGAATATGTGCGCGAGGCAGGCGAGAAATGGCCGACAACAACACCCCCGCTTTGCCTCACTAAGACAGTACAGGCAGTGCGTCAGGAAGTCTTCGAGCTCCAGAGAGACATGGGCTTATCAAAATCTCTCGATCGCCTCCTCGCACAACTCCCAGCAAGCCTTAGATGCCGTAATCTTCATTCACATTACTCGGAGCCGCAACCATCGTTACTACTTCATCGTTTCAGCAACGAAGCGACCCAATCATTGAAAAAGTGGCAGAAGACTTGGATGGTCATGGACCCATTGGCTCCACTGACTCAGGAGGACTTCCGTCTGGTTGAGCAAGGTCCCGCGGCTTCAAATGTCGCAGAGAAACCGGGACCAGCGGAAGATGCTGAAGAACATGAAGAGGCTGTTCCATCCAGCGAGACGGATGAGTTCGGGGGCGGAATCGATGTGGATGAAATAATTGGAGATGGCGGACATGGATGGGATGAGGACGGGCAAGATGAGAAAGGAGAGGAAGAGGATGAGATTGGGCGAGATGGAGCTTGGAAACGGGCTCGTTATCGAGTGCTTCTCCTGGATCGGGTTCTGAAATACGTTCCACAACCCATGATCTTTACTGACTGGCGCCCACCCACTACCGGCGCCCTTCTCGGTTCCTCTCCTTCCAGATTCGGATTTGAGCCATGGACCCCGAACCCAGAGAAAGCAACTGGAGCTCAACTAGACCAATATATGGACACCACATGTGCATACTTGAATAAGATCACAACACTGAGAACGCCAGAGGAGGAGGAGCATTACGATTCGATCTGTCGAACCATGATGGCATGTACAAGTCGTCCACTCAACATTTCAAAAAGGGTGACAGTCACAACGGCTCCGATTGGTTGGTCACGAGAGACGGGACACGATAGTTGGTTCCACTGCCGACGGCTCCTACAGATGTTAGCTCAAAAGTCCAAACTTTTGGCTGAAGATCACCAGAGCTTCGAGATTCGGTTGATGCTTCTTTTAGCTGCTATTGAAGGTGGTTCCACTGAAGCACTTCTTTGGTTGGTACCCTTAGAAGGCCTGTTGCAGGAAATTTCGATTCACATCATTCAACTCGGTCCCTTATCTTCAGCCGAAGAGACTTGTCGACGAGACTTGTGTCGAGAGCTCATGACATTTGTTCATGCAGTAACGCTGAACAGCCTCTCCTTACGATGTTACTTCGGCCAAGACAGGGATAACACAAACATCCAAGCCTGGTATGACACTGTCACTAAGTGTGAGCCTCGTTGCTTTACGCGATGGTGTCAACAACCGCCACCAGCACCTCGCCTGATCACGAACTCGAGAATCAGTAGAGACGTCTTTGCAGTCGGATGTAACGATACCAGACTCGGAGATTCCAAAGTCAGTCTTTTCATTTCCAGCAATCGGAGACCTATCCATCCATGTCTGATCTGTTGGTTCCGAATGTACATTCCAGACCCGACGCTGATTTGCGCGTTCATGTGGTTTGGTGGAATTCACCATGTTTATTCTGCATGTACGAGTGGGAGTGGACGGCACAAGGAGCGAGATAACTAATAGGAGAAAGGTTTCAAGGTTGGAGGGTTGGGGCATTGGAGCGTTGATGAGTTGCTACGGACTCGAATGTAAATATAGTAGTGTGTTGTTCATGCCTCTAGCGCTGAGTCTTCTTCTCTAATTATTACTTCCCCTCCTCTTTATGCCTATTTTCCCTGCAGCTAAACGGTCTTCCCCCACTTGCTGAACTTTGATTTTTTGTCTTTCTTTTATATTTCCACTTTTTCTTTTATTTCTTTCTTCCTCCTCTCTTTGTCCTGTCTTTCTTTCTTCTTTTTCTTTGTGTTCATCGCTCCTATCACGTCTCATTGACTAAGAGCAAATGACTTATCCTAAGGTAGTATTGCAAAGTCTTTCTCATCGCTGTTAGTAAATCTTCTGGTGTTTCTTAGAAATTCTTAGAACTGCCTGGAATTGGGGTCAAAGACGTACATGACAGCATCTCCTCAACACAAGCGAATCTCACCTCCTTTGCTTCCTTGTTGTTGTCAGACACGCCCGAGCTCTCTTCATGTGTTTTCGCTCACGGTCTGTGAGGTTCAATGTATGCCTATTGACATTCCTACTCTGGCCTGGGCACAACACGAGCCAAGCACCCACTCACACAGCTCAATCAACCACATAACCTTATGGCAAAATACTTACAAGGAGCCTGACTTTTCGCGTTGGGTGGCCTGATCCAGAGCGGGTTATTGTTAGATAGGTACTTAAATCGCATGGCCATCTTGGCTTTCATCGTGGCTCCTAGGCAGGATCAATACGAAAGCCAAGAAGCTCCTGCGCCAGGTAATTATCTATCCAAGAAAGCTTCACCTATTAATATTACATTACTGAGTATTTTCGATATCTAATTCAAATTTCAAATTCTTATCTCCAAAAAAGAAAAACAAATTCTACAGATTCAAGATTAAATCGGATTCACTAATTGCTACCTTCACTCCTCTCCTCAGCCTACCTTACCCACCCCAAAACAGCCTGTTCGTACTGCCTAAAATCTTCTCTCCCCATCCGCCCCCGGCACAACACCTTCTCTATTCTTCGTCTCCCCAGCAAATGTACCCGTCAATCTTTCCCTATCTCCCGAGTTCGCAACAGCTTCATTTTTCAGTACACCTTCTCTCTGTTGCCGATGTCAGTGATTGTTCAGTTCCAAGAAAACTACATGTATAATAAACTTCAATAGATTTCCACTCCATGCCCTTGGGATTTGAAATCGTGCAGAGGGGGAGACGTAAAAGGAGGAATAGCAAACTCATAAGATATGATTGAAAAATAGTTGTAAGATTTTGAAAAGAAAGGAAAGGAAAGGAAAGGCAAGGAACAGAAAACTCACATCCCCACCAGCCCCATCAACCCCCTTATTAAACTCCCCCCTAAACTTCTCCCCAATTCCATGGATTCCAGCCAATACACCCTTTACTCCGCTTCCTGTTCCAGAGGAAGAAGATGAGGTGCCATGTTCATTTTTCTGATACAAAACCCCAAAGTCAGCCATTCAGTTCAGTTTTCTCGTAGGTTTCTCATCAAGAATGCATTTCGAGAGTCTTTCTTTCCCTTAGTCAACTGGCCCGTTTGAATATCAAGTTTTGCCATAAAAGCAAAAGCAAGGCACAAGGGCCTGGCGTTCTCTCAGGGAGAAAGGGCAAGGAAGAGGGCGTGAAAATCTCCTGGTACTCGCACGGGAAGGGGGGAGGATACCATATGAGATAATCCGAAATGTGGACATACAGTAGTCCCAGAATCCCGCATCCCTACAGGAGCAGTACTATTCACACCATTCCCAGCACCACACCCCGACCCAGCCGTCACAGGTTCATCCATCCTACCGATGCGAGTGCTTGACAGACCCTCTGCTTCAACAACTGGTGTACGTTGTGCCATTTTTGCCTTCTGGCTTTCTACTCCTAAAATTGTGGTATTGGATGTATATTTGGCACAGAAATATAAAATCCGACGAAGTGGAGAAAGTGAGGAAGATATCGGTTTTGTTAAATTTGAAGAATATGTTAATCGTGTAGGTGTGGGTATATATGAGATGATATGTCTCGGTATCTCTGGGAGTCTGAAGCCCATAATAATCTGACGTCACCTATTCGAGATTCACGACTAAACGACACGACCTCTCCACAAGTAAACAAGGCTCCTCCCCCAAGATTCTTCCGATACCCTACTCCAACAGCTCTAGAATTACGACAAACGGTCAAACATTTACCTGTTCTGTAAAATCATTTCAATATTTGTCCAATGTTCTTCAATGTATATCATCTAACGCCACCAATCAACTCTCATCTCATCTCCAAGTCAAATGTTGATGCTAATCGTATGGCATACCTAGGTACCTCAATTTCATCATTATGTACCTCTCTCACAGTCCTCCGCGCTCCGAAAAGTCATCACCTGAACCAGAACCCGAATTCTTGACTGAAAATATATCTTCCTTGACAATCGTACACATGATTCTATCTACTTCCTTCTTCTCTCATACCCGTGCCATCCAGCCAGCGAAACCGCCCAAACGCCTTGCAGGAAAACAGGAAAGACAGGATTTCCTCTCCTTATGCCAGATCGTCATCGTCACCAAAGCCATCATCAAAGAACCAGCCAGCATCACTCAATCCCAAAAATAGAAACGGCCAAATGCACATCGTTCGTCTTTCATCTCTCAAATCGCTTCTTTCGTTCTCATTACCACATCCTCATCTCTCTTGGTATCCATCCAACCCTCACTATCCTACCAGCCTCGCTCCACCTCCACCTCTCTTTCATATGCTGACCAAACTGCAGCAAACCAACCCCATGCCCCCAGAATCCTAACAGTATACCACCACGCCAAGCACACGGCTCAGAAAAAGAAGACGGCTATATACTCATAACAAAAAACACCCGCTTGCTTGCTTGAAGTCAATCAACCCTCCCGTGCTGCCAATGCCCGAGACCTTCTTGTGTACCCTTCGTGAAGCTTCTCTTCCCATGCCTTATCCTCATCGCAAGGCCGTGACTAGATCGTATCCAGATCGTGATCTCGTGCATTCATGCCCTTTCTTGCTTTCGCATTCATTTTCGCGAAGTCCTCACTTCTTCTTCTTCCATACACGTTGAAGTCATGACCCTCAACCATCCCACTGAATTTACAAATCCCAAATATTAACGATCCTCTCACTCCGAATGCCCCTCATTAAGCACCATCTCCATCACAATCTGATGCCCCATAATCTCCGGATGCGCCATCGCCAACTTCAGCGTCCTCCTCTCCGCACCACCAGGGAAACCCTGCGGGCTCATATGACTTGTAGCCCCGCCAGCCCCGAGAGGATTAATGCCATAGTCCAAACACCTGACATCTCTCCCTGCAATGACCTGTCTGAGTCTCCCATTCTCGGCATTTCTCACCTCGACGAAATCGCTGTCGAACAGGACGAGGTATGCCCCATACATGGCTGCCTTCTGAGCTTTACCAACAAACTCCATGATGACCGAGCGGGAAACCTCGCCATGCTTGTCGACGTAAACGCCACATTCCTCGTAGCAGAGAAGAAACTCTGCATCGGAGAGGCGGAACATGCCGAGCGGTTTCTGGCCGTTGAGACGGTTGGCGATGTTGCCTATAGCGGGGTTCTTGGTGTCAGGAATACTCATAGGGACTTTCTTGTCAAGGGTCATGAGTTCGAAGCCTTTAAGGGTGGAAATGGCAATGTAGGTGTGGAACAGGTTAATGGTGAAGCATTCGGTTGGGATGTAGAACTCGTCGAACTCGCGGAAGAATTCAGTATTACCACCTCCAAATTTCTTGCCGAATAAGCGGCTCTTCTTTTCCGAGGACTTCTGGAACACGGGTTCTAAGACTTTGAAAGTTGAGTGAAGTCCTTCACGCTTCTTGTAGAAGACCAAAGTGCGATCCTTCATGCGTGCTGTGGCGAAGAAAGATACATCCCTGGTTCCGGATAGCTTTTGCGGTGCGCGGCGGGCAGTATCGTGTGGTGCAGGGAAATTAGAAATTGGTACAATGACATCGAGATGGTACGCTATTAATGCCTTGTCGGCAATGATTAGGCAGAGTGAGAACTCCTCCAGAACAGCGATCTGTGTGACTCGATTCATTTGAATGGACTGCTTTAGGTTAGTTGTGAACATTTTAAAAACAGTGCCGACTTACCCTTGTCCACCCTCGAGGATTCGATGCCTCAGAGGTATAAACACCATAATCTGTTCCAATAGCCACCATTGACTTTCCGAAACAGTTGAATGCAGTTGCACAGTTGACTTGAGCTCGGCAGACCGGACCAGGTCGAGGTGCAGTATATGACCTCTCCATTTCCCGAATTGCTCTTTCTAGAGGAGTGCCCTTGACTGACACAACACTTCTTTGGGAGACTGCTGATGAGATATCATATGCAAAAGCACTATCCGCCATAACACGCATCCGGAATGGCTCGGCATTCTGCTCGAATAGAGATGCTGCATATCGGGTCTTTGCTTCCAGGATCTTGTCACACCAGTCTTGTCGATTTTGAGCAGTGGGTGCGTAGAGAGTGTACACCTCGGTCTTGCCCAGATGCTTGACTCTGAATGGATACATGGATCTACTCTCGCTCTCATTGGTTGTGCTAGGTGCAAGCCTCGTGACAGAGTTGACAGTCGTGATGGATTGGTTGGAGTTGGTATGCTCCAGTGTGTTGGCTCGCTCCATGCTGCCAGTGGCCGCTCGGTTCAGGTTCAGTCTTGACTCAGAGCCTGCAGTCTTGGTGACTGTTGTGACAGCTCCAATACCCTTGACTGAAGACTTGACGACTGGATCATCATTTGTACTCTCGAGGACGAGAAGTTGCATGGGGATTGGCTACATCATATTAGCAACGAAAATTTCCAATAAATCAGTGTACTCACAAGTTTCGAAACATCATAAACCTCCTTCTTCCGCCCACCAGCACTGTCCGGCTTCGCAACCGTCTTCGCCAAGACGAAGTAGTGATCAAACAGAATGGCATGGGTTTCCAACCATGCAAAGCGATTGGCACCAGCACGTTGCAGATCTCCTTGGAAGATAAGTTCGCGGCCAAGATGATCCAGGTTAAGTTCAACACGTTCCATGCCAGGTCTGAGGTAGAGCTTCGATTGCAGTTCGATCATCTCGACTTTCTTGGATTGCTCATCAACTTTGGCGTCACACTCAAGTGTGACCGCTTTGATCTCCTCAATAGCAGTTGCAAGAGTGGCTTTCTCTTCCGTATCCTGTGTCATGTTCTTCAAGACTGTACCAAGGAGGAGAGTATATCTTTGCAAGCGAGTGATAGGTGCCTTCAGATAGGTGTTCCAATCCAGACGGCCAGAAAGCTTGTTATCTCGAGCCTGGTCCAGAAATTGTCGGAAGAGTAGATTCTTATCTGCTTCCCTTCGGACCAGGTAGGTGGCATAGGGAAATCCAGCAGCATATTCTACGTAGGCAGCCCTTGCCTTTCGAATCCACTCTCTGAAGATGTCGCTGAAACCAATGATCCAGGGGCCTTGTTCCTTCTGTCGGTACTTCAATTGAGCCAAGAGATAATTCTCGTTGACTTCCTTGATGGCCTCGATCTTCCCAAACACAGACCCGATGAACTTCGCAACCTTATTCTTCGCAATGATTGGAGGCTGCCATGACGCCAAATCGTCTCTGTACAGAACGCGGAGCACATTGATCTGGTCCATATATATATCTTCCGACATGACAATCTCGTGCAAGTTGTTCTGACGTTCGATTTCTTTCTTTGATGACCCTTCAATCATCTCCTTAGTCAGCTTGAAAAACGTGACCCAGTCTTCCGATTTCCTCGATGGCTCCAGGATGTGTGATTGAAGATTAATCTTCTTCAGCGTACGTGTACAGTGATGCGAGTAACAACGGCCGTGGATCTGATGCTCATGAACCTTTGGAGAATAGCAACCGGAACCAGTAAGCTGCCATAATACACCAGACAGCGTTCCTTGGCCAAATTTGACCCATTCCTCTTCAGGCACAAGAATCCCGGCATCAAACATGGATTTGACGACGCGCTGACTCAGGGTCTCAGCATCCGCTGTATTCATAGTCGGTACTTTGTGGGTGAAAAGAGCTACAAGACCATCTTCAATTGTCTTCTGGCGCAGATCGGATTCTCCTTCTCCCGTGTCACCACCAGCCAATTCTCGAATCCAAGCAGCAATACCGCTCAAAGCCCACGGTTCCTGACATTTGGCATACTCACTGGTCGACAACCGCGATGGAGAGAACTTCTTCCGTCGTCCGCCGGCAGGTAATGCAGGAAGATCTAGGGTCATCGATGACTGGGGAGTTGCGCCAACATCATAACCATCCAGACCACTGGGTTGCCTTCCTCCTAGTCTAGCCGCCTTTTGTCTCGCTTGCCTCTCCTCTGCATCTGTCTTGGATCTGACAGGAGGAACAGTCTGCGGCGTACTGCTGTGACTCGATAGAGAGGTAGATCTTGGTACATACTGGCCACCAGGGGATAGCATATTTGCTGGAGGATATGCGTCTGGACCAGCAGGCGTGTAGAAGCTTCTGGCATTCTCGGTACTCGATGAGTACGAATGAGAGTGCTGGTGGGTTTGACGGTATGACCCAGCTGGCAGGAGTTGGGGGGTTCTGTTCTCGGACAATGGTGGGACTGCTGGGAGAGGTCGGTTGTATGGAGAAGAGCTCATTCCTGGGTGATAAAACAACTCCGGCATGTCATCACGAGACGGACTCTCGCTTCCGGATCTTCCACTGAGCCTCGAATCAGATAGACGCGAGTGTAAAGAGACTTGCTCATCCCCTTCATCAAAACTCAATCTATGAGATTGTGAAGTAGGTCGCTGTAAGCCACCAGTCCCAGAAGTATCGACTCTTGCAGCTTCGAATGCCGGGAAAGGATGGATATCCCCAACACCAGGAATAGAGTAGTCAGTCATTCCTCCGAGTCCAGCCGCTGGCACTCTGGTATTGGTATAGCTGTTAGATCTTCCTAGGTCGTGGTCGCTCGGTAATGGTCGACTCTGGTCGTCCATTTCACTGCTATGTCCTGTATTCATATCATCGCCATAAGACATATGGGCATCATATCCACCTCCCACCAGGCCCAAGTCCATGTGCTTATAGTCGCTATCGCTACTCTCATCCTGCGATAATTGCTGCTGAGGCTGTGACTCGTAGATACCAAATCCCATACCACCGACAGCACCAGCAATACGGTCCATTTCGTCCGCTTGTTTCATAGCTTCCAGTCCAGCAGCAGCTTCAGCATCACTCTCGTAGTCATCCTCTCCGAAATCGTCGTAATTCTGGTCATAATTGTTGTTCGCGGTCGTAGCCGTAGACGCATGTCTATCAATACCGGTAGTCGCAATCGTAGTAGCCCTGGAGTCATATCGATGGAGATCTTGCAGCTCGCTATCCAGAAGATCCCCATTTCTCGCATCCAATCCTTGTGGTCTGCCATGCCTCGATCCTGACGTTCCCAGGGCATCTCCGATATCTGCGAAAAGCTGCTCCTGCGAAACACCATTATCCGTATTATGTATTCCCCAATCATCGTCATCGCCCGTATCGTCCTCGACTGGCGCACTCGGCAGAGGTCTCAAAGTGGGATGTCTCTGAAGTCCTAGACCAGCTGTTGGCTGTCCACTTTGCGACAAGACTGGCGGCTGTATTCCTGTCGAATGACTCGAAGAACGTTTCGTACGATTCGCAAAAGATTGGTCGTCGTAGGATCCTTGAGAAGATGAATGCGCTCGACCATAATTTCCATAATCCGGAAATTGAGCCGTAGCCTGACTCGAGGAGGCAGGCCTGTAGTCACTTGGGGTGTACTCTCCGCCATTCGTCGGATAAGGAGCAGAAGGAGGAGGGTTGTAGAGAGATTGCCTAGGAGGTAGAGGAGCTGAATTAGATGGAGTGTAAGTAGGACTGGCCAGAGGCTGCTCGTATTGACGATCTGGTCGACTAGGCACTGGTGGGGCAAATTGCTGCTGATTTTGGGGCGAAGGCCAGTATGTAGGCGTCTGTGGAGGTTGTGGCAGAGCAGGAGAATTGTACGAAGGCGCATAGTTGTTGTATCCCGAGACCGTGCCTTGGCGCATTGGCTGGGAAGAAGCTTGAGGAGCTTGGTACAGAGCTGGATTATAGGGTTGATGAGCAGTTGGTGGAGTAGGAGCAGGAGCATAGGCAGCCTGTGGGCGATACTGCGGCGTCGGTTGGGAGTGTGATTGTGTCCTAGCAAAATGCTGAGGGTTGTAGGAGACCTGTGGGGGAGATTGAGCTGATGGGAAAGGCTGATACTGATGCTGATATCCCGACAACGCTGGAGTAGAACTCCCAAATGAACTTCGTCCTGGAGAGTGAGGAGTCTGTGAGCTCGGGCTGTTCATGAACAGTTCTTCCTGTGTCCTGACATGCGCCGATGGTGCTCCTCCCTGATATCTGTTCCCGTTGTGGTCGAGAAAGGCCGCATCATCCCCGTTATCGAAACTCGATTGTCTGTGTAGGCCAGATAAAGAGTTCGAGTCCTGCGCACCTCCCGGTCCGTACTGCGCAGGAGGCACATGGCCGTATCGTCGTTGACCGTTAGATCGAAAAGACATTGTCGCGGCTGAAAGACTCGGCGCAAATGCCAATGTAGCTCAACGAACGTTTGGATGCTCGAATTAATGCAGAGGCCGAGCTTGACGGTCTAAGACGACGACTTGCAATCGATGGCTCTTGGCCAAGCGTCGGGAATTGAGAAAAGGTCTTGCTGCATTGGTGAGCGCGGTGCGCAGGCAGGCTGTGTGGTCGAGTTGGGTTGAGGCAATTCAAAAAGCCAGCTTCGAGTGCGACCCCATCCGCTCGTCCCAGTAGCTGCTCTCGAGAGAGCCTTAGCGATCGTAAGTATTATTTGTTACTGCTAGCAGCTCGTAGATGTGCGGCACTTGCGCAGTCGAGGCTGGATGATGTGCAGTGTCGTGTCGTGTCGTGGAAGTTTTGTCGTCCTCGATGCAGTTCGTAAGCATGTGTTGATTTGACGTGGTGGTCTGGGCTGGATGGGATGGGTGATCTGACGTCCCGCCCGCGTTCCTGTTCCGGTCGGGAGTTTCGCTGCGCTGGTCTGCTCTGTCTGACTGTCTGGTGGAGTAAGGTTACGAGCAGAGGCTCTGGGTGCGATAAAGACGGGACTTAGCTCTGCTGAAGTGGTAGGGCGGCGGCAACAGGCAGCCAGCAGACAAGACTGCCGAGTAAATGTAAGACAATAACTTACAGCGAGGCGAGCTCTGTCAATTCAATAGTCTGGCGGGTGATATCTCAACGCCCACGCTTGAGTGTTGTTGGGCAGAATTGAATGCCGGTCTTGATACGGAGTATAATGTTGTGTCCTGTCGTTTCTGCTGTGCTTTTTCTACGGAATTAACGAAGTAACGCGAGGCGAGGCAAGGCAAGGTTGTTTCGGGCAGGTCATGTCAGACAGCAGAATGTGGATACAAGACGGAGTGTTTTGTTTCTTGGGAATTGGGACGAGGTCAAGGTCAAGGTCAAGGTCAACGAGGCACACACTTCTATCTCTGCTGCAAGTTGCAGCCAGTCCGCTCTGACGGGTCCAGAATGATGCCGGGGGGATAATTGTGACTGGGCTGAGCAGCACGCAGCGTGTGTCGCAAGCTCGAGCTGCTTGATTGGTTGTTTTGTTTTACGAGCACTTTACGATATCATGAGCTGGACTTCTGCTTATTTTCTACATATGAACAGAAAATGTTGTATTGCTGTATCTCTTTGGTGTCTTCCTTCACTCTATCTCTTCTGTATGCATTGCCCTACTTTTGTCTATCAAGCACATCACACCATCATCAAAGAACGCCTCGAATCCTAACAAACTCATTCATCCTCACAAGTCAACTGCGCCACTACGCAGCCTTACCACAGCAAAAGTGGCTGATGCAATTCCGTCAGTAAGCAACCCATCAAGAAAGGAACTTGCAAAAGCAAAACTCCACACCCTCCTGAAACACATCCTCTACATTTCCAGTCCCTTGCCTCCCTCAGTACAAGACAACAAAGCATGGATAGCACGGCCTCAATCGCGGTCGAAGCTGTACCCCGAACCTTATCTGAGCCCCAGCTCGTCAACTTTCGTATTTAAGTTTAAGTTGGAAGGTCATATGTCGGTCGGCGGGAATCATAACACATCATCGCACCATGCTCCTCGCTCGACGCGTATCATAGGGCTGAGGAGAATATGCTTGTCTTCTCACGGCGGCTACATTACAGGTGAGAGCTGTGCCGCGCTGGGAAGCTGACTGCCGTCGGTTCGGGAACCATTCCGATGCGATGGGATGCATTTGGACCCCACGATGCCAGATATTTATTTATATGTCTGAATGATTCCTCACTCCGTCACTCCTGGAAAGCTGGAATCCTATCCCTTTCCTTATAAGCATCCCACGCTCTCGCTTTCGTTCGAAGAATTGATCTATGTAAGTAAGCTTTTCAGCAAGTGCGGAAGCTAGTGACGAGTACGCGGAAGCCGGAGTGAGAGTCAGAGTCTGGGATATCTCCGGCTGAATGCTACGATCATATTATGATGATTTAGCGCAACGTAAGCAGCATGTGAAAACGTCTAAGCCTCAGCCCATCAGCTGAATCTGCCAAATCTGCGGCACTTTCTCCGGAAGCTGGGAAGATTATTACATATTAGCGCCAAGAGCTGAGAAAGTTCGACATATTGTCCTGCCGTCGTTGACTCTTGACCCCGCTCTTGCTTACTTACCCTACCTTCCAAGAGGAGGCAATGAGGGGCTGTTATTATTCCCTCAATCACTTACTGATTGAGAACCTTTGGGACTAAATCTAATGGGCTCGCTTAACATTCACTGTTATTGTTTGGTTTGCTTGGGATCCTAATGGGGACTTGACTTGAGGAGAAAAACAACACAGAAACGGCAGACACAAACTCCCAGATGAAATAGAGAAAAGGTGTAATTAAATCCGCAGATTCCCTTCACACCACTTCCCACCTCACAGCTCACCAAACCCAAAACACAACCCCAAACAAGCGATTTTCCAAGTCCTCACCCTCACAACTACCTTCCTATTCCCAGGCTGCCCATACTCTGAACTCAGAAAATCAGAATCCCTTTCCTCCCCTATTACCCCCAACAAATCCCGCCTCCTCAATAGACCCCGGCTTAAACTGACCCTGACACGTCCCCGGGAAGCTACCAAATTCCCACTTACACCAATTCCAGCAGCACGCCTTATCTTGGAAACAATCGGCTGTTATCGCGTATTAGTCTCCGGTATGCAGTCTTTGGTATCTGTGTGGCTGGATGAGGGATGGATGGATGGATGGGCAAAAAGCTTTGCTTTGGATACGGGAGAGTGAGAGTGAGAGTGAGAGATGGGGATGGGGATGGGGATGGGGAGGGAGTGAAAGGGTAGAGTTGGGTTGGTGAGTGGATAGGATGGGACGAGACAGAAGGGAATCCTTGTACTTACAGCCAGCAGAGTAGCACTGAGCGTGTACAGGCTCGTTCCTGAGACGGGAAGAGAGGTGATGAGCGCGGGCGGGGGCGAGGTTCGAGTCCTGCTGGATGTTTAGTTCCTTGTGACGTTGATTCCAATGTGCTGGTACATTTTATGATGGGGATCGAGAAGGAGACATGAAGAGAAAGGTAAGGAAAGTGGAAGAGGCAGGAACAGGGACGAAAGGGGGGAATGGAAAGAAGGGGAAGAAGAGAAAGATGAATGGGGAGGAGCACATACCTCGATGTTGATCACCACGTTAAGCGGCTCGGGGAGAGCGATGGCTAGGACTCGGGATTGGGTAAATGCCAGGATGGCGAGGCTGTAGATGGCGGTAAGTTGCATTTTAGCTTCGGACGAAGTGTGGTTTAAGTGATTTATCGGAAAATCGAATATCAATTAAATTTTCCTAGCTGTTGGTGATAGTTGAAGCCACGGGTTGTGCTGGATGGAAGAAGGGCTTTTATATTTGAAATCTAATGTCTTGAGTCGTGCCTAGCCTGGAGCGATACTGTACGGACAGTCTGAATGGAAGGGAGAGACATTAAGAGCACAATCGTCGATGGGGGGAGACATGTATTCCCTCTGTAAATAACAAGTTGTTGATTTTTGGCCACAAGTGCAATGGTATTGTGTACATCACTTCCTTTGCATCTTCGATCTAATATTCCCGAAAGCCCATATCGGAATCGTGGAACATCCAAATATTGAACGCAGAATCATAACACCTACCGGAACATTCGTCTGTTTTCTCACAACTCCAGCAGTAAATTTCAGAAAGTGGAGGGATCAAGATCTGCATATTCGCACTCCCAGTGTAGTATTTGGTCCCTGGATATCAGGTTTTGTGACACTGTTACATGTCACCTGTACCTCCAACAAACCTGGGGATATTCCCGTTCCCCATGTACCATAACCATCAAGGTATGAACCCAGGTCCAATTGTAACGATACATATCAACCTCGGTTCCAAGGGAGTGGACTGAAGCGACGGCTGCAATACAGAGTCACAGTGTTTTGAAAAAGTGGCATAATGTCTTGGATGTTTAGACAGAAGAATTTGAAAGGATTGTAGAAATGTATCTTTCCTCCTTGTCAAACGTGTCTGTCGAAAATTCCTTGCGCCGTTAAGCTTCGCTATCTGGGGATATTGGAGTCAGTCTGTGAGGAGGAAACACGGCGGTATGTATGCTCTACACAAAAGAAACACTGTGTTGCTCAATAGTTATTCGAGGACTCAAAGTGTGATTCAGTGTTTCGGGAACTGTGCTACGGTTATTTGTAGTATCTCACATAGATTATGAACAGTTCTCATGTGAAATTACCTGACCGATACCCCCTAATCTCGCTTCCAACCAAGAATTTACCCCAGACCCAGCATAGTTATAGACCTAAGAACTCGCTGCCTTCAATGCACCCTCCAAATCTCTCATCGGATCGCCGTTCTCCCTATGTATTCAATCAGTAAGAGTAGATCATCCCATCCAATAACTTCAAAATATCAAATCCGAAAGACCAAGCACCACATTCTTTCAGTTCCATCCTCCGACACCTGTAATCACCAAAGTGACATGCAACATGAGGATCAAGTGAAAGCACGTACCACAACCCTAATACAGCTTCTGGCTGTTTGTAACCTAGCAATGAGTGCATCATCGGCGACAACTTCGGTACCATGCTCCTCGGTATTGCAAGGAATTGGTTCTCTTCTGTACGAAGCGTCCCGCGGCAAAAGAAGAGGCCGTGGACTATACGGGTGCTGTTGGGGACGCTGTTGTGTCCACCGCCGTGGTAGGAGCCGGCGAGAAAAATAAGAGCTGATCCCGGGGACATTTCTGGGGAGGATGTTAGTTGGGTCATTTGGTGATGTGACGAGAAAGTAAGGAGGAAATGGGTGTTGTGACAGGGGTTGTTAGCGAGGTGCAGATATGCCAACGATCACTTTGAAGTAGGAAGAGAAGTCAAAACAGAATAACCTACCAGCAAATGTAATCTCATCCAATTTCGGCTGCCTCTTCTCATCCCACTTATGACTCCCAGGGACAAACATCGTCGCGCCATTCTCTCTCGTCGTCTCAACCCCTGCAACCAAACACGCAAACTGACTAACTTTCTCCAACTTGTATGGCAACGAATGATCTACAAGATGAATCCCATCATCTCTATGCAACCTCTGTCTCGGCGCTCCATGTCGAATCTGGAAACTCACACTTAGAGAAAGCAATGGTTCAATATGCCAGTTTTTCTTGATTTCCTCGTTTGGCATGGAACCCTCGTCTGTCAGGATGCGAGATCGGAGAGCGACTAGGATGGGGTGTTCGCAAAGGGCGAGCATAGTGGGGGATTTGGCGATAAGGCCGCCGATGAGTTGTGTTTCCTGGGGAACAATTGCAATCCCGGAGTGAGGAGTTGCGTTGATGCCAGTGTATGGTGCTGTGTCAGTTGCTATTTGAGCTATTTCTGAGGGGGTGAGGAGGTCGGTTAAGATGAGCCCGCCATCGCGGTCGAGGGTAGAGATGATGGTCTCGATGGAAGTGGTAATTGGTAGCTTAGATATGGAGGTGGTGGGTTGGAAAGAGGGGTCGATGGGGGAAGGAGGAATAAAAGCACCCATTTTGAAGGTATATGCTTGGGAAGTAAAAGGGAGCAAGTTGAATGGTCAAATACAGAGAATTGAGTCAGATGAAAAGAACCAGAACTATGAGAAGTAGAGGAGAGAAAAGATAAATAGATATAGATATAAGAAGTGAGATAGTAGCTATGTGCTTGTGATCTAGAACCGTACTTGAGAACGTAGAGTGGGGTAAAAGAGGGGCAGGACAACCTGGCCAAGATCCGTACATCTAACACAAATAGACTGTTGGTGTGGAAATCTCCCAAGATACAATGATAGTGTAGGGTGAGCAGCTCCCAAAGAGGAGACGAAGTCCAGAAAATGTGATAGGAAGGTTTGGACGATGGGCCAATGAGGGTAGACAGCTAGTCAGATTCCCATGATGCCGGGTAATGGTAAAGTTAGTGGACAAACTTAATGGAAAACCAGATGAGATGTATACCTGAGAAGAGAATTTTGTTGATATTGCCAGGAAGCGAGGCTTTATATGTTTCTTCCAAAAGTCTACAGATCTACCTAGGTACGCTCAATCCTGTTCTGTTCCAGTTCCAGATTGTCTGGGTCTCTTGCCCGCGGGCCGCCCTAATCGCCCCTCTTGCCGCTTTCACGCACACGTGATTAGGACCCTTGCTCCCCCACCTTCTTCTGCTTCAGGTTAGGTCATAGTGGGGTGAACATCGGACCGGGCACACGACGGTTTCCAATATTCGAGTGCCTGACCTGCCTTGCCTTGTGGATATCTGTTGATCTGGCTTCAGCTCCAAGGACGAATTGCTTTACATACAACATCTTTCAAACACACGCATATTTACTCTACTACATCACGGGATACTTGGGTGTTTGCATTGACAGAGCTATACAATCATTGGACTATCCATGTAAGTGAACAAAGAATTTCCTCACCGTCAAGCAACAGCTCCTGCATCAATCCGCAAGCTGTCCGCCCTCCGCTGCTCTCGACTGGACGCGACAAATGGCCAGACATATTCCTTGGACGACAGCGAATCGACCTTTCAGGATGGAATTCATACATAATGCGAAATGTCCCATTCACCAACACCTGTTGGTTACTGTTCCTGCTCGCGTGCATGCTGAACACAGCTGTCCGCGCCTTGACTGCCTGATTGAATCACCAGGCTGTTTCACGCCCACCAATATCTGCGAAAGCTCTGTGTTAATTCACCTTTACTGGAGCTTTGGCATACCATAAAACCTCTTCGCAGAGAACTTGCAAATCTGTCGAACCAGTTTCCAGGAAGGATATTGACAAAACTGAGCTTCTTCACGAACCACCATCCTGCAAACATATTGGCTCTGCCTACCCTCGCATTTGCTCACCAACAAGCAACACAGCCTACAACATAAAACCATGTCTCTCCCGTCGATCAAGATTGGCTGGAATGTTGGAAGTAGCGTTTCACGCAAAACCTCTGCCGGATCCAAGTCCTCAAAGTCTAATGGCTCATTGAAGTCAAAGAAGGTTGCTAATATGATTGAACCATTTCCAGCTCCGAAACCTCTCATTGACCCATTCCCTGCATCGAAAACCCCCCCTCTTGGAAAGAGACTGCTACCTAACGTACCACCCGCACGATACGACAACATGGTTCTCAACCAAGCCAAGGTCAAGTCCGTTTTGAGCGGCGACAGTGTCATTCTGTGCTCCATTGCACATCCCGATCGCGAGCGAACACTTTCCCTTGCTTATTGCACGTCACCACATCTGAAGAAGGAAGGAGACGAGCTATGGGCATACGAATCGCGTGACGCTCTGCGAGAGCTACTCGTTGGAAAAGTCGTGCAGTTCTCTGTACTGTACACAATCCCCAACACGAAGCGCGAATATGGTGTCATTTACCTCAATGATGGCCGCAAGCTGCCTGAGGAGATGGTCAAGAACGGCTGGCTCAAGTTGAGAGAGGATGCTGGTCGAAAGGAGGACTCTGAGGAGGCTTTGCAACAATTGGATCAATTGCGACTTTTGGAAGCCAAGGCTCGGTCTGACGATTTGGGCCTCTGGTCACCAAATTCTAATCGCATTGAGGTCCAACACGATATGGGTGACGCTCCAGCTTGGTTGGAGAAGTACAAGGGCCAAACACTTGACGGTCTAGTTGAGCGTGTATTGAGCGGCGATCGCATGCTCGTTCGTGTGATTCTTTCGCCCACCAAACACGTCCAAAGTAAGCCCGATTCATTCATTCTTCTGTCAAATTACTAACTTTCTGTAGTTATGACCTTGGTTGCTGGCATTCGAGCCCCAATTACCGAGCGAGTTAACCCTTCAAACGGCCAAACACAGCCTGCAGAGGAATACGGAAACGAGGCCCGAAAGTTTGTTGAGGACAGATTATTACAGCGAAACGTCAAGCTTGATATTCTTGGGCTGAGCCCCCAGAATCAGCTGATTGCATCGGTGAAGCATCCTAGAAATGGCACAATCGCGAAATTCCTCCTTGAAGCCGGTCTTGCGAGATGTACCGATTTCCACTCGACACTTCTTGGCGCGGATATGGCAACACTCAGAGAAGCTGAGAAGGTGGCACAACAAGGCAAGCGTGGTGTGTACAAGGATCATGTTGCAAAGGCCGCCACGGCTGGAGGAAACTTGGAGGCTCAAGTCACGAGAATCTTCAGCGCCGATGTTATTTTCGTTCGGAATAGAGCTGGCGTTGAAAAGCGTATCAGTCTTTCCAGTGTTCGTGGCCCTCGCCCAACAGATGCTGCAGAGGCACCGTTCCGCGATGAGGCCAAGGAATTCCTGCGAAAGAAGATCATTGGAAAGCACGTACGACTAAGCATTGATGGTACACGCCCAGCCACTGAGGAGTACGACGCCAAGGAGGTTGCTTCTATTACTTTCAATGACAAGAATATTGGACTGTTATTGGTTTCCGAAGGATGGTGTTCAGTAATTCGTCATCGTCGTGATGATACTGATCGAGCTCCAAATTATGATGAATTATTGGCTGCACAAGAAAAGGCCAAGGAGGAAAAGAAGGGAATGTGGTCAGGAAAGCCTGCAAAGGCAAAGCAATACGCAGATGCATCCGAGTCACTCCAAAAGGCCAAGATGCAACTTCCAGGACTTCAACGACAAAAGAAGGTTCCAGCAATCGTTGATTTCGTAAAAGGCGGATCAAGATTTGTTGTCCTGATTCCACGTGAGAACATCAAGCTGAACTTTGTTCTGGGAGGTATTCGCGCCCCAAAGTCCGCAAGAGGTCCTAACGACAAGGCTGAGCCATTCGGTCAAGAGGCACACGACCTTGCTACGAAGCGATTGACTCAACGAGATGTTGAGGTTGATGTGCACAGCATTGACAAGGTCGGTGGATTTATTGGAGAACTGTATATCAACAAGGAGTCGTTTGCAAAGATTCTTGTCGAGGAGGGATATGCCACTGTTCACGCATACTCTGCCGAACAAGCCGGAAACGCTACCGAATTGCTCGGTGCGGAACAGAGAGCAAAGGATGCACGCAGAGGACTTTGGGTTGACTGGGATCCATCTCTTGATGTTGCCGAGGAAGATTCTGCTCCAGCAAACGGATCCAACGGCGATGCCGTCATTCCACGCGAGAAGGATTACCGCGATGTAATGGTCACCCATATCGACGAGAACTGCAAGCTGAGGCTTCAAGTCGTCGGCACAGGAACATCTGCTCTCGAAACCATGATGACTCAATTTAAGTCCTTCCACATGAACCCCGCAAACAACGCCGGACTTTCAGGCCCACCAAAGGCTGGTGAGTACGTCGCAGCTAAGTTCAGCGAGGATGGCGCGTGGTATCGTGCTCGCATACGCTCCAACGACCGCGCTGCAAAGGAAGCAGAGGTTGTCTACGTCGATTACGGTAACAGCGAAAAGATCCCATGGTCTCGCCTCCGCCCTCTTTCACAACCTCAATTCTCGCCTCAAAAGCTCCGACCACAAGCTGTTGACGCCGTCCTCTCACTAATGCAGTTCCCAACCAACGCTGACTATCTCGCCGACGCAGTCGCATACATTACGGACGCCACAGCTGGAGCCCAATTGGTCGCCAACGTCGACTACACCGCCCCAGAAGGCACTCTGTATGTCACGCTTTACGACGAAAAGACCAGCACCAACCTCTCTGATAGCATCAACTCTGATATCGTCGCCGAGGGCCACGCTATGGTTCCACGCAAGCTGAAGCCTTGGGAGCGTGGTTTCGGTGATGTCCTGAAGGCACTTCGCGAGAAGGAAGAGCAGGCTATCCAGGAACGTAGAGGTCTTTGGGAGTACGGTGATCTTCGCGAGGATTAATTCTGAGGCGATGTGATACGGGATAGGGTATGTCTGTCAGCTTTGCTTCTTGCCGTGCAGTGAGGCTGGTTGAATCTTCGTGTTCCCGCTTTCACTTTGGACTTGGCCAGCTGGCGATGGATAGTATCTATCTACCTCTACATTCTCTCCTCGTTGACTTCTAATTCATGGTTCCCGATTATTTCTTCCTCACTTTCTGGCGACTCGCATTCATTCATGCATGCATGGCAAACAAAAAAAGTTACGACTGATTGGGTGGCATTGTGGCATTGTTTGTTGGCATGGTTGATTGGTTCCTTGGTGGTCTGGGTCTGAAGGATGGATGAATGGATGATCAAAAATAACATAAATGAAACGAGATCAATGAATGCATTATGGATTTTATGATTGTGTGATTTTCTTCGACTGCCTTGATTTGCTTCCGTGAGAGCTTGCTTGCCCCCTGGTTAGATTTCTGCCATGGCTTGCCACATTTAGGTTCCTCTCTTCACTGCTAGCGATTCCCTCTGGCCTGTCCGTCACGACCCTGTTTCTTTCTACTAGGTAGGAGTTATTGATACTGGCCCTATCAATCAACCACTAAATAGACACACTTCATGTGGGTGCTATTCCAGCTTCACAAGGATAAAAGATCTGTCGCGACTTCGTTTCCTTCTCCGGATGCAAAAATCCTCCAAGTAGTCGACAAATTCGAGGCTCAACTTCAAATCGAATCTCAAAAGCTGTGCTACTTCTCTTACAACGGTACCAAGTGAGGCGAATTTCAAACACGTTGCGTACCACCGAGGAAAATCCTGACCAGCATACAGATACTGTCTCAACAACCATCCAAGTTTTTCGACCTCTCGGAAATGCAGCACTACTGGAAACAGCGAGACCGTGACCGTCTCAGTCGATTCGATTATCTCGAGAAGTTATCCAGACCAACAGGGAACATTCGGAAAGATGTCGGAAGCCTTGGAGATTGTTGGAAATTGCGAGTACCCCTCAATTTTTGCCTCTATATGAATGTAATTTTGAACTCTATAGGCACCAGAGGCCCAATCGAATCCACTAAGCAAGCTCGCGATATCCAATATCATCCCTATATTGACAACCCCGCCATCACTCAGATAAACATGTGGATCCATGCACTTGAGCAAGGTATGCAGGTCTGTGCTCAGGCGAAGAAGGGTTTCGAAGATATCCTCGCGTTACAGTATCGAATTGATGTTATTACTATGAAGTCTTGAGAATGGGTAGGACGTTAGGAGAAGGCACCACAGGCAAGCGGGAAGGAAGGTAGTTGAAGTTGTAAACGATGTTTTGATTTCGCTTCGCAAGTACCAGGCCCGCTTCGACTTCTTGATTTGGCTGCAGGTGTGCAGGAAGAATGGCAAATTATCTTGAGGGCGCCCAATAACCAGTATAGTCTTGCATCAAAGAAAATTATTCTCTCTGCTTTCACTCTATACACCTGTTTCCCAGCAGGTTCTGATATGCGTGGCTTCCAGTGAATATTCCGGGATAGAATGGTCAGTGAGAAGGCACCAGTTCCAATGTTGAAGCGGACGTCAATGGACATGAATGCATTCCAGGATATGGCATGTGAGATTCTTACATATCGATGACCTTCTAGTAGTCCCATCCCCCTTAGCTCCCGTCTCCCAATGTCAAGTATCAAACGAACGCCATCCCAAAAAGCCGAAATCCGCTCTGTGCTGGCTGAGTACCCATCCACGCCACTCCCCGCCCACAAGTATAAAAACTTCTCCTAACTACAAAGACAAAATGTCAACAGCCAAATACATGCTCCGTCACTGCTCAAACTCCACGACCTTCTGCGTAGCGGTACTTGCGGTTCTGACTCTGCCACCAGCGCCACCGGTTGAGAATGTTGGGTTTAGAGTTGATTGCTTGACTTCGCTCACTGCATCCCCTTTAATGCTGCCAGCTTCTGCATCGGCACCTTCGAGGAGATCGCGATCTTCCGAACGGACACTGCGACGCTCTGCATCCCCGTTATATGCGCCTGATGTACGAGTATCGTAAGGCTCATCTTCATCCTCGTCGTCTTCTGCGGGTCGGTTGACGGCATTCTTCTCCATTTCCTTTTGGGCCTCGTCCATGCGTCTGCGAACCTCGGCTGCGACGCGCATTCCATCTGTGACGATGTTGTCAAGGACTCCACGAAGGCCTTTCCCAGGTGGCACAGCGCCTGCGGAACTGGTACCTCCGACTCCACCGAGAGCGCCTTGACCAGCTGTTGCTGAGCGGCCGAAGCCGATATTGGAGAAAGTTGTGAGGCTAGAAGAGGAGGATGTAGGGCCCGTGGGAACGAGTTTGTCTGAGATGCGGAAAGAGGCTGGGAAAGAAGATTCAAAAAATTGTTCGAGAAGCTCATCGGCCAGAACGACCATGCGGAAGGTAGGAAGTGTGATATGAAGAGGCTTTGATGGATCAAGTGCAGCGTTCGCTGCCTCTGTGTGAGCTTTTGATGTTCGGCGTTGGCCATTGGATGGAACTCCTGTGGGAGGAGGAATGGTGGGAATCCCGGAGGACTTTTTCTTCTTGGGCGACTTCTCGGTACCGAGATCCAGGAGGTCTTCTTCCTCATCGCTGTCATCACCAATTCCAAATGCATTGTCTTCTGCTCCATTGGTGTTCGATCCTTCGTCTTCCTGATTCTGTGGATGGTCTGGATCGGCATATTCAAAGCACCGTCTGATAAATGCACTAACACTGCTCAGAAACCGCTCGTTTGTTGTTCCTTGGGAAACATCAAGGCTTCCGTTGCCCGCTTCGTATTCGCTGAGTCCGACCATTGATCTCGAAGGTGTTAAGGATCCATCCAGGCCGCGGCGAGAGAGGAACAACAAGGCTTCGGAAATGCGTAAGATCCCTTCCCGATCCACTTTCCCATCACCATCGTCGTCGTAAAGCTCGAAAAAGTATGTAATGCTACCCATAATATCTCCTTTGCCTTTGATGTGTGCAATACCAGTCACCACGTCTTGGAGTGTCAACGCCGAGTTCATGCCCACATCCCATCGTCGAAATAGTCGTCTCATAAATTCGTGGTCAGCTGGCTCTGGATTTCCAGCGCCCCAAGGTGACAGGGAAACTTCCCTCCTGCGCATGCTATTGCCAAAGTACGAGTGCTTCTCTCGTTCGGACGCAACATCTCTTTCTGGAGGGGATGGAGAATCTGTGATGGCCCATTTTGAGATGCCTGCAAGGAATTCCCGGAACCCATCATAGTCCATGAGAGTGGGGCTGGGTCCCAAGCCAACTCGTCCCTTTTCGATACTCTGAGTTTCAGTCAAGCCCGTCACCACCTCAGCGGCCCTGGCTTTACTGGCCTTTTCTCTCCTCTCGGTCTCGTCTTGTATCATCTGACTTCGTTGTTGACGCTCATACAAAATCCCATAGAATCTGTCGTACAGAGCTCCGAGGTCTTCAACACTCAGGCGCTTGCTGTCTGGTCCCAGATTACGAATCGAAGTCCGTTTGGCAAAGCTCTCGATATTGTTCAGCACGGCATCCTTGTGCTTCATACGCTGCTCCGAGATGCTGTTTTGTGTAATCCCGGAAAATTCCTTGAATGCGACAACCATCAATTCTTGGAACCGAGTGACTGCCCGCAGCTTTGCATTTTCGGATTTGGGATGCGCTGACTCGTCCAACTTTGAAAAGTATCCCTTCAAAACTGATATGAATGCACCGTCATCCGTTGCATCCAACAGCTCTTCGCCATTTATTCGCAGAATCGCAAGGCCAACTTGGAAAAGTACTTTTGGCCCCTCTAAAAAGAAAACGTCTAAAACTCGGAATGCAAACACCAGGGGCATAGAATTGATGTACAACGATAAAAACCATGGGAGAGAAACAACAGACAGCTGAACATCCGATTTGACCAGATGATCCCATAATATCGGCATTGTCTTTTCTACTAGGGATTCGAACACCCGTTGATCCAGCAGGGTGCCGTACATCGTAGTCGAATAGTACCCAGGTAGTAATCGATCGCATAACGTGCGTAGCAAGAAGAAAGCCTGAGTTTCGGACATGTATATGAGAAGAGCGGCCACCACAATGTTCATGGCTTGACAATATCCAACTTCTTCGTCGATCCAACTGTATGCCGTGAGAACCCTCCTCAGCCGCACAATGCCCCGTTCATCTTGAAACCCTGGGTATTCCGGAAGACTTCGATTCAGGTCTTTTTCAATCTCATCAATTGCAAGAGACTCTCGTCCTTCGTATTTCGCGAGGGTATCTACGAATAGTGTAGGCTCCTCCAGCCGCAAGAATAATGCTCCAGACGTCTGCTCCCAGATCTCTCCCCGCAGTCGATTTGGGAGTCCAACCCGGATCAGCTTGTGAAATGTAGGTTGCCGAATCAGCGTGACGTTTCTCCCGTTTTCTCGAAGGTACTCTCCCCATAAACGCATCTTGCTTCTATCCCGTAGCTTCCTCGCATCGCCTGGGTATCGAAATATCATGCCAAGTCCAGCGTCTGGAGGATCGCTCGATTTCTTTTCACCCGAGAGAAGGTATTCGGAATAGCATTCTGCCACGACTCTCTTCAACTTCCCCACATCTGCTACAGCATTCTTGAGGCCTTTCTTCAACCCATCACAAAACCTTTCGCAAGCCTGCCGGCTTCCTGCCAGCTGTATGGTAATCTTCTGCTGACTTATTGGGGCTTTCGAAGTTTCATTGGAAGAGGTATTGCTGACTCCATTCCATGTTGTGATGGCCAATGCAAACTGGACATAAAGTTAGTTTGCGTCTTTGGGCCCCAGCCTGCAATGGGTACTTACTTGGAAGCTTTGGCTATGCAACCGCTCTACACGTCTGATAGCACAAAGAGGAAGTGTAAATCCATTTCCTCCAGGTCCTGCCCCATGAGTTTGTCCCGTGAATCCCGAGGACGTGCTGGTACTGGCGGTCTGAAGGAAGCTGGTAGGTTGGGTCGAAAAGCAGAGGTAGGATTCGCTTAAATGAAGCTTTCCTGCATAGTGATAACCTCTATCTCGATCTCTATCTTTCTCCCCCTGTGTGGCATTTGGAGAGTATGTAATCGGTGGCGAGATTGTGAGCTCAGCCGTGATCTCTTGAAGTGGTGTTTGGGAGTCGGGCAGTCGGAACTGATGGCGGAAGAGAGTGGATTTCGCAGGGTTACGGTCGGATGCAGAGATATTCAAGGCTTGCGTAGGGTCAATGAGCGATTGAGCCTTTTGCACAAGGCTGCTGAGGTTGAACATTGTTCATGATTCTGCTGTGGGCAGCGTCTTCTGTCGTGGAGTTGTTCAGCTGCGAATTCGATGTCATCCCGCCTCAATGCGCGGCGCCCGCACGGTTGCCAGTGACGCGCTAGACAGGGCAGCCAATCACAGCCCACCTAATGAGACCCCTTAAATGCACACAGTAGAGCAGATAACCATTGAGTCTGAGGGATTATCACACAATAATCTACAAGGTCATTCATAGACGACCCAGAAAGAATATTACTGGCTGCTTTGCTTTTTAAAAAGTTTGTAGGTTGATCACCTGTTGATATGGACAGCCGAGCCCTTTATTGACCATCGCGTATACATTCCCAAGGCAGAGTGCAGATGCATATTTCCATGGACTGGAGCCAGCTTGAACAGAATCATTCTACTAAGACTACAACCAATTCTCAAGCACCATTGCTAAAACGATTACGTTCCATCCTAGCCATAGCCCACACATACAGTCAGATACGCAATGTCAAACCCTCGCCTAGCTATGGAATACTTGTACTCAGGCCTAGTTACTGTAGTATAGAGCAGCGTCCGCAAAGTAAGAATCGAATTCTGCTTTATCCTGCTCCCCTTTTGGCTTGTTGACATCTGGCGTGATATTGATGAGAGCAGTGGAGTATCCGTCTTGGGTAGCTGTCAGCGATGCGATCGAGTTTCTGACGATCGAAAGAGCTCCGACGTTTCCGAAATCCGTCTTCTTGCTCTTCATGGCAACGAGTAGAGCAGATGTATCCGTCTTAAGGGTGTTGATAAGGATGCCAAGGTTGTTGGATTGCTCTACAGTAAGCTGAGGCGATTGCGTAGCATGTGTAGTTGCAGTGCGAGCTGTCGACTCGAGAGCTTGTGAAGCTGTGAGGATAGGAGCTGCGCCAAGGATACCAAGACCGTTTGCAGATGACCAGTTCTGAATCATGGTGGTGAGAGGTTTGACTTTGTTGTCAATGCTAACAAGGTCGTTAACAATGACACCAAAATCGCGCCCAGAGATAAGCCCAAGAGTTGCTGGGACGAAAACCAATAGGTACTTGATCGCAAGCATATTGGGCATCGGTTTGGAAGAGCTTTTGTGTATGGAGGACAGAAGATTTATAAAAGTAGATGAAATGGAACACTGCTGTGCAATTGTTCATGGGAAATGCGTGAGGGCGACCCTTTTATCTCTGAATGTTTCTCGTTAGACCATCGTTATCAAAGGTTGTGCGAACACTTATCCTGACCGCTTATTAAAGTGATATATTTGATCAATTCTGATCGATCCTCAGCCATGTAATTGTGACCTTTCTGTGTTCCCTCATTTGTAACTAATATCGCCTTCGCCGAGAGTCAGGGGCGAACGGAGGCAGAAGAGCCATGATGCCGTTTTGCTAGTCGTCGGATGCATAGTTATTGATTTGAAACGTGGCATCTGATGATTTCACATGAAGGCTTTCCGGAAGAGAATCCGATTTGGAAAATCCTGTCTAACGTCATTTTCGTACGGGTAGGAAATAGTGAAAAGACAGGCGAAGCTGGGCACCGGCCGCGGGTAATGGAGCCAAGGTATGCATTTCACGTGATGAGTTCTGTTTCAACGATCGTTCGAAGCCCCAATCGTCAACAGTCATGCCCTTCCAAAAGAGGCGGGAAATGCCTTTGTGTATCTTTCATCTAGTTGCATCCACTCAACGGCTTTCCGATATCAAATATTTGTTTAGCGAGGGCGATCAGTCAGCCGAGCGGGAATGGACTGCCGCTCCCGCGTTAGAGTCTTCTAACGACATCACCAACCTGTTCTGCTCTGCAACGCAATGCTCGTAGCTGTCATTAATCCCGCGGAAGACGGAACCCGGTCCAAATTTGTAAGGCCGCGAATCTTATTTATACAGCAATAATTCTTATAAGACCCGTTTTGACATGTCATCAATGGATATGGATGTGCCAGCCCGTTCTGGGAGCTCTGGGACCGAGATGGTTGGTATCAGGCAAATGGGACTTAGAGCTTGCGGTACTTGTGTAAAAGCAAAGGTTAAATGCGTACCAAATCCCCAAAAGGGGAAATGCAATAGGTACCTCCTAAGATACTTGCTCAAGATTGATCCGCTGACGGCAGACAGATGTCACCGTCTGAATAAAATCTGCCAACCATCGTCTACACCGACGAAGAAGCGACCGACGTGGGTTACTTACCATATCACCTATAGTCACTTTCTTACACTTGTTTTTAGACATGTTGCTCATCTGGAGCGAAAACTTGATACTCTTGTGGAACTCTTGAGCGGCCCGAATCGTGAGGAACAGCGTTCGGGCTCTTCGTCGTCCCCGCCAAAATCCCCCGCCGCACCTCATCGACTTCGTATCATGTCACCTCCGTCCAATATCACCACATCCACTGAATCACCTAGATTCTCTCCACAGAACTTCGTCTCGAATAATTCATCATCCCATGTTGCGTATGACAGTTATGTTGCTCAACCACAAGTGTATAACTTCGACTTTGAAAATCGGGAAGCATCGTTCCTGCTACTTGAGTACAGGACACAGCAAGCTAGTCAACTTCCGTTTGTTGTTATTCCTCCAGATGCGACGTCCGAGAGCCTTCGCCGAGAGCGACCTATGTTATGGAAGGCTATCATGACAGCTGCTTCGTATCAATATCCACTACGGCAAGAAGCACTTGGGTGGAAATTGATGGAAGAATTTGCTTCGAGGATCATGCTCAGGGCCGAGAAGAGTTTAGATCTACTCCAAGCATTACTAGTGCATCTGACTTGGTTAGTCCGCCGGCCTTCATCTTTGGCACTTGAACGAGTTCCCAAGACATGTGACACGTTTTTCATTTGCAGGATTGACCTGAGCCTATCAGGTATCACTATCACTCTGTTGCGAACCCCCAGGTACTCAATCTTCTCTCACTTGCTAGGACCTTGGCAGTGAACCTTGGTTACCACAGGACGCACACTCCTAAAGGTCGCCCAAAAATTTGGCTCGACGGACCGGACGGTGTCACCAAGCAGCAGTATGATCCAGAAGAATCTGTAGTAACTTCAAGAACCTTAGAAGAATGGAGAGCTCTTGCAGGCTGTTTCTTTCTGTCAGCCATGTAAGTTAATTTGTCTGCGCATGTGGCACAAATAATTAACGAACTTCCGCAGAACAACTTCGAGCTGCAGAAGGAATGAGCCTGTTCAGTATACTCAACACCTGGACCACATTTGCAGAACTTTGACTGAGTTGCGAGAGTACGAGTCCGATCTGCTCATATTCCCACTGATATCAGTCCAAAATGTTGTGCTGAAAATTAGCACGGCGTTCACTGACCCAAATCTGGGACTGAGTACTGCCCCTGTGAAAATGTTCATCCAGTCACTGCATACTGAGCTGCAAAATATCAGGCAAAATATGTCGTTGAATGCTGCTGAAGACTGTAAGCATTAAGTAGAAATTCGCTGTTGTATAAGCTAATGGATCTCGTTAGTTACATTCGTAGTTTGTTTCCAGGTCAGTTTTCCCTCTGTCCTGTACTGGCATTCACTTCCCGGGTAGTGCCTCTGCAGAAGATCCTGTTACATGAAGCTCATTCCATTCGCAGATGGCCGAAATCTCTCTTTTCGAGGTCAGCCTGTATCGTTCATTTCACCTGGACTCTGACAAAGCATATCATCTAAATCTTTTGTACTCATGCCTTACGGCCGTCAAAACATTTTTCGATAGTCACTTCTCCAACGGATCTCCGTTTGCAACAAGCTTTGCCTACTTCCGATGGATATTTGCGGGATATGTCCTTATTCTTGGAGCAAAGCTCGCAGCCTATAAAACTGAAGGCTGGGATACCCGGCATGTCCACGAAGTTCTCGACTGCGCAAACGCACTCGATCGTGTCATCGGCAAGTTTGAAGCTATTCTACAACGCCGCACGCCTCACGGGGAGTATGAAATATTTGATCGATATGTGCAACAGATGCGCCGCGTGAAGGCTCACGGAAAGCCGTCGTCGAGATCACAGCCCCGAACACAATCTGGGAATCCTCTTTGCGAGGGTCGAGAGCCACATCAATCGCCACAAGCTGGCAGCCGACTTCACCAGACAAGTTTCGACCCCGAAATGTCTCAGCTCAACTCAAATCCTTTCACCATTGAGCCTGACGATAACTTCTGGCAAACCATGTTCGATGGGGATGATGACTGGTGAGTTGATTTCTCTCCCAGAATTAAGACCTAATTGGTGTTCAATCTGCACCGTCAATACTCTACATGATGTGCTGCAAAAAGTCAGTTTCTAACCCGATTGCAAGGTTTATGACGCCTTATTAAATAATCCACGGTCATGTCAGCCAACGGAGCAAACCTCCAGCATGTCCACAACAGCAACTGAATATCACATTTATCAATTCAGTCTGCTTCTCTCTCTTCACTGAAAGCATCGCCTCAATTATACCCGCACAGGTCAATGTATCGCCACACGCTTTGCCACTGTAGTCGGGTGTGCGCCGATGAGTCCCTCAGCACAACACAACGACCTGCGAGAAACAATACCACCAAGTTGTATGGAAACTGGGACAGTTCTCTCTCAAAACAGATGCGTGAGACTGCGCAGCATTGCAAGGAGCATCTATACACATTCTCCCACATCAATCGCGAATCTCATGCCACGTTCGATCACAATGTATTGATTTCTCTGCATACATGTTTTAATAGCACAACATTTTGCAGGCACTGTCCAAGCACCTCAAGTAATCATGATCATAGGCGAGAACTGCCCGAAGAACCCTGTATTTTGATGGCCAGGACCCCTGAAATCAGCACGTGCCAGCGTCTTGCAGACTGCATCCGATCCAGTTTCAGTGCAGATCATCGCGTCAACCTCAACGCGTAAATTTCCTTCGTTTCTGCTCCGATCAAATTTACTAAACTCAGCACCTAGCTTTCTCCATGTCTAGAAGGTATAGGTCCAATATCCTAATATTTTGTTCTGTGTTGTATAGCTTGCTAAACCTATGCTCGTTCAGGTCCTCCACTCGGCGCACTTCAAAGGCGGCAACCGCACCGACTTTCACCCATTTTGGTGCACTACCCCTCGAATCCAGACCAGGATATGGACATATAGCTGCGTGGAACATGGAAGCACCCACGCCTGAGTACAGAGAATAGCCAAAGATCCGAGACCGAAAATATTGAATGCAAAACCACCCAGTAGACCGGCAACTCTCCGCATCCTAGCACCATCAAGACTCGCCGTCCCAAGCCTTCTACACTCCTGCCAATATTCGAGGGCTCAAGCGCTGAATTATTGGGCGTTGTGGCCTTGTGCGAGTCCGAATCGCCCTCACAAGAATGATGGAACCTTCATATACGTGAACAAGTTATACGACACAATATACTTTGCCGATGGACTCATCGAAGACTTTTTGTTTCTAAGATGTATATCCATGGCTGCACCGCCTGGCTCGGGAGTTCCTAGAAACGAGTGGAGTCGTACATATGAAGAGTTTGGCCTCTTTTTGAAAGGTGTTCGGCACTATGCTATTGACTGGCGGTGCTGGCTTGTGGGAACTGTGAACGGAGACAGCCTATGGATGTCACTTCTGTGCATCGCCTCCAATGAAGACTTGACCATCGTTATTGATCCCTCAATCATGAAGCCGAACTCAAAGACCACGGTTTTGCGTACGCCTGTGATGAAGCAGATTACTCCAGGCACTACACGTGCAGAAACAGTTGACACAATACTCCGGCACATCAAACACAACCAGGACTACTCAATAGGCGCCAACATATCGGATGCATTGGAGACACAGATTTTCAAGCAAGGTTGGAAAGCAAGTGAGGAGCCATATATGGAATACATGCCTAATCTCAAAGCTCTAGCAGTGATCTGGCCGCCATCCGACCAGGAAGATGATGAAAACGGGACGAATGACGAGACTTACCTGGAGAAAGTGAGGAGCCAATGTCGGTACCATACGCTGAAGTTTACTCTTGAAAGCATGAGTTTTGAACAAGAAGATTTGAGAAAGCAGATGAAGGATGATGGGACTGATTTCCCCGACTTTTCCATTTCCACGTGCGGGGGATTTCGCTATGGTTAGAGGATATGCCTTCCCTAAAACTGTTCAAAATACTTCTTCTATAGCTAAGTGTGTATCTTTTCATCGTATGTTAAGCCCGCAACGGAACTGGGCAGGATAAATTGAGTAAGGAATAGAGGCGTATCACTGTCAGCTGACACCCCAGATATCTGTGAGACATCGTCTTGTTACAGAGTGTGGTAATATCTAGGTAATATCTATCGTGTCGCAGCTCACTTGTACTCCTTCTGGCCTTGATATGATCCTCAAAACTTGAATCCGGCCACTTTAGGTGGTGTTCTGATCAGCATCACTTGGTAACCAGCTCCAGGAGAATCAGCATTCAACACGACTACTCGGTCATCCACTGAGAGGAAGAGAATGATCCAAGTACGGAGAAGTATGATCATCAAGTGTCTGAGCCTTCGTCAGCGTCTGGTCGCTTGCCAACCATATGATTTTTAAAACCTGGCCGTAGGTATTCAGTTTCTCCGCCAGTCACAATTTGGCTCAACTAAATTTACGTAGGTCGACTAGCTGACCAGTATTTCTCAAGCGAAATAGGCAAGCTTTGTCGCGTGTTTCTATCCGACTTCCACTTGAAGGATTCGGCACACTGGCTTAAGCCGATCCCATTCGCAAGTGGCATGTGACTCACGATGGACCTTCTCAAAGCCTCTACCCAGAAGATGTTGTCTTATGGGCGAAAATTTTTTGCATTGATCTCAACTTTCATTGAACCGCTCGAAAGCGCGCATTACTGCAACACTGTCTCAAGCGTTCCGACAATCGGACAGTCGCTTCATCCAGGAGAATAAACAGTCAAGTCTGCCTTGAGCGGCTTAAGCGAGCGGCTTGGCAAGCTCAGCCCCTCCACATTTTGAGACCTCACCAAAGCTCGCGGCACATTATTCAGAAGCCACGCCAAAAGCGTCTGATACTAGCCGTTATATCGTATCACACAGCCTCTTGAACGATGACATAGCCCGTTCCTTCTATATTGCAGCCGTGGTCACAATGTGTGGTACTACACGATATATTTTGACGACGTGAGTCCCTTCGTCACTATTCAGCAGCAACACAATTTTCTCTTGCAATGGCCATCATTCTCGCATTATCATTATTTCTCTGCCTGTTCTCAACTGTCAATGCAAGGTCCCTAGCCCAGCCTGCAGTCCAGCATTTATCGTCAAGAGCAGAATACCAAGGCGGCTGGCCTCTCGCTCTGATCGGGACAGCATCGCCCTCATGTCCCGCTTCCGCCTCCGAATCATGCTCTTCCACAGCACAAAACCCAGCATGTTGCCCATCCGGTCAGACATGTACTTGGAGTGGTTCAGTATACGCAAGTTACTGCTGCCCAACAAGTACGTCCATTCCAAAACTCATCATCACGAACCAGCATGCTAATCATTTCCCAGGCGCCGATTGTCAGACCGCTGTCCTCAACTTCCCTCGTTGCTCAAACAGCATATGGACAATGTTCATCCAATACCCATCAGGATTCTTCTGCTGCGAGCCGGGCATGCTCGGCGTAAATCCTTCAAGTGGGAAGAGTGGCGGGTTATGCGAGCCAGCAGATCAACACGTCCCCGCTTCCCTGCTGGCAACAGTCATGGCCCAAGTTGGGACTCTAACGCCATTACCAACACCGACAACAGGCGGAAATCGAACTGCGACAGCGACAGGAGGAGGTGGAAGCGGCGCAACTCAGACGAATCCGAGTCTTGCTCCGACGAGCACCGGCAGTGGCAGTGGCACGAGTCATAGTCTGGGTTCATTCAGCAATTGGAGCTTGGGTATCAAGGTTGGGATTGGAGCCGCGATAGTTGTAGCAATTCTGCTGCTTGCTATGGTGGGTTGTCGGATCAGGAGGCGGCGTCGGGAGGTGCGGTATGCTTCGCCGTTGCTGCCTGGGGAGCGTAACGAGATGGGAGTCTTGATGTACAATGAATCGGGATTACCACCTGCGTATGAGCCATACAGAAGGCGGGATGGAAATGCGAATAATGTTACGGTTAATGTGGTGCATGGAGATTATAGCTGACGAGGGCGGGGTGGAGTGGATATTTTAAAGCAGGGAGTTTGGGAGTTTGAGAAGTATATGATTGTTTTTGTAAATTTATATATTTTCATATAGACCTGTGTTAAATGTAACTCAACAGAATCTGTTATATTATTCCTGCATTGAGCAAAAGATGACACACAGCTCTGTATACTGGACTAACACCAATTGTATCTTTCCTTTCGAACGTTCTCCCGTATAAGCATACTCGCCAGTACAACCTTTCTAAGAAGCTCAATGCCTTCGGTTTTGACCGCGTAAGTCTATTAGCTTTCTGTAAAGCCGTCAAAAGAAGGTCTGAATCGTCTCAACGAAGTAGGTCTCTCGCTTCGCAAGTGAAGATTACTCGAGAACTAACAAGCAGAGACATGCTACATCCTGACTATCCACTTCTTGTGAGAATTATCGCCATCGTCTGCTATATATCTCTTCCCTTTACCCATGAGATTCTGCGTATCATCTCACACACTTATGCTCGTCTCTCGCTCTCTCAGACGACACTCCACTAATGCTCAGCAGTGATGCTCCGGCATTTGAAAATTTGCAACGCTGCATACCTCTCATACATCCCCAAAGTTTGGAGCTGCTCCAATTTCAGTTCCCATTTAGGCTGCACGCCGAAGAAATCACACCACTAATAAACTTGCGTCCATGCTCAAGCTCATTCTCATTCCTCACCCAGCCATTCAATTCCCCTCATATGCTCCAAAATCCTCGCAGCAGCTTCCTCCGCACTCAACTCCGTAACATCCAACTCCAAGAGCTCCGCACACGGGAACTTAAAAATCGTCATATGTTCGTGAACTCTTTGTAGTATCGTCGTATCAAGCGTCATACCCTTCCCTCCCGCAACCAAGTCCTTCCTCTCCTGAGATATCATCCTCTCCTCATTGACTTCGTAGTCACAAGTCAAAACGACAGGGATGAAAATGCATCCTCGAGATTTCGCTGCCTCCGCATACTCGTTCACGACTTCGGGCCCACCGTCTGTGTCGGATTGGCAGTCTGTGAAGATGTATCTGAAAAGCTGTTAAAGTGTGTTTATATTGGAGAAGTTTGAGGGACTCACGTATAGCCGAATGTGTCTGAGTCTGTTGCTAAAGAATCGAAGACTACCTCTCGGAACTTGCGACGGAGGGGTTTGTATCCTGGAGCGGAGCGAGGCATGATTGCTCCTGCGGGGTCGATGAGAAGGTGGTTATGAATCTGTAAATTGGTCAATTAATATTCGCTGAAAGTTTTGACAGTTACTGCTGCGTTTCTCTACATGGTAATGAGAAGCTCAAAGGAGGGATGCACTTACCACGCGACCATTTCCAGACATTTGTCTTTGAAGTTCCTTGGCAATTGTGTGTTTTCCCACGCCGGGCCAGCCGTTGATGTGGATGATTGGTTCGGGCATTTTGGGAAAGGAGTGTAGTTCGGATTGTGTTGTCTTGGATATCGATTCGAATGCCGAAAGAAGATTACTCAATATTGACGACGGTGCATCGATGACTTGGATGTTCACGTTATATCGAAATGTAGAATGTTACTTGTGAAATTCGAGAGTAGGGATATCATCCGTTTGAATTATCTGCTTCTTATCTTGGCACTTAGAGTAGCTCGCTTCTGCCAGTCCATTTTCAAATTTACACCAACAATATTCTATTTTACCACCGTTTAGTTCAGAGACAGCAGACACTGTATGGGAAATGTTACGAGCATGACTCCACTTTAAGAAGTGTGTCGTAGGAGCGAGCAGTCGAGAGCCAACGATTGGAGTGGGTGACTATACGTAAGTATTCTGAGGTACTACTCCTCATATATATGTCAACCTCTATCATCAATGTTGTGATGCAAGATATCCAAGCAAAACTCACGAATGGTAGCGAACCATTTAGTGTTTGGACAAGTGGGTCTCGCTTCGGTGCTAACCGAAAAGAAAATGGGGCTCGAGGGGGTCGGCTCGATTTACCAGACCTGTATGCCGTATTTAGAGTTCAATTGCTTGGACGAAAGTACCACACCGCTTCTGCTGCAGTTCAATTGCATTCATTTGACTCCTGTCATTTCATTTCTACTCATGAGACGTCGGGGTTCAGCTGCAGGAATATCTACATATAGATTTACCCAGGTATGATGGAACTGCTCACGTGAATTTGTATTTCTCCCGGCGGCACGGAGGTGCAAGCAGTCGCTTCGGTGCAGCCGGGAAGTACTGTATGGAACTGGGCAACATTCTTCTTCACTGTCAAGAGATCTTAACGACAGTTGACATCATGCCAAGATAAATGATGGGGTCCCTCGAGGCACCCAGCGAAAGAGAAAAAGTACCCGCCAAGAGGTGCGGGACGAGGTGCTGGGCAGTGGGAACTCCCCAACCAGATTTTTCCCAACCCGGCGTCTTGGATGGGCCAGCGCTGCCACTGCCTGCCACTGCCTGCCAGTCAGGAGAGGTCCCACTCCACTCCACTCCACTCCACTCCACTCCATTCAACTCCACCTCATCCCAGACAAATAGCGCCGAAGCTAAGATCGACACAACAGAGACGGCTCGCGGTTTGCGGTGGGTTTGCGGTTTGCGCGCAGCTTCTGTCCTCACGCGTGTATTTTTAATTATGGACAGCCCCTTGATTTGCTAAGTAGTTTTTGCACGCCTGAGCAGCGCCCCCCGGCCAAGACATGACATCTGGACATCTGGACAGTACTGTATTATGGCGTGTGGGGTCGGAGGAGTGGGATGCGGGGGAAAATTTCCTTCCCCCGAGTATGAAAGGGGGGCTGGGGCTCTTCTCCTTCTCTTGTCTTGTCTTTGTCTTGTCTTGTCTTTTTCCTGATATATGACGATGCTCTTGAATGCCAACCCAGAACCCCCAGGATAAGGAACACATGCTCTACTGCAGTACCGATAGTGCATAGCAGCACGCGTCTGCGCGTGCTGGCACTCCTCGAAGCCCCACTCCATGACCAGCGGGCGAGTCTTAGGGGTCATAGTCACGTCCGTGATATGCCTCATCTGCATCGCGACGAGAACGACGTACAGGATCGTGTATCGCTGCAAGATCCATGTGTCTTGTCACAGGAGATGGCATATCGATGATATCTGGATGGGGATGGCCTTCTTCCCCCTTTTGGGACGGGCGCTCTGTGTTTCGTGGTCGGATTCTGCTTCTCGCCATCCCAGCTCCTATGAGACTGCCATGAAGTTGCTGTTGCCGGCGCGAATATTCTATGCCTTATTGTGAGTTACGCTCCGTGGAAAGTCTTGATTCCTGTGTTGACTTTCCAGCCTTTGGTGTATGAAAATGTGTCTTTTGGAACTCTACCTCCGGATCTGCAAGAACTTGCCCATGTATCGCAAGATCGGACTATGGATCCGAGCTGCTCTTTATGCCACGTTCATCATGATCGTGCTACTCACTCTTCTAGAGTGTCGACCGATGAAGCTGTAAGTTATTTCTACTGAGATGTCTTTGACTATGTGCTAAGTTCACAACAGAATGTGGAATCATGACCCCGCAGGAGGTAATTTGATGCCATGAACCTTATCCAAATGAAGCTGACGAGATATTTCAGCTCAATGCAGGCGAGCCAGACTCAATCTGATCAGTATGGCTGTCGCAAACATTGTCACCGATCTTGCTCTCATCATATTCCCGCTGTCATTTCTCAGACAGGCTGGGCTGGACTTCTACAAGTAGGTCTCACTTCACATCTCGCCCAACCTCATCACTAAACCTATGTGCCCCTTAAGATTTCTACGCTTGGGTATACTATTCACTCTCGGCTCCCTAATCATCATCACCACAATCGTCCGGCTACCACTCATTCTCCGCGACGACGCCCAAGCCATCCGCTCAATGTGGGCCAGCATCGAAATAGCCTGCGCCATCGTCGTCGCCAACGCACCATTCTTCCAAGCAGTGATCATCGACATGCAACTCGGCGGATCACACAACAAATCCATAGCAGAAAGAAGACAGTCCCAATTAACAAACTCATCCAGTAGGAGAAGGTCAAATTCAAGCAGGGTGAACAGTGACCGGAGAGTTAGTCTCTGGCATATCGAGGAGAGGATGGATAGTGAATCGGCAAATCGAGAAATTCTTGGAAGTGCTGGGACTTCGGGGAGTGGGCATGAGTTTCTCACGGTGCCGCAGGGGTATTTTGAGTATCAGCGACGACCTGCTGAGGAGATTGAGATTGGCCCGCCTTTTACGGGTTTAGATGTGAAGAAATGTTGTCTATAGCGCGCAGCACGATGCAAATAAAAGCAAAAACATTTGAAATCTATGTCCAGACTTGGCTTCTTCAAAAATTACACGCCAACTCAACCAGCACCTCCTCCCTAGAGCATTGAAGGCCGTGGCTGCATATTGGATGAAGCGCATGATATGATGATAGAGAATAGCCAGAAGAACGAGATATGGATCCGTATAATTCCGATGAACTCTCGACCGAGCCACCATCCTCAGCAACACTTATCCGGAATTTGGGTTTACACACAAGCTCTGCCATTTTAGCCACGCCTCTTGGTCAAGCTTGTTGCACAACAAGGTTTGAAGCAAGGTTCGAAACACTGTGGGAGTCGATTCCTTGTAGTATTGCTGACTGGCTGCTAATAATAAGTCTATCAAAGCTTCTATGAGACGACGGAGAGGATACAGACAGCAAGAAAAAAGGGGCACAATAATCTGTCCATACCATCCAGGTCTCCATTATCACCCCACCCTGCCTATCATCCCAGCAAACCACAGCCAAATACCCCAGTACATGCAAGATCAGTACACAAAGAAAGTGTCCGTCTCATTCTCCGACGCCCTCAACTTCGCATTCCGTCTCTTCATAATAAACTTCACAATCCAAGCAGTGATCGCCGTCCCAGCCGAGAACCCGGCAGAAGAATACATCGCAATACCGTACTGTGGCGCATCGCTCTTGGGCCACAGATACGGAGTCCAGATGAAGCTTGCATTCATGATGGTAGAGACGATACCAATGGCAGCTGCTTTCTTCTCCTTGGTTTGTCCGCAGGTCGAACCGACCCAGCCGAGGATGAGGGAGTTGACGGCGTAGGTGCCGATGCAGAAGACGACCATTGCGAACTGGGGCGGTTGTTAGTTTTGGGTTTTTTGAAGTTGGGGAGAATGAATTAGTTAGAGGGACTTACATATCGCACACCGATCGGTTTCGTGGTGGCGGCGATGACGAACCCAATAATAGCCACGGACTTGGAGGCAGTGATGTGCCAGGTCCGCTCGTTGTACTTCCCAGACAACCAAGATACGAGGATCGTGCTTGCGCCTGCGATGAGATATGGTGGGCAAGTGAGGACGAGGGTGATGGTGCGGCCGAAATCGAGAGTCTCAACAACGGTTGGGAACTGTTCGCGGACTTGTTAGTATTGTCATCTTTGGATGGTGATGGTGATGGTGGCCCGATGAGAGACTTACAAAGTTCTTGAATCCGTTGGCGGCCAGATGCATGTGAGCCATGGCTGCGAAGAGCCAGACGACGGGGTCGGAGACGGCTTGTCTGAGACCGGCCCAGATGCTGGCGTCGCCCTTGTTGCCTACAGTGTCTTCCTCCATACGGGCATGAGCGAGGAGACGCTCTTCTTGGGTCAACCTGCCCTTGAGTCAGTCGCTGTTCGGTTGTTTTAGGGAAGTGTTGAAAGATTTTGACTTACCATCTTGTGGTCAATGGGTAGTCAGGAAGACAGAAGAACCCAATGACTGCAACCAAGAAGGTCACAATACCCTGAAGGATAAACAGCCACTGCCATCCAGAAAGACCAGCAGTGTGATCCATTCCATGGAAGACACCAGCAGCAATCAAGCCAGCAAACGCCGTAGCGAGAATGTTCCCCGTATACAAAATCGCAATACGAGTAGCGATCTCCTTCCTTGTGTAAAAGATACTCAACATGTAAACTGCCCCGGGATAGTACGGAGCCTCCGTCAATCCGAGGAAGAAACGGACGAGCAGGAGACCGGTATAGTTGTGGACGACGGCTGTGAGTGCGCTGACGATAGCCCAGGCCATCATTGCGATGCCCATGTAGCGACTGGGTCGTGTGCGGGTGAGGAACATGTTGGAGGGGATTTGGCCGAGAAGGTAGCCGACGAAGAGGATGCTGAGACATGTTTGGTACTCTGTGTGGATCTGTATTAGCGAGTGCATTTTGAAGTTTGAGTTACGGTTCGGTACACACCTGTGCCTTTGAGGTTGAGTTCCTCCTCGAGTCTGTTTAGGCGAGCCAGCGCAATGGCGTTTCGGTCAAGATAGTTGAGCCAGTACATTGACCATAGCATGGGCTGAGGATGATGTTAGTTGGAGTTCAAGTGAGCGCTGATGGTTAACTGACCATGATCCATCTGTCTAGCTTCTTCACGAGGGCGATTTCTCTGGGATCAGTCTTCTCCTGAGCACCGGAGTAATCAACCTTTCCTTGAGGTCTCTTCAAATCCTCTTCAGCGAATTCAATTTGTTGTGGTCCTTTGACACCGATGTCATCTTTGGTATCTCTAACTTCGGTAGCCATGTTGACTTTCAAACTTGAGTGTAATGGGGAACTGATATGTGTAGAAGGAAAATAGAATGTGAAATGGATGTCAGAGAATAGTTGTTCTCGGTGACTTGAATCAGATCAGCATTTTGTCTGGGGACTTTCCCTGACATATATACATTTCTCCTGATCCGCAAATCTGTTGCCAGGCATCGCCATCGAAGCTGGCAACACTAACACTCACATGGTGGTCCCAAAATCAAAAATGGTAATTCTGAGATGTCACAGTCACATTACTCGCCTACTCGTATCAACAAACACCACTAGAAAGTCCGCCCAGCCACCACTTGCTTCAAGAATTATCGTGGGCGTTCTTGGACACGCGGGGAAGTCTTGGATTTCCTCAGCAACTCCTCCATAAACTCGACTTCAAAAGCAAGGAGGCACGTCGACCTATCTGCATGCCAATGTCAACAAGACGGCAGAGTAGAAACGGCTTTTCTTGTCTAGTTGCTGCCAACGTCAGATGAGAGACTTGACAGGAGAGCCAAGGTGTGTCAGTTACGCTAGTCAGGGTAGTGCCTCTCATGGTTCGGCGAATGTCCAGCCTGGTGGCCTCGAGGTGGCCTGAGATGATGGTGGAGGTGGCGGAGCAGCTTCTAGTGATCTTCTAGTGCCTTTCTAGCGGCCTTCTAGAAGCATTCCGGTTTCGTCGAATCCTTCTAGGGGAGTTTCTAGCTTTACTTTAGAAGGGTTGGCATTGCTCGGCGCGAGGGTCGTCATCGAATCGCGATGACCGGTGATGGGGTGGCACGCCTTCACTGATTAGATTGGTTGCTTGTGTATGAGCTTGCTGCAGGTTATAAGCTTGCCACTTTGTGGAGGTTCGTGAGATTCAAGCTCCGGTGTGGTTGCGTCTGGTGAACCTGGCAGATGCGGGGTGGTTGGTGGAGGTCGATGCGGGGGAGTGCGGAGACATGTCCGACGAGAACTTTTCGGACTTGGCTAGCATCGTGTTAGCATGGATCATAGGAGTACTTCGACGTAGTCATGATATTGGAATTGCACCATTCGATAGACTTATGCTATGTGTATCCACCTTGTAAGGCAGCCTGTTAGCCGTGTTGGAAAGGTGATTAGCACACAGGATTTGGCATTGCAATTCGTCAACCGTCCAATCATGGACTCGAAGTAGATGAAGGAGTTATCACTCTATGGCTGACGGGCGGGTCAGTCTACGCATGGGGAGTTGAGATGATCTTCTTGGTCTGACCAGGAATACGTGGGATCATAGTAATCATTGCTGCTGGGAAGACAGCCAACAATCACTGCTATATGTTCTACATTTCGCTTAGCTTAATTGAACAGCTCGTATCTTCTTCCGATCTTAGCTCTGGGCAGCTCCACTATTATACCACTCAGGTTGGGTAGCGGTGAACTATCAAGTACCACAGGGGCTGTTCAAGATACAATGAGAGCCAAAACTCATCAGGGTATTGTGTACAGGCGATGACATCAAATTCTTCGCATCTGAACGAATAACAAAAGTGACTCAAGTCTTTTCGTTCTTCAGGTTCTACAAGTTCTCCAATAGGTTTCGATTTGACTTTTCGAGGGAACACACTTGCACTATTTCACCTAAATTTCTATCAATGAACATCACTAAGCTATCACTTATGATTCGGGCGGGCCAAAGTAAATGGCGCAGAAGAAAGTGGCTTGCCAGAACCCGCTATCGTCGGCCATTCTTGCCACCTCTCTTGCATGATGCACCCAATGCAAGAGCACCTAGAGGTGCGAGCAACGACTAGCGGAAGCTTCCGTCTACTTTCAAAGTAGATCCTCCAGCATATGGCTAGATGCAGATCAAATCCTTAGCAGCAGCTTACGATTCTACCACACACCTAACATGATTCTAGCTGCAGAACTAACTTTCCAAATGCAAGCCATTCTCTGACGGGATGAGATGCTAGGGTTAATGGAAGCCATTGACATCAATGAATAAATCTCGACAAGAAATGAGCACGAATGACCTGGGATTAGGAGATGAAGTCTTGCGAGTGCAGAAGCTGGACGAAGATTACGACTTCTCAATGTATGGATGGCGGGATGTCAGGTCCACACCGAGGGACAATGTGCAAGAAGGCAACCCGGGTTATTTCCTATCTCAACTTTGAAGGATTCCAAGTTAGTGATCATCGGGAACTTCCTATTTTAAGCAACTCTCTCGTGACGAACGGAGTAAGCTCTAATTTTACAGAGGACATCTGGTGGCAAGTTACATGTTAATTGACCACATTGATATGATTAAATGTGTCTGATGACACTTCGATGGTAGTTTCACGACGTTACTGCTTGTGGCTGAGAGCCAGAAATTATTTTCTGGATCGTAAATAAACAAATATCACGAGTCGAACTGCTGAAGTAAGCGAGACGTGGCCCACTCAACATCAAGCTGCCGAAGTTCAAGCATCAAAATTACAACTCTGCTATGTATTCAAATAAGCAGCCGCCGTCATCAATTCACCTGACACATGAGTCAGAACAAGCGTTTGTGTAAGTTTCTCAGCAGATTTCACGAATCAGATCCAATTCTAACATCACATAGGGTTTAGTGGTAAAATCCATCGTTGCCATAATGACCGTTTCGATGGGCCCCGGGTTCGATTCCCGGCGAACGCAAAATTTCTTTTTGCCTTTTTTCTTGCTTAAGAATTCAATCAATTGAAATGACAGGGTGATCCGAAGTTCCTTTTCACTTTGTGTGACGTGCCTTAACTTCGTAAGCGAGGTCACGATTGCACATGGGTCTTGATTCGCTTGCTTTGTTGTTGTCGCGATACGTTATCACTGCTTCCACTTGCTTAATTACCTAGGCTCTTGTAAGTGATGGATGCCAATAATCAAGAGCTTGAAGAAGCACCTAGGATGAGCACTAATGATTTCGATGTATCCTTTTATCACTAGTTTCACTTGATGAATTAACGCTTCAAGGATCTTCGATTCTAAGTTACTTGAGGATTTTGCTTTGTACCTACCACTCCATGAAGCAGCATACAAGAAAGTATATTCAACACATCAAGATGTCAGAAACTCCCCAAGCACCCTCATGAAATCGTCCTTCTTCTCAATGTGGGGACTATGGGTTGTCCCGTCGAGCGTAACTAGCCTAACATTCGGGATCTCATCCAAGAATGGCTTCATCGCATCTCCAGATGCGAACTCATCGATGCCGTTGATCAGCAGAGTGGTACGGCGATATTCTTTGCTCTCCCAACCATCGACCACGTCGCAAAAAACCCAGTGGCAACGAACGGATTTCCGTCCTTGTGATCGCCCCTTGATATGTTAACTCAGCCGAATAGAAAATTGTGGCTCTAGATGCGTGAAGTAAGGCTTGAACTTACATAGCAGTTGCAACAGTGGTATCCTCACCATACAAGCGCTCACTGACAACCACATCTTCCGGGAGTGGGGTAACCTTGCAGACATGTCGAACCGAAAACTCCTGCATAACAGCACCGACCTCTTTAGAATTCCAATCTCCCGTTCTATCAGCATGATCTAGGACGTGTTGCATTTCCTGCGGTAGCTGCTTCCTAAGTTTCCAACGATTCGCAATAGGCAGCGCCTTACTCGCCGCCGAATTTGAGAGGATCAACTTCCTCAATCCCGGGGGCTTCGTACTCGCAAATGCGGAGCCTAGCATTCCACCCCATGACGAGCCTAGAATATCGTACTGCTTCTCAATACCAAGGAATGCAAGCAACTGTCGCAACTGCTCGAAGAAGATCTCTTCATCCCATAATGATGGCCTAGATGCTGTTTCTGGGAGTCTTGTTGACAAGCCGGAGCCGATTTGATCGTAGAAGACCACGGGGATGGAGTGCGTATGTGTTAGGCTTGAGATATTGAGGAGATAGTTGTGAGGAAATCCGGGACCTCCGTGGAGAACTACGAGTGGTGTGACTGAACCTTGCAGGTTTCCGAAGACGCGATAATATGTTTGGAGGGGCTTTGATCCGGTGCCTGGGTACTTGAATGGAGCGTAACCGGAGGAGGAGCCTGAGAGGGGTGTTGCTGCCATGGTGGGATGATGGTTGACAATTTGATTAATTTATAGAAACTGGAAACTGTAAATGGCTGTGGACAGCTTGAGGCTATTGAAATTCATGATCTCGATGTGTGGTTTTTTGGTGAACTACGGCGGCATTCATCATGGATATATACATCACAGAACCACACTGTCAACTCCTCATGCCAAAAGGTGCTTACGAAGACAGAATAGTAGGATGACTCTTGGCGTGTCATATGCACGGTTTCTGCGGCCTCTTATCCGCTTTGGATGTTGGTGGAGTACGATGACGAAAGAAAATTGCTAAATTCAGTGACCTGCCTAACAGAGCAATTCAAGTTTTGGCTATTTAGCCGCATGTCAGATATCCTTCGCCCTGCGAAATGGAGTATAATTGTAACTACTACAAGTATGGAGGCTTTCCTGATCCGGAGGAACTGCTTGCTTTGAAATTTGTCTCGCTTCAGACATTGTTTACCAAACATGCAATAGGCGTGGAAGTGAGCGAGCAATTGGTCGGTGCACCCACTTTGGTTACTTCTCAAGCGATTATTTAGAGAAGACCGCGATCGCCTCTTTCCTTCATGCCTGTTCACCAAAGGTTCGTCCGAATCGTGGGAGATCAGGATATTGTGAGCAAATCGCAAGAATTCTCTAGAGTAACCAGCCTGGTTCTTTGATGTACGGAAGCTCATCCGATCAAGCTTGATTTCTGCTATTCGCCAGCTACTTTTGACGAGTATCTTTTTCATATATAATATGGCTTTGGCAGATTCTTCATCTCGCTTTCGGTGAGGTTCCGGCTTCAGCGTTCTCATATCTGGAGGAGGTCACTAAACTTGAACAAAAATGTGTCACACTGCCAATCGATTGATGACGGAATTGATGGAGCGATCTATTATATAACGTGCACCAGGAAGAATGGATGAGGCTACAGTGGTAACGAGTACTGTTTATCAGCATAGAAGAAGACTTAATGGGAGGGGCCGCGATTTAAGGTTATTCTGTAGGTCGGCGCTAATCCAACTTCGGAAAGGACCCTCCATGACGTCGGGCAGATCCAGGACCCAGTCAAGCTCTAAAGCTCCAAAGTCAACAACACCATCGGATTCGCGACCGGCCGTTATGGTATGATACAAACATGGCACAAACTATTGCAAAAGCGGCCATCAGCCTATACATCTTGACTTTCAACTGCGGCAAATCACTTATCGATCTTGACGCCGTATCATCCCAGCTCTTCTTAGGGCTCAGTACCTCGAAGCTCCCAGACATCCTTGTTCTATCTCTACAAGAAATTGCACCAATACCTCACTGCCTCATCGGGGGATCCTTCCTCGTTCCATACTTTAGTCGATTTCATCAAGCTGTCGAGAAAGCGTCACGGAAAGCGGCTGGCACCACAGGCAATGATGGTGGATTGATATACCATCCTGTGGCGGCAAGGAATCTGGGAATGACGGGCATAATGGTGTTTGCGAAGGATCCTACAGCTGTGTCGGATGTAGAGACAGGTGGTGTGGGCGTTGGACTGGCAGAGATGGGCAATAAAGGCGCTATTGGAGTACGGTTCACATATCATGGCAATGGGACATCAACAGAATTGGCTTTCGTCGCTGCACATCTTGCACCCATGGAGTCTGAGCTCGAACGCCGAAATGAGGATTGGAAGAATATTGTGCGGGGCCTGGTATTTTCTTCGAAGTCTGTAGATCGCACGAATATCGAGACGGCGACTTCGGCCGAAGAAAGACCGCTGCTTTCTATTTCACCACGAGATGCGTCGATATTCAAACCAACTTCACATTTATTCTTCGCAGGAGATCTGAATTATAGGACTTCTATTCTGTCGCCCTCACCTACAGATCATCAGGATACCTTCCCTCAACCTTACCACGACGAGTCATCGCCACAGCACTTCTCCAAGCTGTTCGAGAATGACCAGCTCAATCAGGAACGACTAGCAGGTCGAACGTGTCACGGCTTGACTGAAGCTCCTGTCACATTCCCACCGACTTACAAATACAGCCCCAAGGAACCATTCCTCACTCCAGACGAAGATCTCTCCAAATGGCATTGGGCTAGGCATCGCTGGCCAAGTTGGTGTGACAGAATTCTGTACCTGGATATCCCATCCTGGGTCAGGAGCTCTCACCCGGAAGCAAAGATCATGACACACAAATACTCGGCTCTCCCTCTGTGGCCTACATCTGACCATCGTGCCGTCGCCCTCGATGTTTCTGTCCCCCTAATTCCCATCCCACCTCCAAAGGAAGACGAGCAAGGCGATGATCCGAGAATACATCCACCTTTCAAAGTAAACATCGACTGGAGGACCAAGAGGGAGAGAGCAAGAGTCCTGGAGTTGGTGACTGGGTTCGCGATGTACTTTACCACTACTCTGGAAGGAGGTGGAGTGTCCGTGGCGATGTTGCTTGGAGCTGTTGGAGCGTTCTTTGCCATTAGAGCTATGCTTGAGATGTGAGAAGTGGTGTTGGCATTCAATATGATCATCACACATGATTATACCCGACCAACTGATCGTTATTACATACACTGTTCTGCTCTCTGTTAGGAGCAGGGGCAGCATGATTCTCGCCTCAAACGGGTGGTAGGTCGTGACTCGTGATCGAGTGAACCACTTACTACTATGAGCCGAAATTAAAGGCGAATTTCATTGCGCGTACTGAAGATGTCTGTTGAGCGACTCTAGTGATTTGGTTTCCACGAGTCAGCGACGTTTTGCACTTTGTGCAGAGTGGATGTGGCAAGGATCTTCGGAAACGGAACAGTATCTTTCTGCTATCCTTACTGTCGTTCAAGTACAGTACTCCGACATCAGTCGTCCACGATCCACAGAGTTTCGCTTTTGAAAGGTCTTGGAAGAACTTTCTAGTTAACTGTCACCCAACATTACTCATCCCGACTTTCCACGGTGGCTTATGCCCTTCCAATTGACTCGGAGCTTACGGCATGAAAAACAAGCACTTGTACGGCTGACTGAGCGGCCCGCCACAGCATCAGATGAAAAAGCTTCTTCCAAATTCCACTCATAGATAGATAAATACTTCTTCTCCATCTGCAAAATGTCCAAGTACAATCACGTGTATGTACGGAGCAAGGGAGACTTTCGAGCCGTGTCAAGAAGACTGATCCAGCAGCCAAGATTCACGAACCAAACACCTGAGAGAGCTCGAGGAGAAGCATTTCTTGGACGAATCCATCGAAATATCAAGTTGTCAAGTGGCTAATTTACGGCATTGTATATACTTTATTTCATCCCAACCCGATCTTCCGTTGTTCCACGTCGCTGGGCACGGTACGTCATTTAAAGCCGAGGGCAAGCAGCTGCACCAAGGCTAGACCTCTACCCCACTACACCCACGCTACGCCCTACCTCTACTTGACGTGGGAGCTTTCCCTCCACCATCACTATCTCTCCCCTCATTCTTCTTGTCTGAGACCTTTCAACTCATATACAGTCCCAGCAGCTCTCCTCGGCCCTCCCTCAATTGACTCCTCATAAAGTATTTATAGTCCTTGACTCCAATCTCCATCGCATCGCATCGCATTAACAAACTGCTCTGTGCTCCTCGCCTTCGTCTCGTCTCTCTGTCGCACCAATGCACCCAGCACCCATCGAATGAACAGCAGCAGCAGTCGCCGCCCCACCTTGCCTCTGGGACAAGAGCAGGACAGGAATAGGCCCAGAAATCGGACAAGTCAAAGTCAAATTTACAGCAAAAAGAAAACCCAAAGTCAAAGTCAACCCTTCCTCCCTGCCCCTCTAAGCTCTCGCCGACGAGCAGCTACCATCGCAATGGCTTTCGCAAGATCCGCAACGCACAGCATACACGAGATGGCTTCGGGGATTCTGCACCATCATAAGTCGAGGAGCGACGAGCCATGTTCGGAGGAGAAGCACCAGGAGGAAAAGGACTTCGTGGCGCACTACGCCGAACAGCATGAGATTCTGGCGCCGGAAGAGGTACAGCAGGACCCAAGGAATAAAGATCTGGGTCGAAGCTCGAGGGGTTTGAATGTTCACGACTTCAATCTGATCAGGACGCTAGGGACAGGTATGCGCAGCTCATCATGTTGCCAATGAAGTGGAATTGGAGGCAATGTGCTGATCAGGAACAGGTACCTTCGCGAGAGTCTGGCTTGTTAGTCTGGCGAATCCAGCAGAAGAGGACAAAGATAAGGTGTATGCCTTGAAGGTATTGCGCAAAGTTGATGGTCAGTGGAAGCTGCGAAAAGACTCGAGAAGTACCTACTAACCACCACGGCAGTTATCAAGCTCAAACAAGTTGACCATGTCAACCACGAGCGATCCGTTCTTGCAGATGTTGCTGGCCATCCATTTATCACTACACTAATTACAACGTTTTCCGACCACGAGTCTTTGTACATGCTTGTAAGCCAATTCTTCAATTCATAAGAGTGGGGTCCGGTCTAATATGAGGGGTAATAGCTCGATTACTGCCCTGGCGGCGAAGTCTTCTCCTACTTACGAAAAGCGAAACGATTCGACGAAAGCACATCACGGTTTTATGCCGCTGAAATAGTACTCATTTTGGAGTTCCTACACGAGCGCGAAGGCGTTGCATACAGAGATCTGAAACCGGAAAATCTACTGCTAGATGCAGAAGGACATATCAAATTGGTGGATTTTGGATTTGCGAAGAGGTTGGGGAATAGTAAGCTATGATGAGCTAGAGTTTGAGAGGGGGCGATACTGACATTGGAAAGGGGAAACTTACACGCTTTGCGGCACGCCAGAGTATCTTGCGCCAGAAGTAATTCAATCGAAGGGCCATACAACAGCCGTAGATTGGTGGGCATTGGGTATCCTGATATACGAATTTCTGACTGGGTATCCACCATTCTGGGATGCAAATCCCATAGAAATCTACAAAAAGTATTTCCCCATATCTCTCACTTCCAACTTCCAGAAATTGACCCATCCAGAATCGTTTCCAAAGACGTCCGCTTCCCCTCCGAACCCGCCATCTCCCCAGAAGCACAAGACATAATCCGCGCCTTCTGCGTCGTCGACCGCTCCAAACGACTCGGCAACATCTCCGGGCGTGCCCAGCGCGTCAAAGATCACCCCTTCTTCAAAGGCGTCAATTGGGACGATGTGTACTATAGGAAGGAGAAGGGCCCGATCATACCGCCGATTAGGTATCCTGGTGATGCGCAGTGCTTTGATATTTATGAAGATGAGAAGCCCGGGAGGGAGCACTATAGTGATGAGATGGAGAGGAAGTGGGATCATCATTTTAGGGACTTTTGAGGGGAGTATTCTGGGGATGGGAAGGTGGTGTCGAAAGAGTTGGAAAGGAGTTGAGAGAGAACTGTACAGATGATTTGAGTGGCTAGGGTTATTGGCTACTTTGGTTCGCATTGCATGGAGTTTTGCCGGGAACTGGGAACTTGGGATCTGGGACTTCATGACCCGACATACGGATGGATATTTGGGAGGTCTTTTACCGTACCGTACATATGATGAGTCAGGGTCTATCTAGTATAGTCAACCGACACTTGTGTATACAAAACCGGTGAGCGAATAAGAGAATTGAGTGTGAGTAGCGGATTTGAGATAGTAAGCCAGAGAGAACTACTTGCCTTGGCGGGAGGTGCTCCAAGAATAATGTAATCTACTCGCTTAAGGGACTGTTTATTTGTTGCTTATGTGTTCCATCAGAAATTACAGTTGGTGAAGAAGGTTGTTGATTTAGCTCTGGGGTCACTTAACTGTTTGTTTGGTTTGTCCAAAGATCGGTAGATATATCATGAAATCTGGGCTAGAGGTAATGCTGTGTTTACTTACGGATAGCTTTGATATCTCCAATCTAGTCTTGCCATCAACAGAGTGTTCTTCTAGCCTGTATCCCGTGTATTGCTGTACAGAAAGATTGAGACAGTTAGTTTCTTTCAGAGAGGTTTCATGATTATTAGACTCCCTGAAAAGGGAGCTAAGGAAGGCAAGGCAACTAAACGTACAGAGATATCGCTCAGTTTCTAATAACGCAAAACAAAACAGACAATGACAAACCCTGAGACAGGCACCTCCCTTACAAACATCATCTGAACAATAATTCCACTCCTCAACACCACCCAATATACCTCCATCCAACTCCCAACCTCATCACCGTCAAGGGACCCCCACTACTTCTTCCCCTGCAAATGTCACTGCATAACCTTCTCCCAAACCCCCTTCCCATCGCCCACAAAACTATCCCCATGACACGGCACCAAATTCTCAAACCCCCAGCCCTGAATCCTCCTCACACTCGCATTAAACCCCTCCCTATCCCCCTTACTAAAAACATACCACAGCATCCTCCTCTGCCAGACCGCCTCCCCGCGCGTATTCTGCAGCGCCCCAAACAACCTGGTCGCCCACCCCGAGGTGGCATCCTCCCCACTCTTGCTGTATTGCTCTGTAGCGGGCAGGTTGAACAGCAAGTCCGCCTCGATGAGCGTCTTGGAGGGTTTGTGGAAGAAGACTATTTCCTTGTTGGGGTGCGAGGGCATGTATTCGTAGGAGAACTCGGCGTCGAAGTCGGGCGAGATGGTGATGGGCTCTTTTTCTTTTCCTTTGGCGGTGAAGATCGTGCTGAAGGGGACGAGGGTGATGGATTTGTCCTTTGTGTGTAGCTGGGCGCGTTTTTCGGGGAGGCCTTCGGGACCGATGACGTGCGAGGAAGGGAAGGCGGCGTGCCAGGTGGAGAGGTTCATGTGGTGCTCGATGTCGGGGGCGATGAGGTAGGACACGGGGGTTGGGGATGTGGAGAGGGAGGAGATGGTGGTTTTGAGGAGGGGGGTGAGGGGTGTAGGGGAGAAGACGGCGAGGGTGCCGGTGCGGAGTTTGACTTGAGGGGAGATGTTAGCTTTTGAATTGGAATTGAAGAATAGGATTAGATTGGGAGGAGGAGGAGGAGGAGGAGGAGGAGGAGGAGGAGGAGGAATATACCAATTGTTGCTCGCCCACCGAATTTTATACGTCCGAATCGCAGGAAGGGAACCGAGACTGTGGTGACACCAGGGACGATCTCTCGGATCACAGTCGCATCATCGGGTGAATTGGTAGTTTTGAAAGACATTTTGAAAGCTGTTGTACAACTCTTCCGTTATCAGTGGTACAATTGACTAGTTTGGAGCTTGTATTTGTTATGTCGTGAAACGTGAGGTTGTGAAATCAACGTGAAGTTAACGTGAAGTTAACGGAGGTGGGATGGTATTTATCGTTTATCGGATGATGTAAATTCGGTCAGGGACGTTGAGAGTGATGACGCGGGCTTGCAGGGAAGCTGGAGCTTTCAACGGTGCTGCAGCGCAGTGCTGAAGATCAAGGTGAGATAAGCTTTTGCTGGGGTATGTGGGCTGTGTATCAGGGGCCGAGGTCTAGAATAATTCGGAGCCGCTTAGTGATGAGAGGGGGTCTAGATGCTCTGTAGGTACTGTGTATGGTGCAGATACAGGTGCGTGCGAAAAAAAAGTGTTTGGAAATCAGACTCTGGAGAAAAGTATCGTATTTTCGTATCGAAGCCGAATTTTTCTAATAGTGCGATGGGAAGGTTATCCGAATATTGGTGGAATTGTCTTGTCCTGAGAGTGAAAGAGCAAGCAACAGAATAGATACAGCAGCAACAACAACAGGCTTTATATATCAAAACCCCTCAATAGAAGTATCCTAAATAAATAGCCTATTCCCTTCCCTTCCCAAACTCAAAATACAAATGTAATCCCCCTCATGCAAGCCGAGTCCTCAGTAAGCAGCATTTGATATTGGCAGCCTCTCGAAAAACTCAAATCACAACCGCCTGTTCCTCGTCTATGGCTGGATGGCTTGCTTAGAAAGCGTAAGCCGAGATGCGGGAAGGCCCTGTGCCCTGGGAGTGCTGCGGAGTGGAGGGATGTGGTGTGCTTGGCTGCCGAAGGGAGTTGAGATTTCTGGTGCGGTGCAGTGCAGTGCAGTGCAGGGTCTGTTTGTTCGGTACAGGGCTGCCTCGGTCGGGTAGCTGTAGCTGGTGCTGGTGCTAGTGAGATGAGATAGGACAGGGCTGCATGCAGAAGAGCATATCGTCGAATTTTTAAGGCTGCTGCTTTGGGCTTGGGGTATTGCTGCATGCGGTTCTCGTACGTATCGGTTGGAATGTGGCTTGGCGTTTACCGAATGTTGGCATCTGAATGAATATTAATCATCCTTTTCTGGCTGGCAGGACTTGCTTTGGTGGCGGAGTTCCGGATTTGGGTTGTAGGGAAGGGAATTTCATGGGTAGCTGAGGGGAGATGTAGGATGACAGTTTACAGTTGTTGACAATTTCACATGATTATAGTCTGTACCTGTTGAGACCCCTACTCCGTCATCTTACCCAGATCTAGGCACAGGAGAAATGTATTTCAAATTTATTCAATTTCGTGCGTATCGTACATATCGTACTTGAGGCATCGTACCGACATGGTCATTAATCCACAAATCAAGCAACTGGAAAGAGCCGAATGCGAAGCAAGTACTTACGGGGTCGATGACCTGCCTGGAGTACATACATGAATGTCGCTAGCTTGCGGTGGGACTATGAAACAAGGTGAAGTGGAGTAGACAGCAAAATCCATCCATCGCCATTTCAAACCCAAATTATAAGTCCAGAAACTCCATGCTGTCTGTCGCGGCAGAATTTCAATAAATTGATGTCAAGGTCGGTATCAAAAGATTGCGGAAGTAAAGAAGAGAGTAAGTCGTCAACCAGGCATACGGAAAGGCTTGATCTCCATAATGCTAGCCTTGGTAATGGCATAGACAAGAGACTTCTCAATACGATGTGCCCAGTTCTCTGAGACAATCTTGCGAAGAATACCATTCGCATACCTCGCACCCATGCGACTGTTGAGCAACTGTCGAGTAGAGTCGTTTGCAGCGAACCACCGGTTCCGCTCAAAGTACGTGTCGATGGTGATGAATATGCTGTAGTACACGATGAGATGGAATAGCATGCCCCAGAGAGTCCATTTGATGCTGGGGAGAGGGCGAGGAGCGGAGATGTTCCAGAATCCTGGGTTGGCGGCTTGCAAATCACTAATTTCGTCACCGCTGGGAGAACTTGGTGACAAGTCATGTATGTTACCGCTGGGAGGGCTGGGAGGTCCAAACTGGACTCCTTTTCCATCACCAGTGGAAGCAAATGGATTGGTTGAACTCAAACCTGGGTTGGCGTTGTTTGAAGACGATGTAGGTCGTGATGCAGGAGGTGCAAAGGCAATGCTCTCTCGACGATCTGGGCGAGCGTCAAGAGGTGGCAACAATGTAGCGAAATCGGCAGTCTCAATGGTCCCAGATCCGACCTGAGTATCAATAGGATCAGAGCCTAGCGCTGCACTGTTCATAGGACCTGAAGGGCCAGGTGTCGAAGATGCGATGGGAGAGTTTACCATAGCAAGTGGAATGGAACCGAATCCTGGGAGATCACCATTTTCATCTTCTTCATTGTCTTCGAGACCAAGGACTAGGATAGGATGATTGCTGGTGGGTGCCATGCCTCGAATCTCTTGGATGAAGGACGGCCAAAGGATTCCGGTCAAGTAGTTGAAGAAGGCAAGTACAAGGATCAAGAAGTTACGTTCGATGTATAACCAGGAGTGAACATCTTTTCCATTGTAGACAACCCGATCAACCTCCTTGATGATAATTTCCGGAGCCGTGCGGATGCTTGGCACAGTAGCTGGCATGGGTCCTGGGCCGGCTGGACGAATAATGACTTCTTCGACTGGGACTTTGACTTTGATTTCGATAATATCGACTTGACGGCGTCTTTGTTCAAGGATGCGCTGGTCTTCGGCGATCTCTTCATGCTCGGATTCGATCCCTTCATTGGCATTTGCGGGATTCCCAAAGTCAGCACTATCTTCAGAAGCATCGTCCCAGTCAGGTTCCTCAAAAGAACTGCTTTCGCCACTCGTAGGTAGAAGTCCGAAAATTTGGTCAGAAAGTGCCTGAGAGGCTGGTGTGATGGTTTCAGGAGCGATGTGAGTTTCAGGGTGAGGGTTGAATCTTGGGCCGTCATCGACTGACTTGTTCGATTCCACGACGACATCCTCAAGGACTTGTTGGTCTTCGTAGAGGTCAGTTTCAAAATGAGCTCCCTCAACCATCTGTTCAATCAATTGCTCAATCCTGACATCTCGATTCTCAACCTGTTTCTCGATTTGCTTGACCTTCTGGATGAGATCAGAGCTTGTCTGAGCGGCGGCGGCGGCTTCGTTCTTGTAGTGTTCCACCTGTAACTTGGCTCTTTCAAGCTCTTCTTTCAAGTTCTTGTTGAATTGGATTTGTTGCGCGAGCTGTGGTTGAAGCTCATCGATCGTGGCGTTCGCGTCGGCAAGTTGCTGGTCGAAGCCATTTTCCCCATTGATGTCGTCCTCTCGAGCCTTAATCGTCAAGTTGGCTTTATCAAGCTGGGCCTTCAAGTCGGCAGTGGTCTTCTTCTCATCTTCGTGCTGCTTCTTGAATTCAGCTGCCTGGTCCTCGGTACGCTTGATGTAGTCTGTATTGCCCTCGAGTTCGCTGTCTTTGAGATTGAGCTCCTTGCGCAATGATGCGATCTTAGCTTCAAGAACAGCGACAGCGTCAACATTCTTTGGAGGCATGGCGACAGGTTTTTCAGGGACGACGATGGTTTGAAATGAGCTGTCTTCGTACGACGGGGACACCTCCGGTTCCTCAGAGATTTCGGACGCCATGCCTTCATCGCCAGACAAAGGAACTTCGTCTTCCGCTTTCGGCGAATTAAGCTCCTCGATCTCCGATTGCAGGTCTTCGACTTTCGAGTTCAGCTGGTCGATCTCCGACTTTTGCAGGTCGATCCTCGATTTCAGGTATTCCATCTCCCTGTCCTGAACCTCAAGGTCCGCATCCGCATCTTCCAACTTTGAGATAAGTTAGCGCACGATTATGAGGATTTAATCGATCAAAGTGATTGAAAATGTCACCCGACAATCGTGTAACGTTCAAATTAATGAGTGAGAACTCACTTTATTCTGAACCTCCTTCAACTCCACGTTGAATTCCTTACGGAGTTTCTTCCTCAGGTCACGTTCTTCTGCGGCCGCATCGAACTTAGCCTTTTCCAGCGCGTCAGTGGCAGTAGTGCGCTGAGCGCGCAAAAGGTCCAATGCACCATTGGCAATGCCGAGCTTTATCTTAAAATCCTGGACTTCTTGGGAAGCTTTCTCGTATTTTTCCTTCCAATTCGTACCAAAGAAGTCGGCGTTTTCGGTGAAATTGTATGCCATCTTGTTGGTTGTGTGTGGAAATTTTATGATGAAGGAATTGAAAGGAAGATTGAAAGGAAGATGGAAAGGAAGATTGAAAGGAAGATTGAAAGGAAGATTGAAAGAAAGATTGAAAGAAAGGTAGACTTAACTCAGTTGAAAGGTTTACTGCTTACACATACCCCCCTTAGTGATTATTCATTTACTATTGCATTGCAATCCTACTGTGCTTTCCAAAGTTCTAGAGTCACGTTTGAACTCTTCGGAATGAGAATATCACTTTCGGAATTGTCACAGGGGCCAGAGTAGTAGAGTCATGTCGTTTTCATTAAAGTAGTCAAAGTATCTTGTTATCAGTAGCAGCACCCTCCTGATAAGATAGTGTATCCATTTAGTACCCTTGTCATCTCTTATGGCCTCAAACCAGGCCATAAAAATGAGAGAGTAGGTCTTTGTAATATATTGGCATTTCTAAATATGGATATTCCCCGTGCTATGCAAAGTGAACCAAAACCTCCCGAACTCCCTGGCTATGTCCTGACCATCCATAACTACAAGTTGACAAGAGGCACTTTCGAGTATATATCATCATATGCCCTTCCAATCCAGCCACCTTCCAGACCTCCTCTCCCAACAACTCCCAAGCCGCCCGCCATCCAAAGTGCTCCAAGTGCAACCGCAATACCATTGATGGTCCACCAGCGCCGTTTCGCCTGCTTATCACTCCCAACCGGAATCCAGCCGGTCCACCGCGCAATACCCCACACGAAATGTCCTGCTCCAACAGCAACCAGAGCGGCGTACCCTGTGCTCGCCACGAACGGATGCTTCGCGAAGCCGTGGCTCACGAACCCTAGCCCTACACTTGAGGATCCCCCTTCATATATCCACGGAAGTAATCTGTTCACGAACGAATGCCCCAGTACCAAAGGCGTCAACACATATCCCGACAAACTCGACCATGACATCTTAGGCCATATTCTCAGTCCTTTCTGGAAACGGTCTGCTACTGATAGGTTGGCAGCACCATAGCGGGCAAGGTTGGCATTGCGCCGATGAATGCGCAGCCATAGCCCAGAGAGTATATGTGTCGCGATTGGAAGAGTGATGAGGAGCGGCTCGAGGGGTATCGATTGATAATATGGTCGTGTTAGGAGGAGGTAGGAGTCTGATGCTTGAACGGATTGTGTGATGAGAGGTATGATTGATGTGTTCGTGATGTGAAATGATGCGAAGATCGTGAATGCGTAAGAGGAGTATTTTTGCAAACGCGTTACTAGACTTGTCAGCGCGTGATCTTGGTCGTCGAGAGATGCAACCTACGATAATATACCGAGCTATGCCCACTGCCACTTAGTCCAAGAGTGGCGGACCTCTTCGGGGCGGGAGTTGAGGTTGGGTAGTCTTCAAGTTGCTTCTCTAATTCCGGCGGCGTATCTATGGGCGACGGATCTAGTTGCTGCAAAGATATAAACGTGTCTTGCGACGCCGTCGACGCTCTGCGGTCCATGATCAATGAGGTTGATGCAGTATGCAATATGTCGAGGATTGTCGACACAAAGGCGCTGTTTGGTCGTTGAATTTAAGCTTAATTTGAGTGGACCTCGGGATCTTTGGACCCAAACCTTATTCTGGGCGACAACATCGGCAGAACTTCCATTCTTCAAACACTGGACACAACAACGATACAGAATGCCTCCAGTACGTTAATTGTTCCCAAAATAGCTACGAAACACAGCTAACAGTATAGCGCGGCTTCACAAACCCAGCCCCAAAAACAGAAAGTGCCCGCGAAGCGGTCCGGTCCTTCTACTGTCAGTCTTTCCCAACCCACCCACACCCCGCTCAAGCTCACACCTCCAGGCGAACTATGCAGCAAAGGCTATGCGCGGATGAACGAATATGAAGCTCATCTATCCTCCTACGACCATTCACACAAGCAACGTCTGAAGGACATGCGACAGCTCACTCGCGATCCCCTTGCATCCTCCAAAGCCAGAAAAGCCGAGGCGAAAGCCAATTCACAATCCGGATTAATATCTATAAAGCTGGGTGATAGTGGAAGTAGTGGTGGAGGAGGCGGTGGATTCAAAAAAGCTGGGTTCAAGAAGGCAGGATTCAAGAGTGCTTTTGCCCCGGTGGATGGGGACGGTGTGAAGGACGAGGAGAAAGCTGAGGTCAAAGAGGAGAGAGGGGAAGTGCCAGGCAGTTTGAAGATTGTGGATCAAGGGGAGAGCGATACGGAAGATGAAGGATACGAGATGTATGATCCCAGACATCCGACTGATTGAAAGGCAGGATGCCGACATATCATTCTTGCACGATACCAGGTGATGGAAATATCTTTGCTGTACCTCCGCTTAGGGCATGAAAGGAGCACGCCCGGGAGAGCATGAGGCTGATGCAGCGCATCTACAGAAGCGAGCCTCGTACCGGGAGCTCTGTAGGTATATTCCTGCAGATGCGGCAGGATGTTTGTGGGTCTGATGTGCTGTGCTGTGCCAGGACTTATGGCCCTGGCAGTACCCGCATCAGTTTCGTACCAGGCATTCAAAATCGCATCTTTGTAGATGCAAGAGCTTGAATTATCACATATGACTTATTCTAATGATTTCTTGACGCAGGCCATGAGTCTATCAATATTGTTATTCTTTCTGCATTGTGGTACAGGAAAGAGTCTTCACAAAGTCTCGCATACTCCTTAACATTATGCTCAGTTTGTGTTGATCTCCATGTGAGGTCGAGTGTTATTTCATGTCTGTTTCCCAAATTCCATCCTTACAGCTTTCAGTGTTCCGCTTCAATCCACGCATTCTTGAGAGGGGGATCTTCAGAGCAGTTTCATTTCCTCGAATGACCTTCCGGTACTTCTTGTTTGCTTTCAAACCATAGAGCTATGCATAACACAGTCTATGTTCCAAGGCGCTCTTGTCCCTACAAGCAGTGCTTTATGGATGTTGAGTCCTTCGCATTGGCTGGCGTCAGACCTCAACCAGGCGAGGATAGCCATACAGCACGTGAAGTTTTCTGATAATGATTCTTGAGTCGGACGGACGTCATTTGATTGCTGGTATAGTTTGACGGACGACCTGTACTCCAGTTCTCTGGGCTAGACTGAACCTGTTCTATGTGACTTTACGAGAGAATGGGTTTCAGCTACCACCCTGTATATGCAATCCACGAAAAACTCGAGTCAGGCGTGGAAACGTAATCCGAGGAGAAATATTCTCCTCACGATGTAGAGAGCGACTCGGACGGTTGAGAAGTTTCTGAATCTCGGAAGCGACGGGCAGATAGATCGAAAAAGCAGGAGTAGAGGTCATCCAAGCTGGTAGCGAGATCTCTGGCCTAAATACCGATTGGGATAGCGCTTTTTAAGTCGGAGCCTGACTGAAAACGATGTATATGTAGCTAGGACTTGTACAATAGTTTAAAGCTCGTGACTAAACTTATCTATTTCAAACCTTTGCATGGAAAGAGCGATTCCCCGTCCAGTCTGATTTGAGCAGGAAACATTTTCCCCATGTTTATGTTTATTTCTGGACGCTTCTACAGAGTGGTGATATCCCACCTGTAGGAGCAAAAGATCCAATTCTATCTGAACAATTGCTGTGCTGTTATAGGGTCTCCAGTCTCTTCCTAAGTTTGGTTGTCTAGCGTCTTTTTAGGACTTTGTCTTTTGAGTGTGGTGATGCCCGTCCTTCATTATTATGCAGCTAGTTGGAAGACCAGCTTCTTGGAGGGAGGCAATCGCACTTCAATCAAACACTCTTTCCGTCCTGGTTGGCTGCTGAAGCCGCGAACTTATTAGTGACAGAGCTAGACAACTGGACATGAGTGTACAAGAGAAGCGCAAGGCAGAGCGAAGTGACGATGAGCAAATCCGCCTATCCCCAACATCAGTTTGACCAGTTGAGCCTTGTCGCAGAGCCTTGATGCTCAGCCACAACGCCCAATTGAAGTTGGCTTCAAACTCGAGTGTCTGCCAATCACGTCGACTGGTGATGCTCTAGTAGCTACGCCCGCCTTCATGTATCTCAAGTTGCTTCTTTCCATCACACCGCAACTTTTCTTCTGAAGTACAAGTATCTTGTAGTGACGTTCACAGCCTACCATCGATCCTAGGTGAAAAAACCTGTCGGTAATGTCTGTGCTATCTACAAATTGAAAACCATGTCTTTCGGGTTTTCGGCAGGCGACTTTGTGGCCTCCATTTTGCTGATCAAGGACGTTGTCCAGGCTCTCAACACCTCCAAAGGATCTGTCGCCGAAGTCGCCGCACTTTTATCGACCCTAGAGTCATTACAACACGCCATCATCACTTCTGAGGTTGTTTACAAGGAATGTGGATTATTCGATTTGGATGATGCCGCCAGCCTTGTCGCCAAGACATTGAGAACATCCATTGAAGCCGAAAGGAACCGCTGTCATGAGATTTTGGTTCCCTTCATTTATTCTGTGAAGCCACACCACGATGTGTTTCTTAGACCAGGTTGGAGTTTGATTCGTCAAGCAAAGAAAATTACATGGCTCTTCCGTGAAGATGATATTGCGCAGGTTGATCGGAACCTCACGAAGCATTTGACAGCGTTTCAAATGTTCTGTCAGCTGTTGACACAGTAAATATTAAAGTTCCACCTTCTTTATTTGAACATGCTCACTGACAAACCATTAGGGTCCATTCTCAAAGCATTCTCCAAACATCCTCGGATATTCTCTCCAAAGTCATCGATCTACGAGCAGAAGTTACATCAATGTCAAGAGTTGTCCAATCGCTGGCGTCCATTCCATCCGGAATTGGAAACCCATGGGAATCTTCATCCGCGTTGTCAGACACCGTGTTACTGCTAGATGCAATCGGTCGATCGGTACTTCTGCCAATGATGCTGCTGGGCTCCGTAGAGGTAAATATGCTCTTCTGCTTGCAACTACATGTGCTAATAGTTATACAGGACATCCATCAACTCCTAGTGATCATGTACCGAGACATACCGGGTAGGAAGAAGATACTAGGACGTGAATACACTCTCACAGACGAGGAGTTGGACGGTATCATTCTTGAGAGATCCAATTGGGAAATGACTAGGCAACCTGGTATGAAGCTCTCTGTCAACATGATCCTTCATGCCACCGAATCAGTTGATCTACGGCGATGCCCAAGGTACAAAGCTCTGTGCTCCGGTCCTATACTTCCTCGGAAGCGCCGTCGTTGGTAAAAGTCCATGTGCACTATTGTTCGAAATCGTTCTGACGTCGAGTTCAGTTACAATTGTCAGCTTACTTTCCGTATTTTCGACAAAGAGCGGCCCATTGAAGAGATTTCAGATGCTGTTTCTGGAATCATCTCTTCTTTACAGACAAAAGATAGCGCAACACGACTTTCGAGTTCATCGCAACCGTGTCGTGGGCTGACGAGCAGCCAGGACGACGACTTATTATTCAAGAATATACACTTCCACCGCGAAATACCCAGTCTTTTTAGAAGCGAGAAGGTACCATGTGCCACAGCTATTAAGCAACTCGCCATCGACGAACTTCCTCCTCTCCACAAGGCCGCGGCAACCGGGAACTGCTCCGAAATCAAGAGGCTTCTGGACCAAGGCTGCGAAATCGACATGCCACTCCCATTTAATGCTGTACTCAATAGCCCTAGTTGTCCGAAATGGCTCCCACTTCATTTCGAAGCATGCACGCCACTGCATATCGCTTGTTGGTTTGGGAAATTGGATGCAATTACAGTTCTTCTCGAGAAAGGTGCCAATATTCTGGCCCAGGTCCCGACTCACAAGTACGAAACAATGACTTTTGCGCTACAGGGCTGCGAACTAGAACGAATCTTTTGGCCAGTAGCTGAGCGAGGAGCCAGAATCGAGTACCAGGACATACATGGCGACACCCCTCTGATCATAGCCTGTGCTTCAAACAAGGCGTTCATAGTGCACTATCTATTGCGACATGGTGCACTGCTGGAAACTTTTGACAATTACGGAGCTACTGCACTACAGACCGCCGCTTCCAATGGTCATGACCGTATCTTTGAAATACTGCTCGATTACGGTGCGAACCCAGCGCCAAGCCATGATATTGTACCCATACATGATATGCAATGGACAACGCTACACTATGCGGCTGCAGGCGGCTCGGTGAAGATTCTTCAATTCCTCCTCGATGATGGACAAAATCCAGACGCTGCCGATTCTGACGGCTGGTCTCCATTCCACCTGGCGCTCGCAAATCAACACTTTGAAGCCAGCGTTCTTCTTCTAGATCGTACTAAGAATCCCAACTCCCGATGTAAAGACGGTTTCTCGACTCTCCACTCAGCCGCCTACGCCAGCTTTACTGAGATTGTCGAGATTCTGATACAGTGCGGTGCAGATTGCAATCACAAAAACGGCTTTGGTATGACAAGTCTACTTTCAGCTTCTGTCAAAGATAGTCAAAAGCTACCTGATGCCCAAAAGTCCACCGTAGAGCTCCTTCTACGGCGAGGGGCTTTTAACAACGCAACCGATATCCATGGAAGCACTCCTCTCCACTTTGCGGCATCCTTTGGAAATCAGATCATTGCTGAGATTCTTTTGAAAAATGGGGCCAACATTGATGCTATCGATGATCAGGGCGGGACACCTTTACATGAAGCAGCATATCGGGGACACAGCGAGATCGTTAAACTTCTCATAGAACACGGCGCTGACATACATTTACGTGATGAGACCGGATTGACGGCTCTGCATTTGAGTGCGCAGGAAGGCCACTGCGGCATTTTGGAAGTGCTGCTGAAACACAAAGCCAAGCCCCAAGCCACAGACTTGGAAGGCTCGACTCCGCTCCATCGTGCAGCCGCTATGGGCTTCACGAGTATAGTTCGAGTATTCCTGCAAGTTGTGGTAGGAGTCGATGTGATTCACGGGCTAGGAAGGACGGCATTTCACTCAGCTGCAAGATGGGGCCGAAAAGACTGCATGCGCTTACTTCTCGAACACGGTGCGGATATAAATACAATGGCTCCGATAGGCTGTAAAGCCCGCTGCCCTGTGAATGAATACCAGCTTGAAGTCACAGGATGTGCACCTCTTATATGCGCCTCAGAACACGGCTTTCCAGAAGCCGTGAAACTCCTGCTCGAAAATGGAGCGGATATCAAGGCAGTTCGTGTCGATGGCAAGAACGCCCTCTCGTGCGCAGTGGGCTTCGGGAACATCGAGGTCGTGGAATTGCTACTCGGGACAGGCATTGCCTTTGACTTGCCCGATGTGGATGGGTTGACACCCCTAGCATATGCATGTCGGAATCAGAAAGATGACATAGGCAAACTCCTGCTCAAGTATGGCGCTGCCGTTGATGCCCAAGACTGTGAAGGACGAACAGTTCTGCATTGGGCAGCACTTGGAGGCTTTGAATCAACAGCGAAGATCCTCCTTGAGAATGGAGCAAAACTCGAATCAGACTGCATCGGTCGTACGCCGTTGCATGACGCTGTTTTCAGTGGCAACATGAACTTAGTGAAGTTGCTTTTGGAGAATCGAGCTGATCATCATGCCAAGCTTTCGGAACACTCTACGTTGGGGTCTTGGTCCAAGTATACACTGAAGAAAGCTACTACGGATGATGACAAGAAGAATACAGAAGATCCTTCGAATGAGAAAGTTGAGAGTGCGACAGAGAGGAATGACGATGCGGACAATGAAGTCGTGACAAATGCGTTGGATATTGCTCGTAGTAGAGGATGGACCAGCATTGTGGATTTGCTTTCTTTCTGAATACCCAGGTCGACAACGAAGCCACCTGTTATTTTCGGATCAGCCGAGATCGCTTAATGTGTATTAAGTTCAAGCCGCGTTTCAGCATCGAGACTTCCTTATTACGGCTCGCATAAGTTTGTTTTGTTACTCGATTCAGAGAGCACGTGCTCATATCGACGAAAGCATTGAGGAGAGTGCAGAGGAGAGCAGCAATGAAAGATATAGCAAGAATTATTTTGGTTGATGATCGGAATACTTCAAATCTTGTTTCTGTGTTGTGGCAAACCTGGCAAATAGGGATATATACGAGTTTCGTAAGTTTGAAAACATCTTGCTTTGTTGTTTTAAGTCTAGTACTTGCTTACCCTTTCAAATATGATAGTTTTAATACCCATAATTCGCAATTCGTATGGCGCATAATGTGGACAAAAACCGTATTTATTTCTGCAGCCTGATCTTTTGCTGCAACATTAGGTATAAGTGTCTTTGAGAAATCCCGATTCTTTCACGTAGTGAAGGTCCTTTATTCTATACTTAGACGAATTCCTCACACCACAACCATAAATCAATACAGATTGTCCACAGGGAGACTGCTGCACAGCTAATTTGTGTTGTATTTCACTCACAACATCACTTCATCAATTGCAAGAAATCCCGAATTCACGACAGTTCATCCATACAAGTAACCTCGCTGGAGATGGAAGAAGAGTTGAAGAGCCAATCTAAGACAGATGAAGGATATGTTGTGCGAGAATCCGGCCCGTCAATAGTCAGATCAGAGGAGCAAAGAACAAAGCAGATGTCCAAGAGAAACCGGCCCAATGTCAACTAACTAGTTCGTCCTGACACCACCACATGTCCTAGATGCAAATTAATTGTTGACTTTCCCCGGCTGATAGATAATGAATACTACTGCTATAATTATGCAGGCATAAACGTTTGGGGGATGCGCAGAGCTGCCGTGAGGATCTTTGGGAGCAAGTCGAGGAAGAAAAGGAACGGCCAGAAAAAGATTTGAGAAATGCAAGGTGGCGGGAGGATGTTGCCGAAAAGTGTTTGAAGGGTTGAGATTGCTGCACAATAGAGACTATATAATGATGGTATAGGATGCCTGATACGCACGTGCTTACCGGAGATCATATAAAAGGTGCTGCTGCTGTTGTAAGGCTACTGGCATCAACTTGAAGGGGGTTTGAAAGATGGACTTGCACACATCCCAAAGTTTTGACACAAAACCAATTTGAATATGTTGACAGTGATGAAAGAAAAAGCAAACATTAGTGAATTCTAACCTGTTTCCCTTAGTGTAAAAGAAATCAATCATCATCCGAAACACCACGCAGTTGAGCAATCAGAATCAAAAAATCCAACTCTCCTCCATCAATCTTTCAAATCACGAGGAGTGGGCTCAGTACTGACCTCCTGCAACACCTTCTTGTCGCTAGACTTCACCTCCGCACTCAGTCGTACATTTCCAATCTGTAGACTATTCTGCAACCGCTAGACTTCACTGAGAATGCTGAGAGAGGTGACTATGTGCCGTTTAGTAGGCGTGCAACAACTACTCCCGATCCTCCGGCTCCCGAAATCCATATTGCGCCTCCTCAGACGGCGGATAATACAACAAGACCTTTGGCGGTTGCGATTTGCTGTTTAGGGATCTCGTCCTTCTCTAGAGCTTTGTTAATATGGATTCCTCAAAATTGGGAGAAGGGTGAGGAAGGGCTGGAATTACGAATGAAGCTGTTGAGAATTTGTGCAGCCTTGTCACTCTCCTTTCCGACGGTTGATGCGCTGAAGAGTCCCGTCTTGAAAAACTCTTTTTTGGTGATGAGAAGAGAATATAGGAGTTATGTGACGTATTGTAGATGTCGAGATGCTGGAAGCCTCCCTCTCTTCGCCGAGTCGATAGGCTTATCTTCGAGCACCGGGGCGGCTTTGGTTGCTGCATTCAACACTTGCAATACGCTTGGACGATTCGCTGAAGGGTCATTAGGTGACAAGATTGGACCGATCAATACTTTTGTCATCACGATGGTACTGGACGCCGTGAGCATGCTCGCGATATGGCCCGTCTCACGTACACTAGTACCACTTATTATCTTGGCTATTGTCAATGGCATGGAAAACGGATCATTTTACACCGTATTTCCAACTGTTGTTGCGAGTATCTTTGGTCCTGGAAGGGCATCTGTGGCGATGAGCATGTCAATCACAGGTTGCACATTTGGCTACTTGCTCGGTGCACCAATTGCAGGATATCTACAACAAGCAGCTACAGGCGGTCAAAAAGCAGCGAAGAACCTGGACGTAGAGGATTATCGGCCTGCTATCTTTTATGCTGGTGGGGTGGCGTTGATTTCTAGTCTCTTTGCACTTCTGGCGAGAGCTCATATGAGCAAGAAGAGCAGAAAGTATAAATCGTCAGATTGTACGGAAGTTGTCTGACGTATTAGAGCGATTTACTGATAGAGTTCACGACTGTGTACCTCAGAAAAGTTGCCTATTTAAGAGATATGACTAATACTTCCAAACAGCGACGTTAATTGTACTGTCATTTGATCTCACGGATGCACGCGGTTTCTGTAGTTTTCTTTCTTGCTACGGTATAAGTTTCAATGTTCTATTAGCTTATGAGTACTCCTTCTATTCAATGATACTATCACCACTGCCTGGAAGGGCTGTCAACTGATTAAGAGAGAAAAGAGTAGGGAATCTTCCTCACTGATGATATTGACAGCCTAACTTAAGCGAGTCGCCTCTCATGAATGCTCTTTTCCCAATTTCATAGGACAAGCCTTTAGACAGCTCGAGAATTAACGCCTCATTTCACCTCCAAGCGGCACAATCTATTATCAGCACTAGAATTTCTCGCTTCCGATGGCCCCAAAAATTGTTCTGTTTGTATCACGCCATCACATGTGACGCCCCTATTCCCGCCTCGCTTCTTGGCCTTTGTTTTCATTCGCTAAAACTCGGCACTTGAGTGCATGACGATATCGCGTAGGTTCTGGCATCATTTTCTTTCGTCTGGGATCCACTCTTTGATCCACAATGCATGCAACTCAAATGTTTGGAACGGCATATGGATGCGGATGCTAATGCTTCTTCGAGATAAGATATATATCAGGCTAGTGCCTGTCCATTGCTTTCCTCCTACACATAAATTTTCTCGCGGCACTTTAATTTTGGAGCCGCCGAAGGAAAGCGCACCAAAATGTCGGGTCTTCCTCAGAAGAACGACTACGAAGAGGAGGTGCAAAGGCACCATGCATCTCCCCAAGAAATCGATCCAGAGAGCGGAGTCAAGCGTGGCCTCAAAACTCGCCATTTAAGCATGATGGCTCTGGCAGGAATTATCGGGCCAGGTCTTCTCGTCGGCTCAGGAGGTGCACTTGCAAGTGGCGGTCCAGCTTCGTTGTTGATCGGATTTGGAGTTATTGGAATCATCGCATTCAGTATCATGCAATCGCTGGGAGAAATCACGACCCTCTACCCAAGCGGAGGAGCATTCACCACTCTCGCTGATCGATTTGTCGATAAGGCTTTTGGTGTCGCTGTTGGCTGGAATTATTTCATAATCTGGGCTGCCGTTCTAGCCAATGAATATAATACCGTCTCAGCAATATTCGTCTTTTGGAGCGACAAGGTCCCATTGTGGGGCTACTTCTTGATATTCTGGTTCTTCTTTTTGGCTTTCCAGCTTCTGGGCGTCGAGACGTTTGGAGAAGCTGAGTTCTGGCTAGCGTAAGCTAAGTTCTTTCCGCTTCCAATTGCAAGACTAACTATCTCCAGACTGCTCAAACTCATTGGACTGGTGGCATACTTTTTCTTCTCCATCGTCTATGCTGCAGGTGGACTGAAAGGCCAAGATTCAGCACTAGGATTTCGCTACTGGCATAATCCTGGTGCATTTGCAGACGGTTTCCGAGGTGTTGCCAAAGTATTTGTCTTCTGCTCAACCTTCTATGCTGGAGTTGAGTCTGTCGCTGTCGCTGCCACAGAGACCAGGAATCCGAGACGTGCCGTTCCCCTCGCTATTCGCCAGGTTTTCTGGCGTATCATCTTTATTTACATGGGATCGGCTTTCTTCTTCGGACTTACTTGCCCTTCAAATGCTGAGGGTCTGATCAAGGGCGGCAGCAAAGCGCTCAAGTCTCCTATGACGATTGCCATTCAGAATGCTGGCTGGGAAGGAGGAGTGCATCTGATCAATGCTTTTATCTTCGCAACTTGTCTCTCGGCTGTCAACAGTTCTATCTACATTGGATCTCGAACAATCTTGTTTATGGCGCAAGATGGCAAAGCACCCAAGTTCCTGGGGTTCACAGATAAGCGAGGCGTGCCAATCTACGCCATCGTCTTCACAAACCTATTTGGTGCCCTGTCCATGATGAACGTCAACACAGGAGCTGGAGCAGCTTACGGATACATCGTCAACCTTAGCGGTGTTTCTACTTTCCTTGTCTGGGGAGCCATCTCGTTCATCCACATCCGATTTCGCCGAGCTTGGGCATTGCAGGGTCGCAGTGTTGACTCACTCCCATTCAAATCGTTCCTGTATCCATACAACGCTTATTTCGGCCTCATTGCGAACATCTTCCTTGCATTCGTGCAAGGCTGGACAACTTTATCTCCTTTCAATGCTGGGAACTTTGTGGATGCTTATATTCTCCTTCCACTCTTCCCAATTATTCACTTTGGGTACAAGTTCGCTTACAAGACGACATACTGGAACCTGAATGACATTGACCTGGATTCCGGTCGGAGAGCGGATCTGGATGCGCAAGTTGAGGCAGAGTATCTTTTTGGCTCGGAGGATACATTGGTGGGCGCGAAACAGCCGTTGTGGAAGAGGTTGGCTAGAAACTTTTGAATTCTATGCGCTCAGGTCTCGCTTAAATTAGAGAAACACCAACCAAGTCTGAAATGGCTCCTGCGAGTTTCAAATTTCTCAAAACTATCTCTAATTGAATATCAGACCAGAAAGATCATTTCCTTTGGCGAGTGTCTATTGTCTTCCAAAAGGGTATTTATCTCTTATATCACGCATCCACAATCCGACACGACGATAAGCCTTTTCTCCATTCAACATGCTAACAGGTTCAACCACGAGGTTCGTGATATGGTCAATAGCAATACTTTTGTAATGCGCAGGGAGTACTTCCGAATCATCTCGGATCATCATTTTTACATTATCTCCAAGATCGACACCATCGAACTGATGCTGGCTCTGACCATTCTCATCATCAAAGAACGGCAGATCCACAATGCGTCCAAGTATGACGAGCCGACCTGATCGTACTTGACCGAAAGGATTCAATCCAGCTAGGGTCACACGTGCGTCAAGCAACTCCAGATCTTTTGTGTGTTAAAGGCCATCTTCTTGCCTCGCATAATTAAAGGAGCCACCAGGAAAGGTCACACTATCACAGTCAAGTGATGCTCAGGACCAGGTTGACGCTCGGTATGCCAGCGCGGTCACCGATAGGAAACGCGGCTTACGGATCCATAACAGTCCCACACAGAAGTTGAACCGCTAATTACCAGCGAGGTAACAGTCATCATCAACCACTCCTGGCCGTTCAACACACGTGGGAAATGGTGTATCTCTGTGGACATGTGGCTGGGTATTGAGAAGTCAGTCTGTCCGCATCATTGGGCTTGTGTTCTTTCTGACGGCAGTTTTATCCCAGTCAAGCAGTGATTCCAAGTTGAGCTCGACATCCATTTGCCCTGATGAATCTGGGTCCGGTAGGCTGTAGCTCCACACGTTCATACAGTCATACCAGCCACACAGTATTCGGCATCCTAGTCACTTGGTCAAATATAAAGTCAGCTTTGCGGAAATCTTCAAATCGTGAAACATGACGATAATGATTGATGCCCAACCACTTTAGCCTATAAGAAACCCAAGTTCTCATCAAGGTTTCGTGATATGATGTCTTCATTTTCCAACACAACTGTCACGTTACACTACTTCCCTTATCTCGGGCTACACTGGAACCATTTTTGGCATGATGGAGCTCTCAGCACACAGTCTTAGGACTCTAGCTTACCCTCGTAGGTATGAATTATTCTTATCTTCACCCCCCAAAGTATCGAATATTTCAATCGTGCCAAATGTACCCGCTATCAAACGGCGTCAACGAGCTAATTCTTAAAACCTGGCTAAAACTATAGGTATACGCTGTGCCACAGCCCTACCACACATGACCAATAATGTTACGTGTCTTGTTGATAGGTAGCGGTGCTAGGGAGCATGCATTGGCATGGAAGTTAGTCCAGAGCTCAATGGTGGAAATGGTTTACATTACTCCTGGCAACGGGGGCACAGAATTTCTTCCAAGGTGTCAGAATGTCAAGCAAATCAACCCACAAGACTATGTTGCTCTGGCTTTCTGGGCTCAAGGGAAAGGTATCAATCTTGTTGTACCCAGTTGTGAAGAACCTCTGGTTGCAGGAATCGAGAGTGCTTTCAGAACCCGTTTGAGTGATCCCGTACGGCCTCGTTCGCTCTCGCTAATATGTTTTTAGTTGGGATTCCGTTCTTTGGCCCTACAAAGGAATCAGCTCAGTTGGAGGGCTCTAAAGCTTTCTTCCATTCATTCACGAAACGGTATCAAATTCCAACACCACGTGCGGAGATATTCACCCGCTATGAGGATGCAGCAGCATACTTGCGAACAGATCGTGGTAGAATGGTCATCAAAGCTGTCGGACTTTCTGCAAGTAAAGGTGTTGTCATCGCAACGGATAATGTCTCCGCTCAGCTTGTTCTGAAAGATTTTATGGTCGATATGTGTTGGGGAGATGCTGGAGGCTCAGTAATTCTTGAAGAATTTGTCTCCGGCTTCGAGTTCAGTATTATGGCGATGAGTGATGGAAATAATTTCAGGACAATTTCGACCGTTCGCGACTACAAATCTCTCTTGGATGGTGATGAAGGTCCAAACACTGGTGGCATGGGAAGCCACGCTCCAGTTCTGATCTCTTCCAGTCTACTCACGAGGGTCGAAGATACTATCATCCGGCCTTTAATAGAAGGCATGCAACGAGAAGGTTTGAAAACCTCCATCTTGCTGTTCTTCAAATTTCAATTGATTCGTACAGGCACTCCGTTCCGTGGCGTCTTGAATATTGGCATCATCTGTACCAACGATGGACCCTTGGCAATTGACTTCGATGTTCGGTTTGGAGATCCAGAAACGCAAGCAATACTTCCTCTGCTCGTTACTGACTTGGCACTTCTCACGTTAGCTTGTGTAGAGGGACATCTGGACACAGTAGAAGTTGAATTTGCAGATTTGCATTGTGTTGCAGTTGTTATGTGTGCTCAAGGCTACCCTGCGGCTGGCCACACTGGCGACAAGATCCAGGTCATCGACAGTCGGAGTGGTGAGTGAAGACCATGACCCATTTATAGCATCGTTGGTACTGACTAATATCCTTGATTGCTTGATTTTCCACGGTGGAACAGTGTGGCATGATGGGAGCTTTTACAGCACCAAAGGTCGTGTGATGACAGTTGTCGCAACTGGAAATAGCTTGCTACATGCTTCAGCCTCTGCCTACGAAAGTATCAAAACTATCTATTTTCAAAATTGCTTCTGTCGATATGACATAGGGAAGCTCAAAAAGGGTGTCGAGGAAACGGAAAGAACAATCGTATAGTTGGACTTCTGGCAGTAGTTTGCGAGTCTAATTTTCTGTCTTCCAATCAATCTCTAGTCATCAAAGATTGCATGCGGCCAAGTGAGATGTTTCCACCGCTTACGACCACCCCAATCCTCCATCGGGATCCCGACTCTCTAAAATGCTCGCCAAAATCCGGACTGAGAAGCACAGCAACAGCAACAGCAGCGCTGGGCTCGATAACCTGTCCGGAACAAGTGAAAAATAAAGATAGTGCAGATTTGATTTGAAGCTCACTGATAGAATACCATCTCTGAATGTACTTTTGCTGTTTGAGAATATGCCAGTTCAAGGGGCTGAGAGGAGATCGAAGTCCATCTGCAATGGTTTCAGTGCTAGGACTAGCATATCGCTTCCCACGCTGGATTCCAAGGGAGGCTTGTGGTCCTCCAGAAGTTGGCTCTGCACCGAAAACTTTCGTTTTGGTCTCATGAGCAAATATCGTAGTACCAGTGAGAAGACCGCCACCTCCACACGGAAGTATCAAAACGTCAAGCTCATCTGTTCCGCCTTCACGAAGCTGTTCAGAAATCTCTAGGGCGACTGTTCCCTGACCTAGGATGATATCTGAGTCGTCTGTAGGCGAAATGAGATATTTCCCCGTTCTTTGAGAGAGGCGCTTTGTTTCATACTTAGGCTCGCCCAGATTGGCTCCGCAACGTCTGACAATGGCACCGGCTTCTCTAACAGCAGTGGCTTTGGATTTTTCCGCACTGACAGGCATGATTACTGTGGTTTCGAAGCGGAAGTCTCTTTCTTCAATAATGACTTTGCTTGCATGAATGAGGGCCAAGGCATGTTTGCCTAGAAAGAATTTTAACCTTGATTGACCAAGCTTGCCAGGACATTTACCTGTGCTGTAGGTGACTATCCCAGATCTTAGTTCCCTATCTGATCGTTTTTCCAAGGCATGAACCGCCCCACGAAATTTGAACGATCCCGATACCTGATGATTCTCGCATTTAAAATACACCTCGGGCAGCTTTGTATCTGTCTGACCGCTTTCGTGGCCTATCAAATTCAGCTTGATGGCATCGAACAGTGTCTTCCTAAACTCTTGTTGATCATCGGCTCGTAGCAAGGGAGTTCGGATGAAATGTCTGCTGATTCGGCTGTACGCTTGGAAGATTTCTTTCGCAGTGAGATTTGGGGTTGGAAACTGATCTTCAGGGCTGCTTGTGGCTACCTCCATCCTCTGGTTATCTGCAAAGACTTTATAACAGCTATATAGAGAGGAACCCAACCCACAATGTCAAAGAGTGTGGCATGAGGAGCAGAACATTTTCTGATACATGTGGTTTGTTTTCATGCACAGCGACTTTGTGATGGGTTTACTAGCCTTCTTGTTCATGAATTTGAGCTGTCACTAGATAACTATACACACATGTATTACAGCATCCAAAAGCCGTTGTGAGTTTGCCTTGGTAAATGCACTTGAATTCATCTGGAGCTCCTTCGGCTAGTACCCTTCCGAGACTCTCCGCATACGGAGGAATAAATTGGCTGCCATTTTTCAAGGAAGTGACAATTTTTTGTGACAGATCGTTTTCTGAGAAGAGCTGGCTGCTGGCTTATGTGATGTGGTTGGATGTGTCAAGCCGGTGGTGCCATAGTCCTGTAGGTTGGCAAATGACCAATGTGGCATCTGGGTCGCAAGACACAGCATGATATGTTACCGTAAGCTGTACGACTCTGTGGCATTTCTCGGTTTCGATCTAGTCGTTGGGCATCAACACTTGTCCTAAATTAGCTGAACGCAAATTTTGTTTTAGATTTTGGGGCGACCTGACTGAGTGGCGCCAAACCAAGGATACATAGATCGACCGCGGACGATTCCATATGCTGTGTCGTTAATGCGATTTTCGCATCAGACAATCAGCAAGATGCTGAATAAGTCCTTTCGAATACTGATCTTAGGGAGTGGGGGTAGGGAGCATGCTTTTGCGTGGAAGCTGAGCCAATCAAGACATGTCGAGAATATTACTGTCATCCCAGGAAATGGGGGAACTTCTTTGGGGTTGCCAAAGGTATCGAACTTCACCTTGGAACTGTCCAATTTTACCGAGATCGTCCTGTTTGCAAAAAGTAAGGAAGTCAATCTCGTGGTTCCAAGTTCCGAGGGTCCGCTTGTTGCAGGAATAACCGATGCTTTTTTGAAAGGTAGGCATAAATCATGCAAATTTTGTTGAAAATGGCTGATTTCTCATCGACCAGCTGGAATCGCTTGCTTCGGTCCCACAAAAGCGGCAGCAATCCTCGAAGGTTCGAAGGTTTTCTCCAAAAGCTTTATGCGCCGCCACAATATACCTACAGCGGAATTCGAAGTGTTTGATAGCTTTCCTCAAGCCAAGGCTTACATTGAGGCAATTCAGTATCCAATTGTCATAAAGGCATCTGGATTGGCCGCTGGGAAGGGAGTCCTGATGCCGAACAACAAAGAAGACGCAATTTCTTGCTTAGAAGATATGATGGTGAAGAAAGTCTTCGGGTCAGCCGGCGACCAGGTGGTAATCGAGGAACGTTTAGAAGGTGATGAGATCAGTGTGGCAATTTGCAGCGATGGTTGGGATATCAAAATGTTCCCAGCTGGTCAAGATCATCAGCGAGTGTTTGCAGGCAATGTTGGTCCAAACACTGGTGGTATGGGATGTTATGCCCCAACGCCTTTGTGTTCTGACAGTCAGCTGCATGACATATACAGCCGTATTCTACTGCCTACAATCGATGGAATGCGAGAAGAAGGTACGTGACACCTCTGGCGACGGCGTGCCCAGGTGTGAAGCTTGCGTCGCAACTAATGGATTACAGGGACGCCATTCGTGGGAATGATATGCATTGGAGTCATAATGACTAGCTCAGGTCCTAAAAACCTTGAATATAATGTTAGGTTTGGTGACCCTGAAGCACAAATCCTGTTTCCACTCCTCACGGAGGACTCTGACCTAGCTCTGATCATAAGCGCATGCACCGAGAAGCGCTTGGCAGAGGTCACCATGAATTTTAAGCAAAAATTTGCCGCCAATGTTGTTCTATGCTCGGTGGCTATCCGACAATGTATGATACCGGTTATCCCGTCAGTATTGACCATTCCAAGGAAGGTTGGTGCGCGTCATCCACCCACATCTTTGTTGCTCACAGATGTCTGACAGGTTGCGCTCTGATATTTCATGCTGGTACGATATCTGAGAAGGGACAACTGAAGACGTCTGGCGGCCGAGTTTTCGCAGTGTCTGCTTTAGGTGACACGTTAGAAGAGGCAGTGAAGTTTGCTTATGACGGATTCAATGCGATACATTTTCAAAGGATGTATTTTCGTGAAGATATCGCCAAAGCGTGAGTGGCTCATCGTTAAACTTACATCAGTTAAAGTATGCATCCAAGCTGATAGACTCACAGAGTTCTAGAACGTGACTGCGGAACAGTGGGTACAAGGGATTGACCTCCGTCCTACCTCTCTGTACCCAACAACATCGCACTTTGCCGAAGACTTTTTCCAAACACTTCAAGCTTTTCAGGATATTGGGAATATGCTGAAGTTTTACGTTAAAAGGGTCCATGGTCTTCTTCTCTAGCTAGGACGCCGTTTATATAGAAACAAATTGCTTTACAAAATCAAGCTAAGCGTTCGCTAATTTCTCGTCTAAGATCATCAACATTTCACCGAACATTATGCTCGGCGCAAACATTGAGAATCTTTATTTAAACATCCTCAGGCGTAGTCTGTAGACGCCTAAAGGATTTCGCTTTTCAGTAGCAGCGTGCTAGCTATTTTAAGCTTCGAAGTCTGCTTATCTTTCCAGGCTCTTCATAGATTCTTTAGAGTGACAATTCTTAATTTGTACAGGTGTTTATTTTTACTACTTGTCACAGGTTCAATCCCCTAGTTTCAGAACTTCATGCGACGGCCAGTGACTCAAAAAAACAATTAATGTCAAAGCCGAATTCGCGAATTTGTCTCGGCAAACCACTAACGTCTTTTGATCACAAGACTGGATACAGACTCTGACTATGTTTGCACTCTCGTTGAGTTCTCCCAGTCCAACCCTCAACTTTTATTCAACGAAGTGCTCTGTCCCAATGATTCGTTAGCGAAAAGCAGGATTGACCTATCTGATAGCGAACCTGCTCACCTGTATGCAATGTCTTTTCTGAAATGCATGCCCTCGAACTCCACCATTGATACTCCTTGGTAAGCACGCTTTACAGCTTCCTCTAGTGAGTCAGCTGTTGCAGAAACTGCTATCACTCGACCGCCAGAAGTTAACAAATCTCCATCTTCTCGAAGCTTTGTGCCGGCATGGAAAAAAGTTATGTTTCCATCTCCTGCTATCTTTACGTCAGCATGGCTAGAAGGGGAGAATATTATTGCTCGGTTAAGGTTACGCACCTTTAGCAATATGATGGTGATTCATTCGTATGGTCTTCCCATTGGAATAACTACCAGGGTACCCGGCAGCGGATGCGATAACCACCGCAGAAAACTTGCTCTCCATTTCAACATCGATTTCATGCAGGCGTCCGTTGACACAAGCTGTCATGATTTCTGCAAGGTCGGAATTAAGAAGAGGGAGGAGGGTCTGTGTCTCCGGGTCTCCAAAGCGGGCGTTGTACTCCAACGTTTTCGGGCCATCTTTTGTTAACATTATACCTGTGAAAAGCATGCCAACAAAGGGAATTCCTACGCAAGATAGTCAGCTATATATTCTCGCGTAAGTATTGATTATTCTCAACCTATAACTTGCCTTCTTGTCTCAAGCCATCGAATGTGGGCTTCAAGATGAGGTTATCGATGTCACGGAGAACTGCAGCAGTTGCAATCTTTGTTGGAGCGTAGCATCCCATACCACCAGTATTTGGTCCTTGATCTCCATCGAATATTCTCTTGTGATCTTGTGCGGGTAGCATAGACTTGAATGAGTTACCATCACTAAAAGTCAAGATGCTCATTTCATCGCCTTCGAGGAACTCCTCGATGACCACCTCATCACCTGCGTCGCCAAATTGACGATCAATCATAACAAGTTTCAGGGCATCTACAGCTTCTTGCTTATTTCTCGGAATGATCACTCCCTTGCCAGCAGCTAAGCCTGAGGCTTTAATCACAACATTGTAATCATTGGACTCAATGAAACGTTTGGCCTCGTGGTAATTACGAAAGTTGCAGTATCGCGCCGTAGGAATATTATGACGAGCCATAAAATCTTTCGAGAAGGCTTTGGAACCCTCAATTTGAGCAGTTTCTTTCGAAGGTGCAAAGCAAGGGATGTTGGCTAGAAGGTGAGTTAGAAGGCACGCTACTCAATCTGGGACAGCATATTTCAGAGCACGCACCTTGTCGGAAGTATCCCTCGATCCCCCCGACCACAGGTCCATCAGGACCAGGAACAACTAAGTGTACTCCCAACTCTTTCGCAACCTTCACAAGGCCTAAGAAGTCGTCTTCTTGAATGTTGTCGACGTTGGAAACTTTACTAATTCCACTGGCTGTTCCGCCGTTTCCTGGAGCAACGAAGACCTTAGCGACACGAGGAGACTGCGAAAGCTTGTGAGCAAGCGCACTCTCTCGTCCACCTTTGCCAATTAGGAGGATGTTTATGGGGTGTTCCATGTTTTGGACTTGCTGTTGTACGAGTCTTGGCTGAGATGGTGTGTTGGAGAAGAGAATCTGGATATGTAAATCGAAGATTCGACACGCCGAGCCCAGGCTTCAGCAGTTTTATAAGAAAGGATTGCAGTAAATGTGTCTGTGTGGTCCGGCCGAGACTTGAGTCACCTCTGACAGTTCAGTTTCGAATTCTGATTGCTGCCGTTATGTCATCGTTGTGACGAAGGTGATTACAGGAACCGGTATGATGGTATCGTAGGCTTTGGTACCGAAAGCATAGCTCAGCACTAGTGGTCTGTCTGACTAGGTAGATGATCTGGTCCGAACAAAACCCAAACCGAAGTGAAGTGGGAGAAAAACGGCGAAATTTTTAAAATCAACGCGAAGTTAATGATTGGGTGTTGGGTGTTCGCTAATTGTATGGTAACACGATGGAAGAGACACAGGCTGAGGTACAGGTGTACTTCTCAATTTTCCTTGGCGCTTGCTGAAATCCTCGCCCTAGCCATGAGCTGTCATGCTTTACAAATTCTAGATGAATCATCACATCTTGGAGTTTTGTATGGCAAGCATTGAAGTTACAAATAGAAATCTGTGTTGATCGAAAGTCCAACTTATTGACTGTAAGAGTATATTGACTGCGCCTTTCCATGTCACATACCTACCCTTGCAGTCATTATGTTTTGGCCCTCTTGGAGGCGGCTGGGAAGGCCAAACGACTTACTGCTGTCGAACAAATTTTATTGTCAGCTTTCAAAGTAAAACAGCTGCCATTTTTCATGAGAATAGTAATTGAAAGTTTTGTGAATGTTCTTTCATGCCAGCTTCGCTAGAGAGATGGCAGATCGTAATGCTCAGGCACTTTACAAGGTTGCGAAAGGCTGCCAGTAGGACGATTATTTCAGACACGTACTTCTGCCAAATATTGCTCTGAGCATGCGGGTGCTCTGGTTCATGATCGGTTAAATTCGGTTTCATGCATGATGTCAGAAATACATACAACTACCGCGCTGCATTCTGCCTTAGTGGATCACTCAATAATTGTTGCCACAGACGCATTGCAACAGTGGGTGAACAACAGATGTTTCTAGTGAATATATGATGACGCGATGTTCTGAATTACTATATTGATAGAAATAGTCAACCGCACGCGGTCGTGGGCACTCCTTCGGCAATATAAATACACTGGCGTTTGCTTTCAATTCTAGCTGCAACATAACCTTCGAGCATGCTTGTTTGACATGGATGGAGTGTTGGTAAGGCAACCTCAGCTTACACAAACCAAATAATTTTGCTTGGTAACGATAGAAGTCTTCTCACTTCAAGAAAAACATGTCCCATTCCCCGATACAGCAACAAATATGGTGAGTGATTCAAACATGCAAGGAAAATGACAGCAAATGCCGCACTCACAGCAGTAAGGAAAAATGAAGATTGGAAGTGAAGACTTTGAGATGACAAAGCTTGTTACTTCTAGATCAATGTAGAACTTTGCACAATGACACGTAGTTTCCCCACTGTGATCTGCTCCGCTGATATATTGTGAAGATACTCAGTACATCAATCTTGAAGCACCAGACTTAGGCAGCAATGTTGGCTGAATATTTGGACTTTCCGCCTCTCAACCATAAGAAGAGTCTTTTGATTTTGTGGCCACAAAAGTTGAACGAAAATGACAGCAACAACCTCATTGACAACAAAGCCCAGTCCTCAAGTTTCCACACCGCCTGGCATATCCCCAAAAGTCCTTTCGCATACTATGAAAGAAGACTCCTCAAAACGAAATCCATTATAAAATTAGCGACGAGTCCTCAATTGTACGTCATACAACCCAAGCCAGCGGTTTCGGAGTGTCTGAGTCAGGAGGAAAGAAAGGCTGTTCTTCCACATGTGTATCTAGTACACTCTTCGGAGTAATTCCCACTCTGTACCTAGGTAGTGAATAGCGGCTACTGCCAGTGGAAGATTTCACATAATTAGCTCTCATAATCTACCAAACACCTCATCCATCCATCAATCAGTCAACCAATCCATTGGCACCAAGACCCATCAACGCCGGCACTCCCTTCCCCTCTCCTCCAGACCGAGCACACTTACGTCCTAAAATGCTGCACAAACCCATGCAACCTATCAATCACCACGGGGAATATCGCATTCGAGCTATCCTCGATAAGCGTGTCAAAATGCCTGATCGCTTCCTCCTCGCTATACTCCAGATGAAACCTCTCTTTAACCTTCAACACAACCTTATCCGGCTCGATTTTAATATCGGGGATATTGGCATCGACCATGAGACTGAACAGATTGAGGATCAGGTTCGAGGACTTTCGGAGGGTTGTGTACGCAGTGAAGCAGTACTGCTTGAATTGTCGGTAGTGTTCTGAGGAGGCGCCGCCCATGCCGTCGACCATTTCTTTGCAGAGTTTCATAGCTGGCGCAAAGGGCTTGGGGTCTCTGCCGAGGATGAAACCAAAGTCGGCGTGGAAGAAGTGTCCGTCTGGGGCGAGGAGCAGGTTGTCGAGATGACGGTCGCCAACACCAAGGAGGTAGGTTATTACGCAGTAGCCGGCGCAAGACTTGATGAAGATTTCGAGAGCTTCTTTGCGGACTCCTAGGGGTGCTTTGTCGTCTGGGTTGTTGTATTTGAGATAAGCGAGGACGGTGTTGCCTTTGTATTTGTTGACGATGCTTTGCAAGCTCATGGAAGGGACGAATTGGACTGCTCCTGCAGTTGCACCAGTTGCCAGGATTTTGTAAGGTGAGAGCTTCAAGTCCAGGTTTTCTTTCTGTAACAGCTGGTCCATGAGTGTGATGATCTGAATGATCAGCTGATCTTGGCGTAAGTCGTCTCCTGTTTTGAAAATGATTTGGTACTTCTGTTTTGAAAGTGTCTTGAATGTCAACATCACTGGGAAGAGCGACGACTTGAAGACGAGCGTTTCGGCAGGATCGACTCCTGTGATCATGATTGATGGATCCAAGGGTAAAGGTAGAGGCGGATCGATCGTGATGATTTCGTTCTTAGCGTCTGCTAGGAATGTTTTTACCCTTTCTGTTTTCTTGGGTATGGCTTCACGCGAAACTTTGATGTCCATTGAAATCTTGGACAACACCGTAATGAGCTCTGCCTGTCGTAGCAATGTCTTCCGCGTCTCTTTGCCGCCAGGAAGCTTGACCAACTCCATCATGAAATCGTATTCGACTTTGGCGAAGAGCTTCCGATAGGATGCTGCCTGGTCCTCACTCTTGTCATCACATTCAACCATCAAATACCAATGGAAATAGTTCCCGAGTACGAAATTGTTCGTAGCGCGAGAAATAAGGAATCGGGCCAGAGACGAATCTTGAGTTGCATCCTTAGTGGAATCTGGAGAAATGCTCTCAAATTTCAGAGCCTGCACCAATTGCAAGAGGTAAAGCAGGAGCTCATCATCGTCAGCCTTTCGAAGGCGGTCCACAGCATATGTTCTGACCGCAGAATTGTCAAAGGTAGGTCCAAGAAGCTCCAAAGCATCATCGACATCGACTTCTGTCCATTTGGCCAAAATCTGCACAGCTTGCCGGGATTCGCTTTGATCATGCCAGTTGACTGACTTGACAAACTTAGTCAAAGCTCTCTTGTCACGAGTCAGATGATGTCTGAATTTCCAAACCAGATCCTTCTCTTCAGGAGAGAGAATGTGTGTTGGTGAATAAGCCATAATGCCATTCAGCTCATCTCGAACCTTTGCATTGGGCTTCAAATCCCTATCTAGAACACCTGTTCGATGACTTCTTACAAGTCGTCTATGTTTACTTTCCGCAGGGTTGTCTCGAGCGCCAACTTCGGGATCGTAAACTCGTACTAAACGACCCCCAAATCCATGGTCATCATTATCCCCCAGGCCGTTGATACCAGGACCATACTGGACTTCTGGTGGTGGCTTAAGAATGATGTTGGACTGGGAGGCAGAGAGGTGCTGTAGTGATGAAATGGGTGGTGGAGGATATTCATGATCCGCAAACACGATTGGGAAGTCGAATCGTGGCAATTCGACGTACAGAGTGAACAGCTCGTCTCGGGCCGGGTCCTCTTCGGGATCCTCCTTGTCTCCATTTGTCGCCTTCTCCTTCTCCCCTGTTCCATCCAGAGTCATTACTGTACTCCGCTGCCGGGACCGCCTTCTTTGTAGAGCTTTCAGGGATGTACTCGATGCCTGTAAACCGCGCTTCTCAACGCCTCGAAATACTAGCTGGTCGAGCCACTCCACACGGGGAATCTCTCCCATCTCATGCTTCTTGAACAACTTCTCCAACCGGTCCAGCTCCTCACTTTCTTTATCTGTCGTGTCTGTATGTTCCTTCCCTTTAGATCCATCCCGTCGACTTTTTGGGAGAATGGCAGGTGTTGAAGTCGAGTCCAACCCATCTGCAGCTTTGCGACGATGGACATGGCATTTCTGCCGTCCCTTCTGTAGCTGATTCTCTTTGTCGAAAAGAGGGAGTGTAGTCCCTCCGAACGGTATAGAATGTCCTTGCGCGCCCTCTCCTCCTGCTGGGGACAAGTCCCATAGTGTAATTGCAAGCTGGGAGCTTAATGGCAAGGTCGAATAGTTGATCGGTAACGTAAGCCATTCATTCCACCTTCGCAGACGTCAGTCTCGCTGCCAAATACATGTAACCATATTCGGAATCTGTATGCGACTCACTTTCTCTCGTTCCGGAAGGCTTTATAGGCCGTTTGGACGGGAACTGTGAGTGGTTTTGAATCTGCCCATAGCTGGACCGTGACATACAGGTCTGAGTGAGGACTGGAAATGTTAGCATGGTTACTGGTAGTCTTCAAGCAAGCAGTTCACCTCAAATTAGATCCAATGTGTCTCAGATCTGGCCGTTTGATAAGTGTAGAGAAAGGGATTGGAGTCTGCTCTCCCTCAAGGCTGACACTGTAGCAGCATTAGCAAACACTTCCCGGAACCTGGCCAACAACTTGCATTCTGATATTGACGGGTATATCGACGGCTTCCGAACTGGCAAAGGAAAAAGGTTCCATGGTCCATCTTCCTCAGACTTTGTTCCGCGGTAAGAGGTGTCACAAGTGAAGTTGGTGGAGATGTCACAATCAAGCATCAACATCTAGAAGCTGCAAGGGTTCAGCTTTAGCGCAAGGCTGGGTGCTGGAGGTGATGGAGGAGGGAGGTCACGGACAATGGCGTGGGGGTCTCGGGCTCGTCGGGGTGGCTTAAGAGACCTGGGATCCATGGTAAAGCAGCACTCACAGTGCAGTGGCCCACCAACGCCAACACCGGCGCGGTTCGCCCAAAATATTGCCTGACGCGACTCGAAGTACTTACTGGTGCATCTCAATCGTTCCAACAAAGCCGCAAGACTCTCCACATTCCCAAAAGCTGACCATCCAACCAAATGAAGATATTCGTTTTCAGCTTCTGCGACTTTCTTCAAGCATAATCCCGTTCGAGCGACGCAAGAGCACGACGATAATCACATCGGTATCGCCAGGCTGCATCACGTCACTGGGTGCGAGAGCAACCGCGTTAAAATCCATTCTTCGCAATACACATCAGGATGGCGCGCGCATCAAAGATGTCTGAATCGCCGGCGCCATTCGACGATGACAATGACATCTACGGCGCATCTCCACCGCCCCCATCGAACCGAAATCGCAGAAGTAATAATGCCCCCGACGACGACTCACCCACTCCCCCGACCTCAGTGTCCTCAGATAAGGAAAATCGCTCATCTCGACCTGTAGTAGACAAAGGAAAAGGTCGCGCGCCGATGGGCCCTCCACCGAGAGCTGCATCGCCCAGTGAGAGGAATAAGAGGAAGCGCGGGAATGAGGAGCCTTTATCAGACCGCAGTAATAGCAGGAGACGGACCTTGGAGGCTGCTGAGGAGGACGAGATTGAATATGATCCGGAACAGCCTCTGGAGGTACGGCGCGAGCTGCGCGCAGGCATGAGAGAGTCGACCAAGAACCTGCTGGAAAATCGATCCGAATACCTCAAGCCCAACTCGACTGGTTTACGAGATACTCTTCTACAAGCCAACTCTCTTTTCGCAAAGGTCAAGCAGACATCCGATGCCACTATCGACTCGCGACTTTTGAATACAGTGGCAGACTATGTAGACAAGAAGGCTGTGGCTATGATATCTGGGGATTCCTCGCAGGGAATAGACGTGGATGAATTCGTTTCAAGGATCAAGCAGTACATGAGATTTGGGCAAGATGCAGAAGAAGCACCTTCGAGCACACAAAGAGCGCGGAGAGACGAAGGCGAAGACGATGGAGAAATACTAAACTGGGCATACCTGGGCCGCAACGCCTGTATAATGCACAACTGCCGGCCATCCGTACCCGGATTCCTCCTCGGTCCATTATCTCTAGAAAAACGAGCAAAACGAGTCATTGCACGAAGAGCAGGATTACGACATAACAACGCCGAAGAAACGCGGCCGGAAATCCTGAAAACAGGTGACGTGAAGCGAGATGAGAACCAGAATCTCAGCGCGTTGAGTCAGATGATCCTCAAGACTTTCAAGAAATCACTCGAGAGTGCGGCTGCTGCGGTAGATGCTGAAGCTAGTGAGGATATGACCGAGGAAGAGGTACAGGCACTACTTGACAAGCACAGTGTCTCGAATCAGCAAGGCTCGGAGGGACTCGCGTACTTCAAGTTCGTGATTAACCCTTACTCATTCGGGCAGTCAGTCGAGAATATGTTCTACGTCAGTTTTCTAGTCCGAGATGGAGCTGTGGGAATCTCGACTGATGATAGAGGATTGCCGTATCTCAGTAAGCGCCACCTCCTCCCATTTTCTCGCTTAATCCAAGCTTTCCCTCCCCCTGATGTTCGAAACTGAATCAACATGCTAACACCCCACCCAGTCCTCATCGATGAAAACGAGAAAGCCGAAGCCGAAAAAGGCGAACACCCAAAACACCAAGCTGTCCTAGCATTAGACATGCAGATGTGGCAAGACCTAATCGACGCCTTTGAGATCGAGAAGCCCATGATCAAGCACAGGCAAGAACCAGATAACAGCAATGTCGGCGCGAAAGGATGGTATGCCTGAGCTTACCTGTCGACTCATCTTACTTCGGTTTCAAGATCTAGACTTCGGGATCTTGAAATGGGAGTCGCTTCTGCTTTGCCATTACAGGCGTTCTGGGCATAAAATGCGATGGAATGATTGCTCGGAGGGTTGCAGCTACGGCTTACACCGCATTCGCATTCACATTCATCACCTTCAAATTTTTGGTTGCTTGAGCGTTTTCGCTTTTCACACATCAACCTCAATCTTTCTTCAACTGTATCATAGATAGGGACAGACGGCATCACAGCCCACTCAGGCAGCCAGTCAGGCAGCCACTCAAACCGGATGGTTGGCTGATAGAGCCATGGTTCGGTACATGATATCTGGGGCTGGCTTGGAGTGGAGTTGGAGTGGAATGGGATGGGATGGGTTCGGTTGGGGCACGGAAGGGAGGGGATGGAGGGAGGGAAGGAATATGTGCTATCCATCACATCGCTGTTGCGTGGGGGAAACGCTTTTGCTTGGGGAATATAAGCTTACACAACATGGCGTTTTGATGGAATGGGTGGGGATCATTTTGTGTGATTAGATGAGAAATTAAAGAGAGAGACGGAGAAGAGGAATAGCAAATACGCGACCAAATACAGCATAACGCAACGCAGGTTTCAATAGGTATCCTTTCGACTATGGAACATTTGAGACCGCCTAGAAATACACATCTGGATCCCATCCATGCCATCCATGTCACCCCACCCATCTAACTATCCTCAGCCCGTCTCCTACCAGACAATTTACAACCGCAGCATCTTGGCAATGTACGCCTCGATCAGAGGCTCATTAGGGAACGACATATCCTCCAACTTCTGCGCGTATGGGGTTGGGACCTCAGCACCGGTGATACGCTGAGCAGGGGCATCAAGGTAATCGAAACCGTATTCCATGGTAAGAGCGAGGATCTCGGCGCCGACACCGAAGGCTGGGAAGCCGGACTCGACGCACAGGAGGCGGTGAGTCTTCTTGACGGAGTTGATGATGGTTTCGATGTCGAGGGGCTTGATGGAGCGGAGATTGATAACTTCGCACTCGACGCCATACTTCTTCTTGATGTTCTCGGCAGCGATCAGGGATTGACCGACACAGCGGGAGAGGGAGACGATAGTGAGATCCTTTCCGGCGCGTTCAATCTTGGCCTTTCCGAAGGGGATGACGAAGTCGTCTTTTTGCGCAGCCTCGCTCATTGGGAAAGATTGGCCGTAGAGAAGCTCGTTCTCGAGCACGCAGACTGGGTTGGGGTCACGGATAGCAGCCTTCAATAATCCCTTTGCGTCCTCTGCGCTCCATGGAGAGACGACCTTGAGACCAGGTATGCTTCCGTACCAGGCCGAGTAATCTTGTGAATGTTGCGCGGCGACACCAGACGCGAAGCCGTTAGGACCGCGGAAAGTGATGTTGCAGGGCTGAATACCACCGGACATGTAGTGGGTTTTTGCTGCAGAGTTGACGATTTGATCGATTGCTTGCATAGCGAAGTTAAAGGTCATGAACTCGCACTGTATCATATCCACTCTTAGAAAATGTTCAAGCAATACCAAAAAAGTCGCCGACAGAAGGGAGATACTCACGACAGGATGTAAACCAGCCAATGCGGCACCAATTGTCAAGCCAGCAAATCCAGACTCAGTGATAGGACTGTCAATGACTCTCTTATCTCCAAATCGATCCAGTAATCCCTTGGTGACTTTGTATGCGCCATTGTACTGAGCGACCTCCTCGCCGAGAATGAAGACCTTTGGGTTCGACTCCAATTCCTCCGCAAGAGCCTCATTCAGGGCATCTCTGACTGTGTACTCCTTCACGCCACTCTCCTTTGCATATCCTCTGCTCTGGACAATCGCTGGCACTCTGGGAAACGACTGGAAAGCACTTCGGGCAGTTACTGGTCTGGCCCCGGACGCGGAGGAAACGAGTCGAGAGGCTGGGCGCAAGAGTCGAGACATCTTGGTGTATGTGGCCGCAGCGAAAAGAAGGGGAGGAAATGAGGAATTGGGGGAAGAGAATTGATGTTGTGGAGGACGACGGTTGAGCTTCAAGAAATTATCCGCGAGCTGGCTCTGGCGTTGGGAGAGCTTGACCATTCGCGCCTCAAAAACGCTGGGAAGTCTAGGCCAGGATAGGACAGGCGCCAACAGGACAAGCGGCGGACCCTATTTTTACCGAAACCTTTGACACCTGGACTTCATAACAACACCCTAGATTTGATATTTTATATTATTGCCAATTCAATTGGAATATTGTGTCATAAATTGACTTTAAATGTAACACACTGATCAAAACTTCTCTTGTTCATCTCCTCTGCGCTTTGCCATTTTCTCTCAACTTTACCTATTGGGCCTGTTGAAGTCGCCGAATCTCTGGAACGGCAGCCGATGCGCTTTAAATAGAATGATTTGTCTTCAAAGAGGAGACTCCTACAGTTAACGGCTTACTCTTGCAATACTCTTGCAATACACTGGAACCTCATTCTGGATCATTTATTTTGCTGCTGCATTTTTAGTAGTTGCCAAAGACACTTGCTCCTATTCTGTGACACTACGCGTCTTGAGAGCCAAACTACTTACGAAGTCCACAGATGTCACACCTACTGCAATAGCACGCAGCATTCTAGCTCAAAATTGTGGAATCATCAATTTCCTATTCATCGAGCCTATCTATGGCATATTCGTATGCAGTCGTGACCTCCCAGCGCCGTAACTCCAAAGCATCCAATCCGCCAGAGTAGCTCCAATAATTCAGAATGCCATCCCAATCCTCCCTCAACCCAGACCCTTCACCCGCTTAAACTCCCATGGTAAAATCATGCTCAATACCTGGAGTGACACTTGCCATGAACTACCTCTCGTTAGCTTGAAGAATGTGAAGATTAAAGAAGAGCTTACCTTTAAGAACACAACAAGATATTGGTCAACACGAATGGCAACCTCCTCATCCGCAGCTTCTGCGTCATGTTGCAGAACCTCCCATTCATCATTTCCATTTCCACCAGCCTTGGCGCCCTCCAAGATAGCCTTCTTGTCCTCAGGTCCCAAGCTAGTCTTTGTGAAGTCATCAACCAGACCTTCCATACCAGCGTCCTTGGCTCCTGGGAGGATCTTTCCTTGCTTCAGCTTCTCTCTACGGATCTTGAGAGCGGCATCTGCACGGTCAAGTAATGTCTTCATTACACTGGCGTGCTTACAGGGGTGAACAGAGGCCATCTTGATGTTATTGCTGAAGTATGGGAAGTCCTCCAGAGTGACAGTCTTATCCTTGTAATCTCCGACAATATCCTCCATCATAAGTTGTGGGGGCAGAGGTTGGGAGTTGGCAAGGTAGCCGGAAAGATAGAGTCGTGGGGTTCGGTAGTATGGGGTATACGCAATGTAAAGTGTGTAGGTTCTTCGTGATCTATCATCGCATCAGTACCCGCTCTCAAATCTATATCAGGTACAACTTACGAGTCTGCTCCGTCCGCCTTAGGATCCCGGATGATAGCTTCCTCATCATCTTCCTCGTCCTCCATATCTGGAATCTCATCGTCATCCTCTTCTCTCTCGCCCATATTTCCGCTCTCATCCACCGTTCTGACATCTCTGGCTCTAGCTTCCTGACTCGCAGCTAGGCCTCCAGTTCTCAACCAACCATCCTCATCATCGCCGGGCGAGTGCCCACCAGCGCTCTTAAAGTCCTCTCCGTCGCCCACCATCGTCTCGTCGTGACCAGCATCGCCCGCAAAGTTATCATCGAGTCTGCGATGGCATGGCACGCCCCGAGTCACAAGGAACTGCTTGCCCGCAGGCAGATACGATGCGCGCTTGGAAGCTGGTGAAGCATCCGCCCAAGACCATGTTGGGAATTTATATACGAGATAATCGCCTGCAGCGACGAACTCTTCCGGGGTGATCTGTCCGTTCTGTCGGAAGGTCGAGGTATGCGAAACTGGTGCCCATTCCCGGACTTTATCGAGGGTGCTGTGGATGAAGTTCATCTTGATAGCGGGGTTCGAGGGTTGTTTACTTTGATCTGTTTCGATATCAAGCCTCTTTCCTGAGTGTCACGGCCGTGTTCTCCGGGGTTGTAGATTTGTAGGTTGTCAAGGTTAAGTACTCGATACTGGTGTGACGCAGGGTCTTCGAGGTGACGAAGGCGGGGACAAAGAAGGGGAGCTGACTTGAGGCGATTCGCAGCCTTGCCCCGCTAGCAGGCTGCAGGACAATCCACGTGATAACCACAACAATCACGAGAGCATCTCATGGTGTATGTCTGTAGTCAAGTGATTTTCCAGGTGGCGAAGTGATTCATATTAGTTTACGTAGGTACGGGTTTAAGGAGATGCTCGGAACCTAGCAGACAGCATTTTCATATGGCAACATTATTGGCTATGGCAAGAAGTCAACATAACTAAATAGGATCCTGATTCCGTGTCATCACTATGGAGCGGTGCCTGACACATATTGTTCATTTCATGGATGCGGACACGGAAATTGGCGGTGTATATTTAAACCAGTGGATTTGAAGTAAGTCATTGCTCCTGTTCCTCGAAGGCGCTGAGAATCAAAGATTGATACAGAATCTCAGAGTGTTGTTCTTCGCTCTCGCTAGCTACAGTAGCGAGAATCACACTTCATTCATATTCTCCCCATGCGGCCCTTCGATTGAGATATCTCCATGTGAAATTCTCGACGGTACCTTCATCAAGTTACTTGAAGGCTTTGATATATGTGTTGAAACTAGTCTGCTCGCAGCGATGGTGTCAACGGCGCAGCGCCAGCCTGGAGCGTCTGGCACACCGGCTGGTCCAAATCCTCCTGCAAACGAATTATCCACTCCATTTCTCGTCGCCAAAGATCATGGACCGCGGTATTTATACAACCAAACTGGTTAGTACAAATCATCCGCCAATTCGTCATACCCGTTCAATCAGCTGGGAACAGCGCTCTTTCGACGATCATCACGGCTCGTGTTGCAGTCGCTGATGTGGCTAGGTCGGTCTATCCTAGGTATGCGTTTTTCAAAGTCCTAGATGGAAACTCAAGGTCTTGATTGACGAGCAGCTCTCATTTGCTTCAGACCGACGTGGTGTTCATTCCGTGAAATATGTCCTACGAATATTCCAATGATGTAGCGTACACCAGGTTTTACACATCGGTCAAGGAGCGGCCTGTTTGGATTCGACGCTGATAACAGGTGGCGGGAGTTGGGAAAATCCTGTTTGGCCTATCATGTAGATTTGTTAGCAGATACTTGTAGCGAGGCCAAAATGAGTCTTATCAAAGATATTCATACGTTGTGGAGCATGACTGATTTGTCATGTCGGACTCACATCGTATCTGTAATTTCTTTAGTAGAGAAAGTACTGCAAAAGTGGATGGTATTTTTCTCTACGGGATCATGGTCGATTCCATTTCAGATCATTTCAAGGCGAGGATATTTCCACTGTTCCACTACACCGGAGTAGTTGGAGATTGGGAAAGGGCCAGCTAGCTTTGCTCCCAGTTCCAGAAGTGTTCGAACAATATGTGGCTGACAGTATAACATAGCTGCTATCATCGGAAAGGTCGCGGATTTACCATCGTAGTCGATATTTGCACCTCGCTGTACTAATAGCCTAACGACGGTATCATAACCTCGTTCAGCCGCCGTCTCGAGTGCTTGATTCTTATACCAGAGTTCCATACCGGAATCAAGAAGCACTTCAACTGATCGAGCTTGGCCATTGCGGACCGCAGCCATAAGCGGAGACCATGCGTAGTTGTGTACTGGGATCGAGCCAGCTGCGAGGAGGTCCTGAACAATTTCGTAGTGTCCATGCGAAGCAGCACGGGAAAGTGAGGACCACCTCTCCATGTAGTCTGTTACCATTGCACCGTGATCCAACAAAAGCTGCACGACATCCCGGTAACCTCCTGAACACGCGAGGAAAAGAGGCGATTCCTGTTGCCACATCTTGTTCACACTTGTGGCATTTGCGTTCACATTAGCGCCGTTCGTCAGACACATCTTGACAAAGTTTATGTGACCATGTCTTGCGGCGTGACATAAGCTTCTAAAGTCATCCAGCGGGGTTTGCAGTCGTTCACAGAGTATGTGGAAGATCCTGGCTTGATTGGCTTGTGCTGCGAACCTGGTGAGTCTCATATAGCTATCCGTCTCGCACCTATCAAGGAGTAGCTCAACTATATGTGTAAAGCCTCCAGTGATAGCAGCTCGAAACGCGAAATGGACCTCCGATAAATCACTGGTATAAGACGCAGCTTCTCTGGCGTCCAGAATGCGTGCAATCAAGAGAAGATGACCGCCAATCGCAGCGTAAACCAGGGGACCTTTACAGAATACTGATGCCATGCCATCCCCGGACTGGCGCTGGTGCTCGGAGCTCGCAGCATCTAGAATAACTTCGTTGAATTTATCAATAACTCCAAGCACCGCAGCCGCGCGTAGACAGTCGCGTCTGAAGGTGGAGGAGTCCAGAACCATGGGAGACTTCCTGCTATCTATTAAGTCAACAATATGAGCATCGCCGTAATCTTGATAGACAGCGGTGGTGACGAGAGATCTGAGAGCGTCTTGATAAACGTCACTGAAGTAATCTTGTCCTGGGAACAATTCTTCAAGAATGCGGTGGAGATGAGCAGACAGGTTATGTTTTCTTTTACCGTCTGCTAGTGCTCGATAGAGCACATATTTCTCAGCCACCTTGGGACGGGCGGGCGACCAGTCTGCATCTGAAAGTTTGAAGTCTGGGCAGCGATAGAGAGCTCCTGGGATTTCGCGGTCGAAAAGTTCTGGAAAAGGTGTTGGCTTCTGCTCATAGATAGATGAAAGGTACAACGTGCTGCAGATCAATCGCAGCCGAGCTCCTTCAGTCACCCCAATGGTGTCAATCACATTGTCTAGGAGAGTCTTGAAAACGTCCAAGGGAAGCTCCCCTAGTGGACATCGAGAGTCGCCGGGCATCGTATAAGGTAAAGGATGGTGTAGCCGTAATTGAAAGATTCGAAAAAGAGCTCAAAGGAGAAATGTGTCTAGAGGAACCCTGTAGAAAGTATGTCAATGTTTGAAGGGAACCAGCTGGAAACAGAGCACATATACTCGAGTTATGAGGTAGTAGACATCTGCCAACAGGATTTGGCACGTGAGATGTTGGTTTTTGAACTCCTGTTTGATATAATCCGGGTATCCGATTGGATGAAGTAGTATGCCAGGCAGCAGGGATGTGTTGCTCGTTAAGCAATAACTGTACTGGTGAAATCGTGGTGTTCGAACTCCTCCTATCTATATGGCGACTTTTTTTTACAAATCATGTCTTAGAAGCATTTCGGGCACCTATCTCCTGCAAGATTGGTTAGCCTAGGAGGAAGCAGCAGTATTTCTCTAGGTATAACCAGAGCCAATCAAGAAGCTTGATCATATCAACAATATTCGTCAGATCTTACAGGAACTCGGTGGAGTCTTCAGAAATCTTGGATCCCAGTCTCTCCACTCTTGGCTGCCTCCTCGACCCATTCTGGCTCCTCCCCCTCAAACCAACTCTCCTCCCTCTCCCTCCTCTCGACCTCATCTAACTCATCACTCCCATCCACAGCCTCATAGTCAAAATCCTCGTCATCTCCCCTGAGAAACCTCACAGTCATCCCAAACTTCCATCTCTCCAGGCCCTCTTCCTTGCTCTTCAGTACCTCATCCTCCTCTTCCGGCAATACTTCCCCGTGACTTCCTCGTAAATAGCTCACGAATGGTACAAACCCTGCTGCCTCCTCACTCGGAGGCTTAGTTCGGGATGATGATGGGAATTGGGATGGAGACTCTGGGCGTAGGGCGGCGATTTTGGCTTCAGTGCGGTACATGTCTGCTTCCAGAACACCAGAGTAGCCTTTGGCGCGACCGTCGGCTTCTCGCTCTGATGCGGATTGGAAACGTCGGATGCAACGGTCGTAGAGCAGTGGATCTGGATATTCGTCATTAGTAAAATGTTCTTTATTTTCGATTAGATGCTCAGAATAAAAGGGTATATCTCCGATATACCAGCTAATTCCAGATCTGGGGAGGCGAAATAAGAAGGGTGGCGATCGAGGTAGAGTTTTCGTCTGTTCTTGATCCGAATCCTCTGAGCCCGCTCTTGAGATTGAGAACGGGCTTGGCTTTGTATTTGGATTGAGGAGTCTGAAAAGAAGGAATCGGGCTGCGAGACTGGTTCTGGGGATTGGAAGTGTGGCATTTTTGAGGACTGGTTGGTTTCGGTTTGAGAATGGTTCTGGGGGTTTAAGAACGTGATCTTTGGGGTCATTTGAATAGCAGCTGCTATGTGAGATAAAGAGGATGTTGATTCCCCTTTGCCCGGTGGCTGTTTAGGTACTTATGAGACGCTGTTGTTTGGGTTGCAGATGGATGGAAGGAGGTCCGACAGGGTTTGTGATGCTGAGTCAAGACGTTCCACGGCTTCGCCTCGGCTCGCCAATTCGGATCCGGCCCCCGCCTTCTGTCAACAACTATCTCGTTCCCTCAATCCATCAATTATCTAGACTACTACAATTAGTAGCAATGGGATCAGCTTTACCGATCTCAGAGGCCGCTAACCTACCCTCGCCACCATTTGTCACAGTTCCTGGGATATACAATTTTCGGGATATTGGCGGATATCCCATTGAACGCTCTCCCAACCACTCAATCCGAAGCAATGTGGTGTATCGTTGCGCTGATCCGTCGAAAATCACAGAAGAAGGAATTGTTGTTGCCAAAGAACTAGGGATTACTCATGTCTACGACTTGAGGTCAAACAACGAGATTGAGAGGAATCAAGCTGCAGGGAGAGGCGGTGTCGTGCAGTGGGATGGATGCGAGAGAGTGTTTGCTCCCGTATTCGAGGACAGAGACTACAGCCCTGAAGCTCTGGCGAGTAGATTCAAGGACTATGCATCTGGTCGGCGAGAGGTAAATACTTTGCTCATAATCTTCCAATGATACCGAACATATTTGATGACATGTTGCAGAGATTTACACGTGCTTATACCGAAATTCTCAACGGAGCACCGAAGTCATTCAGAATTATTCTATTGCATCTTGCGTATGAGCCAGAGAAGCCTCTGCTTATCCATTGTACAGCAGGAAAGGATAGAACTGGCCTCATCTGCGCTCTGGTCTTGTCATTATGTGGCGTAGATGACGAAACCGTTGCATACGAGTATTCATTGACAGAAATTGGGCTCACAAAAGAGTGGCAAGACGCTGTAATGGTGCATTTGATGCAGAATCCTGCTCTCAGGGAGAATCTGCAGGGTGCCAAGAATATGATCTCGTCAAAGTAAGTCTGCTGTGTCTCACAAGATTTGGACTGGGAATATATATTGATTGTCTGCTTTAGGGCCGAGAATATGCTTTCAACGCTTGAGATGATCAGGGAGAAATTCGGAGGCGCAGAAGGGTATGCCATTGATAGATGTGGGTTGGCAAAAGAGGAGGTTGGATTGATTAGAAAGAATCTGGTTGTGGAGAAGCCTCCGCATGCTAAACAGAACTTATAGATCTGATCTATTTCAAACATTTATCTAGATACAGAGAATTATAGATGAAAATGAACATAAATGAAGAACGAGTCACATAGTTTCTGCTGGTCGAGGTTTTTTGGAGGTACAAATATACAAATCATTTTCATCTGATGCCGCTACAGTTATGTACACTTTATCTACGAGTCAACTTTCATGATACAATGCATACCTCTTTTCAGTCGTATGTAGACAGACTTCCTCTCAAAATAAATGAGGGGATACAAACCCGAAATGTCTTCGCCGTTGATAGTGGAGTCCACGTGACTTTAGCGCTAGCGAAGCTCCACGAAGCCAAAGCGAAGGTTTCCTCGAGCGGACCTTTTGAAATCTCTTCAATTCTTCAACCTTGTGTTCAACCCTCTCTTGGTGCGCAAATTATGACCTGATATCAATCGGGTCCAATCATTATGCCACCAGTATTACGATGCATAGCTACGCTGCCTTCAGTGATCTGCACGAAGCAATTGTGCCGAGTCGGACCTTCATCACGATCCTTTTCCACATCACCGCGACATGAACAGCGATCAACCCGCGCCAGGCGAGGGTTTTTCCGGTGGCTGCAGACCATAGGACAGAACTTCGAAACCCCTCTGGAGAAGTCGACCAATTACCTGGGTGCATATAACAAACTTGGTCAGTTGAAGCGTGTCGTCGCAGCTGCTAAGGAAAAGGATCGTTTGAAGGAGGAAGCACGCAGTGCCGGTGCAGTCGCCGCAGATACTAGCAAAGACTTGTCTTTAGAAGAAAGCACAGAGTTACCCCCCGAGACGACCAGTGACTTGAGACCATTTCCGATGAACGGAGCTTTCATAAGTCAGCCGGTACTAGGTGGAATGGTCAAAGAGGATATCTGGTTCAGAATCATGATCGAAGGCCAGTCTGTTCGAGAAGTCAGTGCTGAACTTGGGGTTGAGATGGCTCGTGTCGGCGCTGTCGTACGACTGAAGGAGATTGAGAAGGAGTGGGAGCGAATAGTAAGATTCCCACCATATTTCTTTCCCCTCTCTCCACGCACTTTTATGATGATATTATAAAAATTCGATTAGTCTTCAAGACAACTACATGGTTACAAAATTTACGCATGCGAGCCTCTCTGAAACAGTGTTTCATTCCTCGAGATACCTTTGACTGATTTGAAGATAATTGCTAATATTACTTCCAATCCAGGGGAAACCGCTCGCACACTCATACCAGAGGGCTGTGAACAAAATGGTTCCTAAGACGTTACTGGCGCTTCCTGGTGAACGACCAAACTTCCATGAAACCATCAATGATCTCCCAGTACATAGAGCGACGGGGCAACAGATCTGGCACCCCACTTCGGAATCAAAGCATTTCACTCGTGTAGACGCTGCAAAGATATTTGATGAGAATTTGCTACCTGCCGATGCTCGAGTACCACATCCTGAGCTCGCAATATTGGCCAAGGAAGTTATAGACAACTTGTCTCCGAAGGAGCGAAGGGAACGTGCAGGTGCAAGAGAAGCAGTCGCAGAGAAGAAGAGGGCAGCTAAGGCTGCTCGGCAGGCGAAGAAGGAGGCCGCCATCAAGAAGGTTGATACAGGGAGATGGGAGTTCCACTTCACGGACATCAATGTCGACGCTGCCGGAAAGACAGGAAGAGGTCACAAGGGGGTTGGCTGGAGATATGGACAACCTCATGATGACAGGACCCGGGGAAAGATCAAGATACCCACCAGTGTGGCATGATCACTGTACAATGTATTATATGTGTCGACGGAGTTTGATGGGATTAGCGATGGGCATATCGGCGTCGCCGGGCTGGATGTATTGTATGTAAATGGTCATACCACTGTACAACGAAGATTAGAAGAGGGTGTATCATCCCCGAACGCAAACTCATACCCTATTTTTGCTACTAGGTGAATTGTTCTTGGTGATCATAAATACCTAGGCCATCAATACATGATTCATGATTCATGCCTCTAGCTCCGAGCTCCGTCACGACTGTGAAGTATTATACTTCACTCCACCGGATAAAAGTCAACCTCTGCATCTCTCCCCTGTCTCTTTCTTTTCCACTCATTTGCCAACTTGTTCACCAGAAACAGAAAGAACAAAGCACATTTCCCGCCAAGTCCTTAAAAAGCTGATATCACGTTCCCACTAGCCCGCCCCTGCCGCCCACTAGCGGCATCCTTGTTCTCTTGTGCAGCCTCGCATAAATACCCACGCCTTGCCTCGCCTCGCCGCTCTCGTCGCGACGCATGCAAGGCAGTCGAGACCAGCTATCAAAATCCTCTAAACGCCAAAAACACAACTCTTTCACCACAACTCCACCTTCGCCTTCACATATTCACTTTATATTCGGCTTTCAAGTTAAGGACGATTTATAGGCAAAGATGTCGGATAAGGAATTTGGTGGTGAGTTTTATGCGGCTTTTTGATATGAAATTTGTAGCGCGTCTTGTTTTTGGTGCGGCACGTGGACGGGGATGCGGCTTTGTTTTTGATATTTTAGTTTCCGGATATTTTGTTGCATAAGGGAGGAATTTGATATAGAAGACTCTCTAGTAGTACTTGAGACTTCTTGCATTGTGCTTTTCCTGTGCTTTTCCAAGATTTCCAAGAATCTGGAACCCAGGACTCAGGATCCAAGTGTTGCTTCAGCTGGATGCTGTCCATGAGTTTGGGCAAGAGCTATCATTTCCTACGCGAGTTGGAATCTAGGATCCTATGTTCGAGGATCTCAAGCCATTGATGCAACTGCTCTTTTGTTGTCAAGGACAAGTTGAGGAAAGACGGTTCGCATCGATAAATTGGCCAACCGGAGTGCCCATCGACCAACAAATCTGCTACTACTGGAGATAGTTGATACTAGATTGTGAAGGCCAGATTTTCTCCACGGTTCCGACTTTTGCAAAGTTCGAATTGATGGCAATGGGTACTCAACTTTATCTCAAATCAGAAGTGGAAATTGCAGAGGCAAACTCAGGCCGCCGGCAACATCTCCAGAAAAGATATCGCCAGGCCCTGAAACGCCCAGTACACAGACCTGCACTTCTTGAAAGGCTGAAATCTGCGCAGAGAATGGGCTAGATCCTTCATTTGTTGGAACACATCTCATTCCTCGCTCTGACCTCATCAGTTTCTCATTTACATGTTGTGTTTTTTGCTTATAATTGTGCTTTGAGAGCTCTAACTGACTTCATCTGATACAGGAAATGACGATCTTTCGCTTCCTAAAGGTAACCTTCCCTTCTTTATATGTACCTTGCAAGCAACACAAGACTCCAAATTTGAGGCCACCTTCGGAACAACACTCGTGCATTAGTGGTTAATTTCCTTGCGGGCCGATCCAATAGCAAGGACTCCGACCTGGCCATTGCAGCTGGTCCAAGCCAAGACCAAGCTCTGGCGGATCAATAGAGTTATTACCGCTGCATGGCATTTTACTGACACACAATATAGCGACTGTGCAGAAGATCGTCGGCGAGATTCTATCCAACTCACCAGGAATGGGCTTAACGAAAGATGCACGAGACCTCCTAATAGAATGCTGCGTCGAGTTCATCACCCTCATATCATCCGAAGCCAACGAGATCAGCGAGAAGGAGAGCAAAAAGACGATCGCATGCGAGCACATCACAAAGGCCTTGGAGCAATTAGGCTTTGGGGATTATGTGCATGATATCATGGAGGTGGCAAGCGAGCACAAGGAGCAGTTGAAGGTCAGTATTTGCCTATTCTCTATTTCCACTCCACTCCCTGCAGTGAATCATAGGAGTTGAAGCTGACACGTCTTATTCCAGGGACGCGAGAAGAAGGCAAACAAGCTAGAAGCCAGTGGATTGTCTACCGAGCAACTCCTGGCGATGCAAGAAGCTGCATTCAAAGATGCTGCTCAACGGCACGGATGAACAATTCCTTTATCGGTCTTTTTAGTCGTTCGCGTGGGTTTCTTTGCATTGGGTTTCAAGAATTCATTCTTCGTTTTCGCATACCAGTGCAAGTTCTGGACAGGACAGGACTTGCTGGCTGGTCGGGTGGGTGGCGTTGGGATCAATCATGATATGTATGCGGGCTGCTGCGAAAAGTCTTCAGCGTTGCATACAAGAGGAGTGAACAGATATTAAATGCCGCGGCGTTCTCTTTTCCCACATTTGATTTTGCTCGCTACCATATTTTACAATTCAAGCAGACGATCGTTCATTGTAGGTCATGATGCAAGTGCATTTCAAATTACTCTCCTACTTGAAACGAAGAACTTGCTTACTACATTTAGATAGATACCAAGCCGCCGAATCTCCCCTGGACACTCTATACCGAAGTCCAACGATTGACTGATCATCACTGACCTCCCGGCCTTGTGCGCACGAATCGATCCCGATAGGTAAAGCGCATTACCCAGCACCAAACCTCCCTAGTACCTACTCCAATGTCGCAGATCCGATCTGCCGTCATGTGTTGGCTGCACATCACTTATCCAGCCTTGCCGCAGAGCAGCATCAAAGCAAACACTGTGCCACCTCAACACAAAACGATATTAATCTCTCGGGTAATGGGGCGCTCGCCAATAGCTCGCGAGGCTGAATTACAGATGGGGCTTATCGGCACTTGTGCATAACTGCCGGATGGAGTTCAGCCAATGCGATTGCGAGTTGGTATTGAATGAGGTAGTTTTCGTTTTGTGGGTTTGTGGTTTCGTTATTGCAGGGGAGGATGGTTATGGTTTGATATTGTGTGGTAGAGGTGGCTTTGTTTGGTATCGAGGTGTGAACTGCTGCTGGGTTAGGAAGGAGGGGTGGCTGTACTGATTGACGTGAGGTATGGGTATTTGGAGGGAGGTTGTGCAATCGGTTGGTATTGACACTGGAGGGGTGAAAGAGGTAGGTATATATTGCTACCTTTTGCTGCTGCTGCTTGATATTTTATCTCTCCTGGTTCTTATTTTTGAGATCGAGTCTTGTATCGTCGAACTATCGACGACTGAACCACCTGATGATTTCTTCGTTTGTTACTGCTGCTGTTACCGCTCTTTCTGTGTTGCAATTGGTTGAAGGTAGAGGATTTGTCGGGGATGGGAGTACGCCGGGTATTGTGAGGTTGGCTGTTGTTTCTAAGGTTTGTTTCTTTCTCTTTACAGTCTCAAAAATCGTGATTCTCGAACTGCTGCATAGGCACTGGGGATATGGATAAGTGGAGAGTGATATCAAGTGCCACTGAAGGGAAGAGAAAAGTTGAGATGATAGCTCCTCTGCATCAAATCAACACTGTTTCCAGGTATATTTTCTTGAAGCTGACAGGTCACAGACGCCTGATCCTTCACTCAGAAAACGACAATTTCCCGACCGCCTCATAAACGATGATTACGGCCTCGAATATCTCATCAACTGTACGTCCCCTCCCCAAACCAGACCAGGTTATCCATCTAACAAACCACACAGTTGAAATCGGCAACCCACCCCAAAACGTGACTGCAGCACTAGACACCGGCTCCTCAGATACATGGGTGAACCCTCAATGCGGAACGGGAAATACGGTAGACAGTAATGCTATCTGTCAGCGGTATGGAAGGTACAAGCCTGAGAACTCGCCGACTTCGAGGGGATTGCAGCAGGAGATGTATTTGAGGTATGGGAGTGGAGCCGTGTTGGGGGAGTATTATGTAGATGATTTACATTTGGGAGGTAGGTCCTCTCTCTATATTTCCTTCCCACCATATTTTTCCTGTCGTATAGGTACAGCATGGGGGAATGAGTAAGTGTGACCGGCCGATTGACTTTAGTGGTTACGATGTAATTCCGAGCGTATGTGATGAATGCTGATTGAACATGAATAGAAACAACAATCAAAGCACAACAATTCGGTATCGCTACACGCAGTCAAGGTCTCGATACCGGTCTCATGGGCCTCTCATTCGGTGATCAAATCGGTACTTCATATCCCAATATTATAGATCAGCTTGCCGCACAGAACATCACGCAGAGTCGAGCTTTCAGTTTAGATCTGGGAAGTATTGATACACCTGAAGGCAAGCGAGCCACCTCCATCTATTTGGCGATGAAATGAGGTCGTTCAAAATATGTGCTAACCGAACAATAAATTCAGGTTCCATTATCTTCGGAGGTATCGACACGAAGAAGTTCTACGGCAAATTGAGCAGACATCCAATTATCCCCGCTGACAAATCGCCTGATGAATACCCACGGTTCGTCCCTTACTATCATTCTTTTACTCTCAACTCTATCTCCTCAGCAATCTGATAATACTTCCAGCTACTGGATCAACATGACCTCCCTCACCCTCCGCCTCCCACCCTCCACCACAACCCCAGGCACACCCCCACCCTCCCCCAAAACCTTCCTCAACAGCACCCTCGCCGTCTTCCTCGACAGCGACGGCACCCTCTCTCAGCTTCCTTCCTCCATCGTCCGTCCCCTCGCAGCCGCCTTCCCAGGCGCCAAAAACGTCGGCAGTGGGCAATACACAGTCCCGTGCTCGGCGATGAATCAAACAGGGTTTGTGGACTTTGGGTTCGGTGAGAAGATTATTAGGGTGCCGTGGAGGGAGTTTGTGTGGTTTGTTGAGCCGGGATTGTGTGCGTTGGGGGTGGTGGAGGGGGGGAGTGGGGGGATAAATGTTTTGGGGGATACGTTTTTGAGGGCGGCTTTTGGTGGGTTCTTCTGCTCACATTCTTCCCTTATTTTTGTTTAGAGATTTTCACTTTTTACTTTCCATTTCGAGATTTTCAACTTTCCCGACTTTCAGGTTCGGGCATTCTGGCTCTTGTCCGACTGTCTTAAGGGGAGAGAGAAAAAGGGAAAGCTAACCACCCACTTAAAACCAACAGTCGTCTACGACCAAGACAACCTCTCCATTCACCTCGCCGAATCCGCCGACTGCGGCTCCAACCTCGTCGCCATCGGCCGCGGCAAAGACGCCGTTCCCTCCGTAGCAGGCGACTGTACCTCCCCTTCATTCACGGATTCGTCAGCTGGTACTCCAGATTCTTCTATCGTGACGCCAACGCCAACGCCAACGATTGCAATGACGGGCAAGATGACGACTAGTGTGGTGAAGAGTCTGACTGTGAGTACTCCTGTCAAGAGTGGTACGCCGAAGGGTACTACGGTGAAGAGTACGGGTACTAAGAAGGTGAGTAGTAGTAGGAAGGTGGTGAGGACGAGTGGGAGTAAGAGTGGGAGTGAGAGTGGGAGTGGGAGGTCGGTTAGTACTGGGGTGGTGTGATGGGTGAAATGGGATGAGATGGCATGGGATGGGATGGGATGGGGTGGAATGGGGTGTGTTGTGTTGTGTTGTGCTGTGGTTGGGGAAAGGGGGCTTAAGCGAGAATGGGGGGAACGAAAACCCAGTAGGTTTTTTTACCTCACTGATGTGGTATGTAACAAGGGTTGCTGCAAGGGAGGAGAAGATGAAGTATGATGTCGAATGAAAAGTTGATCCTGGTATATTTTTCCTTGGTTGTATAGGGCAGCTCATAAATGTATGTGGAAGACGTCGAGTATTGCTATTCGCTTCATTCTGAAGTCCACGTCGTAAGTATCGCTCAATGTCTAAGCAAGACCATCCTTTAGACTTCTGAAAATGCGAGTGATGATACCACTTTTTAGAATGGCACACAATAGGACTTTCTCAACCTCTCAGCTGAGAATCCAGCACTTCATCATTTGTACAAGTATTTCTACAGCATCTCATCTCCACATCTCTTCAGGTCTCTCCAAAAACAAACACCCCCTTCCCTGCCCTAAAACCCCCCAACGTCCCCTCAACCGCACCCTTCAACACCCCCTCCTCAGTCCCCCAATCCCAAGTAACCTCCTGCACCGGAATATCCCTAAACCTCCCCTCTCTCGTCAAATGCAGTATTTCCTCCACAGTCCTCTTCTTCTCCTCAGGATTCGCATCACTCCACCTACTAACCCAGAATCCACTAAACTTAATATCCTTGAATATCAACGCCCCAGTCGGTAGCATAAGCGGCTGTTTCGACATCGCACCGTACGTAACGAGATGGCCTGATTGGGAGAGACATTTCACGAGCGCAGCGGTCGGTTTACCGCCTACGCAGTTGAGTCCGACTTTTACTTTCTCGCGGCCTCCAGATGTCCATTCCTTGATTTGTTCAGAGAAGGATTTATCCATGAGTTCAGACTCCGTAACGACTTTTGTGGCGCCTAGAGCTAGCAGTTCATCTTTCATTGTTTGTGTAGCTGCTGCGTCTGGGCGGTCGCGGATGACGTTTATGGATTTGAGACCCCAGAGTGCACCGAGTTGGATGGCTGCTCGGCCGACGCCGCTGTTTGCTCCGTTTTGGATGAACCAGTCTCCTTCGTCTAGAGTCTCGAAGTCTTTTAACATGCGGTACGCTGTGCATGGATTGACAGACACGGTACCGACTTGGATTGGTGTCAAGCCCTCCTTGTTCTCGATTTTCAATACAGCAGATTCGGTGGCTTCGGCGTGTGTGCGCCATGTTCCGAAGCCGGTATTCTTCATTATTACCCAGTCGCCTTTCTGGAGGGTTTTGATGGAGGAGCCGATGGCGGAGACTTCGAAGCAGCCTTCATTGCCGGCAACGGCGCTGGGGGAGGAGGTGCCTAGCAAGGAGGTGAAGGGTGGTTTGGAGGGGTAGACTCCTTGGATTTGATTTATATCTGCTGGGTTTATGGGTGTGGCGAGAGTGCGGAGGAGGAGGGATGTTGAGGGCAGGGAGGGGGAGATGGAGTGGTTGTGTAGACTGTGGGGTGGTGTTAGCTATGATTCCAAGATATTTCAGTTCAATTGACTATTGTAAAGGAGTAGGAGAAGCTAGAGAGAGAATCTCTACTGAAGGGAACGGGATACATACGATAAAACATCAGACGGCTCCCCATACTTCGAATATACCAGCGCTTTCGCCTGTGTATACCCATATGGTCCTGACTTCCACCTCCTACAAGTCAAATTTCCTCCTCTCTGTGCCAATGCACTCCGCAGAGCTGGGACCGAGCCCTGGCTTGTCCTAACACTTATCCGTACCGTCATTGCTGGGTTGTGGTTGAATTGGGGGGAAATTGAGGGGATTCAGAAATTCCCGGACGAGCAATGACGTTTGTACTTGTCAGAATTGCAGTTGTATAAGGAGCTACTACAGAGAGAGAGAATCTCCTATATAAAGGGGTAGTGTACTTAGTAGTACGGCCTATAATACTAAGTCTACGCCTATAATCCCTATATTTATAATAGCTCTCCTATTCTCTATATCTATAGTAAATAGAGCTTTTTAAAGTAATATAGCGCTAAATATTCCTGAAGTAACGCTAGAGTATTACTAAAGTATTACTAATTACTTATATTATATAAGAAGCTTTAATTATACCTTATTAACTCCTATAATATACTAGCGTATATATAGTGCTTATATCTCCTGTTTTCCTAGGAGTTTAGTAACTTTATAGTATTAAGGTATATAAAATAGTATAAGAGTATACCTAAATCGCTCCCTTATTAATAATCTCTTACTCCTACTACTCTTATTTACCCTTATTTATAGTTACTTTACACCTTTCTTTTATAGCTACTAAGATTTATTCTTTACTAGCTTTCTCTTTAGTCTCTAAGGTATATAAAGATTATCTTCTTCTAGTTTTATTTCCTTTCCTTCTTCTTTTAACTATAGAATAAGATTTATTTTAACTATTAAGTATAGTAGTTATATATTATTATTTTACTTAATTTATAGTTATATATTATTATTAAGGAAAGTATTTATTAAAAGACTAATTTTCTATAAAGAATATTCTATTTTTATAAGTTCTACTACTAGAAATAGCCTTAATTTATATAAGTCTACTATTAATTAGCTAACTATTATTAATCTTAGAGTTATTATTAGAGAATCAGTTATTACTAAGTAACCTTATATATATCTTATATTATTTAAACGATTCTAAAGGTAAAGCTTTTATAAGAGTATCTACTATATTATTATTACTTAGAATATATTTTACTACTAACTTATTATATAAAACTATATTATCTTAAATATAGAACTAGCAGATATTAATATACTTCGCTTTTAGATAGAATTTCTATTTTTTTAAGAGAGATTTAGCTCTAGTGTTATTAAGATATAGTATAAGAATTTAGGATAGCTTTATATTAAGGTCTTTCTATAGCTTAAGTAACTAAGCTACTTCTCTAGAGCTATTACTAGTAGCTATTATCTTAGAATCTAAGCTAAAGAGAGCTATAGACCTTTACTTATTAGTAGCTTAAGAGATTAGACCTTTATAGAACCTTACTATCTATCCTTAGAATAATTTCCTATTATATTCTATCTCTTATATAGTATCGATCTAAATATTAAATATATTATTATCTAGCTTTCCTTTATATTTTATTCTTATTCTAAATATTATTCTATTACTTTCTATATACTATAGATATCAGAGGAGAGGTTTTATATCTTAGAGGTAAGATTTAAAGGGATTTAATATATACTATACTAGCTAGCTTATTATATAAGTAATATTAAGTTGTATAAGGTTTAAGAGGTATATTAAAGAGCTAATAATCTACTAAAATAGTAAGATCTCTTTAAGGGAGGCTAGTATAATACCTTTATCTTTAGTTAACTCTCTTAGTACTATTCTAGTAGTTATAAGTAAGGTATTACCTCTAGCTATAACTATTCTAAACCTTTCTAGTAGCTTTTAAATATAAGCTATTTAATAAATCCGCAGAGTCTTATTCTTCCTATCCCTCTTAACTTATAAGCTTATAAATATATTAATAGCTCCGAGGTCTTTACTTTTCTAAGTTTTTAAGAGCTATTTCTTAAGATATTTACAGTTAATAGAGTTACTTATAATTAGTATATTATTAATAAAAACTAATACGTACACTCTATTCTTAAAGATAAAGAGATTAGAGTTAGCTTCTAATACTTCTAGATTTAGCTTTTCTATCTTATCTTTAATAAGGAGTTACTATTCCTTAAGTACTTATTTTAAGCTATAGAAAGAGCGTAGGAGCTTTAGATATATATCTTTCCTTTTATTTAGCTCTAAGTAAAGCTTATTTTATATCTCTAGTATCTTATTATTCGGAATTATTATATATATATCTTCTTTTAAGTATATATTTAGGAAAGTAGTATTAATATTAATATACTTAATCTCTAGGTCTCTTTTAGTTATAATAGTAAGTAGTACTTATAAAGTAGAATAGCGTATAACGCTTACGAAAGTATTAAAGTAATTAAGACTATATTTTTACTTAAAGCCTCTTATTATAAGCTTAGCTTTTCGCTATACTATAGAGCTATTAGAGTTGATTTTATTATGTAGAACTAGTTTTAAAGATATTAGTTTTAAGCTAGAGAGAGGCTTACTGAAGTATACTCTATAGGTTCTAGCGCTTTATATAGCTTATAATTCCTTAAGAATAGTAGCTTTCTATTCCACTAGATTCTCCCTTAGAGCTTCTATAATAATTATAACCTTAAGAAGTTATATAAGTTCTTCTTTAAGTATAATTAGCGCTATTTAATAAGTTAGTACCTTATTAAGGATTTACTAAGAGTATAGCTTTATAGCTATTACCTAAGTAGCTTATTTAAAGTATTATTTTCTACGTTATTTCTTACTATATCTTAATAGTAGAGTATTATTAGACGCGTTTACTAGTTAAGTCTATTTAAAGAGATATTAATTAGATACTCCCTTAGTATCTCTTATTATATTTTCTATAGCTAACCTTCCCTTTAAAGGATTTTTAGCTTCTATAGCTAGTCTCTCTTCTAGAGATCTTTTAGCTTCTATAGCTAGCCTTATTCCTAGAGGTCTTTCTAAGCTTTTAGTACCCTTAGCTAGCTTCTTAGTAAGTACTAGATTAGTAGCTAATAGTAGAGGTCTTTCTACTACTTTATTATTATCTTTTAGTATAGTTTACTTACTACTAGTATATATAGATTATATTATATACTTATTAAAGCTATAATTAGCTATTTCTAGTTCCTTAAAAGTCTTTATATTTAGGAGCTTATAAGTTAAGGTATTAGCTATACTTACTAATACGAAATACCTCGAAATCGTCCTTTACTTTATTTTACCTTAATATAGCCTCAGTAGATATAAAGAGTATATTATAAAGCTAAATACTCTTATTTTTAAGAGGTTTATAAGCTATCCTCTATATACTTCAATTAGAGTAAGTCTAGTAACTGTTTTATATAGTAAAGTAGTAGTTAGGCGTCTATTCTTTAGCTTAGTTACCTACTTAATAGTATAGTACTATATATTCTTAGGTATCTTTATATTATAGAGAATTAAGTATATAGTCTTAGCTAGTTTATATATCTATTACTCTATAACTTTATTTAGAGAGTATTTATATAGAAGAGAGGGTTTAGGAATAATTCTACTCTCTTATAGTTAGTTAATAAACTTAGGACTAAACTCTCCTTTACTATTATTAGTCCTCTAGTAGATAATTATACGGAATTTACTTTACTTTTAAGTTTCAAGTTATAGCTTTAATTTCCGAATAACTAATTAAATAGTTAATATAAACTTATTAACTAAGAGATCTACTTAATATATCCTTATAATATTATTTACTACTAAAAGGAAGTACTTATAGCTACGAATTAAGCGTAGTAAGATACTAGAGATATTAGCGTATAGTTGATAAATAGGTATATTAGTTCTATTATCTGACTTCTTATTAAAGTACTTTTTTATATAGCTTATAAAGTAAGCCTTATAATACTTCTCTTCTTTTAACTTTAGAACAGAAATCAGTCTTATTCCGTAACTATTATAAGTAACTAGTTTCTTTAAATAGGTGTAATTTATATAGCTTAAATACCTATAGAGTAGATCTGCTTTTATTTCCTTTATACTAAGCTAACTTTTTATTTATTCCTTTAGTAGCTTTAAGTCTAACGGAATTATATTATATATAACTTAATATTAAGGATTTATATCTAGAATATATAAACCTCTGTTTCTTATACTTATAAAAGCTAGTTTATTATTCTAGTATCTATTTACTAATATCTTAGTTAGTTCCGTATTAATTCCTTTATCTAAGAGTTAATATATTAATACTAGCTTTATAGCTCTGAAGTTAAGTATATACTATATATTTTTCAGAGTTAATCTATTAATAGTAATATCTTTATAACTTTTAGCTATTAAGTACGAATTAGTCGCTATTTTAATATATTTAGTATTACGCTAGTACTTAAGTTACTTAAACTTAGCTAGAACTTTACTAAAGTAGCGAGTAGCACTAGAGTTGATTTTCTAGATAGATTCTATAATAGAGATTTTTACTAGTATATCTTTAGTATAATAACTCTTTTCCGAAGGGAATATAAGATAAGTATTATTATCTTTAATTTCCTCTACTTTATTAGTACTATCTTCTATATAAATATTCTTAGCTTTTATATAATCTATATACTAGTAACTATAGCTTTTATATTAAGTATACTAATTTCAGTTTAATTTAGGGCGATTTCCTCTCTTTTCTATACGCCTTTTATATCTTTATTAGCTATTACCCCTGCTATTATTATTCTGTTTTTCCTATCTTCTCCTATTCTTATATATATTACCTCTCTTATATAAGTAGTTTTTACCCCTTCGGCCTCTATTATCTTTACTACCTCTTCTTCTATTATAGCTTTTATTTATATAGTTTATAGTATTACTACTAGTAGTAACTATAGGTTAAAGCTATTCTCTCTATTAAATTTAATATTTATTAAGCTTTTATATAATATCTCTGAGATCTAAGTCTTATGATTTTAAAGTAAGTATTATAGTAATTTAAGCTCCGGACGCTAGTAATAACTATAATAGCTTAAGATATATATCTTTATTAGTAAGAGGTTTACTATCACTACTAAGCTTTACTTTAAAGAGTAAGTATAATAGTCCGGTATTTACTTGTTATAAATATAGAAGGCTATAGTTGATCTCTAATAATCGAGAGATAAGTGTATTATATAAATAGGAAGATAGTTACTAAGTATTAGAATACTATTTAAAATTAAGCACGAAGCTCCTATCTAATAGCAGATATACTAGTCTTATATAAAACCCTTATTCTTATAAATCCTTTTAGTATAGATCTATAGATCCTTAGATCCCTTCCCTTACTATAGGATCCGGGGATCTAGGGATCTATTATATAATATTAGTCGCTA